AATAAAGATAGTAATATATAATTATGTTTTTCTTACTAATTATAGGACTTATAGTTCTATATACCTTATAATATATTTCTTAACTTAATATTATTATTTATAATTTATCTAAAACTATAGATATAAGTATTATATATATAGTATACTAGTATTTTAGTAGTTTTATTAAAATAGACTAGTACTTCTACTATGATTTTATAATAGATACTATATATCTCTCTTATATATAGATTTCCTTTCTATTACTCTATACGTTTAATTCTATATAAGTATACTATATTCTTATCTTTATATTACTCAAATATTTATTTGTTTAGATATTAATTTTACTAGTTTAATTATATATAGAAGTCTTAAAACATTTAGAAAAACACCTCTTTAGGGCTAGATTCTAAATATCTATATATTCTAATAGCTTCCTTCTCTTTTTAGATTATCTTTAATCTCTTTATTATACTAAACTAGTAGTACCTGTTACGGTACCCTCTAGAGAGGATGAAGGGTCGTCGACCTCGTTACCGCCGGCTATACTTGCCCGTAACTACGACTATCTAAGTCGCCTTAGACAGTCGTAGCTACTATAGCTAGCGGAGTTAGATACGATATATTATTTCGAAGTGTATAGTAGTTAGTTATTTAATTAACCTTTTTATAGAATACGTCTTAACTATATAATAGTACCTCTTCTTTTACTAGTTTAGAGCTTGATATTTATTTACTAAAAGAGTTAAGGACCCTCTCTATAACTAGAAATAAGAAATATATCGATCCTAAAGTGATTAGGATTCTAAGATTATCCTTAAACTTTCTAAAATTTCTAAGAGATATTTACTTATTTTACTTAAAACTTACCTCTATAGTATTATATTTGTTTATTTATTTAGGCTTTATAATACTTCTCTAAAGTAAGTAGGGGGTCTTCTTAAAAGTATAGATAATATATCTTAATAATTAATTTAGATCTATTAGGGATGCTAAGTATTAAAATCTTTTAGAGAATTTTAGAAAAGCTAGCTTATATTACCTATTACTTAAACCTTTAGCCCTTATATACTTATAGTATTATAGTAAGAGTACTTAGTATAATTAAGTTATCTATAATTATTTAGCTTTATATAGGCTTCCTACTATAAAATATAAGATTATTAACTATTCTTTTTATCTTATCTTTATAGGATATAAATACTTACATAATTTATTAAGAAGCTCTAAATCTATTTACCTTAATCTAGCTAAGAGGTATATATACTAAGTAGGATAGAAAGCTCTATAGAGATGTAGTCTATATACTAAAATTACTTAATAAATCAACTTCTATACTTTACTATTACTAAGTTTATTATATTATATTATTAAGGTATTTTTAATAAAAAGATTATTTTAACTAATTATATATCTTTTAATCTATAAATCTAAGTCTTACTTTACGAGTCCTTCTTCCTTAGCTAAAAGATACTATAATAAAAATCCTATAGTCTATATATAATATTAATAAAAGATTATAAAGTATTAAGATTTCTTAGTAGGTATAAATAATAAAATACTTATTAAGAGAAAAGAAACTAATCTATTAATATATATCTTAAAAGTATTTAGCTTTTACTATAGACGTATAGTATATATATTTACTCTTACTTTTCTATTTTCTTTTAAAAGGTAAGGTAGTTATAGGAAATAGAAGTAATAGATCTTATTAAATACTTTTAATGAAGTTATTAGTATACTCTATCTAATATAGCTAATAACTATATACTATTTATAGTAGTATAAAAAGGATATATTTTATAAAGTAAATTTATTAAAAAGCTCTATTTTAATATTTAGATAATAGAAGTACTAATTACTATTAGCCTTTAAAATTAATAGATATAATACTAAAGCTATAATTATAGAGTATAAAGTAATTATAAAGAACTATTTTAAGTATATTAAGCTCTTTCTATTACTATTTATAAATAATATTAGAATTAATAACTTATAATATAATACTATTTTCTTAAGAAGTTCTAACTTTATTTTAAAAAAGCTTTAAAAAATTTAATAAGTTTATTTAAAAGATTTTTTTTAAAGAAAGTTAATTAGAATTATATAGAGTTTATAGAAGCGTTATAAACTTTAGTATCTTAAAGTCTATAGTATAGATACTCGACTATAAATAAAAGGCTTTTAAAACCTATATAAATATATTTTAAGATTTAAAGCTTTTTAAGAATTAATTAAAAAGAAGATTAAGAGATAGATAGAAGAAATCTATAGAATTTTAAAACTTTATAAGTAATATCTAAAAGAAGAAGAAAAAAATAAGTAATATTAGAGAGTATACTAAAGTACGATATTTAGAAACGCTAAGAGTATTACTCTATATATTATAGTACCCTCTAAAGAGGATAAAGGGTTATCGACCCTATTACTACTAGCTATAATTACTATAGCCGGTAGAGCTAGAACCATATATATATATTAGATTAAAGTATAGTAGTTAGTTCGAATTAATCAATCTTTTTATAGAATACGTCTTAACTATATAATATAATCTTATAATTTAAACGAGAGAGTCTAGAATAATATTATATTAGTTATAAGCTTAAGTAATTAAGTCCTTATATTTATTTTAAGTTTTAGAAGCTATAGGAATACTTAAGTACTAATAGAAAGGCTAGTATTAGCTTGATTATAAGTATAACCTAAATTACCTAATATAGCTACTTTTATATATATCTCTCAAATTAAAAAAAATAAAGTATTCTAGTAAAATAAAGAGTATATTTACTTTAGAAAACATACCTAAGAAGTAATTAAAAAATAATATCTTCTTTAGCTTTTTTTAGAGGGATATAGCTAGCTTAATTTATAATATTCTTTATTAGAAATCTTAATAAAGGATTAAATAATATAATTATAGTATTATTCTTTAAAATTAGAGTAATTAGAACTAACCTAATTCTTTTATTAACTTTATACTATACCTTTTATATTTCTATATATTTTAGTAGAGTAGAATATTATATAATAATTACTAAGTTTTCCCTAGCTAAGAAAATAAGGTTTATAACCTTTCTTTTTAAATCTATTCTATAATAGTTTTTAATTTTACTTTTTTAGTATATATAATAGAGGTAAAACTATTAAAAGAATAAGATATAATTAAATTATATTCTATAATAAGTTTAATTAATTAGCTAAACTACTCTACTTTAACTTAATATATAAGGTTCTAGCTCTACTAGCTATAGTAGCTATAACTATCTAAAGTTACTTAGATAGTCGTAGTTATAAGTAAGTATAGCTAGTAGTAAAGAGGTCGACCCTTTTTTTTTAGAAGATACTATAATAGAGAAGATAGTTCTTAAGGTACTCTAAATATAAAATTAAGTCTAAGTATTCCCTCGAGTCTAATAATCTTTCTTTTAATCGTGTATTCTATATAGTAAATTAATTTATTTATATTAAAGTTAGAAATAATTCTTATAAGTTTATTTATCTATTTATATTAAAATCCTTTATTTAAGATACTAAATAGTAGCTCCTTATAAAAGTTCTCTTACTTTAAAAGCTTTATTTTATAATATATCTTTAATTTTATTTATAGGAATTTAAATATATTAAGATTATTATATAGAGAAGAATTAGTATTACTATATTAATTTTATTATTCTTACTTAATTACTAGACTACTTTATTAGCTCTAGTAATTAAACTTAAAGAAAAGACTTTTAATTTTTTTTTCTCTACCCTTTAAGTTTTATTGTTTTAACTTCTTTCCCTTATAGAAATTAATGTTTTCTATAATAAAGGTAAAATATATAGAGAACTTAAAGTATAGTAGTTTGAGTTTATATTCTTTTACTTATCTTAAATACTTATTAAGTAAAAATAAAAGTTATAGAGCTTATAAGCTTTTAAGAAACTTTTAAGCTCTCTTTATTATAGCTTTTTTAAAGACTATAGAACAATTATTATCTATTCCTATAATAGTATCTAAGTCTTTATTCTTAATACCTATTTTTAAACTTACAAATATTACTAGTTTTACTAGTAAGACTTTTTAATTTAGTTCTAGGCAAAGTAGATAGAAATAAAAAGAATATTTAAGAAAACATTTTACGTCCGGACTTATATTAAGAATCTATTATAAAAATTAGGACTAAATATTAGGCCTTTCTAGGGGTAGAAATAGCCGACTTTTTATTTCTTATAATAGTAAGGAGGAAAGTAGACTTTTTCATATAGTAAAGGTATTATTTACTTAATAACCTGTCTGTATTACTTACTATTAGATCTTCTAAACTTAACTTAGTACTATCTCTAGGGGTATAGAGGGAGTTTTCTAAAAGGACGTCTCTTAGGCTAGAGAGATATAGTCTGTTATATTCTGACTCTCTAAAAGGTCTAGTATAATTTTATACTAGTCTCTAGGGGTATAGAAACGTACTATATACTTCTCTAGGTCTAAAGAGAAAATATAGTATAACTACATAATCTACCTTCCTTATAAGGTTAGATTAGTTATAGAACTATTATAGAAATAGGCTTAAGAGCGTATTTAAGGTATAAAGGTATAGGGAGGAGGTAAGTATAAATAGTTTAAATTGCTACCTAAGTAGTATTAATACTTATAGGTGTTAAAAGATTTAATTAATTAAGGATAATCTAAAGAAGCAAAAAGTAATATACCTTATAAAACTAGCTTATATAAATTTAGAAGTAAGAATAGAAGTTTTAAAAAATAATGAAAATAAGTACGTATTTATTCTGATAATATAGTATCTAATTAAAGGGTAAGAAGCTATATTTAGCTTAGTTCCTAGCCTTCTTATTAGCTAGGCTTTACGACCTATTTTCAACTACTATATTAAGTAAATTAGTAACTAGGCCTATAATTTCGGCTAAAATAGGCCGAGATCTAACAATATATAGTATAATATAACGCTATAGAGATTCTTAAGGCCAGCTATTAAAACTAGTTACTATAGGCTTGCGTAGGGGCTACTCTAACCCGGGGTTAATTAAGTAATAGTGTAGGTTTTATCTACGATTATAGTTTCTTAGTAAATTCACTCGAGTTTAACTAGCAGAAGAGCCGGCGTCTTACATTAGTCTGTAGCTAATACCTAATCTAAATTTAAGAAGGTGAAAAGAGCGAAATGTAAGGCAAGAATACAAATCCTAAGCCTTCTTCCCTTCATCGATTGCTTGTGGCGGTGGAGGGATCTGGTACTTCGACACAATCCACTCCATGCCGACATAACCGTCGCTAATAATCCTGATTGTCACCGCCATGCCAGTATGCTCTGCCAACTTGATGGAGGAGCGGATGCTTAGTTTAGCGGATCTATCACTCTTGGCCTTGTTCCCTGAAGGCCAACCTATCCGCTTTAGTGCTACAATTTCGTCGCTGCCGTCCTGGGTGACGAGCAGGAAGAAGCCCTCTGTCTGTGGTTTGGGATAACGAGGCGCAAAAATGCGATTCTCACGATCCGCGCTCAGATTAAGGCGGAGCACGTCAACAGAAAAGCCCAGTGCGTTCACATCTGTCACGCTAACGCGCAATTGAGGCAGTTGTCCCAGAATCTTAAATGCTCTTCCATGTGCCGGCTTGGGAAGGTCAAGGCGTTGTAGAACCGCTTCAATCTCGGCACGGGGTGCTTTAGCAGCATCGACGAGCGTGGCAGGAGCATTCTTGCTTTCAGACATACGTTGTTTCTCTCTTGACGGCACAACGCCAGGCAAAATTGCGAGAGGTCCGTCGTCTGGCCATCGGGCGGTTTTGACACATTGAAGAAGGGTGATCATCATAAGGCAACTTTGCAGATGACCCATTTCGACAAGTGCATCAATACTAGCTTGGATGATACGAATCGCCTGGTCAAGGACTGAATTGAGATCTCCGACATAATCGCTTATCGGCAGATCAATGCGTGAAAAATGGGCCTGGAGGAGGAGATGCGCCTTGACATGGGGATCCCACATTGGTAAATCGAGCTTCTCTGCGTTCAGCGGAAGATTCTTTGACAACTCGACGTTGATTAGGTCCTCGTTGTGCCGAACGGGGAGCTCATCATATTCGGTAGCGCGGCACATCCATGAGAGCACATCTTCGAATGTAGCCGTTGGACGTGCATGATGCGAGAGCTCGCGTATCGTTTTGTGAGACAGGTAGTAATAACTCATAATCTTGCCAAGGGCAGTGGAGTCGACATCGCCGTTGCTTTGAACCTCTATACAGCCAGATTCTGACAGCTCATCCAATGATTTCTCAACCATTTCGATCATGTAGTCATTGGCAGCGTGCTGGGCCGCCACTGTATTGTTGTCTTCGGCAGATATTTCCAGGCCGTAGTAGGATGGATTCTTGTGGAGTCGGCGGAAGAAGAACGTCCATGTCAAGTAGTCCAAAGCATCTTGCTTGGTCGTGATGGTACCGGAGGAAACTTCTGCGCCTAAGTGATTGTCCAGAACGTTGTGCAAAGACGACTCGACGGGAAACCCAGTGTGCAGGAAATGCTTGTAGAATGGCTTCTTGGAATCTTGGGTGAAAATGCGAGCAATACCAGACGTGTCGAATTGCGGGCGGCCTGCTCTACCCAGCATCTGGAGCACGTCTGTGAGGTCCATGTCTTTGTAGCCTTCGATCTTCGCGTCGAAGAATTGAGTGCCTTTTACGACGACCAAATGAGCTGGAAGGTTAACTCCCCATGCCAGAGTACTGGTCGCGACCAAGATCTGAATCTTGTTGTTGGCAAACAGCTCTTCGGCAAGCTGCCGGTCAGATTCTACCAGACCAGCGTGATGTAGACCAATCCCGAAACTCATGGCCTCCTTAAGCGCGTCATCTTTCACTCGAGCAAGGTTCAAGGCTAAATCGTCTTCAGACATACGCACAAATCGCCTTGGGTTATCCTCCATACCACAGAGGTTGATGAGGTCTCGCGCAGTCAATCTTGTCTGACGTCGCGAGGCCACAAACACAATGACAGGCTTGTCTGGCGAATGGGATTTGATAGCGAGAAAGGTGGGTCGGTTCATGCTTTGCATCAAAGGACAGAAGCCACGCTGTTCGGGAAATCCATCAATGAAGATCTCGAGAGGCACCGGCCGGACGGAGTGTCGGAAGTTGAATAGCCCTTCTTTCACTCCCAGCCAATTGGCAAGATCCATAGCATTTGCGCACGCAGTCGACATGCCGACCAGCCTAACAGAACCCTTCTTCTGAGACGCGATATAATTCATACGACTGACAATAATCTCAAGAATTGGTCCTCGATCACCACCGAGTAGATGGATTTCGTCGATGATAACGAGGCTGACTTGTTGAACATAGCTTCGGGTTTGCCAGCTTCGACTGATACCGTCCCACTTTTCGGGAGTGGTGACGATGATGTCTGCGTCTCGGATCGTCCGTGTATCAGGAGTGTTATCTCCCGTCAATTCGACAAGCTTCAAGCCCATTTGCCGCGTCAAACGTTTGCCCCAATCTTGAACTCTCTCGCGCACCAGCGCCTTCATTGGTGCAATGTACACGACCTTGCTACCGGGCCGTTCCCGGAATGCCCACCACATTGCGAGCTCACATGCAATCGTTTTGCCTGATCCTGTTGGTGAGCCGAGCAATACGTTTGCCGAGGTATGATACATGCAGTGGAATAGTTGCGTTTGCATGGGGTTGAAGAATTGGAAACGATGGCCATATATCTCCTCGAGCAGAGGGTTCTTCAAGGCTTTGATGTGAAGCGGCTGAAGGTTGAGCAGATCGGTATAGACACTCTCCGTGTCTGGTCTGATCAGGTGCTGGAAGGAGACTGGTGTGACCGTCTCGGCACCAAGCCATCTGTCACTGACTGCTCGCACAAATATTTGGCTGGGTAGAGGGTCTGATAGAGGAATGGTGAAGTTGAGCTCATGGTCGTCGTAAAGCTTCCTCCGACTGAGGATGAAATACTCGTGATGATAAATCTCGCTGGTCTCCGAATTTTCGACCCATATCCAATAACTTTCGCTCTTACCGTGATGACGATCATTCCATCGAAACTCCGGAGTCAAGAAGAGCTTGATACGGAGAACGTCCCTATTCAACGGCGCGATCTCGGCTTCCACTGCCAGGGTCGGAAAATTGTCAAGCAGCTTGCTTAGGATGCCTCCCATTTTTTGATTGTGTACCAAGCTTCCGATCTCCGCAGATTCCATATCACGAAGTGATTCGATGGAAGCGGTGCCTCCTTTTGAATCTAGGTTACGCAAGACTGCAATGGGAAGATCGAATTGATGAAAGGGATGTTCGAAAGCCCAGACTCGTTTTTCGATGCTTTTGCACATGGACAAAAGGACGAGACATTGATAACCCCATCGTCGGTTGAGCGCAATCATGAACAGCGCCCGACATATACGAGCAGCATTCTGTGCAACGTATGCAGTGTCCGAGACAAGCGTAAAGTCTTCCAGATTTGATTTGCTAATGTAGGATTGTAGTAGAACGTTGGTCTTGCCTTGTTGGTTACCGATGCCTCCTTCGATGTCGCACGGAGCATTCTCTTTGAGGCGCAAGAGCTCCTTCTCTTCCGTGTCACGGCTCTGGATATTGTCAAATTCTCCACTCATGCTGATCATCTTCAGGACATCTGCCTCGGTAGCTTGAGGCCTCATCATAGTGTTGAATATCTCTATGCTGGTTTGAAGCACATAGAATTGACTGGCGATCCGTCCAACGTCTTTGGCGCGTAGCTCTTCGGTAGTCTCGTTGAAAATGATCATTTGACTGGTTTGAAGCACTCGTGCAGCCTTAACGACAAGGTCTCGTCTACGCTGAACGAGGTTTGGATCGTTGGTGAGCTCAGACCAGTCGATGCCATAGGCCATTGGGTTCTTGCGCATACGAACGAACATGTATGAGTATCCAAGCCATGTAATGGCCTCCGGAATGCTCGTCACCGTACCGAGCGAGATTTCTGCGTTGAGATTGTCAACCATCTTCCGACTAAATTGCGACTCGATCGGCTGCTGCTGGGTCACAGCCGTGAGGTAGTGCTGCAACTTGTCCTGCGTTGTGAGGATCATGCCTATGCCGGTATCCTGATATTGAGGGCGGCCAGCACGACCAAAGATCTGCAGCACATCGAGAATACCTAGATCGACGAATTTACCAGCTTCTGCACTGTAAAGCTGCGTCCCCTTGATGATAACCGCAGCGGCGGGCAAGTTCACACCCCACGCCAGTGTCGCTGTACAACACAGGACTTTGAGAACGCCTTCGCCAAAAAGGCGTTCTACCATATTTCGATCGGACCGAGGCATTCCCGCATGGTGAACACCAAATCCCTTTTGCACCAGCTCGCGGATCTCGCGACCTTTGGACTGTTTGACGTCCTTGCACGCCTGGCTATAGCCCTCGTGATGACTTGGATCGAAAAGGTCACCGAGTCCCTCCTCGGCCGCGGTTTCGAGCAATTGCTTCGCGGTTTTGACGGTGTCCTTGCGGCTATGTACGAAGACCATAACCTGATGACCTTGCTCCATCATCTCTTTGACCTTCTCGAAAGCGACCGCATCAATATTTTCCCGGCTAGTTTTCGTTCCAGGCTTGCCCTTGACTCCGATAAAATGCTGTTCAAGAGGTACTGGACGAAAAGATTGGTCAAAGTAAAACAGGCCCGCCATACGATTAACCTTGAGAAAGTCTGCAACATCGACATAATTCGGTAGTGTAGCGCTCAGACCGACGATACGAATCAGTGATTGCGTGCTCTCCACTTGTCGCTCAGTACGGGCGACGAGCGACTCAAGGACAGCACCCCGTTCGTCGTGAAGCATGTGTACTTCATCGATGATGAGCAGTCGTACCTTTTGCACCAACTCCGTGTCGCCGGTAGACTTCCGCGTCACAACGTCCCACTTCTCCGGAGTTGTAACAATGATCTGAGTCTGGATAATTTCGGCCTTGGTGAGCTGCATATCACCCGTCAATTCGCGAACCTGTATTCCCAGCCAAGCAAGTCGTTTGCCCAATTTATCTGTGATTTCAGCGGCCAATGCCTTCATCGGAGCCACATACACGATCTTGAAGTCGTCAGTGCGCACTGTAAATTCTGACGCTTCTGGCACCTCTGAAGGGTGAGGATGAACATTCTTTGCAATAATGTTCAAAATGGTGAGCATTGCGGCATCCGTCTTACCAGCTCCGGTGGGAGCACAAATTAACATGTTCTCGCTAGTCTGATACGCTACAGGATATACAAGGCTCTGCATACGATTCAAAGCCTTGTATCCTCTGAAGGTCCTCTGACAGAGGCCATCTAATTGACCGATGGAAACTAGGGTGTGCGCTGCTATACGGTGGGCGGCGGCTGCTGGGATACTATATTCCTCGTATTTATCACGTTCAAGCCGCTCACTCCCCATGGGCAATGAAAACTTGGTGCCATGCGCTGACAATGTGTTGCCAGCCTGCTGAGAAGAGCGATATATGTGAGGATACTCTGCACTCGACGAAGCAGTTGCGGGCGCCAATTTTGCAGTCTTGTGGTCGTAGTCGGCCTGTCTTAGGCGTGCCTCTCGCTCTTTTTTGGACAAAAGACCTGAGTATCGCGGTTGGGTGGTTGTCGATAACGAGCTGCGCGAGGTAATTATTTCAGCCACTATATCGAGCTCCTCATAGCCCAGGATGTCAACAAGCGTCATTTGAAGTTCATCGTCACTGCTATTAGAAGCAAGAGTCGCTAGGATGTGCTGTTCGACAACTTCGGCGTCTGAGCCATTCGTTCTGGCAATCCTGGCGCAATTCTGCGACAACCAGGTGTGTCGATCGCCCTGGGCTTTGGTCGATGCATAGTTGTGTTCATTGAAGAGGGGTTCGTCTAAGCTCTCGTCGCTGACATCGTCGTCATTCTCGTCTAACAGAGTGTCCCAGATGTCCTCCTCGCCAGAAGAAGAGACGGATGTGTATCCGTCTTCTCCAAGATCAGCATGATCATCAGTATTGGCGGCCGGCAATTGTGCAATTGCGGCTCGCATTGTGGCCATTTGCTCCAGCCATTGTGCTGCTGCCGCCTCGAGCGATGAATCCATGTTTGCAACACCGTCTCCAGCTGTTGCGCTGCGGCAGGCTTAACAAGGCGCTCGGCGTTAAAGATTTAACTTCACAGAGTTTCGGCAATTCCTGGAACACCGCGTGTCACAGTCGCAAGGCTTGGAAAGTCTTCAGTTGAAGGTATCGAGAACAAGCGTGATGGACATGGTGAGCAAGGCGATCGGAGTAATCGTCATCATTCGTCGCCCTCCAGGACTTTACAGTACAAATTTCGTTATCGATTGGGACGTGCGTGGGCAGCCGCCAAAAGGCCCCCACCAACACGATCATCGCCTACGTGTGCTGTGTTACCGATAATACAGCAGAGAAGGCACCAGACCAGTCTGCTAATGTTGTGTGTGATAACCTCACACGCAACTATGCATTGAGTTTTCGGAATAAGCATAAATCAGCGGCACTTATCGTTGCTTGGATCTCTTCGCCATCAATATACTCAAGTGTATATTAAAACAGCAAGCAGACTGCCTATTGTAAAGTAGATTGGTCGCCGCAGTCGATACGGGCACAAGCGGGGACTACTCCGGTTGGAATGCGCGTCCGGCGCTTTGTGTGGACAAGACGCGTACGAACGTGCTGCTCCTCGACTGAAACCAAATTGTCTTTTTCTGCCTCATGAGCACAAACAAAAAATACTACAAGCCAGGTACTTGCGGTATCGCGAACTCATGGTATTCCCCCCCTAATGGCTTGGTATATGCCGTACAGGATTGATGAAGGTTGACGGTTCATTTGTGCATCACAGGAGAGCCCACATGAACATCAACAAACCCAGCTCTTCTCGCGCATTATCGCCAATGTGGTTCGTAGAGATCCCCAACCTTTTCTCTCCCTCGTTTCCTCCTTTTCGACCCAGTGCCTCCCATCGCCTGTCAACACCATTATCGCGCTGACGACAAAATCAGGAGAAGCTCAACGAGGCGATAGCTGTGCTCAATGGCCGTTTGCAGGAGATCAATGTACAGAACATGAACGTCGAGTTGGTGGCGCAAATGTTCAAGAACTACCAGGCCAATTGTCTGTTCCATCTCGAGGCCGTCGGTGCTCTCAAAGATCCGTCGGGATGAGACAGATACAAGATCTCGCTTCCTAGGGATTCGGGGGGAGACGAAACGAAATGAATTCACCGTGATGGTAGTGTAACGCACATTTTCTCAGTCTTGATCCTTCTGCCGTCACCCTTCCATGAATCCGTGGTGGAGGTGGACGCGACACCGCCGAAATTTTCTCTCCATCGAAATCGGTGCTTGCATCGCTGAACACGCTCATGGCTCGCAGCATGTCTCGCCGCCTCCGCGTCTGACGGTGAAGGAATAATATTGGTTTCTCATCAATCACGAAATCATAGACGGGAGATGTGAATGTGTACATGATCATTTTATGCATTGTCGTGAATCAATTGACTGAGCCTTTCCAAGACATCTAGAGATCTACCCCGCGAGTGACAGCATGACGTGCAGCGGGCAATAAACAATCATGATTAACTTGGAACCTGGGAATTAGCGAATGGAATCGACTGATGAATGATTACGCCTACTTATCATACCTTATGTTGCAGTAATAGCACCTGCAGCTAGGCACTGTACCTAGGTTGGTGTCATGACTGACATGGGTGGCAGAGTTCCACAGCCGCGTCCAGCTGCCAGGGCGGGCAGCAGCATTTCCAGGTACCAACCACTTCCCGCACGCTTCCTTCGTCTAGTCCGCCCAAGATGATGCATTCCAAGGTTCTCTCCTTGTTCATCGCCAAAGAATGCCGCCGCCCAAATTTCTGCTGGCCGGCAACGCGGTGTACCATTTCCAATCATGGCCGGTGGTGGGAGCTCGTGATGCGGTGGCGGTCAGATTCACCTTTCACATAAGCCCCCAAGGGTGATTTCGGAGAGATGTTACTTTTTCTATATATCAGCTCCATGTCTGAACAACATTCCACACTCTTCTTGACTTGCCATCTCGTCTTTTCTCTTCATCCCCTTTTCCCAGCCTATTGATATACTCCAAGTCATCTCATTGACTACCCCTCTCATCATGGGTGAGAAACAGAATGCTGTGATTTTTCAAGGCTTCGAATGGAACTGCTCGGCAGATGGCAAGCATTACCGAAGGCTACTCGCTCAACTTCCGCAGCTGAAGGCCATTGGCATCACTGCCATCTGGGTCCCGCCTGGCTGTAAGGGAGCCTCACAAGAGGGAAATGGTTACGACATTTATGATTTGTATGACCTTGGAGAGTTCGATCAGAAGGGAGGTGTCCGCACCAAATGGGGAACCAAGGAGGAGCTCCAGGCGTTGACGGCCAAAGCGAGGGAGTTGGGCATCGGCATCTATTTCGACGCCGTAAGTCATTGACCGATCCCGTCTGATCCTGAAGTGGCAGCTAAACCGAGTTCCCATCAGGTCCTCAATCACCGCTGCTCGGCCGACAAGAAGGAGAAGGTCATGGCTATTGAAGTCGATAGAGATGATCAAAAAACGCCACTGTCCGACCCATATGAGATCGAGGCTTGGGTCGGCTTCGACTTCCCAGGCAGAGGTGACAAATACTCTTCGCAAAAATACCACTGGTATCATTTCGGTGGAACAGACTTCAACGCTGCCAACGATAAAGAAGCTCTCTACAAATTCCAGGGCGACGGATTAGATTGGGCAGAGTCCGTCGAGGAAGGCGATGACTTCCTTCTCGGTAAGATCCGATGCTCATCGTTCATCTTCGCGTATGCTGACCTCAAGAAGGTGCCGACTTGAACTACTCTCATCCAGAAGTCCAAGCCGATGTCAAGAACTGGGGTCCCTGGATCGTCAAAGAGCTCGGGCTTTCTGGATTCCGGTTGGACGCCGTCCGACATTTCTCGGAGCGTTTCTTGAACCAATGGGTATCGTTCAAAACATTCACATATTTCCTGATCAGTTATTGACCATCTCCAGGTGGAACACGTTACGAAGAACACCAAAGAAGATCTCTTCTTCGTCGGTGAATATTGGCACCCTGAGCTCGATGCCCTCGTCAAGTGGCTTGAGGATATGGACCACAAGTTCTGTCTGTTTGACGCCCCTCTGGTCTACAATTTCGCACGCATCAGCACTACCAAGGATGCTGATCTGAGGACAATGTTCGACAACGCGCTCATCAAAGCCAAGCCAGTCAACGCAGTGGTAAGTCTCGATCTGTCTGCTCAACCTTACAATCGCTGAAGCTGACTTGAAATTGTTTACAGACTGTTGTGAACTCACATGATCTCCAACCTGGCCAGACGATGGCTATCAACATAGAAGGCTGGTTCAAGCCGCTCGCTTACTGTGTCATCCTCCTTCAAGACGCAGGGTACCCATCAATCTTCTTCGGTGATCTATTCGGCATCAAAGGCGAACATCCTGAAGAGCCTATTGCGGGCGGAAAGCTTGCGGACATGGTTCTTGCACGCAAGCTCTACGCATACGGACAGCAGGACGCCTACTTGGATGATCCGAACTGTGTTGGCTTCGTTCGACGCGGAACGGCTGACCATCCGGCAGGATTGGCTTGCATCATGTCTAACACTGGCCCAGGAGAGATTCGTATGGCCGTCGGCGATTTGCACGCTGGGCAGAAATGGACAGATTTGCTAGGCTGGTCACAAGGCGAGGTCGAGATTGACAATGAGGGTTATGGTGTCTTCAGATGCCCGGGAGTCTCCATCTCACTTTGGGTCAGGTCGGACGCAGAGGGCAGGGATCAATTCCCTGTCAACTTCGACAGCAACTTCTATGCTGACTGAGCGGCCATACTGGGCAAGCTGCGATGTAGCGAAGTCTGTTCACAACGAGCAAATTCAAATAGACATGATAGTTACATCGCACTTAGCGTGCGGCATTTGAATACAACGTCAAGTTTTGTTTGTAATCCACACTCTCGGTACCATTGAATCATTCATTCATCAAAAGTGAAAATACCCTTTCCACTTCGAAATCCATCCAACGTACCTTGTACCGCCGCCACGAGCGTTTTTTCACTTGAATCGTGCTTGAAAGGAATCTCCTGACTAGGAACATCCTTGAATTTTCCCTGACGGATCAAATCGAGAATCTCCTCCACACATGCCATCTTGTCCTCCGGCGTCTTCCACCTGCTGACCCAGAAGCCTGAGAAACGGATGTCCTTGAAGATGAGCAGACCCATGGGAAGGTTGACAGGCTGTTTGGACATAGCGCCGTACGTGACGACGTACGAACCCGGCGCGAGATGCTTTGCCATGCTGTTGACCTGTGGTCCGCCGACGCAGTTCAATGCGAGTCGGAGTTTGTCCCGCCCGTCGTTCAAGATGGTCTGCATTTTGTCGCGCGAGTTGAGGTCATCCTCTGTGATGACTGCATCGGCGCCTAATGACTTCAATTCCGCAATCATTGTCTGTGTGGCTTCTTCGCTGTCGCGCTTGCGGATGATATTCAAGCTCTTGATGCCCCAAAGTCGTGCAAGTTGAATCGCTGCGCGACCAACGCCGGAATTGGCGCCATTTTGAATGAACCATTCGCCGGGTTGGAGGTCGACGAAATCTTTTAGCATGCGGTAGGCAGTGCAAGGGTTAACAGAGATCGTCCCGACTTGTTTCGGTGTAAGGCCTACGCGGTTCTTGATGGGAATGAGTTTGTCCGCTGTGGTCTGCGCGTGTGTCCGCCAAGTACCAAAGCCCTGTGTCTTCATGATAACCCAGTCACCCTTCTCTATGCCCGTGACACCACTGCCTTTTGAGATGACTTCCGCGACTCCTTCATTGCCTCCGACGGCAATACGATCAGCAGTTCCGAGTTCGGTCGTCCATGACGGTTTAGTAGGATAGACGCCCTGGATTTGGTTTATGTCGGCAGGATTTATGGGCGATGCGAGGAATCGTATATTCACGCGATCTCCGTGAGGCGGTGATATTGAATGGCCGTGGAGCTTCAGAACGTCCTTTGGCTCACCATGTGAGCTGAGAACAAGAGCTTTGGCTTGCTCGTAGCCGTACAGGGATATACTGCGGACTTGCTGCCGGCATGGTTTTGATTGTGTTGTGCTACGCGTCAGTTGCAAACATAGCGTTTTTGTCAAGGCCATGCTGAGAAGCTCGGTGCATGAATATCAATGGTTATTTTGGCAGCGAGTAGACGATGCGCAATGAAACTCCCAGCCCGGTGCATGGACTCACTTGCGTGGCATTGGAGCCGCGCTATGACGACAGCGGGAAAGCTTTACATAGCCCGGCCTCATCTGCTCCATCGCTCGCGGGACATAATCGGAGCGACATCCGAGCCATCGACAGTCACACAGAAAGTCTTCATACACAGACTTTCATTCTATGCATATGGTCCACGGCTAGAGAGACGTGGAAATTGTCAAATTCTAGATAAAAGCAGCTCAGTGGCAAGGCAGCAGCGCATAAAGCGAGCATCAGGTAGTGAAGCACAAAGAAAACTGCATTTATAAATGTATATATACAGGGACGTGCATCGAACAAATAAGCAGCACTCCTGGGGTATCTTTGCAAACACTCATTTGCATCAGCTCGTGTGAACGTGGCTCGTGCAAAGCGCCGAAGCGTCATGGTCGGCAAACAGCTTCGTCCGGAAGGACCAGCCTCCAATCTATGATTCAGCAGAAACAAAAGCAAAGGCGACCGAGCAGAATCGAACAAGTGGATGACGAAGGAATATTGTAAAGAGAAATTCGAATGTAGGACATGGAAGTGATGATGTGAGCTGCTCGTGGCGTTCGTGAAGACAATCTGTCGACATAGCGTTGCGGCGCGTGTGTCTTGGAAACCTATCAGTTAGAGTTACTTCGGCTCGGTGTGACTGGAGGCGGAATATTGGCCATGGCCTTCTGCAACTCGGCGGCAGTGAGAGCATTGTGGCTAAGCGACGTGCCACGGCTTCGACGATGTACGCGAGGACTCTTTGAAACCCCCGCGCCGAAGAGATCGGTACTGATGCGTCGGCGTCTGGCAGGAGAGAAAGGTAAATTCTCTGCTCCACGACGATTCCGCTGGATGGCATTATGCTCAGACGTCTCGGCACGACGAATCGGATTAATCGCCATTGCACAAACTGCGCGAGCGCGATCCTGGTTAATTCGGAAGGATGATACCAGATTTGGCTGGTAACTAAGATGCGACAAAGTATTGCTTTCGGGTTCAGTTTCGGGATCGAACATGAATGAGTCCTCCATGGAGTTAGGGAAAGCAAAAGGCGAAGATGGTGCCGGGTCCTCGGTAGTCTGCGAGAAAACACCCGCGGACTTGGGTCGTGCATCCTCAGCTTCAGAACTGCTGCATTGATCAAAGTCGATCAATTCATTCATGTTGAAAGCCTGCTGCGCTTGATAATCATCCTCGTCGGATTCATCTTCTGCAATCGATGATATGTCTTGAACATCTTCATCCATAAAAACATCAGGCACGGTGGTCGCGTTCAAAAGTAGCGCGGTATCAATCATCGGTTCGGGCATAGGTAAGTTGCCGTTGAACGTGTTGCCTAGAGTCTCGTTGCAAGTATGGGGCTTTTCTGGCATCTTCGCAGCACGAGATTCGGATCTCTTCCACGACACACTTGCATTCGGACTACCAGTCACTTTGCCCATGGCACGACGAGCTCGTTCCCAGTACGCCCGATCCTTCTCTGGGGGATTTAGGGGCGACTGGAGCTTAACGCCATCCTTTGTTAGAGACAATGCGGCACGCGACGGATCCCGCTGGAACACTCGGGTTTTGGGCTGTGTGCCGTTCGGTGCGATTGGTGTCTCGGTGGAAGTAGAGGTCTCGCGGGATGCCTGCATGTGCTTTGCGGGAGCCGGCGTGCTGGGCGTGGCGCTCACGATGCTATTGCTGTTGAGCTTCGCTCGAGCCGCGCGAATATGCTCCTGAACGGCGCGGTTGTACTCCTCTCTCTCTTCTTCGTCTCCGTCCAGTTCTTCGTCCGTGGTGTCTCCATCGGCTTCCTAAAAGTCAGCAATGTTTCAATCGCAAGCGCAGATTCACAAGGGTCATGCATACACTCTGAATCACTAGATTCACTCTCTCCATCACTGTTCTCGATGAACGATTCTTCTGTCTGCAAGGTATTGGCAAAACCCATCGAATAGTCGTATTCGTCACCAGATTCATCAGAGCTGTCGAACTCGATGGCTTCGGCTGCAGTTGCGCTGAAGAGACTAGTGGGCGGATACCTGGCCACTGGTGTAACACTATCCATTAAATCGGGGAACGCCTCCGAAGGGTCTTCATCGCTTGTCACACTCGAAAGTCTCCTGAAGCGAACCTTCTTCGACAGGCGAGGGGATGTGTTGCTCGGGACGGCGTCCAAATCCAAATCTTCTTCAGGTGCTGACCTGGGTGCAGGGCCGGAGAGGGGAGCAGGAAGTCGCCAAGCGGCAAGGTCACCTTCTGCTTCGTTCCACATTGCAGTGTGGGCAGGATCTTGGGGAGACAAGCCGAGAAAGGGATCTTTGCCGAAATCGATATTCGGCTCGACGGCAGAGAAATCCGGGGATGCAATCATGTTCCACACCTGCTTCAGGTCTTTGCGATGATCGGTTCGCTTCTCCATCTGTTTGAACTCCTGGATAAGGTCACGCTCGGAATCCTTGAGCAGTGCCGCTTCTGTCTCGGGATTGAAGTCGGATTCGTCTCCAGAACTCATTGCATCGACGTCATCGTAATCTTCGTCGTCGTTCTCTGGATCGCTTCCAGCTGAGGATTGCGCAGATTTTAAAGTCGATTTCTTCTTGCGCGAGCCATTGGAAGCCTCAGCTGGCTCGAACACATCCGTTTCGACCATTTCATGGTCGTCTTCATCGAGCAAATCGGAGTCATCATCGCTCTGCCTACGATGGCTGACGGACATCTTGCCACGTGTGCCTGACGAGCTGGGTTTGGAACTCCGCTTCGTTGGCGTGTGATCGTTTCTGAAAGCACACATCGTGAGGTAGAGAGTTGGGGTATCTTGCTGCAAGATTATGCAAATCGACTAGCACAGAATGTCTTGTTTTGCAGGGCTGAGCTAAGCAGCACAATCACAGAAATTTAATGAAATCGCGGAGGGTGCTTGATGCCCTGGAATAAATCACTTTTTCGGTGGAATAGTTTATTGAGCAAAGAGCTTGACCAGAGCAGGTAAGCTTGATTGTCGTTGGAAGTTCTCCTCCCAAAAAAAAATGGGAGATCAATGTGGGCTTGTGAGATGCCGTGACTTCTTTTTAGAGAAATCACGGTAGATTCACGACGAAATCGCAATGAGTGAGTGCTGCGCGGTGAAATATAGCAGCGATTGAGGTGTTTGACACCTGAGGCAAAGCAAAATGTCGTGTGTCAATTTTGTGAAAAAATCGTTGGACAATGACCGGACTGGAGGAGCAGCACGATGCCGGCCCCTCCAGCGGTGGATTTAGTGCCCAGCGACCGCCCGAGGCATCCTGAACGACAATGATTTGGTTTACTTGGTGATGGTTTCTATATGATAGTGGCGCTTCGTCGCTGGGTTGAAACTGGGTTGGTGGAGAGGGAAGAAAGATGTTAAGAGAGAGAATTCTTAACAGTAAATGAAGAGAGCAAGGGAGGAAAAAAGCCAGGGTCTCACACACACACGAACGCAGCCCGCAGGAGAAAAGCTCCCGCCGTAGGTAGATGCCATGCTCGCCCATGTAGCGTGATGAAGCCCAAAAAAAAGTGATTAAGGTTTCTTCGGCTGCTACCCACTAGTTCCCGCCCGAGCGCCCCGATGGATGGGTCCAATTCCCGCAGAACGGCGGTGAGATTTTGTTGGAGAGGAAGACCGCCGCGACTGTTGCTGCTGCTGCTGCTGCTGTTGCTAATCTTGGTGCAAATGACGATAGACAAATCGTACACACGGACTGTATAGGGAAACACACGTTGATCAATCGCTGGGCACGCTGGGGCCGACGAGAGAGAAGGTTAGCACCTGCAGTACAAGGTCTACTTTGGTGGCCAGTCGCCCTACAGTGTCATCATTGAGGCACACAGGGCTGACGATCTGTACTGTACCTTTCCCGGGCATCTCCAGACCTCCCGTGGAATGTGTTACCTGCGGTAGCGCAAATGTACATTTCACCAGATTCGTGCTGTTGTTCCCGAAAAGCGAGTATGGCACAAGTCGACCTCTTCCTCCTCTCTGTGCGGCCGTGACACCAGCTTATCATCAAGTCTCATCGCCAGAAATCAGATGAGGCACTACCGCGAGCCTAACAAATCTCATCTCCACTATAGCTTGCATGGTGCTAAAATCTCAAATTTGCATGGTGGTAAAACCCATCGAAATCAACAACAGCATCATCATCACCGTCACCATGGCTATTGGTACCATGGCCGACTTCAGTGATGACGCCCAAGCAAACGTGCCACTGCATGCAATGAGTCAAATCCGGCTCGCCGACTCCTCGACTCGGTACTTTGGGAGAGCCGCTACCAGAATTTTCTTATCCCGGGGCAGCCACACACGCATGACGACCTTCCGTCGTCGTCTGAGTCACCACATCACCCGCAGGTCAAGGCTGTTTCGAGGAGACTAGTAGAATGTAGAAAGCAGAGCACAGAAACTGACGAAGCTCTGTACTTTAGCCCGATACTTGGCCGAGCCTATCATTTTCGTCTGACGACCGCCCCAACCAGTATTGAATGAATGGGCGGGGGGCCAATTGACAGACAGAAACATTCGTGGAGAAAATGGGTCGGGAGTGGCATCTGCTACCGGGACTCGCCTGTTACGCACGCAACTTATCGTCATATGCACTGTAGGGCGAGGCAGGCCGGCAGGCGGCGGCATGCATGAGATCTGCTCCCCTGTCAAATCAAATCGATTTCTCGCTCATGTCCGTCAGGCTGCAGAGTGCTCGTTGTCATGGGTAGAGGCAAATATCTTTTTGTCGTGTGCTCTGCCCGGTCGCCCAAATGCGACCTTCGTGCGACAGCTGGATCAATATCAACACTTCATTGCTTCGCCTGCATAGTTCTGTACGCGAATGCATGTTTGCATGAGGTGAGGAAGATGGCACCCAGCTGTGAAGCACAAATTGGGGAAATCTCTGAAACGACGTCGACTCATCAAGACAATTTCACCCCTCAACGTGTACGTAGGTTACTAGGTAATGATGAGCACGTGCTACCTTCTCTAGGCTCTCACACATGAAGTATCTTTGTACCGGCACTTGGGAATTTCTCCTGCGCTGCCGGAGAACGTTTCGGATGCCAAATGCACGGAATACGTCACTCGGTCTGCTCCCGTGCTCGATCATCAGTTGTTCGCCGGGTATCATCAGGAGCGATGCATTTCATATCAGCCATCGCTAAGATATATGTCTCCAACGCGGATGCGTATACTTGATATGAAAGGGTAGTCGTCTTCGACTCGATCATCGGCTTGTACAGGTCGCCATCATGCTCTCATCAATCATAGTGGGGCTTACAGAGCTGGGCAGCAGATCAGAAGAGCATTAAGTTCCGGAATTGAAATCATAGGCTACGAGTAATGACATACTCTGGCAACGGATACATCGATCCTCATACCTTCTCGGAATGTATGTGAACAGTAAAATTCTTAAAAAAAACACAGCTGAAGCCTCCAGCATTGTTCCAGCATCGTAGCCTTACCAGCGGATAGTCTACCTGTGCCAGAGAAAAGGCATTGGGATATAACGATGTGTGGATCTCGCAACTCATTTCCTCAACATCCAGCGCTCCACTGCAAGGTCGATCGAGAGACAGCCGCCTCACATGCGCAGGTTTCCAATGCAGTGGAACCCATTATTTGACCTATCGAAGACATCTACGATTGGCCCTCGGATAATGTCCTCCGACATGACCTGCAAGAATCAAAGGCATTGATAAATATCAATCGATTTTGCATGCTTTTGAATACTGCTTGATCATTGGAAATTCCCTTTTCTTCATAACAAATCATTTCTGAGAGTGATCTCCCCGTTCTGTGACGTGAGACCACTGCTCCACATTCCGCAAACATGAGGAAAGGCGACATCGCAGCGCATCATCAATTTGAGAGAAAGAAATCACAAGATAACGCAGCAGCCTCGGGTCTCTTTCCGATCCCCACTGAGAAGGCTTTGTCGTGTTGCAGCTTCGAACACATCATCCACTCCCTCACCGGTTAATGAGGAGCATTCCAGATACTTCTTGGCACCAATCCGCTTGCGAACCTCTTCACCCTCCTCGGATTGGAGGAACTTTTCGCTGCGTTTGCGCATCTCTTCTTGCGCAACGGGGTCATCGCGCAGGTCCTTCTTCAGACCAACTAGAATGATGGGAACGTCAGGGCAACGATCTAGAACCTCAGGATGCCTGATCATCGTGTTAGTGTCTTGTACAGGCCCTTTCAACTGGGTCTCGTCTTTGCCGCGAGGCTATCATCTGGGCCACGAATTTTACCACTTACCATTTGGTTGTGATGTTATGCAGTGAGTCCGGACTCGAGACTGAGAATGCGATCAAAATGACATGTGCCTGGCTATACGCCAGTGGTCGTAGACGCTCATAGTCTTCTTGACCTGCTGTATCCCAGAGCGCTAATTGCACCGATTTTCCATCGACTCTGCAATCTGTGACATAATTCTCGAAAACCGTGGGCACGTAACGCTGCAAGCCCTTCGGGTCAGTGGATGCCGAGGCATTGGGCGACAAGAACCCATGCAGAAGTATGCTGCCAGCTTACCGTGGGAAAATACCCCAGCGTGAAGACACTAAGCAAAGAGGTCTTTCCACATGCGCCATCGCCGATGATGACGAGTTTCCTGTTTCAACACTTCGTAAGCCATCGGAGAGCATGGTTGGAGAGTGTTGCGCCTAACATACCGTCGCATCACCTGCTGATCCTGCGTCGTCATGATGGAAGCCTTGCCGCAAACAAATCTTGATCCTGAGACGATTCCGAGCTTTTTCCCTTCTGCCCACACCGTGCCGTAGGCCGAATGCGATTTGCGTCGCAATTCAGGAATCGGGCGTCGGCCGTCGCCAGAACTTGGAAAGCCGCTGCGCACACGGCACTCTCTTCTGGTGTTTGTTGAAGACAGGGCGACCGCCGCAGAGGGGCTCGCAATGGAGCTGGCACGGCTGCCGGGCGAGGAGTCGAATCGAACGAATTTGTCGTGATCAATAGCTGTTATGCAGGAAAGTCGATCAGGCGTACGCGTACTGTCTGTCGCTGGAATCAGAGGGTCCAAGAGAAGCTAGCGGGCCAAACGGAGGCGGTGGTTCGAGGGCAGTCTGCTCTCTCAGCTGATGGGGATCAGGAGTGGTAAGGCCAACAGTAGGTTGACCACTTCTGGAGCCTGGGTCGGCGAGGATACAGTAACAATGTCAAGGTCGTTACGAGGAGCCTGCCAATCAATGTCGCAGAACTGGCACTCGCTCGAGCGGGTGCAGAGCTGGCCGTGGACCGTAGCGCTTATTAATAATCTGATCCTTTGAACACGAGTATTTCATGGCAAGTCTCCTTATAGCAGCGACGGCGGCGGCCGGCGCGGGCGGATGGGGATGCGACGATGATCTCGGTGTTATCATAACCCTAACCCTTCATCGGCCTGTGGACGCGGGACACAAGCAAACCTACCGAGCCCAGAATGAAACGCGCATCTGCCCAGTTGTGTTTGTTACCTTCTATTCCTATGAATACCCGTGAGAGATGAACCGGGAAGCAAGTAAGTGACCTGACGATACTTGACAGCATTTCGTTCCGCATTCCAATGCATCTGCCACGGTTCACGCCAGCACATGTAGTGAACCACCATGAATAACGACACCCCACCCAGCGAATCCGACACACTGCGAACATGCCATGTGTGTCGACCAGACTGTGAAGTTCTTCTGCGAGGGCGCAACATTGAGTGAACGTAGTACAGGACGCGTTTCATTCTGTGCTGCCGGTGATGATGATTTTGCCATTCCGGTCGGACTTTCACCGTTTCTGGTCATCGTCAGGCATCAAACAAGCGCGCTCGCTTGCCCGCCAACCGAAGAGATGCCCGCCAAGCCAGAGTCATACTACAGTAGTCGTTTCTGCTCTTCCTCGTCATCCCAAAAGTCACATGTGCATGTCCCGATACATTACTCCTAGCAGAGACCAAATGCTCCCATGGAAAAGCCAGCGTGGGATAGAGGAAAGAGGGTCCAGCAGTGAGATCAAATTCCATAGCGTGGCATGCGTAGGTATGGACTGTGCTATTGCGGGAAGGGTGATCAGTGCAGGTGGGTTGGTACATACTAGGAAGGTAGTGGTTCGTGGTGGTGATAGTGATAAAGTGTGATATGACTGGAAAGGAATGGAATGGCCGTGTGAAATGAAGTGTGATTGTACACTACGGCGGCCTGCCATCACCGTACCGTACTGTACTGTCATACGCAACTCCACTACTACAGACTACTGTACAGAAGTAGTACAGTACACCACATTACAGTGCCAGTATTATCAACACCATCCATACATACTATGCTCTAATTGCGATTGCTGGCACCACCACCACTACTGCCTGCCCTCATGTCCGCTCATGTACACACGCAAATCCGTACCTTGATGAAGCACGACACACAGCACCCTTCGACTGTGCCGTTCCCTTCTACTTCTTCACCCACCAACGACCAAGCCCACTACAGCCTCTATCGCTTCGCACACGACATCCACCGCTCTTACCCGCCCGCACCTGCAATCTGCACCAGCGACGGTCGATTATTGACGGCCCACTGAGGCGTCTTCCGACACCTGGGGGTCCCAGACGAAGGTAATGCAGCGCAAACACATCGACTGCCCTACCACTTTCACTCTAAACACTGGTGGCCTCGTCTGATTCTGCTATTCCATCCGCTCACTTGCATGGTCTTGAATCGAACGTGCAACTGACACGCGATAGCGCGATCAATTTCTCCGCCAGCCATAGGCTCCTCCTCTCTCATTCCGATTGTTCGCGGCTGCGATGGCCAACGTCGCCGAGAAAATGCTGCCTCCCGTCTCTGCCACGAACGGTGTCATCGTCGCGCCTCCCAAGGGAATTGTCGGAGGCAATCGCAAAAAGCAGAAGCGAAGGGCTAAGCAGGCCGCCAAACAGGCCGCCCACACCCAGACGAGCGTCGTCGAGGACACTGACTCGCACCTGGATTACGACGAGGATCCGCGGGGCTATGGCGAAGATTACGACGAATACACCGATACAGAAGTGGATACATATCACCAATACGCACCAGCGCCTGGTGCTGCGGAAGATTCGCATCCTCTCCAACCTCACCAACCTTCTAATCGAAAAAGAAATAAAAAGAAGAAGACCGTCAGCTCGCCGCGAGGGCATGCTCGTCGTCCCTACGATCCCAGCATGCTCCCTGTCCTGCCAAACGCACCGCACGCATCGGCGGGCGTGCCACGCCCCGGTGCGAGGTCAGGCCACATGCAACAGCGGAATCTGTGGAATACAAGCACACAGCAGGAGCGGATGAATATCAAGAATTTCTGGCTAAGCCTATCGGAAGAAGATCGCAAGGCATTGTTGAGGATAGAGAAGGAGGCCGTCTTGAAAAAGATGAAGCAGCAGCAAAAGTCCTCATGCTCGTGCACCGTGTGCGGTCGCAAGCGCACCGCGATAGAGGAAGAGCTCGAGGTATTATATGAAGGCTATTATGAAGAGCTGGAACATTATGCGAACGAGCCTGCGCCGCTTTCTACAACAAATGGATTGGTACCGGATCCCTTGCACCATCGCCGTCCCCATCCTCTCGCGACTCCACCACCTCCCATGCCACATCATCACGGCCCAAGTCATATGCATGAGGACCTCGAAGAGGAAGAGTACAGTGACGAAGAAGATGAATATAGCGAAGGAGAGGAGTACTCTGAAGATGAAGAACTCGAACCTCTGCCCGAGCCGCAGCGCGTCAAGCAAGGCGTATCGGACTTCTTTAATTTCGGCGACCATCTGGCTGTCAAAGGTATCCTCACCCCGTGGCCTGAGCAGCTGAGAGCACTGCTAAAATTGACTTCAGACAATTTACTCACGGTCGCCGACGATCTGCTGAAGAATGATGGACGGAAATTTATCGAGATGATGGAGCAATTGGCGGAGCGACGGATGCAGCGCGAAAGTCGATCGCAATACGAGGCCGACAACCATTCAGGCTATCCTCCTAATGAACAATCCTACAACCACGATGATGCTCTCACCGCTGGTGACGACTTTGACGATGATGAAGGCTCGTACGACAGCGGTGAGGAATACGACGAGGATCTGGACGAAGACGATGAGACGGTGGGTGCAGATATGCAAACGGCAAGTCGCATCGCATACTCCGGAACTGATCGGTTGCAGGGTGGGCTAACCGAGGAACAACGCATACAGGAAGGGAGACGGATGTTCCAGATATTTGCTGCGCGGATGTTCGAGCAGAGGGTCCTCACAGCTTATCGAGAAAAGGTTGCTAAGGAGCGGCAGGAGCAATTACTACAGGATCTTGTGAATGAGGAAGAACGAGAAAAGGCGAAGGAGCTCAAGAAGCAACGGGATGCCCAAAAGAGGAAGGACAAGAAGAAGCAACAGCAACAGGCCAAGGCAGAAGAAAAAGCGAGGCGAGATGCCGAGAAAGCTGAGGAGGAAGCACGCTTGCGCCAGGCTGAGGAGCAGAAGCAGGAGGAGCAAAGGCGGAAGAAGGAGGAGCAGCGTAAGAAGCGAGAGGAGGAGAAGCGGAAGCTGGAGGAAGAAAAGGCTCGTAAGGAAATGGAGAAGTTACGTCGGCAGCAAGAGGAGCAATCACGACGGGAGGAGGCTGAGCGCAAAGCGCGTGAGCTCAAATCTGCAGAGAAAGCACGCAAGGAGGAGGCGCGGAGGCGGGAACGCGAGGAACGGGAGTCTCGCGAAAAGGAGGCACGGGAACGGAAGAATCTGGAGGACAAGGATCGAAAGGATCGCGAAGCCAAGAACAAGCTCGACAAGGACGCTCGAGATCGAGAAAAGACAATTCCACCTGCGACGCATCCACATCCAACCCAGATTGCCAAACGACCATCACAAATGGGCATGGTCGCAATTCCTGCTGTACATCCAAAACAGCTGCCAGGATCAGGCATCTCATCATCCCCTCGTCCGTCAGCTGCCACGCCTGTTGTTCCAAAGGCCAGCTTGCCCACACGACCTCGACAACCCTCGCAACAGAATTCACTGCCATCTTCGTCCCCCCGGCAAGCACAGTCTCAAATTTCGAGTCAGCCGAGCAAGGCGTCATCACCCGGCTCTGGCGGGCAACAGCAACAGAACCAACCCAAGACAATCCTGCAGAAGAGCAACCCACATCAAGCCAGTCAACCACATGCTCTATATCCGCTACCCTCGGCATCTCCGTTGCATCACCAACCACTCCAGCCTCCCCCTGGCATGACACATCCCCATCAGCACCATCATCCCGGTGCGTTTGGCGGTGTTGGTCCTATGGGATTCTCTGGATTTCCAGCTCCTCATAATAACATGATGCCTCCACCGATAGGGCTTCCGCGAGGACCGATGCCCATGTATCCACAGCAAGGGCCGCCAATGGGCATGGGAAACAGGATACCGTTCAATCCAAGCATGAATGGCATGCCAGGTCTGCCGCCGGGAATGAGCAATGCCCCTATTCGGAATTTCGGTTTCGACATGGCAGGCCCGAATCAACCACCGCCAGGCTTCATGCATCAGCAGCAGCAGCATCCCGGTACCCCTGTTTCCTCCATTGGACAATCACTGTCGGGTCAGCATACTGAGGCGCAGCGGAATGGTGACCTGACACACTCCCGCCAACCCTCGGTAACAGACAGGGAGCGATTTGAAGGGACGACCGCAAGCCAGCCCATAGCACGACCAGCGCCGATCGGTCGACCGAGCAGCGTCAAACCACCATCGGAGCGGAGACCCAACCACGCGGACACAGACGAGACTTCGAAGCATCTGGGCAGCTCCGCTCTTCTAGATGACACCGACGATCTCCAGCCGGCCTTGGGCATTCGACGGCACTCTGGAGCTCCTTCCGGCGCTCGAAACATCTCAGGTCCTCCGGGCATGGGCCAGCTTGGAGGTTTCGGCGGACCGGGCGCCTCGTTCGGTGCTCCCGGGAGCAGCTGGAACACCCCTAATATTCCATTTGGTCAAGGACCTGGACTCGGCCAGCCCAGCTGGGGTAGTCTCCCGAGTACAAGTCCAGGCATTAACATGGGAAGCTGGATGGGATCGAACAATATGATGTCGCCTGGGGTGCCATTTGGTGGACCACAGCATCATCACAACATGCACGGCCCGCCGGCAGGGGTTCCCATGAGCCGGCCACGTGCAATCCGCATCGCCATCTGCCAAGCTTGCCGCCAGCTCTCTAGCCGCGGCGAGGAGCTCAACGATACCAAGTTCCACCCGATGGAAAACGTCATGCGTCAAATCGAGCTCAGCCGCACATTACCCGTCGATGCGCCTGCGACGCTTGATGAGATCATTGCCCTCTGTAGTACAGAAGGCGACAGCCTCAACGGTGGTGGCGAGCTGATCCTCCGCAAAGACCCGGCCACACCCTCAGATCATGCTCCGGCAAATGCCTACGCTGTGAGGTGGGAGTCAGATCAGGCGCCAATGGAGAATGGCATCGCCTTCGGGAACGGACATGCTCGTACCGGTCTAGGCGAAATCGGCAGCCCGATGCCGAGCAAGTCGAGCCCGATTGCTGCACCAGGCTTTGGCAAGATGGGAGGCATCGGTCGGGGTCTGAACGGACTTGGTGCACCAGGTAGTGGAAACAACTCCGTGGCGCTTCAGCATCCCACAGGATTTTTCCAGAATCTCGGCGCCGTTGGTCAAGGTGGACTGTAATGGTTGGAAAACCCGTGTCGGTTCCTTTGCGCTGTACTTGGGCCTGGTCGAGCATGCGGAGGCTCTCCGCCGTTACGGTAGATCCTTGGATGAATTCTTGCCGTTCATGATGTATGTTGTGTTGTAGCTCATGTCGAATCGAGCAACATGCTTCTCGTTGTCTTGTGGACCTTGCGCCTGTCCTTATTTCTCGTGGTCATCGTAATGTATGATCTCTCTCAACGCGTGTATCTTGTAGATGGCATGGCAATAGCACATGTGCCAGAGTAGGTACGAGTCGGTCATTCATCTAGCACACTTTCGCCTGTCCATTTGGACCATACACACAAGCCCTCCGTCGCAAGGATGCCTCCAGCATCGACTCCGATGCATCGGCCGATACCACGACCAAGAGACGGAGGATATTTCGTTCTCGCCTGTCACGAACTTACCATGAAGCGTTCGCGTTCGAAATCCCGATCTTCGTGAATACGACATCGATGCTAAATCACCTCTGTAAGCACGTAGAAATCGAGCGGTGGAAATTTCAATCCCTTCATTTCCTTGCAGAACGACTGACGTCCTACCGCCTATACACGCAACAACAGCAAAAGCAACGCGCGACTGATACAAGAATTGAGCATCGCGTTCCATCTTCTCTTCATCCATCTCATCCCATCCCAGCCCACAAAGGAGCCCTTCCTTGCCAACTCAAAACGATACATCCTCCTATGGACCAGAGACGGACCTCACACCAACCGCGGCATTCTCCTCCAAGGGATCCTCCTCCCAGCCTTAAGAGCGCGATGATATCGGTAAGGTCCCACAGTATCGTGCTGGAGCGGTAGACGGATGCCGATCCAGAGGGCGGCGAGGGCTGTGGTGGTGGCGTAGAGGGCGGAGGCGGAATAGAGAATTTGGGATTTGGAAAGGGTAGTTGGGAACATTGCTTTGCCTTTGTTTTACTTGTTTTGCTTGCTGTTTAATATATGAGGGATGTATATTGTCTCTTCGAGAGAGATAGAGAGAGAGACGGTCTGCGAGCGTGAGACTGCCGATGGCTTCCTTCCTAAAGGTGGACTTCGGCCTCCCGGATTGACAAGGTTTCTGGCTTGAGCGAGATCGGGGAACTGCTTGTCTGGTAGTAACTTGGACGTCGGTGATTTCGTAAATCTACGTATGATCCTGTATCGGAGCAAAAGCAGAAGATGACAATCAAGAGATAACATCTTCGGGAGCGTGCGGCGCTTCTATATGACCTCTCCTCCCTCTGTGTTATGGGTAGCAAGACTGCTGTCCCTCCCTTCCAAACAACGCACAACAGCAGGATCAAACCCGCGGATTCGCATGATTTGAATGCATGTATACTCTGCTACATTGCCGAGTCCTCCTGTTACTCGGCTTCGAAGTACTAAGGCCAAGCCTCACACCACGTCGTGTCGGTATGACAAGACAGAGTCTCTTTGTTCTTGCTTGACCCAGTCAGTCGCGAGGAATCACTCAGAACTTGCGACGCAGCTTTTCGTCGGTCCCTTACAAGACCGGATCATCATGGTACGGGTCTTGCTTCTCGACATGCCCCCGAGACATTTCTCACTGCTTGGTGATTTTCATGCTCAAGAGGGTGTGTGCATCGAGTAATCAGCCTTCCTCGTCGTCGGAAGCACGGCCGGGATTGAGTAGAAGATGGTGGTCATCAAGTAGTACAGATTCTGTGGGGGAAAGCGCACAAGAGTTATGGGCTGAATTATCTCGAGGACAAGCCTCATCCGGGTGCTTATCACTATTCCAGCTTAGTCGGTGCATTTCAACCTACAGTGCTGCGCAATGAAACGGCTCCGCGTGGTACGCTGAACAAAGTTTGGTATGATCAGATCATCGCTGAGGTATCCACTCCTTGGCATCTTTGTTGTGGTCACTTGCCCTGATGAACACAGGGGTTAACCTGCACGGAACAAGTGTAGGTTGACGGGTGTCCGTATCGTCTATGATGTGGATATGGTCAGCAGACCAGAATCGTACAACGTTCGGATATGTCGTGTTCCAGAAATAAGTATCACAGCTCGCCACTCCAGGCATGGTCCAAACCTGGGGTTGCCGTGTAATAAGGTATTCACTCAGGAGACCGGATCAAGGGAGGTCATCACGTGCGGGGAGAGAGAGCGTCTAGTCCTAACAGGAATCGTCAATTCTTCGAAAAGTTTTAGGTGCCTTGAATAAATCCAGTCCTGGTCAGCGAAGCTAAAGCTGCGACCCAATCTCCTGTGCACAATAATAAACCCTCGGTTCTATGCAGGCCGACCCTCAGTGCCGACATTTATTCCCATAACAACGCCGTGAGCCCATGCAAATTCCGCAAACAATGTCATAATAGCCATAACATCATCAGCACATCTTGTACTCGCAGCGACCGTCCGCTACCCGTCCTTGGTCCTCGGTCTCCAGCTTGTAATCGATGCTGATGTCGAGGTCGCGGCGGTTGCGGTCGTTAGGTCGGCAGCCCAGCTGTCCAGTGACGCGCTCACCAGCTTCAACGGTGAGGACGTCAGCGAGGTAGAAGACGGTTTGCTTCCAGTGGGTGTATTTGGTGTGAGGGCCGGTGCTGAATCGTACAGGCTTGTGACTGCCAGAAAACTCAATGTCGAACCAGGCGACCAATGCGTGGATATAGTCAGTACGGCGGACGGAGAGGCTGAAGGGGAGACTGAAGTTGAGGTCTGCGGTGGTGCAGGTGTACAGATCCAGGGTGATGATGGCGCAAGGGTCGGTGTTGACTGCCTTGAGCTCGACGGTGTCCACGAGGGGCTCGGTCAAAGCGGTGAGCTTCAGAGGAGTGTAATCGAAACCATACACGTTGTCCCAGACTACGAGTTGTCAGCATATTTCGACAGCTTCGTCATGGAAGATTGAGACGACTCACAGCCAATCTTCTCGTTCTTGTAGTCACCGTCCTCGATACCAGCCATGAAGATGGTGGCCTTGTCAGGGAAAATCAAACCTTTGCCGTCCTTTCGCAAGTACTTGTCACGCGCCCACAGGACGGTGTCCAGCATGCTTTCGTACAGCAAGAAGTATCCCATCCACTCCGAGATGATGATGTCGACCTCCGGGAACGGCAGCTCCACCTCTTCCATCTTGCCCTGTAGGAGGGTGATCTTGTCGGACATGCCGTTAGCCGCGACGATCTCGCGAGCCTTGTAGATGATTGTGGACATGTCCACGCCAATGACGTGCTTGGCGCCGGCCTTGACCGCGAACCTTTTAAACGAAACGGTGTCAACTCCCATACGGCGGCAATGCTGTCGCATTTGTATCGCGGTGATCGTACATGCTCAATATCGAAGTGCCACAACCGACATCCAGGACGACCTTGTCTTTGAAAATGTGCGGGTTGTTGTAGATGGCATCACGGTAGGACTTGGTTCGGACCTCATCTTTCTGGATCCCCATCAATCAGTACGACGTTGTGGCAACCATTGCACGGTGGGTTTTCGTACCAACATCTCCTCGTGAATGCCTAGAATTAAACAAGCGATCAGTCCAATGCTTGTCGAGCTCTCGAGTGTAGGAGCATACCATGATGGTTGTAGCTGTGAATGTGTTAGCCTCTGCGTAGAGCGCGAAACCAATCAATGTCGTTGATCATACCTGTTGAAGTAATGGACCTCACTGTGAGGCAGACCGGCAAGGGCCTCATTCTTGCTCTCCGGGGCAGCCATGTTGTTGATGTATCTTCGAATTTGCGTAGAGAAGAGTGGGTGTAGTGTGTTTGGAAAAAGAGGTGAAGCTTCTTCTGTGCTATACACTAGACGCTGTACAAAAATTGTCCCTCCACAAATTTCCGCCCACGAGAAGAGAGGAGGACCCTTGCCCGCCAAATCTCGGAGCTACTGCAATCGATAATCAAAATTGTCCGTGCCTAGGCGATTCCGTTTCAACCTTCACCGTTACACGTGCGCCAAGGATTTCTAATGTCAGAATTGGTGGGAAAAATACTTGTGGATCAAGAGGTATGGGTATGGGACAACAGGAATTCAGGTTACTCATGTTTCATAAAAACCGCTATCACTCACAACGCCCTTTGCGCCAGTAAAAAAGTCGCATCCATCAAACAAAACGCCAACATATCCCACATTTCTATGCCGTAACGCCGCGCTGCCCATCATTAGTGTCATCATTTCTTCTTCCTTTCTTCACGAACAAAGGTCACTAGGAATAGAGACCTTGATCCCATAAGACACTGAGTCTCAGCGTGAGACTGTGCCGGTATCATGGCGAGGGAATCTCAGACAACGCGACTCGCGAACGGTCGACATTCCTCCTCGCTCGTGTAGCCACTGTCGTTGGATCGCACGCGTATGCGAACAACAGATGCCCTGTGTTGCCGACCATCGCAATTTGAGAACGATGTGGCAGGTCGTATGCGGTGCTGCGGCCCATGATGATCATGAGGGATAAAAAGTGCCTGTACGATGCCAAACACTGCTACAAGGGCGGATGCCCACCAAGCCAGGGCTGTAAAGTCAATGCTCAAGCCGAGGCCGTACAGGAAGCCTGCGATCGGTGAGGCGATTGTTCGACATGCTGCACCAGTCGATGCTGCGAGACCATTGATCTTGCCGAGCGAAAGCGGAGTGGGTGAGGCTTCCTTGATGAGGATGAGCAGTACCGGATAAGCGAGGATTGCTGAGAAGTTTCGGATGGCCATGCTGACCAAGATGCCCGGATACAAAAGGTTGGTCGGAAGGAACACGAGCCATGGGACCACAAAGTATGCCAATGGATGACCAATCGTCACGAGGATGAATACTCTCCAGATGCCGAGCCAGCTAGCCATCATGGGAAATATGACCGCCTGTGTGAACAAAGCGATCAGGCCGTTGATGGACAAAATTATTCCTGAGTCTTTGACGCTCAGACCTAAGCCGCCTGCGAACCAGCGTGTTGGGTCGTGGGATGCCATGCTCAGTAGGTCGATCATCTCGTTGTTGGTAAACTTGCGAGCATCTTGAAGGAAGATGGGCAACAAATGATCGTACGTCATGCTGTGATATGTGAATATACCGAGCGCTATCGTGAGCATGATAACCGGCTTGGTGAAGACCTTGTTGGCCGAGACGTTGGAGGAGACAGAAGACGGTCGTGATGTCCCATCGGCATACACGAAGACTTCCTCCTCGACAGCTTCCTCGCTGACGCTATTGAACGTCCCATAGCTTTCTTGTGTCAAATCTGCTCCTTCGGTGGTCGATCCAGCCTGGGCAGGCATCAGAGGCGTCTTCGCATTTGTTTCTTCGAGGTCGCGTGGAGTGCTCCAAGGTTGCATGTCTGGGTGCGTCTCCTCGAGGAAGATCCAACCAGCGATTATGGAGATCAACATGAGGAATGCGCAGATCATGTTGGGAAGTAGATATGGGAATCGCCGAAATAGTGCGATCCGTCCGAACGTATCCGGAGCACTTGTGGCAGGCTCAGCGAAGTAGCCACCGATTGACGGTCCAACGATCGTTCCCACACTCCATACAAACGGCATGACGGCGTATGCCTTGGCTACAATTCGTCAGTGACGTACATCGGAATATCAAATGCTTGATTCACTTACGTTCGTGACGTGGGTTGACCACAAGCTCTCCAACCATGGTCTGAATGACTCCTATGTTGCCATTCAAGGCGCCACCCACAAAGCGACCTGCCAGAGCGACCCAGAAGTTTGGTGCGAAGCCCACAATGAGCAATGAAGCAACGGTACCGAAGCAACCCATAATCAAGACCGGTTTCCGTCCAATCTTATCGGAGAGAGCACCCCAAAACCTGGATGAGCGAGTGTGAGTGGACGGGTTTATGTAGTCGGGGAACACGCAGGCTGATGGACGTACATTCCAGTGAGCGACTCGGCCAGAGCAAAGGCCGCGATGAGCAGGCCGGCATAGAAGGAGGCATTGCTTTGGTCGCCGAACTCGAAATGGAGGACGAGCTTCCAGGCGTATGGTAGGATTGAGGTGAGGGCTATGGGTTCAGCAACGCGCACCAATGCTGTTGTTGGTCGTTGTCAGTATTCGGATGTCTGTGCTTGTTGTGTATGTGGCGGCAGAAATCCGTTTTATCTGCAGGCGGAGGAACATACCGAGGAGGAAGAGTTGAGCGGTCGGGAAGACATTGGGATTCCGCGGAGAGGTTCTTCGTTGGGTGAGCAGCATGTCCGTTGGTGGTCTGGCCGATCTTACGTGTGTCCTGCCTGCCTGCTTGCTTGCTTGCCTGCCTGCCAATATAATGTTTCCACCCCGCGATTGATAGAAGTATGCAGAAGATGCAAGGCCTGTTCCCTTCAGGTGGGGGGAAATGAAGACGAGGGAGGGCAAATGAAGCACTTCACGAAGAGTGACGTGTGACAAGGCGGAGGAGGGGTCAGACTGATTGTCTCGAGAAGCGGCAGGAGGGATGATGTGATGTGCCGTGGAAGAAGAGTGGTGAAGTGGCAATTGAAGTGGAATTGTCTCGGACAGTGGTGGTGAAGATGTAGAGAGGGTTGAGATTGAATGGTGGGTGGGTGTGGGCGAGACAGAATCATTAACCACCTGGGTAGAACGGTTTTAAAAAGTTCTAACCGACGATAGCGGAGGGGAAGGTCCCGTGGTGATTGGCGCAATAATACTAGCGGCCACTAGCTTTCTTGAACATCCACTCCAGCAGGCGGAAAAGAGAGCCGTGAGAGCTTCTTTATTTCCTCTCCACTTGCTGACCTCATCCGACGGGCAATGACAATAATGTTACATCGTTGTTGCCGGACAGCATGCCCAGGGCAAACACGCGAGTAGTAGAGCCGCGGAAGGATAGACGGCGATGGCGAAAGCCAACAGTGATCCCACAAGGACTGGACTCGGTCGGCTCGGTGATGATGATCATTACGTGTCGGGAAGGAATGATCAAAGCACCTGGGCATGTGGGATTGACACGGTGAAAGCTTGCCCTCCAGGCTCTCACCACTTGCATACCTTCCAGGTGGGCAATAAACGTTGCTGTCGTCCCTCCACGCGTGCAACACATGCAGTACGTCACTCCTGTACCGATCCTCCCGCTCTCACACGAACATGTCTCATCGCCGCCGTGTCACCGTTCACATACCATCTCACTGTCGCAAGTTGAACAGTCGTTAGAACAGTCAATGGATGTGTTGTCGAGTGGATTTTGTATGGTCAGGCGACCTGCAGCAGATCGATCTGGAGATTAGCCCCAATGCGAATTAGCGCTCCTCTAAGGAAGAATTGCCGAGCTGGTGGTGTCCACTATGTGGTAAAACCCATGTAAGAAGAACGGTGAGTTCTCTGGAAGATGGGCGAAAGTGGGTAGGGGCGGAGATCATTCGGCTGGTATTCTCGTGGTGTGTGAGGTCCTCTCCCTCCGACCGAACGCCTGGCCACGCACGCACGCACTTTCTCACAGCATTCGCCTCGCTTTCCGACATCTCGCTCTGCAGTGGCCGAGATACAACACTACCTAGGTAGCTCAATTGGCCGTGATGATAAGCATGACTGACCCCAGCGCATCGAGATATCCACATGTTCGATAGGTGGCTCAGTTTTCCGGCGACCTCCCTTCTTTTGCATCTTTCAATAGCATGGTCTTCTGACAATCAGGTGGCGATACCTCGACTGGCGTTCCTTCCTCATACAACTTCTTTACCTCGAGGCCACCCACCGTACTCGCCCACGATCAACTATATTTCGAATCATGATTCCGTCCCAACATCGATTGGCTACAATCCATAACACTGCCTCCTCAATACACAGATCTAGAGACATCAATCCGATCACCTCTGCCATTCTGATCGTCTCAGCCTTTCACAAGGCATCTGGACGCTGAACAGATAACCCCAACCCCAACCACAACCCTAATAACAGCGGGGTCCACGGTCCACGGTCCGCCTCATTCCAAGAAAGGGTCAGTCGCGTGAGCACACCCATCATTACCTAGTACGTGTGATGATGCTCCATGGCGGCGAGTGTATTTGGCTATGAGAGGAGCGCGCCCATTCTCACCAAATGAGCCGTACCAACTCCTGCCGAAGCGCCCAATTCCCCTCCCTCATCGATACCAACAACGACCCTACCACCTCACAAAAACATCTCCCATAAGCAGCACACAACATCCTTCCGAGTATCAATCCCAGACTTCACCCGGGCGCGTAAATATCAAAGCAAGACACCACTCCCATCCCCGTTCCCATTCCCATTCGCTTTCCAGTCCAGTCCAATTCATCCGAACTTCCCTTCTCCTCGCAAAACCTCTTTTCTCCAGAATTTGCATCCGCCGGTAGGAAATTCGCCAGGTCAAATGTCTCACTCAACAAGTTTCCGCTCGTGCGCGCTCTCTCTTTCTATGGCGCAGAACGTTGAATACATGACAAATCACGCCTCGTCTTTTCCCACACCCGTCATGGAACGTTCTCAACAATAGCACTGCAGGAAGACGAGAGGAAAATCACGAGGCATCCTCCCTCGAATGTTGTTCATTTGGTACATCGTCGCCTCACGGAGGAGCATTTGATGACGGAGCGATCAGTCACGGCGAGAGTACACATGTCATGCCAGGATTTACAGAGGAAAGGAAGTTTTGCTCCACCAAGGTCCTCTGCTCCTCTCGGTGTTTCGTAGCAGCAGCGACAACAGCAAGCTTGCGTTCAAGAAGACATGTATGGGCTGCTCAACACCGTGATGGCGCTGGAAGCAGATCGAACAATGTCCATCCACGCAAATCTGCATTACTTCTTCAACATTTTCCATGCGACCCCAGCACTTCGGACACCGACACCATGGGACTCGATTGAAAGCAAGAAAGCCAGATCTGTCGCATTTGGATCTGGAGAGTCCACTACCCGAGGCCGAGGGCATCGATTCCCGAGCCGGAACTACAAGCATGCGGGCAATTTTACAACACTCCAAGACCGATAATCACAGCAGCCGAGAATTTTATGAAACGGAAGCGAGAAAGCATAATTGATGATGGCTTTGTGGTGCTCTACCTATTCAGGCCATCGATCGCTATCTGGGACTTTTGACGCAGGCTTTGTCTGGAAAAACCATACTGACAGAACAATACGGTCAGCTCAAACATGGCTAAACCGAAGACCACGATCAATGAAGGAAATGCCACATCGCGACAGTCATGTTCTGGCCTCTGCGGACCTTTCCTCAGTCCAGAATCCGCTCCCATTTTTGGAAGCTCACTCGCTCGCTCGCGCATGCCGACTGTGTCAGCACCTCTAAATCTTTTGTTGAGCCAACCCGGAGAAAGTTTCCTGGGTGTTCATGAGCGATCTGTCGTGTTCGCACATGCCCCAGGAGAGAGAAAGAATAATTGGGGCCGTCAGGAACAGAATGAGATCGAGCATCCCTCCTGATCCGACGGGGAAACGCCACGATAACTCCGCGCCATGCTCGAAAATTTTCAAAAAGAATAAACAGAAAAAGGGGGTATTCGAGTGAGTGCCTTGGCGGCAGCGTGGTCTGCTGCAGGGACCGGACGTCGCAGGTCGACGGCGCCAAGCTCTAACCTGTGTCGGGCTTGAAGATGTTGAAGACGTACTGATACAAGGGTGTTGTTCGCGTGAGAGTGTGTGATGGGGATTTCTAGGTCTTGCGGAAGTCGGAAAGCACGGGGTAGATGAGTTCGAAAGCCTGATAAATTTCCTCGCGGACCTTGGCTCCGGTAAGTACGATTTTTCCGCTAACGAAGATGAGCAGGACAATCTTCGGTTTCATCATACGGTAAATCTGGCTTCACGTTAGTGCGAGCGCTTGTAAGCAGAACTACTTCGTATGCTACCCACCAAACCAGGGAAAAGTTCCGGCTCGTACGACGAGAACATGTGATGCCGGCTGGCCAGACCTTCCAAGCGAATGGGAAACTTGATATCGCAACTGCCCACGATGTTTTGGATTTTGAAATCCGTCTGCGGAATAGACGTCAATAATCACGTCAAGCAAAGAGAAAGACCCTACGAGGAGACCTACGAATTTGGCATTGAAGCCGAGCTTTTGGATGATCCGCGCATACTTTCGACTGGCAAGCTTGCTGTCATCCTCAGACTTGGCACCCGTGACGACCATTTTACCACTGGCGAAAATAAGGGCGGTCGTCTTGGGCTCACGAATACGCATGATGACGGCAGCGAAACGCTTCGGATTGTATTCGGCATTACGAGCGTGCAGAGCAATCGTCTTGAGGTCAAGTCGACAATCGAGGTTGACCGTGGCAACAATGTTCTGCAAGGTAGGTACAATGCCGGAAACCTTTGGGTGCTGTTAGTCACATGCAAACGAAACACGAGACGCGTCACGTCAAGTACTCACGCCCTGAGTTTGCTGCTGCCCAGGCGTGGCAGCAGGAGTGACCGCTTGCTGGACCACGCCCTGCTGTTGCCCATTCACTCCATTCCGGTTCGCCTGCTGCGACTGACCGTCTTTGGCATCAGGCGACGGAGGAGTGAGATGGCCGGCAGCGCCGGGGTAGGAAAGGGAGTTGGCACCCGTGAAGGCCGAAGCCTCTTTGGCGTTATTCGGGTGGGTGATGTATGCCTGCTCCATGATTGCGATTGAATGCCTGGATACCAAACTCTAATGGGATATCGCGACTCGGTTGACTCGTGAGCTGCTGAGCAAGCGCCACGATGAAGGATGAGTGGATATTTTGTTGTCACGTATCGCGTACGCGAAGAACGTGAATGATGCAGATGGAGCTAATGAAAGCGTCTGCGATCGGTCGTGAGAGGTTGCGACAAGTCAAGTCGTCAACTCTTGTTTGAACAACGTCCAGGAGAGGCGCTGACCAGCAACTCCTCTTCGCGACGACGAAGTTGATGATGGTAAGCTGTAATCGAGACCGCGTGACTGTGTAAAGGCTGGCAATGTGTTTTGCACAGCGATGAACAGATGCTAAGGCAGGATGCCAAGACTTGACAGAAGCTTCAGCTTGCGCGCAGGAGGCTCTTTCGAATCCTTCCTGGGCAGAGAGAGCGCTCTCTTGTGTGAATGTTCGTCTGTCTGGATGTTGATAATGTAAAGAGTGACACGTGCGTTCCGCGTGCAAGGACTTTTTTGTTCGCGACGCGCTTTGGACGGACAAAGAAGTGAGTCGGACAACGGAAAGGGCGGAAAAATCTCGATACTTGTCTACGTAAGTGCTTGCACAACAGATGAGTGCGGAATTTCGGCGGCGCTCGAGGTGCTGTGGCGGGGGGAACTTTTTTTGCTGCAGCAGGCCGGAAAGGGGGTTTTCCAAAGGTTTTGGAAGGGCGGAGAGGCGGAGGGTTATATAGTCGTGGAGTTCTGGGCTGTACGTCGGATCTCTGGGCACGCTAGCGGCGAAACCGGCGAGTTAGGGGTCCACGCAATCAAAAGAATCAAAACATTCTTGTGTGATGGCGCCACACCTTTTGCCTATCCGTTCTCCTTCTTTTTTCTGCTCACCCGCGCGCTGCTTCCTGACTCATCAATATTTGCCGTATCGTCGTTCTTCAATATCGCGCGCAAGCTTGCGATCGTCAACTCTCGCGTAGGAAGCTTTGTTCGTGGTGCTAACTTGGTGCGTTGTCGCTGCCGATGTGAGCGTCGATGAAAAATTCGGTCAGTGGCACCGACAAGCTGGTTGCCCTATTCTGGCCGAACCGATGAGTCACACTGTTGAGCTTGTGATTGCAGCTGGAGGAATGTGGATTTTGCTACGCCGCTCAGCTACCGATGATACAGCTGTGCCAAAAATCCAGCACATCACCAGCCCGCTGCGCAGACGAGCCGGGAGGGTTGGAACTATATCACGATGGGATGGACGAACAATCACTGACGATGTTTACTTTCCGCGGGATGGCGACTCCATACACCCGCACCACATCTCTCTGCCCGAGTCCCGTACCAGCATCTCTCACGAACAGAAACCCGACTTCTCCGCAACTTCCCCGGTGGGAACCATCCGCATATGTGCGGCACTATGCGCGTATCCATCCGTATCCATCCATGGACATGATGGTCCCACGCCCGTTGGCGATGGTTGCGCTTTCGGTTTCTGCAAATGTCGCGTGGTCGATACAACCGCCACTCGATGCAACGCCAACATCGATCACATGTGTGAACACAAACGCTCATAGTCTGTAACGTTCATGCTTGCGACAAATCCTCGATCGAGCTTGCCACTCGATGGCTCATCATGATGTTGCCGTCGCTCGTCTGTGTGAGTCGATTACCTGGCAATCACCGCCCTATGTTGATGCAGAGTGACACAATCCCGATTTCTCTTGACAAAAAGGCAAGCCAGAACTAGGACAGCCATCGCGTCTTGGGTGTTGCTACTGATACCAGGCTGCAAGTACACATCGCCAATACTTGCTTGTGATAACGCATTGTTCCATCGTTGCCACAACGGCGCCCAGACCAGACAACCCCGCATCTCTGAATAAATCCATGCAAAGTAGGCCTCTTGTCTGACAGGATGCATGATGAACTTCCACAAAGCAGGTAATTCAAGTTGAGCGATGTGCAATCAGTCACGCACGAGCGATGCGAGTCGCACATCTACCTACCGAGTGGAATGTACACTGCACAGTGCTCACGGTCGTGATCCTCCGCACCAGGTGGTTGGAGGATGAAAAAGCCGTTGAATGGATTTCACATGTGATGCAGCCAAAGTAGCTCTGATACATTCCGAGTACGTACTGTATGATTAAGAAGCCGAGCACGACTACTTCTTGAGGCACTCCTCCCACGAATGCATCGAGACCTATGAATATGCTAGCATGTATTGACCATGTCCCGAGCATGTCGTCCTGCGCGAGACAAGAGAGCGCGCAACCGCATCCCGCCTACACGGCGCGGCGATATGTACCTGATCGTGCTATCTCTAAAGCAAGACATTGTCCGGACTGCGACCAAAGTAGAGTGCACCATCGAGACCATCTATAGATTGTCGTATCGCGACATGTCGTCTGCCCTCTACGAAATTGATATCCTGGGCGACGATCTTTCTCGCATCGGGTATCCGATTCTGTGTGATGTGATGGCTGGCAGAGAGATGATGTCAGGTGACGTCAAAGTTTCCACCAGCGCGCGCGACGAGGCTCACGATTTAGCGTTTTAAGGCTGGAGTTGCACACTATTGAATGTCATTCACGTTGCATGTAATGTAGTGAGAAATCGTACGTTCTCCAAGCCGAGACTTCGACAGGCCTGTCACAAGCCAATAGCACAAGTCGTATGCCAGCTTCGAGGGCCTATTGGCTGCTTCACATGCCTTCTGTGGCCTCTCCCCGGGGTGAGATTCCGTTGAGGATCGAGGTGGTGGCGGCGGCGGCGGCGGGCGCGAACATGGTCGCCGGGGCGGGGAAGTCGCGAGCTCTCTCCAACACTGGGCTGATGGATGTTGGATGTTGATGATGATATGCCCGAGGACTTATCTTTGCAGGTGCACTACGATAAATTTGGAATGCAACGGAGGTGCTGATGCCCGCGTGTCTCGCGGCCTCAAACGGTGCGGTGGGTGCAGTGTCTTTCAGTGTGGCCTCATCTCTGTACTATCGCAACATGGCTGAGGACATCATGTCGAGAGATAGTACGGGCTTCCAGGCACGATGTGCTGACCTTACCGACGAGTCGCAAACACAAATGAATACAGTCGACAGAGGCTGGTTGCGCAGGTTGAATTCGCAAACAAAAGATAGATGCAAAGGCGGTCGCGTGAGAACACAGCGTTCAGATCAATAACGTTTCCAAGGTGGCTTCGAAAATCCAAAGACTAACAGAGCCCCTCGTTCGGAGCTAGCTGTGCTAGAGTGGAATGTAGGCTGAAGAGGCCAAGCACCTGTACGATACGATTTGCTTTGATTTGCATCTTGCTCTCGTGTAGCTTGTAAATATGCCTCATCCGTAGTGTGGCCGCTCTCCGAAAAGGTGGCGGAGGACAGACATACAGCTTGAGGACAGTCGCGTCTGTCTCGCATACGCATACTCTCTTCTCGTCCCCACATATGCAGGAGAGAGCTATTGCAGGTGCGTTTGCTTGATGCAGTCAGAGTCTGAGATGCTTCATGCATGGCAGCTTACGATTGGACAGCATGATTACAATATGACACGTCAATAAACCTGAATTCACTTCGAGAAGTAACGAACCGCAGCTTGAATTTACAACGTCCCCCTCCATTCTTCCGGAGAGCCATGACGTGCGCGATGATGACTAGGGCCCAACATTCCAGAAACAGTGCCGAATGGTGGACACTACAGGTATCAGTCAAATCAGACAGGGCGCTTCGAAAGCTCAATTAAAACGGTGCCATTCGACCTTGCCTCGTACAAAGCCCCAGGGCAGACGATAATCATCAATGGAGTCCAAGATCTGATGAGTCATCGTAGTGTCCCGTCCGGTTTGACCGATGCCTGGAGAGATTGTATATCCCGGCATGTGTCAAGACAATTAGGCGAGACGAGCGGGCGCGGCGCTCTTCGTCTATTTGTTGCATCATCAAGGATGCCAAATTTCGACCGATTGTGATCTGGGCTGCAGGAAAGGCCGGCCTCCTTGACGGCACTACATGCATGAGGCACAGTAGCCGGGAGCAGAGAGGGACATCCCTATGCAGAGTGCATCCATCCACCCAACCACCAACAAAAGAAGAGTTGGAGGACAAGAAGGGGATCGCTCAGTTGAAACAGCCCGACGAAAAGAAAAGAAGAAAAAACATCCCGGATCCGATGCAGCTGTGCCCCTGGTGCGGCACTAAGTCGTGCATTAACCTGCAGTACATCTGCCTGGGTGTTGTGTGGAATGACGACGCTCCACGACCAAAGCGGCGAAATGCGACACAGAAATCGTTTCAATCAGAGTAGATCGACTCGTTTTCCCTTAGCCCAGCGCGACTTCTTCTCATCCCGTTAGGATTATGTTACGGGGCATTGGCGAAGATTCCTTCAGGGTAGGAGAATTTCCATCTCAACGTATGAGAATGCTCTGTGCACAAACGGCGCGCCAAACGTGGAAATGAATATGAAGTTCGTGAACAGGATCCTAGCCAGCCCCAGGTCCAAGCAGGATCATCATATCGCTTCGGGCACGTCCATTTTCTTACCGTGAAGACAAACTAAGGAACTTCGGGTTGCAATCACCGGTTGCCGGATTGGCCGGTAATGATGAGGCCATGTTCCTGTGCTGATGTACGAACAATTGCTTTGTCAACACACAGAGAGTAAATCACCGGTGATCCACGACGACAATCGTGCTTGGTGTTACGTTCACGAATCTCTCCTAATGCGAAAGAGATGAAAAAATAAAGGTAAGTCTCCATGGCACAAATACGAACAAATTGACGAGAGCGATAAGTTTAGACCCCAAGCCTCGACCAATGGCATCGACTCCCGCCTTGAATTTCCCTCACCGCAACGGCCCCAAGGACCAACGTTGACGCATGCCCTCCTTCCGCCGCCGCCGGCATGCATGTTAAAAGCTTCGACCTAAATTCGTCGTCGTCGTCTCCTGCCTGTGCCTTCTTTCTATGCGACATCCGCGCTGGTGGTGATTGATGAGAGCGAGGAACAGAAGCACAATCCCGGGGCTGAACCTGACCTTTCAATTTCAGATTTGGATTATATCGCCGCGTGTTGATGATTGGGATTGAAATCAAGGGTAATCACTCAACTGCCGGCATTGGTGTCGTCGCCTCGGCCGCGTGTTGATCAGTATTCTTATCGGCGTGTTGGAGGTGCTGAGACTTGATCTTCATCCTCCCCATCTTTCTCGCCTGCTAGACATAAGCGGATCAATGCCCGTCCCGATTGACATAGAGTAGAGATAACAACATAAGTGCGCGACATTCATCCATTGTCCATCTTCTCACGCATTTCCGCCGTGATCTCCTGAAAGAGGATAGAAAGCACGCGGCCCTGGTCAATCATCACCTGGTCGGGAAACATTGTCGAAACACCGAAGACAAAGAAGGAGCAGGACCCCAGAATTTGCGCCCAAAGAGAGCCATCGTGCCATCCATCATACAGGGACGACATCACACACCCGGGCCACCATTTGCACCGGCTTGACCGCCCCCGAACCAATCAAGCAGACTAATCCCTCCCTCCCTCTCACCTCTCTCTCTATCTCGCGTGTCCCATCCGTCCATCCATTCAGTTCACATCATCATCGGTCGCTCACCATCATCATTACTGCTCCTCAACATTGTCATCGCGACATACTTACTTCTGGCACATTTTCACACACCCTCAACACCTTCATCACCAACTCCATCAACGATTGGATTGTCTCTGCCTCATCATCACGATCTCGAACTGCGACAATCCACCATCGGCGCTTTGTCCCACCGTACCTGATACCTCTGCCTATTAGCCCTGGATTGTCATCATACAACAGCCACCCGAGCTGTGCACCTTTTCGGGCGCGCTCACCAGCACCAAAAGTGCACTCACTCTCTCTCGCGCGTATCTGATGCCTTTCGCCTGCGCATCATCCCTCTGAACGTATAACGAATCGCCTATTGCCTTGCCTTGTACGGAAACATCGTCTTGTTGCACCGTAGCTGCACTAGTTGTAGAAACTGCAACAAACGCCGCGGCCTATGCCCTTGCCGCGCAGCTCACACCACACAAACCTCGCATCAGTCGTCGCTACAAATTCTATCAACCATGCAGACACGAAGAAAGAGCCTAAATCTGGGCGACCTCGGTGTCATCGCGCCCAAGCGCTCCCGCGCCATCTCACATCCTTCGCCTCCCGATACTGTGATCGAAGGCGACGAGCCATCTGTCAAGAGAACGAAGCGGTCGCATACGTCAAGCTCGCCGTCACCAGGCCTGATGAGCCCGCCGTCGACACAAACTTCCCGGACAAAGCCTGAACAACCGAAATTGGACATCTCCGAAATCTCGCCTCCACCTTCACCAGCACCCGAAGGCGTGCACAAAATTGACATCGAGGGTATCAATGATGATATTGTCATCGGCGTCATCCGTCAGATTGAAACGACTGGGAATAGACCTCACCTGGTTAGAGAACTCGCGTCGGTGCTGACACACACCCATGCGTCAGTTGAGAAGTAAGTTTGGCTCAATACCGGATTGGCTGTCGCAAACATGCTAACAGATGATTCTCACAGATCCGCTAATCAGAATGCATTAATATCCTCCCGTCTCACTGCTTACCTCCAACGACCATGGCCGAACATGAGCCCTTGTCCTCTCGCCAAAGAGATCTCGACGGTCCACCCACGACGACTGTACTATTACCTTACCACGACACCGCGACAACCCATTCCGACTCATGAGCTTCCACCACCCAAACCTGTCGCACGAATCGTTTCACCGTCCTTGTCTTCCGAATCAGTCGCAGATGAAGAGCAGCGTAATTCAAGAGACCGACAGGCAATGTCACCTTCTCCCGAAGTAGACCTATCCTCAGCAGAATTTGAAAACGAGCACGGTTCTGCCTCATCTATACCTGGCGGCTCATTTCCAGGACGAAATTCTCTCCCGCGCGATCGACCGAGCTACACTGCACAACGCCGCAGCAGCCCTCCTCTCGAAAGGGAAGAGCGGGATTTCAAACAGACCGCGACTGCGCTCCACGAGCAGGCACAAGCTCGTCGTAGCAGTCTGAAAGATGTGCCCATGAGCGGAGACAAACAAAGCATCGCACCCAGCGACACGAACGTCACAGTCTCGATCGAAATGGCTGATCCCGATCACCGTGCCACGACCGCCGAACTTTTCAACCTGCGCCTTCCCGCGGCGAATCACTTTGAACTCAGCAGTCCCATGATGAAACCTCAAAGCGACCTCCGCATCACTACCATGATCTCGGACCAACCCGCGGACCGAAAGGACGAAGATCATGCCATGCTAGATCGGAGTCCGAATTCCGATCATGGCCAGACGATGGACGAGGAATTCGCCTTCTCCGTTGAGAATCTGCAGTGTCCCGAGGATATTCAACTGGACGAGCTGGAAGATATGTTTGATGCGTATTGATGAACAGCCAGGCCAGAGCAGCTTTCCTCTCCTCATGTTTATGAGACCTTTCGTACTGTCTTTTTATTCTCATTGTCTTATTACCCTCTGCTGCTGTTTGTTGTCCTGTTTTCTGATTCTTCTGCTCTGCGTTCTCTCTTCACGGCCGATACATGATTTATCGATTTGATTGTTGTCGCAGCACTGCGTGTTATTTTCTTCACTTCTGCGATAATTGTTCGCGGTATGGAGAGCAAAAGCGAAAAGCTTGTACGAAACGAGAGGGGTATCGCGCTGATTTCTCGAACGGAGAAAGATCAATTCTGAAAGACAGTACGAAGTATAAGAGGATCGGGATGGGGAGTTCAAAGGAAGAAATCTAGAATGTATCATAAGCTTTCGCGAGCAATCGCTCGATTCAATCCCCGGGAAAGAGAGAAAGAGAGACCAGAAAGGAGGCCGTATAATAATGATTGATGAAGACCACGAAGGAGTTTCTTTCGTACATGCTTTGATGGCGATGCTATTTTCTCCCATGCAGAGTCTCCTCTGCTTCACTCCCTTGTGCTCCCGTCTGGCCTATTGCTGGAAGGATCGCATTCCGTATGTCATCCCGTTTCCTTGTATAGACCTCTCTTCTTCGTCGTCCGTACGTATGAGCGTATGAAGGTTCTCGGATGTACAACATGAGAAGCATGGGGAAAAGAAGAATGCGACACTTCGATGAGGATCGACACGTGGATCAGGGAGGTGGACGACTCGCTCGACGTCAGAGTATCGATTGAGGAAAGTTTCCGCCATTTCCCATCAATTCGGAACATGTGTCGAGAGAGGAGCATAAAGCAGGAACCAAGGAAGTGGGAACACGCCCGTGTGCTATATAGCGTTGTCCACCAAGGTCGATTGATAAAGCCCGCTTGACAGATTGACAGGCAGGAGGAAGGGAAGGGAAGAGGGAGGGAGGGATGTTGATGGATATTGGAAAAAGTCCCTCTCGTCCTGGGGTCAATGAGTGACACGCTCTTTTCATGTCACATGTCGGATTTTCCTTTCCCGATCAATCCAATATTAACAAGTGCTTTGTTCGTGAATGGGTAATTCAATGTACATAGGGAGAGTCACTTTCGCGCGACCCACGATCCGGATAAAAAGGGGTATCAGGAAAGATCGTCAACAAATAACCATGCCAAGAAAGCACGAAACAAGATATTGGGGTAAAAGTCTTCTCAAAACCCCCGAATCGCGTAAATCAATAAGCCAATACTTTCTGAATATTTTTCTATGCGACAATCTCCTTCAACCTTAACCTCATCCCATCCTTGGGTTTAATCGTGATGAATCCACCCGGCACAATGACTTCATCCGGATCCGCCATCGAAATTTCAAATTTCTGCACCATCGCCATGACGAGACACTTGAGCTCCAATCTTGAGAAGGTTTGGCCGATACAGCCGCGCGGACCGTGGAGGAAAGTGATCAGGCTGAAAGCACCCTTGGCGCCGCCATATTGGGGTTCCTTCTCGTTGCCGAGCCAGCGCTCGGGGACGTATTTCTCGGCGTCGGGACCCCAGAGTTTGGTGCTACGGTTGATGGCCCACGGTGAGATGACGATCATGGTGCCCTTGGGGATGCGTTGGCCCAGGATAGTGCTGTCGCGGACGGTCAAGCGGCCGGTGTTTGGGACCGAGGGCCAAAGGCGGAGCTGCTCGCTGGTGACAGCGTGGAGGTAGGGTAGGTTGTCGAGGGCGGTGGCGTCGACGGGGGCACCGGTCTCGGTGAAGGCGCGGATCTCGTCACGGAGCTTGGTTTGAATTTCGGGATGAATTGCGAGCAGCCAAGAGGTCCAGGTGAGGGCGCCGGAAGTGGTTTCGTGACTGTGATAGATGGCGTCAGCGTGAGCGCGGAAATGATTGAACAGGCAGTGGGGATTTGAAAGTTCAGGAGAAGAGATCACGACTTACCCAGCGGCTAAGAATGTCAACAATTGAGATACCAACTGTTCGTCATTGAACTGTCCATTGCGTATCAACACGGACAAGATGTCAATGTGCTTCGCGCTCTCGGTTTGCATGTCCCGGCGCTTGACCTCGATGAGTCTTTTGCAAAGACCACGAAGTCGATATCGGCCATCACTTGCTAATCGAAAGCGTGTCCAAAAGGGCGTTAGACGGCCGAGCCATAGCGGCGTTATAATGGTCGCGATGGCATAGAAGATGGGAATGCTGTTGTCTGTACGCAGAATCTTCTCGTATTGCTGGACAAACTCGTCATCGCTATTGCGGATGGATCCAAAGTCACGTCCGACGCAGGCCAGACCGATGATATCCAGAGTCACGCGTGAAGCCCATTGGTTGATCTCCACCACACCAGTCCGAGTCGATTTGGTTGACCCATCGACAGGCACCTGGGTAGTGAGGTGGACGTCGGCAATGGCGTTGAAAACCTCTTGCGATTTGGCCCAGAAAATCGGTACGAGTTCACGGATATGCTTTCCTGAAAAGGCCGGGGTGACACCTTTGCGTTGGAACTTGTGCTCGGGACCCTCGGTGTTGATCAAACCTTCACCAATCGTGCGCGACAACAACTTTCTTCCTGGAGACGGCTTTTCGAAGTCGTAGCTGTTGGTGACGAGAACGTCATATAGAGCTTCAGGCGAAGCAAGCACGACAGTCTGAACGGCGTGGAGGAAACCGCGGAAGAAGATCAATCCGGAATGCGGAATGGAGTCGATCCATTCCCGGTATCGCTTCCCTCGGGGCTGCACAAACTCGGCGCCGCCATCTCCGCTGAGGAAACCGCCGCTGCCAGTTGGTTGAGGAAGCGCGCGAAGAGGACTGGTGAAATATGGGATGGTGATGCCGCGAACGGCGAGGAGATAGATGATCAGGTAGAGCCCGAGCAAGGTTTTGGGAGTGTCGATGAGGTATCGTGGGTTGAGAAATGATCGTAGAACCACCAATGCCGGAGGAACCAATGCGACCGAGAGGACGAAGGTGACGCCCTTGGGTGAGGACATTTTGGAGCGCGGTGTATCTGTGTGCCACGGCTTTTTTTTAATTTGGTTGTCTCGGTGGTACTTGCAGTGACGACAGAGGACCGGCGGAATAGTGCCCCGCCGTAGTGGGCTGCTTCCTCTTCTCCAGTTGGTCTGTTATGCCGTCCTGGCCCTCTTAGGGTTGATTTTTGCTGAAGCGCGTTCCCGTCTGGATTGGATTTAAGCCGAGGTGGATGATGCGATGATGCGATGGAGAGATGTGTATGCGCCGAACGAGCGACGGGCGTTTCGACAAGGTTGGTGCGTAAGTCGTAGAGAGGGATCGTGTGAAGAGTTGAATGACGGTCGTTATTATTCGTGGATCATGCTGGATTTCCAGAAGAGCGAAAAGAAGAGGAGGGACGCGCGGGAGGAATACGGTCTCCGACAGGATATGTGTGCTTGTATATAGAAAGGTGGATCGTGTACTGTATTATTATTCTAGCACCGATCGATAGGTCACGGTAGCCTCTTCCTCGACGATCTCTATTGTGTACTAGTCGCATACGTGGTAGTTCTCTTTTGCGGTGCGTGGGCAAGCGATCAATCTACGGTGTTTGATTGCTATGGCAGTGGAAAAGGGCTTCGGCCGAACGAAGGAGGAGGTGTAGGGCGATGGTAATAACATAACATTCCCTCGTGTGCGCGCAACGCCTCACCCGTCTTGGGTTTGCGCCTGTGCCCATCCGTCCATTAATAAGGACAACCGGATCATCTCATTTGCGGCATGCTAATGTTAGGCAACAGCATAACAAACGAGATGATTCACGACCTCGCTGCCAATCAGGGTATCTTTATCTAAGCATAGACACAGAGTCTTCAACCTGGGTAAAGATTTCATGTGAGAGATGTTCGGGAGGACAGCGCTGAGATGTCCCCAATAAGCCAGCATCACGACGTCACGCAACAACGGCACGGGACAACACACGTACAGCACACCTCGAACAGAGTTTCAGTTTCAGCCCGTGAGGTGTAGAGTTGTATGCAGTTGTTGTGCCGCTGGACAAACATGTGAAAGACCGCATTCCCAATGATGAGGTGGGAAGCAGGAGAATGGATTCGGCGTTCGGATTCGTTCATGGACAGTCGATCAATGCCTCATTTGCATGTGCCAAACCCAAGCCGCCTGCGGTGCTCACGGAGCCATGGGGGCGCGTCGCAATGCGGTTCAGTCGGTAGCGGCAGCACATGGCAAACGCTATTGCCATCCACTGTACCGAAATAACATCTTTATCTACTGTGCTGAACTTCCAATGTTATTTTCAGAGCCCGACAGGAATACCATTGGGCGGTATCCATACCGCAATGGGTGATCAATTCGACCATTGCCCGAGTCTCAATCAGTAAACGAGAGGATTGGGTTTCTTCCCAGGGTTGTCATACGCCCGTACGACCTGTTCTCATCCAGTCTTTGATTATCGACATGATGAATCGCGACGTTTCTCGCCGCATGCGGTATTCTTGTACTGTGTGTACCTGATTCAATCCCTGCCGTAAGGCTTGCTTATAATGATTACGGCTGGGGACATGTCGTTCATGAGCCCCCTCGGAGCACGAGCCTCGGCACGATTTTACGATGCCCATGTAGGCGTCGGCGGATCCCTTCCGAATGGCCGAATACTCCCAGAACTCTGGACAACACCCGGAAAACGTGCACACGTGCAGGACCACCAATGCCGACATTATCATGGTGTTGCGACTGGGACAGCAGCCTCCCTGAAAACCCATCATCGCTTCCTCGGCTCTTTGCCGATCCTGCATGCGAGCATGATGACGATGAATGTCTGTGAATAATGTCTCACCGTCGTCCCTGTGCCCGGAGAAATAAATGTTCATGCATGGTACAAGGCGAAGGCACAAGATCGGAGAATTTGTAGACAGTCGGAGTACGTACTCGAAGAACATGGAATACATTCTGAAACATCTGCGCATACGCTCCACGAGAGGACGCTGCTGCCATGTTGTTGCTGTCTAGTGGTCTTTTTCCGAACGTCGTTAATCCACCACCGTGTGTGTCCGTTCTTATGCAACGTAATATCCATCGCGCTTTGAGACATCTCGTGAACATTAGACGCATCTCTGTGGATCCACACTTTCCAATCATGACCGTCGCGTTGAGTGATCGACCTTTAGAAAGAGGTGACCGCGCAGCGGCGCATCGAAGTCCCAAAGCGGCAAGACGCGACAGGCGAGCTCGACAGTGTTGAGCTTCTTGGTGTTGCGACTCGTAAAAACCTACACATTGCGACCGACGTGGGAGCGGTCAACGAGCCACCTGCGATAACGACGGACTCGACTCGGTCCTGCCGCGATGAGTGCGGCGAAGACAGAGCAGCCATGTGCGTCGAAATTTCACGCAAGTCGTTGCGCTGCGCAAGGCCCACTGGCTTTGGCTTTGACTGACAAAACCACGTCGAGGAATCTCAAACGATGAGCAAGGACAACAGGCGCATGCATGCTTCTCCACCGTAGCACACTGCGCTGCGCACCGACATTCCTGTTCCTCTACACGTGCTCGCTCGCAAATACATAGCATCCAGATTGGATCTGCTTTGCAAATTGCCGAAATTATAATTCCCAGCATCAGGCATCATGTGCTGTGAAGTAACGGATTCTTCGTTGTCGAGAAGTGCTTGGGACATCCCATGCTCGCGAATATCCACATTTCACAGATCAAGACTGTTCACCTACCTACAGGAGACCACAATTTAGCATTGCAATCAATGCCACGTCGTTTGTGACTGGATCGGACAACATCTCGTGCTCATCAAAATGCAATCACTTTTTAACGCAGACTGGGAATCATGAGTAGTTCTCGAGGATCTTCGCCATGATACTTATCTCACAAGGGTCACGCTTTTATGTGAGCATGGGGACAGAAACGTCCTGTAGAACGATTCTCTCCAACGATACGAGCTTCTTAGGTAATTGGTGATGTGTGCTGTCACGATGACGCATAAAGCCTCTATCATCAATCGGATCCAGCCTCCGTCAAAGGGCCAACAACATAAACCAAGTTCTCCTGCCCCAAAATCATAGACAAAGGGGCAAACGAGCACAAAGAAACCTCAATACAACTAGTAACGATACAAACTGCGACGTGGCCATGCTCCAAGTGCGACGTGAGCACGCACGAGAGCTCCTGCTGTAACCACATTCTATCTCGTCTGTACTTTCCACGATCATATCCTCCTCCTTTCCTATCAACCACAAAGCCATGCACCAAAAGACAGTGTGACCTTCCTCATCGGGATCGCTCTATCGCGACCAACCATGAAGTCCGCCTGTGAAATGGTATACCTACCTAGTTATACATTCCAAGGATCGCCGCCAGATGTTGTGACGATGAAGACGACTAAAGTCTAGATCACCGCAAGAAAAAGACGAGAACCTTTTGCTCTCACAGCTGTCTCGAGAGAGTACTCCCTCTGTCCAGAAGCTCTGTTCAAGAGAGTCACGCCTCCCGAACCCTATCTCTCGATCTCGTAGCAAAGCAAACAGAGAATGGCAGAAGCATGGGTCGAGCTCGCACTGGAAGCAATCGGTACGCAGCAACATCCTTTCCCTCCTAGTCGCCTTCGCCTTGTTACTCCCAAGCCTCTGATCTTCTCTCGCAATTCCTCGGAAACACTCAACCACGTGACTCATCCATCCCGAGGATCTCCCAAACATAAACTCATGATCGATTGTATTTCCCAGGCTGGCTCTTCGCCAAACTCGACGGCACAAGCGACAAAAAACGATCCCAACAGCAACAGCGACAGCAGCACCGTTACCGCAGTATCGACGATGATTTCCGACGCTGTGATCAGAGACCGGTTAGGAGGCTTCGCGGCAGTGGTCATGGGAGTGGATCAGATCGGAGAGATATACGACGACGGGAGAGTCGTCGGCAGAGGAACAGAGATGATGATCATGAGGAGTGGGATTATGGAGACAGAGGGAGAAGTGGAGGACGTCGCGGAGAGCGTGATGAATGGGAAAGGAGAGATGCGTATTATTATTAGATGTTCGCTTATGATGGGTTGTGGTTGTGATGAGAGGTGTTCGTTGGGAGGCACGAGAAGTCGAAGACGGGAGATGGCTACAGAGTGGTAATGGGTTGCTATGTTGTCGGGGAAGTCCGCTTGATGCTCAGCAATGTTTGTGAGCTTGTCAGCGCTGGCGGCGTCTAGTATTCGGATGCGGCACTAATGAAATGGCAGGACGAGGGAATGAGGGGGAACCTTGATTAATGATTGTATTTCGTTCCTGATCTGCATGTTGGCTGATTGCTTGCATCGGCTCTCTTCGCAAGCGATCAAGAATCTCTGACTGTACTGCCAATTGTGCACGAAAAGAATGACGTGTAGAGAGATGTTCTTTGCCCGCTCACGTGAATTCGCAATCTTCGTTGTCGAGTTGTCGTAAAGCCGTGAACGATTTCGATCCCTCCCAAGTTGACAACTCTTCGAAAAGGGCGAGCGACCAACGAAGCTTCCATAATGGAGCGAGTTACGTCCTTCCTAAAAGTGCAGCAAATCCCCTTTCCCTCGCTGCTTTCTTGTCCGCTTCTGCCTCCGACTTCTTCCTCCTTCCTGCCCTCTGAGCTTTCGCACTTCTGACCTGTGTCGTAGACTCCTTGTCTTCAAGCCATGTAGCCAGCTCCAGCTCGAAGCGAGCGCGCGGCCACTTCATTTGTCGCGCTTTCCGACCTAATTCCAATGCGTCCTGCAACGCCAAAAGCATGACAGTGAATTGTTGAACGGCACCCAGAAACATGCTGCAACGACGAAATACGCGCATCGGCCATCTTTCAGGAAAGATATTGACCCGATTACCAAATGAATCGAAGACTGGTGTTGTAGCGAGCTTGATATCGTCCGGATCACCTTCTTTTAAAGCCAAGATGTTCTGGGCCCATCTGATATTGGCGAGTTCAATATCGGCGATTTCGGGATTTGCGAGTTCGAGAGTAGTATCGAAGTATAAGCGAGCCAGGCTCTGGAATCCTGCAAGGTCGTCCCATCGCGGATACATGACCATGAAGCGGAAAAATCGGAACGGCCGCGCGCCACAACGTCGGGAAATACTCGTGAGCCAGCGGCATGCAGAGGGAAACTCAGAGGTCTTCAGATGAATGGTGACGGTATTGTTGGCATAGTATAGTCTCGTTGCTTCATCACGAATGAATTTTGATGTCTGCAGAAGGGCTGGCTCCGTCCACTTGGCTATGCTTCCAATGTAGACCGGATAGTGTGTATAGCGACTCTCACGAATGCCAATAGGCTGTTCAGTTAGACAGAGCTCGTAAATTCGATTGCGAACCTCCGCCGGCAGTGGCGTGAATAGGTCTTGCCGGTGGTTCGATACTATGACATTGTGTTTCGATTGTGTAGGGACATCGGCAACACTCAATGATTCTTCAGCTGATGACTCAATTGCGGTGATTGCTCTCGTATGGTGGTGTATCGGTGACGTGAACTCGTTAGCGTCCGTCGACAGTCGATTATGTTTTCCATGGGCGACGGTGACTTGAGAGCCATGGTCGGGAGGTAGTGGCTGAGATTTCTGCGAATGCATGAGCGTGACCGAATCAATCTCGAGTCGTTCAAGTTTGCGGAGGCGGTGTCATCAATGGTATTTGTTTTGGAACAGGCGAAACGATGCAGTCTGTACTGATGAGGATAGTGGTGAAGTTGTGGTAAGATAATGAAATATATCGACGACTCAAGAATCTCGTCACTTGAGCTTGGGACGATGATGATTGCGATGACGGCGACCTGAAGTGGAGAGCGCATAGTGTGTTACCGATGAAGCATTGACAGCACACCCGCGCCTTCCAACTTCAACATTCCAATGTTGATAGGTTCAAGATTGGCATGTGACAGCAACTCAAGTGTGAGCTTTCACAACTTGAGAGTGTTGTATCGAGGAAAGTTTGATGCTGTGTCAGCTTCCACATGTTACCGCGCCAGTATGCAAAGAGTCAAGTCTCCAGCATCTGCCATCAAAATTCTCTGCTCTCACCAATATCACAAACATCAAAAACTCCCTCTTTCGGGAGACCTTTCCACTCAAGCGCATCCTTGAGCACCCTTGGCGGCTCCAAAACGTCCTCATCGGTCAGAACCCAAGTGCCCCAATGAATTCCCATCGCGCTTTTGCATTTAGTGTCCACAAAGATATTGACCGAATCGTAAGGATTCGCGTGAACAGGCGACATCAAGTGACGCGGCTTGTACGCTCCAATGGGAATCATGCCGAAATCGAAAGGTCCACGAAGTTCTCCGACTTCTTTGAAAGCAGGACAATGTGGTAGATGGGTATACTTCTCCCCGTAATCAAATTCGGTCTCTGGCAGTTGTGGAACTGTTCGATAGCCTGTGTCGCCGCCGAAGAATATGTTTTTACCGCCGGATCGGACAGACCAGGATGCCCACAGGGATTTGCATCGGTCAAAGGCTGTTCGAGCAGATTGGTGCTGACAAGGCAAACACGAGATCGTAGCCGAAATCTCTGCCTGGTCGTCGTGTGCGGCAATTTTGAACTCGCTTTGGTCCCACCAATCTGACTCTGTCACATTGACGATTTTCAGCGCGTCAAACCATTGCTTGTTGCCCAACGGGACAAAGAAATGCACGTTCGGGAACTTCTTCCTTATGGCCATGACTGTTGGATGTGACAGGTGGTCGTAGTGGTTGTGTGAGATGACCACAGCATCGATAAATGGAATATCTTCTACCTGACATGGCATCTCTGTGAAGCGCTTGGGACCAGGGACACCGGCTGGGCAGCATCGATCCTCGAATACAGGATCGAACAGGACTCGCAATCCACCAGGAAACTCGACGAAATAACAAGCGTGGCCGAGCCATGTTGCTCGCAGCCTATCCGTCTGACGTGTGGCTAGGAACGTGGGTTTGCGCACTGTAACTGTCGGTGGAGTCGTGTCGGGCTTCTTCCGGGCACCAGTCAAGGAATCCCAGAAGACCCATTTCCAGATCGTAAGGACTGACAAATGTGAATATGACTCCCATGGGTTTTGGTATCCTTTATTCTGCAGATCGTGGTGCGATTTCTTGTTGTAACTTTCTGGTCGCGTCCCTGGCGGGGAGGACGCAGACACTGTGGCCGACGGAGTCGTCATTTTCGTGGAGAATTTTGGCGTAAAATTGGTGCTTGACAGCTGAAATGGCTTTGAACTCAATCGTGTGGAAAAGCCAACAAAACGAAGACGTGAAAGAGATTGCATCACAAGGTTGAGGACACCGAAGGGGTTTTGAATTTACCATTAAGAACATGTCGAAATATGTATGTCACCTTGGCAGACACACGATATCCACGCGTACGCGGCTGGGTTTCTTCGTGAACGTCATCTCGGAGTTAAGGTGATCTAGCCAATGCGTGTCTCCGCTCCGGCTTCCTATTTCCAGCGCCACCAATGTTAATGCAATCTGCTATTTCCGCCGTGTTCTCGCACCAATTGACCAGGGCCGTTTAATCGTGATAAAGACAATGGTCAGTCCGGTGATGATGGAGCCGCGATGACTGGAAGGTGGATTGCTGTGTCTCGCAAACCAGGTGCACATCGCAAGGTCAACACACCCGCGAAAAACATGGAGAAATTTGAGCATTGGGGTGATTTTGTTCGCAAGGTCATTCATGGAATCTCACCTATACTCTTCACAGCAATCTCCCTTCTACCATTCAACTCCCTCCTCAAAGCACTACTCGCAGGATAAACTCCTCTTCGCAGACGATTAGAAACACCTAAAGGCTGGTAGCCCCCCAACCCATGCCATGGATCCAACCGCATATGATCTTCCCAGAATGCCTTCCTCTCAAGATCAAATGCCTCTTGTGGGGGAATTTCCAACATCGCAACCGTTTGCCAGGGAAACTTCCCCTCGTCCCATTCGGTTCCGGAGTACTCTACGCTCTGCTCCTTGAGATTCTCCAGGAGCTGCACTTGGAAATCGTACATGGCCGTGTGTGTGGCATGGAAAATTTGGAGCCATTTATGCAGGACATCTTCCCCGTCGCGGTCTGGCTGTACAGATTTATCGCCGAGCAGCAGCTGCGTCTCTGCCCTGGGAACGATGCTGAATTTGAACACATAGTCGCCGAATCGAAAGGCCGACTGTGAGTACTGTCGATAGGTGGCCAGGTGTTTGTTCGGGACTTTGAAGCGAGCCTTTTGCAGGTCCGTGTCGTCACGGGCTTCGAGCTCGCGATCCATGGCGTCTTTGTCGTCGCCCACCTTGAGGCGAATGTCGAAAATCTCCCGTGTGACTTTGGCATTGGCGAGCTCAATGGCAGGCGTGTTATTGAATTCGAAATCTTGGGTGGGCGTGTCTTTGCCTGCATCCAAAAAATCGCCCTCCACATCGAATACCTTCATCGAGAAGCCTCGCGGAGCCGGGACACGATCGTCCAGGCCTGGATCGCCAGGCTCGGTACTATAGCGGCATGCGACAGGGAACTTGCCTCCTTCTTTGGAGAAGATCTCGCCTTGTCGGAGGTATTCTGGCAGTCCGTCGAGAACGGTAAAGGTGCCCTTGACGATGCCATGTGTGCGGCAGTGCGTGCCGGTGTAGACATGTCGGTGGTTGTTAAACTGCTGGCGTTGCATCTTGTTAATCTGTTCGGCAACAGCTTGAATATCTGCTTCCTCATCAACAGGGACATCTTCAACACCGGGAGAGTCCCAGCGAAGGTAGCTGCGATTTGAGAGATAGGTTGCCATCTTGAAGATAGCCAAATTTTTCTCGCTATGGCTCAGACAATCCTCAGTAGCGGCTAGGATGGTCACGCTGTTGATCACCGGAGACTAGAAAACGCTCTATAAGGCTGATTTAGAAAGACTGATTACGTCTATATATACCCCTGGACATGCGCTGATGTCCCAGGACAGCTCTGTCTAGAAGTATCTTCGCCATAAAAGAGACGAACGACATCATATGAAGCCATGGTTGTGGGCGCCATGTCGTGAGCCATATTCGATCAGATGATTGAGGCGGCGGGCAAAGTATGAAAATAATCACATAAACTGGACAAGCGTTGCGCAGATGTGCCTATTGGTGAATCGACATCGTGCCTTGAGCCTCGCAGCCAATCTCGAGCGGTGGATCATGCGCAAGGCGTCACCGTCCGGTCATCGGAAACCCAAGTCGCGGCGTTCGGCTCCACTCAGTCCACGATGTATCTAGTGCTTGCAGATCTGACTTCATTAAAGTCGAATCCTGACACGGTCTCCTATCTGGCCAGTAAGCCATGCGGTCTGCCGATCCATATACAGTATTGCATGTCGAGACTCAGAATCCATGGATGATGAAATTGATCGGGTTCAAAATCGGAGTGTTCGTCCCGTAAAGTGATCTGTTCGCGTTAGGGTTACGATTCGATCCATCTGCCCAGACGAAGCTGTGCTACTTTCGGCATCATCAGCAACACGCGATCGATCTCGATCTCCGGGGGCTGGAAATTCGTGGTGATGATATCGATATAGCGCGTCCTTCCAGGAACCTGGTCAAGATCAACAACACAAGCACACAAGACGATAGCTGTGTGTTCACGTTTTCTTAAGACACATCATGTAAAACGTAGCTATGCCCGAGGACAGTTTCGGCGCTGAATGGCTGCATTGTTTCCGCAAATACACCCACGATCATCCACGTCGAAGCTAGTTGCTGCACTGTAACGACGACGAGAATCCGAGAGCATATGTCCACGGGTCTTCCAACAGAATTGGAAACCACTCAGAACGATCCGATCATGTCGACTGCTAAGCTCAGCCGCGGCAAATCATGTACTTTATGTCAACAGCGTAAGGTCCGCTGTGACCTCAACAAGCCATGTTCCAATTGCGCCAAAGCCGGAGTCGAGTGCCACGTTGCTCCTTTGCAGCCGCCCAGGAGGCGAAAGCGCAAAGTTGACGAAGACACAGTGCTTGATCGACTGAAGAGAGCCGAGTCGCTGCTCTCACAACATGGCCTCCAGGTAAACCGCAGCGTCGAAGACGAGACCCGAGAGGACGATGAGGCCGACGAGGACGATGTTGATGAGTTACCACATAAATCGCGATCCGTTGATCCTTCACATTTAACGACCGCTGAGAATATTCCCAGTCGTCCCGCGCACGAAAGGTTTGAAATTCTACCACTCGTGACCAGTGTTGCATCTGACAGCTTTGGAATAGTCACTCTAGTCCTAAATGGTTCCCATATCCGAAGCAAGTGGGTCGTAAATGCCGTCTGATACCACTCTTAATGCTCGAAATTAATGGTTTGATAGTACAAAAATGGAATCTCACTTGTCCGAGGAGAATCGCCCGACACTGAACAGGAACAGTCATTGCTGTTCCGATCCTTCACCACAAGCAATGTCCTCGACATGTCGCGTCAATTTCCATTCGTGGTAATCGGAGAGACGACCGCAATATCAGTGGTCGACCAGCACCCGAACGCTGTACAAATCTTCCAGCTCTGGCAGACATATCTCAACAATGTAGACCCGATTCTTAAACTCACGCACACACCGACCTTACAGAAACAGATCATTTCAGCGTCTGCCAACATCTCAAAGGTGTCGAAACCATTGGAGACTTTGATGTTCAACATATATCTCATAGCGGTCACATCTCTGTCTGCGGATGAAGTACAGGAAACGTTTGGAGAAGCCAAGCCTGAGCTGCTTCGCCATTTCCACAGTGCTGCACAGCAGTCTCTTATCAATGCTGGATTTATGAGCAGCTCTGATCTGATGGTACTTCAAGCGCATTTTCTGTATCTGGTGAGTGTCGACCTGGCCCCCGTATTGACATTAGCCTCTGACACGAACTGTACTTGATAGATCTGCATCCGGGAATTTGTTGATCCTCGACCGCACTTTTGCCTGATTGGTATCGCGGTCAGAGTTGCACAGCGAATTGGACTGCATCGCGATGGCGCCCGATTTGGTCTTCCGCCTCTTGAAGTCGAGCAGCGACGACGTCTTTGGTGGAATCTTCTTGCGCTAGATAAGCGTATCGCCGAACTGAGCGGCAGCGCGATATCTGCCTGTTCAACATCCGACGCGGATTGTAAGCGGCCCTTGAATATCAATGACTCCAATCTACATGTCTATCAAAAGGTCCCTCCATCGCCATCGGAATCACTCACAGAGATGGTGTTCGCGCTGGCAAGATTTGAGCTTGTAAACGCTCCCGGCTCTGATGGGACTCACTCCCAAAGCTCGAAAGACAGAAGTAATCGTTCAACTCCATCAGCATCGCACATGCAGCTGCCTCGTGTTCTCACCCATCTACAAGACTACTCACGACACATCGAGAATACCTACCTCAGACCTTGCGATCCTAATATCCCTCTCCAGCTCTTCACTCAGATGACTATCCGTCAAAGTATCTGCAAACTTCACATTCTGTCCAACGTCCACCGCCTGGCAACGAAGCCCGCCACAATCCCAAGAGAAGATCGGCTTTGGCTCCTGACCGAAGCAATCACCATGATCGAAGCGGATAATGCCATCCAGGCCTCTCCTGGCTGTCGAGGATTCTTCTGGTACTCGCAACTTCACTCTCCATTCCCCGCATACATGATTTTCGCGCACGAGCTCCGTGACGCGAGTACCAGTCCCGAAATCTGCGGGCGAGCTTGGAAGGCTATTGACGAGAACCATCGCCATCGAGGATTAGTACGAGCATTACAACCACCCATTCACGTCGGCTTCACGAATCTCTTCCTCGATGCATGGACTGCATGGGAACAAGCCTCTGTGAGTACACCGGGCAGCAGGAGAGCGGATAGAGGCAACAGGGAGAGTGTCCGCACGCCAGAGATGATCGTCCAACTCAGAGGTCTTCTCGCCGCGTACCATGGCGGCATCGCGACCGCAGCAGAAGCCAGCACCAGCACTACCTACAGCGATAGTAACACGGCCACTGCGACCAAAACTCAGCTTTCACAACAACAACAACAACAACAACAACAACCATATCAACGTCTCCCACACTCTGCTCCCCAACAGTCTCATCACAACAACCCTCAGAACGCGCTCTCCTCCCCGCACCCAATTTCCATAGCCCCTCCGCCGATGACTCCCTCCTCAAGTAATCCCATCCCACCAATTTCACCATTCCTCCCGGCCAACAGTATGCCGAGCACAGCGGATTGGGACCCTACAACGGCGCAAATGCTCATGACTTCCCCGGAGGACGCATTCGGAGCAGCGACTGCATTGGATTGGGCGGCGTTTTTCCCGCAGCAGTTTTTGTTTGATGAGCAGTATTTGGGTCAATATTGAGGCCGACTTGAACTCCCGTGGTCGAGACAAAAAGTGTCTTTGAAAAGCACAGTCGTTGGTTCGGGGTATTTCAACGATTAAACCACACAGTTGCTCCGTGTCCACAGCCCAAAGACCCCGATTACTCTTCAATCATTCACATGGAAACCTCACCACAGTGGAACGATGACGCGTAGGGTGTCCGTAAAAAGAATTCGATGAAGAAGTGAAAACTTTAGATTTACACAAGTAGGTCAACAAATCATATTATCAACACCTTTAACCCCGAGCTATTCCTCTTGAAAGGCAGACTATGATCCCTCAGCCACGGTTCCGCTTTCGGCAGTATTCTGCGTTGGGCCCCCGCTGTCAACTTTGGCTTCTTCGCTTCGCTTCTGCGCGGCCAGCTGCCAGCTCGGGATCGCCGCCTTGCCGTTCAATAGACGGCTGTAGGGCGTGCCGGGAGCGTTGCCGCCTGCGACGGGGCTGGCAGCGCTGTCTTCGACAGATGGTGATTGGATGCCGTTGGTGCGAGGCTCGGGTGTGTGAGCGGTTGCTGAGCCGGGGATTGCGGGAATGTGCTGTTGTAGGTGTTGTTGGTGTTGCTGCTGCTGGCCGTAAACAGGGGTGGGTACTCTCGAGGGAGTGGTTGGTTGTTGACCTCCGACCATGCGGTTTACCACGAGTGTCTTCAAGCTCTTCATTTCTACGTTGAGCTCCTTGAGGCGGTTGTCCGTGGCTTCCTTTTCCTTTTCAATTGCGCGAGGGATTTGTTCACGGATTTCGCTGATTTCCCGAGCAATTCGTTTGGCTTCGAGATCGCGGTCTTCGTTGGCTTGTCGCATTCTCGAGATGACATTTTCGACATCGGAGAGGGCAACGTCAAGGCGTTCCTTTCGCGCAGCTTCTGAGTCCTTCAATTGCTGAGTGTCGGTCGCGAGCTGTTCGAGGAGAGCGAAGGCTTTGTCGAAGCTGGCATCCACGCTCGCTTTGTCCTGTTGGATTTGAGGAGGCGTGGGTGGTGCGATGAGCGGAACGACGTATCGCCTTGCAGTCCAGTACAGAGCATATCCTGCGCCTCCCATCACTGTTGCCGCAATGAACCAATCTCGCCAATCCCGCCGCGGCGGTTCTGGAGGAGGCTGTTGCCAGTATGCTGGGTATCCTGATTGGTAAGATCCATTGTTGTATTGTGGTGCCGCTTGTCGATATTGTGCAGGGGCTGATTGCGAGGCGACTAAAGCGCCTGACTGACCGGCACGTGCAAGCGATGCATCGATCTCTTCGGGGGTGAGATTTTTGGATCGGAGGAAGGCCATACGCTGTTCAATAGGCGCACCAGCGACGGATGGGTCTTGTAGGACTGTGATTGAAAAAATGTCAGCACTTTGGTTCTTGAAAGCACATTGATGTCGATCCTCAAGAGTTGTACATACATGCGACAGCACCCTCGACCAGGTCCTCTCGGACCATGTTTGTGGTGATCTTCTAGCCCAGCCCCCGTTGACGCGATTGATGATCTATTATCGGACAAAGAAGACCGTGTTGTGTTATTGTAAACTGGAGCCGATGAAATGATGATGCCGTCTCTGACGCCGGGAAAGACGACTCAAGAATCCCATCACCCCAGACAGCCAGACAGACATGGGATTGACGTTAGGCCGAGGTAGGGTAGTAGGTAATGCTATAGAATACAAGTCTGGCAGTGTTTCCAAATGAGCCCTGGAGAGACACCGATCTCTACGGTATGCTGTACAGCCCATCCTCTTCATCATCAAGCCCGCCCGGAGCCCCTCAACTTTGACTCGCGCGCGCGTGTCCTCGTCTCCACGCGACAAAGTTCAAGCTTGGCATTGTTTACATCTGTAAACGAACGCATTCATCCATGTCCTGAGCAACAAACTTCGATGCATCAGCATATGCGCCGACACCACATATCGAAGCAATTCACATTGGAAGAAACCCAGGATACGATCAACACAAAGATACCTGAAAACACTGCACAAATCACAATTGACCATATTGGACCTGCAGTGACCCCGACTGTACGGACATGGCGCAAGAAACGGGCTTGTTCTCAGTGCGCCGACCGCGCGAAGTAGGTTCCTTTTCTCCTCACAGCAAGGCGCAAAGATGCAAACACTCACGGCACACTTCAATGTAGACACTAGGAAGCATATCGCATAACCTATCTGCCATTCCAATGCCATCCTCCGCGATGAAGCGGTCCCAGGCGCAATCCGCGCAAACCACAAATCACATGCGATCTACATCCGGTTCACGAATGTCCCTCGCACCAGGTCGACCGGCCCAGCCCATGCTGCATCGATCATCATCTGGCGACAACCTTGCGGGAATGGGCTTCTCCACTGTTCAAAGACCGAGCTCGCAAAACTTCTTTCCCAATACAGGAGGTCGCAAAAGCTTTGCGCCCGTCGCAAGCACTCCTGCGGCCGCGCTACAACTCCAAGAGAGCACAGCACGGAGGAGTAGTGTATACAGTGCGCGGCCGTCCAACGGCCTGGGACTTGCAGGACATCAGTCTTTCTTTGCGACGGCGCCTCCCATGAATGGCATCCCAGCGGACCCACGACAATTGCGCAACGCCCAGGTTCGGAATACGATCGGTCAGGAGATTATGGAGTTTCTGACCCAGCGTAATTTCGAAATGGCCATGAAGCATTCCCTCCATCCGAAGATCATGACTTCGCCAACGCAGAAGGACTTCGATCTCATGTTTCAATTTTTATACCACAGCATCGATCCCGCGTACGTGTTTCAAAAGACTACCGCAGTGGAAATTCCTCCTCTGCTGAAGCAAATGCGCTACCCCTTTGAAAAGAACATTTCGAAAAGTCAACTGGCAGCAGTAGGAGGCAACAATTGGAGCACTTTCCTCGGACTTCTCCATTGGATGATGCAGCTTGCTCTTATGATGGAACAGTATAGTGTCGGCCAGTGGGACGAAGCTTGCATCGAAGCGGGATTCGACGTCAGCGCGGATCGCATCACATTCCAATTCCTGTCAGAAGCCTACAAGGATTGGCTCAACATGTCAGATGCAGCGGATATCGATGAGGAGGAAGAGTCAAAGCGAGTCGTGCAACCTCATATCGATGCAATGGCTGCGCGATTCGACCAGGCCAATGCCGTCAACCTGGAGCAAGTAAAGTCATTGGAGGCTGAGTCCAAGGCACTACAAGAACAGATCGAGCAGCTCGGTAAAAATGCTCCTATACTGGCCAAACTGGACGAAACGATCAAAGTACTCGAAGAGGACCGCGGCAAATTTGAAGCGTACAATGATAGCATGGAGAACAAGGTTGAGAAGTACTCTCGGCGGCTGGAATTACTGCAGCAAGAAATTGAGAAATGCGAGCTCGAATTAGCCGATGCGGAAGCCGATCGAGATGATCTCCAGCGCCGTGTAGACGAGCAAGGGCTCAGCGTGCAGGATATCGACCGCATGAACACCGAACGTGATCGTCTGATCAAAGGCGTCGAGACGACACAGGTCAGATTGGAAGAGGCCAAAGATCGTGCCGGCAAAAAGGAGAGCGAGACGGCTTCCAGACTGGACGATTTGGAGGCCACGGTTCAGCGATATAACACGATTGGGTATCAGATTGGCATCATTCCGGTATCGGCCTACAACGCTCATGGCAACGAGTACGAAATCAAACTCGAACTCCGTTCTGGACCAGACTTCAGTGCATCACAGTTGGGTGCATCAGCACAGAAGAACCTTACCGCATCTGATAGGCTCTTGGCAGACGCGTTCAATGGCTACCAACCACAAAATCTTCTTCCGCGCTTCGATCTGAAAATGACAAAAAGAAATCTCCAGGATCTGCGCAAAGACGTTTCCGAGCGCCGAAACGTTGCATTGGAAGAGGACATGGCCAAAGTCGACATGCTAGACAAAACTCGCGAGGCTTTGGAGGATAAGCATGGCGAATTGGAGACACTGAAGCATCGCGTCGGAGCCGCACAAGAAGAGTTCGAGAAGATGAAGGAGATCTCCACCGCGCAAGGAATGGCCTCCGATGCTCAAATTGAAAAGATGGAGAAGGAGTTGAAGAAAATGAGGGCTGGTCTTGGAGAGAGTGTGCAATTGATGGAGCAAAGGGAGATGAGTGTCCATCTTGAGTAAGTCGCCACGATCGAAACCCGCACATTCGGTTTGACTAACAAGGTCATTCACAGGTATGAAGAGATGACCCTTCGATGTGCCAACCTCCGCGAAGAGCTGCACACGGAACTCGAGCGTATGCTGAACGATATCATCCGCTTCAAGATTCACATTCAGGGATCACTGGAAGGCTACGAGGAGTTTGTTGCTGGCGAAGTCGACCGTGAGTGGGAGGAGCAGGCGGCGGCCATGAACGACGAAGCCGCAAACACCGCCGGGAATGCTGATGACATGGAGGAATAAAGTCTCTCGTGTACGTCCGAGACTGGTCCTTGGTCTTGTTGGATACGATGATGATGTTCATGACGGCGTTTAGGGAGAGTTGGTGTTTTGTGATACCCTGGTTTTGATATTTCAATGAATGCGCGTAATTCCTCGTTTCCTGCACGATTATTCCTTCATCGGAATTCCTTCTCTCCTCGTATCGCCTTGCATCAAGGAGAGTCCTAATCTCCCTCGTGTCAATTGCTCGCGTGTCTATCATCAAGTGAATGCAGGCTGACGCGAGTCAATGTCGAAACGCGGGCGATCCCGTCTAGCAACGTCACAGAATTCGAGGCGTACATAACTTCGACCTTTAATCACCCAGCGCTCACCATGCCCACTTCCACGCCGTCCATGTCCCCGCTGCGCTGCAGCTCGTGGCGACGACAAATCATTCGATTGAAACCGGGAGAAGGCTGACAAGATGTCGTCGACTTCCCAGCGGGTGCTGGACTATCTAGAACAGCAACCAGGCACGACTTTTACGAAACTCTACCAGCAACCATCGACTGCCTTGGCCGTGTTCCGTCGCATGCTGCCTCACATGGCCAAAGTCCTCGTCATGGCTCTGCTGTATACACATGCTCCTACCCCCGTCACGGATATCGACATGTTATTCAAGACTGGATCGGACACCCAGCAGGTCAAAGATCGCGCTCTGAGCATCCTACAACGGCTGAGGATTTTGGTTGAAGAGGTGGAATCTATGCGATCGGTGTACAAGCTTTCACCGGCTTTCGCGCGGAGTCTCCGGCAGGCTTTGACGGGTGGTGGGAAGGACCATCGATCGTTCGGTGTACCGAGTTCTACGCCGGATAAGACTGTGGTCACTCTGGATTACCTCGATACCTTTGCGCGGCAACAATGGGAGTCGATTCTGTACTACGTTGTAGGGAGCGCCGGGGGCCAACTTGCAGGTGGCAGTCGACAAGCTCCGGTCTCGAGTGGGACGGCGTCGTTGTTGGCGCAGGGCAAGTTCGTCTCTGTGCGTGGTAACACCCGGGCCATCACACAAGCGGGCTTCACGTTTCTCTTGCAGGAGGTGAATGCTCAGGTCTGGATGCTTCTGATTGTCTATTTAGAAGTATCACCGCAGGTAAACCAAGCTGTCGAAGTCCCTATATCACACACGAGCTGAACTCTTCCCAGTTACAAATGGATCCCGTCGACGTCCTAGCATTTCTGTTCACTTTAGGCTCATTAGAGCTCGGAGTCTCCTACAGCACGTCCAACCTCACGCCCACACAACAACGCCTCCTCGAGGATCTCTCGGACTTCGGACTCGTCTACCGTCGTCCCTCCGACTCAACGCGATACTACCCAACCCGCCTCGCCACGACTCTGACCTCCGACGCCCCCGCCCTCCCCAACAACACGCTCGTCACCACGGCCACGAAATCCTCCGCGCCGCTCGACACCCTGGCCGCGTCCGCCAACGACCGCGGCTACATCCTGCTCGAGACCAACTACCGCTTCTACGCCTACACCTCGTCCCCGCTGCCCATCTCGATCCTCTCCCTCTTCGCCACGCTGCACACCCGCTACCCGAACCTGATCACGGGCAAGATCACCAAGACGTCGGTGCAGTCCGCGATCGGCATGGGGATCACGTCGGCGCAGATCATCGCGTACCTGAGCGTGCACGCGCACCCGCTGCTCCGCGCGCAGGCGTCGCAGCACGGCAGCCCGATCCTGCCGCCGACGGTCGTCGACCAGATCCGGCTGTGGCAGATCGAGGGCGAGCGCATGACGACCTGGCAGGGCTTCCTGATCAAGGACCTCGCGACCGAGGAGGACTACGAGAAGGCGGTGGCCTACGCCGAGGCGCTGGGCGTGCTGCGCAAGGAGTTCCGCGCCAAGCGCATGTTCTTCGTCACCCGCATGGAGCAGATGGGCACGTACTTCAAGAGCGTCGCCGCGAGGAAGAAGCAGGAGGCCGCCGCGAGGGAGGTCGCGGCGAGGGAGGCGGCGAAGAAGGAGGTCGGGTTGTGATGCGAATTAGGAGGGGGCAGGGGCGTTTGTTTATTCTTGGGGGTTGTTTCTCTTGTCACGGTCGTGTGTGCACTAGAGGGGGTGATTTTTCTGGTGTGCAAATAGAGACGAAATTTATTCATAGGGGGGTACACGAAAGAAATGTATTGATATTGTACTTTTTGGGGGCCTGTGTCGATCGCATCTGCTACTACTGCTGCTACTACTGCTGCTGCCTCCAGTCCATCTTCACGTCACAATTTCTCCCACCAGCATTTCCATGTCGAATCTTCAGAGGCCTATTCGTGGTTCCCACCTGCATATCAGCAGAGGAATAACCCGATGCGCGGGCTCCTCATCATTGTCCCCGATCGACGAAAGTCCATCGCAAATATTGCGTCCTCGCTCACCACAAGTCCGAAACGCTCCTGCTGCAAAGACGTCAGCCTCACCTCACGGACACCACTACCCAGGACCGTCCAGCACAGCACTCCTCCGCCTCGCCTTCCCCAACCATCTCTCCAAGACACCCCCTTTCCTCCCCAGACCGCCCGCCTCCTGCACAAACGAATCCGTTCCTCCTCCTCCCCTTCCTCCACCACCACCACCATTGCCCCTCCCAGACGCCGCAGGCAACCTCACGGGTTTCACGGGACGAGACAGTTCCGGCATCTGCAACACATGTGCCAGCTGGACCTGCCAGACGAGGAAGCTGCGGCGGGCGTCGTCGGTGGCGCAGAGGTCGTGGAGGGCCTCGAGGGCGAGCCGCATGCGCGCGAGGACGGCTTCGGCGGTGTGCAAGGTGTCCGAGTCGGTCCGGGGCGGGGACGACGATGACGGCGTCGGGGATCCCGGTGTGAAGTGGGCTTGCACGACGTCGTTGCTGAGGCGGTCATTGATGGCGGAGAAGCGGCCGGTCCAGTATGTGCTCGGTTGGGCGGTGGTTATCTTGGGAGGATGGTGACAGGGTCAGCGCGGAGCGGGATGGGGGTTGTTCTTCTGCGAAAAGTACTCACAACTCGGGGGTTCACTCCTGGCGATGACAGTCGTGAGTCGACCTTCGATGAGCCATTCGGTGATCCGAGATCATATCGTGGGTCTTTACTGATCTGCAAATCTCCGGCAGAGTGTCGATAAATCCCAGCTTTGGAACCTGTAAGGATCTGAAGTGAAGGTGGAGGTGTAGGAGGCCCACGCGTGGAGATCAATCTCGTCTCTTTGATCTGTTCGTGGGCAGGTCGAAAGCTAGATCGATGTGTCAGGACCGGCTGCGAATTCCATCGCTGTATGGATTGCGGTGGTGCGAGCGACTGCTGATTTGCTACGCTGATCTTGATGGGACTGCTGCTGCAGAGATGTTTCAGCGTCTCGCCATGATAGGGAGCGGATGTTTTCTCAGCATCGCGGCCGACCAAGCTTGGCTTTGAAGGGGACTCTGATTCATTGAGCAGAGGTTGACACGTCTCAGACGAGCCGTCACGGGAGTCGTTTCGAGGATGAGGCCGGGAATCACTCTCCAGCTTCTTGAATTGATTGCTGCCTGTCTTGTTCCTATCTATTGAGAATGTTCAGCATGACGGAGCTTGTATTGTTTGGTTCGGATCGACTCACAGATTTTGTATCTCGAAGGACCGTGACTCCCACTCGTCGCTAGCCCAGACGGAAAGCGAATGTATGATTTGCTCGGGGCCAAAGTCTGACTCGGTTGACGCAACCGGGTGGGAAGAGGGAGGTTGCTGAACGTCCTGCTTCGAGGCAACGAGCTGGTGGCGGTCTGGCCGTCATTCAACGGGACATAGCTGTAGCGTTTCGATTGAGGAGGCTGCGATGGAGGCGGAAAGTCGGCAGTCGCACTATCGACGCGAGACATGTTGGCCAAGGGCGAAGTCGGATCATCATAGAGGTCAGTCTGTGAAGTCTGGGCTGCTAGTGACCGCGGACTGGGGACGTTCTCCTCCGAGGCTGTGTTGCTGCAGATTGTGTTGTTGGATCGACGACGATTGAAGGGATTGAGGCTCTGAAAGGTGGCCATGGATCCCAAACGGCGCAACGAACCGCGTCGAAGACGGTCTGGTGTCGCCTCTGAGGTGTCGGGCGAGCGCAGCTGGCCATGTTTCTTCTCAGCCGACGGCATGTTGGTCTGACAACGGAACATGTACGAATGAGGAAAGGCGAGGCATTCAGGGATATGCGGTGAAGTGCCCGTATGAGATAAAGGAGGAGAAAAAGAAGAAGAGTCACCAACGAGTCGGTTGATGACCTCTCCATCTAGAAGCAGGTGAAAGGGAACGAGAAGAATGCGGAAAGCTCGAGGATTCACCAGGCGAGGCGTGCTTGGAATTGGAATCGTTTCACTGCGACAGCTCCCTTCCTTGATAGGTTTTGGCCGGGTGACGAGCTCCAACTGTACCTACCTAGCTGGAGGGTGAAATCCCACCTGAATGTGAATATGCTCAGGTGGATATACGGTTTGAGCAGGAGCGACACTCACCCCGACCTTTCCAAGGGTTTCCAAGGGTTTCATCGTATTGTTGTTGTTGGAGGAGGAGGAGGAGGAGGAGGAGGAGACAGGGCAGGTGCCGACACTCGCCATATATCTGGGCACCTGGGCATACATACATACATCAACTTTGGAAGTCACCCTTTTGCGAGCTTTCGATAATGCCAGACCGTCAACCCCGTCACCGAGCAACGCCCTCCATCGATCTTTTGGCCTCCAGCCGCGATGGATCACTCGACAACCTTGGATGGTGGATTTCTTGGTACATACCTAGATGTGTATCATGCTCTGGGTTTCGCGTATGCTCGCCCACGTGATTGATTCATCATTGATGGAGGAGGGAGAACAACGAGATGGAGTGACCGTCCACCGCGAGTCATTCGATGGCTCCTCCCTCATGGACTGATGGCCGCCTACCTACCTACTATACTTGCCCACAACGCTCGACCTTCCGACATGCGGTCGGCGATCAGTCGACGGTCCTCCACCAGAGGCTTCGGGGGCCTGCAAGCTGGTCGAGGCGATCCGCTCCGACGACACAATTGCGACAAAAACATCCCAAAACATCTTCAGCGGGAATCGATCCATTTGTGGCGGCAAAAGTCTCAGCTCCGAGCGGTCATCAAAGTGGTCGTCGATACGACAACCAATCCCGCACGCGTGGCGGTGGCAGTCGCTGTCTCCATTCTTGAACCCCACGATGCCAATGGTCTGTCTTTACGGAGAGGAGAATGACGATGAAGCTTGTCTCTACGAAGAGGAGAATGATGATGCGGCGCGATGGGAGATCGGCGGTCGCATAGTGGAGGTGGTCCAGCTGCAACGATGACCAAGTGCAGGAGAACCCACGGACTGCACAGTGTTTGGGGCCGGTTCCGCTTAGATCGGAAGCGGCGAGGAAACAATCTGGGGAAACAGGAAGATCTTCCCTGGAATGAAATGTCGAGGTGAATGCTTATCTTCCCACCGACGTCATCACGCTTGAATTGATGTGAGCGCATCATCATTGGAATTCACTGCCTGCTCCAGTACTTACCTACCTAGGAGCTATACATGCCTAGTGATATTCAAGAATTGTAGCTGTAAAAGTTGTGACACATGTATAGAGAGGACTTCCCTTTTGATAAACATTATATTCCTAGTCCCATTCCTCATCCATTCAATCGATCAATCATCCCATCACTTCGATCCCCAACAACACCCACCGAACACGATCCCCTCTCCCTTCAGCAACCAACCAACCCACCGACGACCGTACCGCCACCATGTTCCGCCTCACCCGCCACCGCAGCACCGCGACCTTCCTCCGCCAATCGCCCTCCTCCTCCCTGCGCATCTCAACCCCGATCCGGAACTACTCCGACTCCAAGCCGCAGCCCAAGATCCTCAACGAGAAACCGCCCAAGGAGGAGGACCAACCGAAAGAGGTGCAGGAGCACAACCAAGACCTGAAGAACCGCGCCATCCGGCCCAACGACACGGAGGAGGGAAAGAAGAGCGACGACGGGACGGACGAGAAGGTCGACAAGGGGTTCTGGAAAGGTTAGTGTGTGTCTCGGTGGAGGCCGGACAGAGGCCGCTGGCGGATAGCACAACGCGCGGATTGCCTGCGATCGATGGACTGACGTTTTCCCCATCTCGCTCGTTCCAGGTCACGGCGGAGTCGACAAGGACGCGTAGGGAGGTCTGTTCTCACGAAACGAAAACGAGACATCTTGCACTGCGCATGTGCCAGAGAAGGAGGAAGGAGATTGTAACAATACGTCTGTGCCGGAAGTACCAACCCCATCACTTTTCACGGGTGGAATTCTGGGAGGCGGCCCGATCTTGGGTCGCGAGATGTTGATCCCAGTAGCGAAGGAGGTCTACCGCAAAAATCAGAGCACGAACGAATTCTGTAATCCGATGATGATCGGAAACAAAAGGGCTGCGTGTCCATTTTCGTACCCGATCGACATTTATCTGTAATCATAATTCATCTCCAGTTCCATCTCCAGCTTCCGATCCGATGACATCCTTGCTTGCTTGTTCCCTTCTGCCGTTTCCCGCGACAACCATCCATGCACCGTTCCCAAACAAACGAGCAGAGGGAGAGAGGGGGAGGGAGAGAGAAATATCATACCACCGATAGAAAAACACGGCCGCCTCGAAGGACACATATCCCAAAAAAGTCGTCTTGTCGGCCAAACCACTAATTCTGCTTCCGACCCTCGAGGTGTTCCTCGACCGTCTTGAGCATCTCATTGCCCAGCTTGGTCGCCTCGGCGAACCTCGGGGCGAAGTAGGTCTGGATGCGCTCGAACTTGTCGCGGTAGGCGTCCATGTGGCCGAGGGCGACGCGTTCGGCCCAGTCCTGTGGGGAGGAGAAAAAGAAAAGAATGTCAACAGAACATCCCAAAGAAAGGGACATCAGGCACCGAAAAAAATAACGAGGGTGTGGGGAGCAGAGGAGGAAGGGGGAAAAAGTGATGTGGGAGATTCTGACCGGGGGGAAATACAGAGAGGAAAGAAAAATCCCGACTTACCCTGGCGGCGAAGGTAAACTCCAGGTCGTCCGAGCGGAATGTGTCATCGGTGATGGCGGTGTCGAGGCATTCCGCCAGCACGTCCTCGTTGCGGTAGACGTACTCGGTGATCCCGAGCCAGAGCCGGAAGAGCTGTATACAAACAGCCAGAAGGTCAGCGATGACGCCCCACATCCCTCAGGAAAGAGAAGGGAACAGAATTGAATAAAACGGGAAGCTTGAAGTGGAAACAAGACAGCGATGGGGTTGGGCAAAAGAAAAGAAAAAGAAAAACACCCACCGGCGTCGAACAGATCATATGATCGTACGGCACGATGCCCAACTTCCACCAACAATCCACCATGGCCAGCAGGCTGAGGTGGTTGTTCTTGACGCGCATCGCCGGCTTCTCGCCCAGGCTGAAGCGATCCAGGAGCTGTTCGTCCAACAGGAGCTCCTGGCCGGTCTCCTCCTCCTTGCCGAAGACGGCCTCCCGGGCCGCGTACACCCGGGCCCGGAGCCCCGCCGCGTCGCCCGCCAGCATGAGCTTGAACAGCTCCGTCACGCTCCGCGCGTACTGCCTCAGCTGGGCCTTGGCGCTGGGGTTGAGGATGGCGAGGCCGGCGTAGACGTGCCACTTGTTGCTGTAGATCCGCAGCATGAGGTTGATCTTGACGTTCTCGATCCCGCCGGTGTACCGGCCGAGCTCCCACGGGAACTGCTCGTTGGCCTGCCACGCCGTGCCCATGGAGAGGAAGGCGGCGTGGGTGACGGCCTGGGTGTCGGCCGTGATGCGGTCGTGCATCTCCGCCGAGATGCGCACGAACTTCGGCTCCAGGCAGGAGAGGATGCGTTCGACCAGGGCGGCCGCGGCCGGCGTGCCGCGGTGGTTGATGATCACCAGGGGTTGGCCTTTGGGGTTGACGCCGGGCCCGTGGAGGGAGTGGCAGGTCACGATCTGGACGTCCGAGGGGAGATGTTTCTCAAACGCCGCGATCTCGGGGGCTTTGGTCGAGGTTTGACCACCGACGATGGCGCCCTGTTTGGTCGAGGGGCCGTATCGGGCGACGACGGCGTCGATGTTTTTGGCTTCTACGCTGTACATGATCCAGTCACTGCTGCGGGAGACGGAATGGCCATTGGGGAAGATTTCAATATTTTTCTGCTCACCTGGTTTTAGTTACAGCTATCTAGAAGAGAACGATAATGTACATGATGAGTGAAGAATGGCATACTTGATCGGCGAATTCCTTTTTGAGTTCTTCGTATCGATCCGGTAAATCACACGCGTGTACCCTATAATATCATGACCATGAGTTTCATTGACGGAGGAACGATTGAGCATCTGTGGCGTTTTGTCAGCGTCTGTGGTGAGAATGAACATCCCGAATTTGAGCGAAGTGACAAAAGTTGCGTTTCAGACAAAAATAAATAAGGTAGCTGAGAATTTACATCAGTGACGACCGCCCGGGCAACAGCGCCATAACGGCAACCATTGGTGCCGGAGGGCCATACTCGAGCCAAATGCACTCAAGTCATCCTTGCAATATGGGGGAAGAAGTGGTGATGTTTCATGGGAAAAAGAAAAGAAATTCTTCGTACCTTTTTGGAAGGAAAATTTCTGCACCGGCGTAAGATGCACAAGACGCAGGCAATTTCGCACTCACTTCCAACCTGCTGCGCTGAGTTTACGGGCATACATCTTGCCCATATCACCCATCCCAATGATGCCTACAATGGCATCTCCCATGATGGCGGTAGATGGATCGCGAACCCAGCATGGGCCGCGCGCTCACAATGGTGAAGCCGCTGCACGAGGGAACGAACCTAACGGAGAGATCAAGGCCCGCACGAGCGAAGATCGGCTGGTCGCACTACGATAGAGCAATGTGGAGTAGAATATAAAGAAGTGAAGAAGGAATGAATGAATGAATGATGAGGTGAAGATGAAGATGGAGACGAAGAGGAGTCAGGTCGTGTGAACTCCGAAGAAAGTATCTGCAGCACTGGAGTCTCCCGGCCGGCGGACGGGCCCGCCCGCGGTCCATCAACATCGGGCTTGGCACCGAATTTGCGCCGACCACATGCCCACCCACACACCACGAATTCCAAGCCCGCGATCGTGAAAGTTCGAACGTCGTGAACATCGCATTCTCTTTCTTCCACAACACACGTCAATCACCATCACTACATCACATCAAAAATGGCCCCCAAGAAGAAGGTTGAGCGCGGTGCGCAGGAGAACATCTCCCTCGGTCCTCAGGTCCGCGAAGGTCAGCATTCATCCGTCACCACTTTGAGGACGAGGCACACGAGCAGGAACAATGCGCAACGCAAGTCTGTCAACGAACGAATACTGACGGTCACTTTTTGGAACAGGCGAGCTCGTCTTTGGCGTTGCCCGTATCTTCGCCTCTTTCAACGACACCTTCGTCCACGTCACCGATCTCTCGTATGTCTCCGACTGAACACTCCCATCACACCACCTCTGCACCTGTTGTTGGAAAAGAGAAAAGAAAAACACCAAACAGATGGGACCGAAGAAAAGGAAACCATACTTCATACTACACACACACGATTTCGCAAAACGAGAGAACCATGAATTTTTGAGGCTAACCTGGGTGATTCCAGTGGCCGCGAAACCATCAGCCGAGTGACCGGCGGCATGAAGGTCAAGGCCGACCGTGACGAGTCCTCCCCCTACGCCGCCATGTTGGCTGCCCAGGACGTCGCCATCCGCTGCAAGGAGTTGGGCATCACTGCTCTCCACGTCAAGATCCGTGCCACCGGTGGTAAGTTCCTTGAAATGGACATCCCTGCGAGATTTGATTGGACACATATATTGATTTGCTCTCTCTTCGATAGGTAACGGCACCAAGACCCCCGGTCCCGGTGCGCAATCCGCTCTCCGTGCCCTCGCCCGTTCCGGCATGAAGATCGGCCGCATTGAGGACGTCACTCCCACTCCTTCCGACTCTACCCGGAGAAAGGGTGGTCGTCGTGGTCGTCGTCTGTGAGCGCATTTCGTCGGGGAATTGGGGGACAAATGGGGTGTGGACATGTTTTTGTTCCACCATCTCTTCCTTTCTTTTCTGTTGCGCGCCAGGCGTTGGGACACTGATGGGTCAAGAGAGAGATGCACGCTCCCGAGAACTTCAAACGAGTCCGGGATGAGGGTGCAAAGAGATATGTGCTTGGTGTGACACTTTCGCGGAGAACGGCCTTTCTCTCTCTGATGTGTGATCTGACTGTCTGCAAGACGGTGGATTGCTCAAGAGATGGGATTCGCCTGGTCTCCAAATGGTGCTTATGTAGTCACGCCTGAAAAATGAAAAGAGCCATGTCGATGATGACCTCCTACGCAAACCTGTCTACTGCTGTGATCTTTGAAACCATATGCCGAGAAACGACCGTCCACCCGGACATACTCGCTAACATCCCAACTGCGAAAAAGTCCAGTCAGCCACCACGACCACTCTCCCCGTCAACAACCCTTCGCATCACCACCAGAAGGACACATTCGCCCAAGAGATCTCAAATTCTCCTCTTCATTTCGTGACGGCACCTCCGTCATCCACATCCAAGTATGAATGACGATGATGACGAGACCGAATCCACCCATCACGCCTTCCCCGAAAGAAAGGAAAAAAAAACCCCATCCACGTTTTTGGGAAAAAGAAAAGAAACAAGGAAAAAGCGACAGTGTTAACACGTGATTCCCTGACCGAAAACAACGAACCGCCTCCCTCTTTCTTTCTCTCTCAACAGTACTACCTACTTCCCTCGCAAGATCGCTCTGCCTCTCCTCTCCCCCTCTCTCCCTTACCTCCTAAATTTCTTCTTCTCCGAGCAAGCAAGCTGCCATCTCTTCCAAGCAGTACGTATGCATCGATGCCACCGACCAGCGCGATCTCTCCAAGGGCTGTGACCTACGCTCGTGCTGGCCTTTCCTTCGTCCTTTGTTTGCCTGCTCATCCTGGATCCGATCCGATCCGATCCGATCCGGGTCGGGAAGACGGCACGAGAGAGAGAGAGAGAGAAAGAGAGGTAGGAATTAGAAGTCGAACTCCATGATTTCGAAACGTAGGTTAGATTTGCGGAGAGCACCATCCATGACGGGCGGGACCGTCGAGGACGGACGGACGGACTGGGATGGTTCCAAGAAGAAAACGAGACGCGGTAGACGAGTCCAAGGAGGACGAGGAGGAGGAGGAGGAGGTGCGACCCTCCAATTCCCTCCCTCTCGTCATGCTGCACGGGTGCACCTACATGAAAGGTTGTGAAGCGACGGCGCGGTGGAGTCAAGACATGGATTCGGCGTTCCGCTCTGTTATGTTTTGGTTATACTTGGGACCGGTGTAGTTGTAGACATCAGAAGAACCGGTAGGACGAGATGAGATGAATGATATTCGATGATATGATACGATACATATTTTCTCGTTTCCGGGTTTTCGTTTTTCGTGAGGAGGGAGGGAGGGAGGGGGGAATCGTCATGGGTTCGAGACAGAACAGGAGAGACAACAAAGAAGAGAAAAACAAAGGCGCCAATTGCTCAACGCAGACCCAACACCGCCCAAGAAGAAAACAAAACAAGAGAGTCATTTCCCAGAGCGCTCGGAAAACTCCCCTCCCAAATCAGATCCCCAAATCAATTCGTCAAAGTCCCAGAATGTCCGCTTTGGGGGAGAAAAAAAAGAAATCGAGAGAAAGACGACAGTCCGTTGCTGTCGGATATCCTCCCTTCATGACCCGCCCCCCTCCTGATCCTGTAATAACCTCGCCAGCGCCACATACCCGAACAGGACCCCCGCGACGAGGTAATATTTATTCCTTGTCAACCAGCTCTGGCCCGCCTGTTTCGCGGCGTGGCCCGTTTCGACGACCACGGCGCCGAGGCCGGCGTTGCTGCCGCGCGCGGAGCGTCGGAGGGCGGAGGTATCCGGTGTGCAGGACCGCGAGGAGGAAGATGCAACCCCCGCGGCTGCTGCCGCAGCGGTAAGATGTTGGTTCAGCATGAGCTTGCCGGTCTGCGGGTTGACGTGTTCGGTCTCCATCCATTTCCAGTTGGCCTCGTCGAGCTCCGGCCATTGTTCGCGGAATTTGCGGCCGCCGTCGCCGGCTTTGATGGCGCCGAACCCTTTCATGCCGGTGCTGCTGGTCGAGGTGGCGCTGCCGTCGGAGGATTGTTGACCGGGGAGGAGGCGGTGGGTTGAACCGCCACCGGTGCTGTTCCACCATCGTGTCCTCGCGGCGTGGGCACGGCGTTCGGCCGGAGTGGCGGAGATGGATCCGGTGGTCATTTCTTCGCTGGTCATGAAGCTGAGGACTCCTAGGAGGATTGTGCTGACCTCCCATGCGGGATTGAAGCTCTTCGGGTGGAAATCGCTGATGCTGAGACATAATCGTTCACTGCACCGGAAGCGGCCGCTAGGAGTGTGCATGCGGATCGCCGGTGGTGCGAAAGGATAATCGGGTGGAAAGACGAGAGTTCCCCAATATTGACCGCCTTCGTAGGGAGTCTGTGGAGGACCGGTGAGGACATAGTGCCATTCGAGAATATTTGATTCCGAGGGATGTGCGAGGATGTAGTCTGGAGGGTTCTGTGAAATCGATGCGTATTCGCGGGTCAGGCGTTTGTGTGCGGCGCGAGTGGCCATGATGTGATGTGATGTGCTGTGGTGGTTGTTGTTTCGTATGTGTCTCTCCAATGCTCTGGTTGCACTGTCAAGCTGTGATGTTTTTCTCTTCTCTTTGTGTAATTCTCTTGTGGCCGTATTGGAAGTGTGAGGGTAGGTGGAGAGCAGTCAAGGTAAGGGAAGTATAATTGTGCGGGCGATGCTGACGAGGCCGACTATTTTTGGTGGTCAGAGGTCGCGCGACGCCAGGGTTTATTGGTGTGTGGCAGTGTGGTGCGGTGTGGTGGTGGTGGTGCGGTGACGCGGAGCACAGGGCAAAAGAAAGTGGAGGAAGCAGGTGACGAAATGATGAAATGGTGAAGCGGGACGCGGGCTTTGCGTCGTTATTATCGGCTGGCTGATACACCTGGGCAGGATTGTATGTGCAGTAGTGGTCTCGCTCTTTGCAGGGCAGGTGTGTATCGTTTGCTGCAGCCGGTGGAATCGTGTGCCAATAGTTCGATCCGCTCGCCAAGTTGCTTGGTACAGTACAAGTAGGACGGGCCAGGCGGCGGATGATGATGAGGAGGAGGAGGAGGAAGCAGGGCTGACCTGGTTTTTGGCTGAGGCGAAGGAATTGAATTGGGCGGCAGAAAGAGGCAAGGCTACTCCTGGACGGCTGTCGTTGCGCGGTCTAGTGATATGAGACTGATACTGATATTGCTTTTTGGCCTGATGCGGTGTTTCTCCACTGGAAAACTGTGGTCTTCAAGAGAGAATTCGATGGAGTCGGGAGTGTACATTCAACGGCGTAGAGGAAAGTTCAGTCGTGTGATGTATGTGAGAGGAACGGCTGGATGGCTCCGTTCGTTGTTGATGGTGATGAGTATACGGGCAGATGCTGTAGGCGGAAGAAGAGGGCGGAAAGACGAGTGCCCCCAGGTGTGTGTCAATCAGGCTTTCTTGGTCGGGAAGCGGAAGAGGCGTTTTGTGGGGAAAAGATAGGGCGAGCGGACCACCACCAGGTAGTGTACTGTAGGCAGCGAGATTGTCTCCCTGCCCGTGTAACAATCGTGTGTTTTCAATCGTGCGTACGATGATGTTGATGGTGATGGTGATGGTGATGCTGGTGGTCAGATGGAGAGCGGTGGACGTGTGTGTATACGGAATCGTCTGCACCAGTAGTAACGTTGTAAATATCTGGAAGGGAGATAGGTCCAGAAGAGTTGGATGGATGCGGTCGATGGTGGAATTGACGATGACGGTATCGCCAATGGGTCGGACGGTGGTGTGCTTTCTTCCTCTTCTCCGGGATTGGGGGCGCGCGTGGTTCGGTGGATACTTTGTTATGTATATATACCTAGTATTTTCCTCAGATGTGTACGGTATGTGTAATAAATAAGCGACGGGAGCTGTGGATGATGACGCTCTGTTACCACCACGATAGTTTATTGAGGACTCCAATTTGGGTTGCTGTAGATAACAACACAACAGGAGCTACGCATTACAACATCATATGTGCGAGAGAGCCTGGATGAGCCGGATCGACATGTCGACGTCGTCGTGAGGAAGAGACCACCGTGAATACAGTAGTACATCCACCGGCATGCATCCTGCAGAGGTAGGTACCGTCCTGTACCATACATACATTCACATGTATACATATAACACACTGGCTTCCACATCTCGGGACCCGATCACGATGGCCTTATCATATGTACTACTCTGTCCAATAGCCCGAACCTCAGGTATGTAGTCAGGATCAAGTCAATGCAAAAGAGCAACGATACAGCGGCAACAACACAGCAACAGGAAAGTTCTCCCCCTATTCCATCTGCTGCTGTGCACTACGACGGTTGAAAGGCAAAATTGGAAGGATTGCTCTGAAACGACCATCCAGTATCAGTGTCAGTATCAGTATCTCACACATGGAAAAGATAAAAAAACAAGAGGTGGTCGTGTGAGCCCCAACCCTGGCGCAACGGTCGGCCAGCTGAACGAATGACCGAAGCTTTTCCAACGTTCCAACGTCGATGTTCTCGCCCTGCATCGGGCGCAGCATGGCCCTACGTTGACGATAACGGCCCACCGCCGTCACGCTGTACATACATACATACAGCATAGTAAAGTATACTGAGTACTGTACGAGACACATCATCCATGTCCATGACCATCACGGGCGGTCAAGGCGAAGCACCAGCCGACTGGACGACAGACCACGCATAACTCCGCCGAGTCGAATCTAAACTTTCGCACTTGTCCAGGTGCCGATGCGTCCCACAGTCAGCCAGCCCGAGAAAGCTATGCTTGCGGTCGGTCCCACGATGAAGTCTCATCAAGAAAAAAGAAAGATCCATCATCAGTGCCATCGCTTCTCCACACACGAGGGAGATCGTCGCGATCAGCTGTTTCATCGTGCGATGGTAGTTTCGAAGATCACCCAATGCCCGTCACGATATACAGAACTAATAAAGAGCTGATCATCAACCCTGTGGAGATCTCCTCGACTTCTCTGTAGTTGCGCATTTCGAAGGATCCATGGGACACGCGTACTTGCGCGCCCCTGCCGAGATGAAAAGCTGGGCGAGAGGAGGATGCCCGGCATGGCATGACATGACATGATATGATATGACCCACTGTAGCATAGCATAACATGGCATGGCATGGCATATACGAGCTGCAGCAGCATAATTCCCCCCCTGTGCACATGGGAGACGGCGCAGCACACACCCACCCATTCGACGATGTTGTAGTACGCTCCTCCGAAATGTATATTCTGCGCGGTGTTCTAGTCCTGTCGAAGCCCGTTGGATCCACGCGCCTGCGACAGGCGACGGGGAGGACACGGCGGACTGGAACTGCCCATCTCCTCCTACGGAACCTTGTACCTCCTCTACCTGCAGCTTGATGCCGCATTGCAGGTGCAGGTACCGATATCGACAGACGGAGGAGGTATCGTGGGGTCTGGCCCACTCCGACCTCATCGCGAACCTCCTCCACCGAGAGTCTCCAGCAGCAGCAGCAGCAGCTCAAGGGTGGAGTGATGATGTTGTATCAGAGAGTCCACTTCCCGATACTCTTTCCAACCTTGGGCTACCTGCGATCCACAAATTACAGTGGCTGCAGCATCATCATCATCAACATCATCATCAATATCATCATCATCGTCGTCAGCGTTATACAGATAAACGACGAACGGGCGAATTCCAACATCAGAACCAAACTTCTCTCCCGCAGAGCGTGCAGCAGGGAGCCATGAATTTCTTGCCCTGAGCCCCATGCCGATTGGTCGCTGACCATGCAGCCCTAATTCTCACATAGCGTCTCGTCCGCCGGAAGATTTCATTAGACCCCGGAATGTTCATCAATGCCGCGTTGGCGATTATGTAAAGTCGTCGGCACGCTGGCGTCGAGTCTTGCGAGGTTGGGACTTGGCGGCGACGGATCGCTGTGGTCGTCCTGACGTCGTCGTCTGCAGACTGGAGGATGGCGGACAGGCGGGAGTGAATCGTCCACCATCATGTACGAAGGATCGTGAAAGGGGCACATGAAGAGGGCCAACAGCGGTTGATCTCTACGATGAACGAATGATGAGGAGGATACGCTTTTCTGGTTCGTTCGTCTCCGATTCGCTAGAGTCTTTTCCCGCGGAATGCCGTCTTGATTGCTCGGACTCTCTCTCTCGCGGGTTTCGCGGTATCGGGATGTCGGTCGGCTCAGAGTCTTCATATTCCGGGACATGGACAGACCGGCATGGTACGATGGCACACCCACACGCGAGTACTTCGGAGCAGGGCGATGGGCAAACCCCACCCCATTGATTCCACTTCCGACCAATCCCGCCTGGGAAGAAGACGACGGAGTCAAAAACAAAAGAAATCCCCAGACCATCATCTCTCATCCTCTTTCGGTAGTACCTCAATTCCACATTCCAGCCAACCTCTCGCCAGACTAATTACCAGCTCCTTCGCCTCATCCTCGGTAATTTCCTGATCCGATTCGTCGACGGACTCATAAACCAACGATTCAATAGCATAACCTTTCTCTCCCTCTTTGATGAACAGCTCGTGGTAAGGGTTCCTCGTCCAGCTCCGCATGAACCGTACGCGATGGGCGTTTCCCTCATCGAGATATTCGGACTCGATCACCCATCTTTCCTCCATGCAACTTGGGCTAAAGCCTTGGATCAGGCGTTGAAAGTCGGAATTGCTGATAGGGATTCGCCATTGGATTGTTCTCGGGCTTCGCATGAACTTTTTCTCGAGCGGGCCTACGTAGATTACTTTGGGCTCCCTCGTTGATGAATGGTCTTGTGTTGGTTCCTCCTGCGTCGGTGAGTCTTCTTCTTCTTCTTCTTCTTCTTCTTCTCGTCTAGGATCCATCGTCGCAAACATCTCGCCTTCTCCTGAGTTAGGGGGGGATTTTCTACAATTGATTCGAACCGCCCGAGACCGTCTCTGACGAGGACGGAGAGGATCAACGAGCGGATGCGTCGAATTTCTTATTCAAAAATACCAGCCGGGAGATCACAAAACACGGAGTGATGAGGACTGTCAAGTACACAACGAGACCACCTGGTTGCCTGATCGAGGATGACCTCCAGCGTCGGGCGGCGGCGGGTCGCTGCGCCGCCCGTCCTGTCCTGTCCTGTCCTGTGCCACGCCGCCCAGCTACCCCTTTTCTGGGAGTCTGGGGGCTATGCTAGGCGGTGAGGGAGGACCCCTTACGAGAAAATGCCCTGGGGTTCACTCACCGTCGACATCGTGAATGCGTGGGGAGGTCGCATTCTGGACTCATCGAGTGCACGCCTATATGGAATATGCGACCCCACATCCTCCGATCTTCATGGCCGATGATGGCGTCTCCGTCGGAGAACGTGTGGGTAGTCCGCTCGGGATTCCGGTTTGGTCCCATGATACATCTGAGGCACAAATGGACGAGATACGTAGGAGGTGTTTGGTAAAATGAACGTGTCGATTTCCTTCTGCGGTGAGATAATCCCAAACAATAAAACCATTTTCTAAAAGTGATCGTGTCGATGGCCACGAAACCGCGTGTCCAGAGACGGACCATCTACTCTACGCCTCCGTCAGGCAAGCTCCCGCAACGCATGTCCCTGAACCCGCGTAGTCTCGCCCTGTACAGCACGAGCCGTGCGTTCGCGTCGACGCCGATGGCTTCAGCCGGCGTTGCAGTAGGGGGTCTGGGGCGGCGCGGCGCCCCGGGGCAACACCTGGGCGGCGATGAAGAGCTCGTGGCCGTCGGGCAGGGTGATGACCGTCTCGGCGGCATTGTGGGTGCTGCCCGAGGTCGCGCGGGTCAGGCTCTCGATGAAGGCGTTCACCTGGGTGTTCTCGCCGCCGCAGGCGCCCAGCTGGTCGTTGTCCTGCGCGGTGGCCACCGACCCTTGGGCGTGGGCGTATGCGTAGCCGATGGCTGGGCCGCCGACCGTGGTCGCGACGGTGATGCTGACCGGATGGGCGTGGATGCTGTGTCACGACCGAATTAGAAAGGCCAGTCGGCGTGGAATGGAACGGCATCTCGAATCTGGAAGGGGGGGAGGGGGGGAGGGGGGACGTACAAGTCATACAGGGTGGTGTAGATATACTTCGCCGCATAGAATCCCCGGACGGCCTGGCCCCAGCCGGCGCCGATGTTCAGGGCGGTCCCGTCGACGATGTCGCGGGTGCAGTCGAGGGCAGCCCGGCATGAGGCGAAATCCCAACGCTTGCAGTGACCTTCCGTGCAGTTGCTCTGGAACCCCGAGGACAGCGAAGGTTGGTGATCGTGGTCGCCGTAGACGATGAAGTCTTCGCTGAGGACATGGATGCTGTCGTCCCACTCATCGATCGGGATGCCGATGGTCACTCCTAGAGCGACTTGTTGCCATTTCCAGGTCCTGCCAAACCCCTCGGTGACCATGCCGTGGCCGAGTCCAGATTCGGTGGCAACGTATGGATCCCAGTGAGGCGCCAGACTGCCGGTGGCGTCTTCGATGGAGATGTTGAGCTGTTCACGCATGCGAGCCTGCTGCGCCGTCCAGGGAGAGTCGAGTGAAGCCTGGCGGCGAGTACGGGGGAGACTGCGCCTGTTGTCTTGACTGTTCTCGAGGAATCTGTAGGATTGAGCATTGGTTCCTGCCCCGGTGAAGTCAATGCACCCCGTCGTGGTGCTCGCTACCACCGGACCGGAGCAATCCGTGCTCGCGTAAAAGGCCACGTCTACCGAGTGAAGGTCAGCTATGCAGCACGGCAAGGTGGACATCATGTCGACGTACTCGCGTTCTCGGCATCGTCCAGACTGTCAGCGTCTGCAACGAGTTTCACATAGGCCGATTCAGCATTGATCGGGTTGTGGTAGCAAGGCTGGCTGGCGTCGTAATGGTTGCCAAAGATGCCCTCGGGGCTGCCAGAGCATTTCGGGCCGCCATAGAAGTCGACCGTGAAGCCAAAGCCGGCCGCTGAAGCCGAAGCCAGCATAGAAGCCATGAGCAACGAATACATGCTTGAGGTGCTGGTGAGATTTGTGGGATTGGAATGTGATTGTTCGAATGATGTGCAGGAGCAGAAAATCATCTTGTATTGGAGATGCTCTTATTTATATCCAAGCAATTGGTTGAAACTCGGTGACTCGGCTCGATGCAAGATCACCAACATACCTGCCTCCACCAATCATCACCCTGTCCAACAACCTGTGCCTGCTCGCTGGTCATCATCATCATCGTGATGAGAAAACCAACATACCTTTCCTGGCACAGCACGATCGTCAAAAGACCAACATGCCTTCCTTCGTACATCGTGGCTCCATTCGTCGAGATGCGCGACCACGTCCAACAAGCGGCCGATGTTGCGCGAACATTCGAAATTTCTTTCAAAGGACGGCGTGGGATGCCGGATGTTGTCGATGTGATTCGCTCTGGCGATGCTGTGTCGTGGGCCGAGTCATCTGGTGCGGCAGTGTCAACATCATGCATACAGTTGCGACTCCGCAGTGCGCGACGATCGCAGAGTCTAGCGGCCCATGGCCGGGAATTCGGTTGGTTTCGAAATGGATCATCGTGATGGACCAAGGAGTAGAGTAGCGCGCTCGGGATCCACGCCCTCTACTCGGATGACACAAGGATGTAGAGGAACCGCGCGCTCAGAAGATTCCGTTGGGGCTTCCTCGTCGTTTGAAGCCATTGAACCCTGTCGGCCTGTGGTAGTCATCGACGCGTTGAGCTGTACGACCACTTTGCTATCCAAGGCTTCGGATGCAGAGTATTGATACTTCGGACGTCCTTCAGGCCGAGGGCCTTGCCTCGCCGCACACTTGGATAGATGCGGCGTGTCGGTGTAGCATCTCACTGCTGATCGTCCATCTCGTTGGTCGCAAAAGAGCGGAATTTGCGCCGCCCGAGCACGAGCGGCTGAGCAGTTGGCATCACGATCGTCACATAAACACAGGTGGATTCTCGCGTAAGCCTGACGACGATGTTGAGGAATTGCAGCGCATATGATTGGCGGCTTACTCGGCTGCTGCGTTGGTTCCCCAACAGTTGGCTCTGTCAACCTTTGCGGGCACCAGCTGGAGCGAAGATGGTCCAAATCGGGACATCAGTTGGCAAGGCCAACAGATTCGGGCAACATTCCGTCCGGCATGTCTTGTTTTTTAAGCTTGAGTCCCTGGACGGGATTGGCTCTTGTGACGGACAGGGGATGCACGCGCTACCGTGTGAAGTCCCTGCGACCACCAACTCAATCTCGTGTTGGTGATCCACACTCGGCGAATTGTGTATGATGACTTGTCCTGTAGGGATGGTAGATTCGATGACGACGTGCTCCCATCTTAGTAGTCGATGCGTCACTTGAATCTACCCAGGTAAGGTCATCATTGCCTTGAGGAAACTCGTGACGCCGGCGTCAGATTTATGCTCAGGTGCAGGTGGATCCATGGATTTCGAAGGTATTAGGGTTCAGGCGGAATAATAATGAAGACTCCTGTGCCTTCACTCACATACAGTTCCGAAGTATAGCAGCACGTGAGTTGCGGTTGAGTGTTACGATCAGGTACTGTACGTCTCGATGATGGCCACAGACTGTGAATTTCCTCATTCGAATCGTTCCAATCGCAACGACATGCCGAAGCTGGTCTCCGTTATTCCTGACGACGTACGTGATCGCACTTGGTATCATCCATCAGAGCGATTCGAGCGATGATCGTCTTGCGGCGCAGTGGAAATGTGGGTCACCAACCTCACGTTGAGGCATTACTGTACTATACCATCTGTCGGCGAAGGCAACACCTGCGCGCTCAGAGGCGATCGAGCATGCCGTCGCATCCGAAATGTCCGATTGTGTCGAGTCGGTCATTCGCGGCACGTTTTCATTTGTGAATCAATTCGTAGCAGAGCCTCCTCTGCTCATACACCTCACAGCCGAGTAACATGAAGACCGGTCGTCCAGAAACCTCGCAACATCTCCCTGCCCAAGATCCAATCCAATCCAACCCAGAGAAACCCGAAATCGAGATGGGCTACCTACCCCATTCGACGGCGGGCGCCATCGCAGCGACACTATCCATCTCAGCAAACTTCTACGCCCAATTCCTGATCCGAGACATGCTCGAAGGGTTTGAGATGCAATACCTCGCCCGATGGGGTGCGGCGACGGTGATCGCTGTGCTCTGCCTTCTCATCTACGGAAAACTCAGTGGTGAGAAGGGTGCGGACCCGATCATGAATTTGATCATCAGCCTGGGACCGCCGAATATACTGCCGTACGTTCTGGACGGGCTGGAAGGGTATTATCAGAAGAAGTCGGGTTGTATGTAGGCGGGAAATGGATCGCATGCGTCAAGCTTATCTGTACGCTCCTGATGGACAGAGCAATGGAGCTCAGACGGTCATGCCAACTATCTACAGTATGCGACGAGGTGGACAAGTTCGACGAGACGAAAGCGCACCATCAGGGAGGGAGGAAGATGACAGCCGGTCAGGTGACTCTGCGACGAGGTTGTCACGGTTGTGTCGTATCGGGCTGCGTTCTTTCTACACGTCTCGGAGGAGGTGGATCAGTGTATGACGATGCAGGTGTTCAGTGATACACCCAGAGACGTCTCCACCTATGTTTGTACTGTACCTGTCTCCATCTCGGCAATGGATTTATTCCAGGTCCCTTCATTATTATTATGATTATTATTATCATTACAGTACAAGAATGACTATAATTATCATCACAGTCGCTCTTTCCCTCCGCCAAGGACGTTTTCCTTCCGCCGCTGCAGTACTACCATCCTCCCCGTACTCGGCTATTGGCTCGGCGTGGCCTGATTGAGACGCCAAGGCTTGAAGTATTGAATGGCACGATGACATACCCAACTTGCACTCGTTGGACGCAGACGCCTGGCTGTGTTTGTACCATCCAATTCCCCATCGGCACATCCTTCACTTCACCTCATCGTCACTCCTCTCCGCGTCGAAGGCTCGCTCCTGCATTTCTTGCATGGGTCTTGGCCCTATTTCTCACATTCCCGACTTAGGTAATGATCATAGTGTAATAAGGAACGATCCCATGTCTCTCTGCCCTCGTTTGCATGGGTTTGATCTGTGGTCTGCCCCGTCGTCCTCGTGCACGACCTCGTGTCAGCATGCATCGCACCCCGTCCTTGACCAATGTCATCGTGACACACGGCCAGCTTGACTCAGGGATGTACAGTAGCATCTTCGAGCCTTGCTTGGGCTCGTCCGCTTACAGGACCTATAGGTAGGATGAGAACCTTGGAAGCTGCCATTGCCATGCTACCGAGTAATAATAAGCGATGAATGGATGTAACGACAGAATCCCATCTAGGGCAGGTATGCACTCTGTACGTAATGAACGTGCAAAAATAGTCCCCATTCCCACCTGCTCACCTGCCCGTGATCGACGACGAGTGGTGATGACTGGTGATGACTACCGGAAAGGACAGGTCGGGGTAGTATAGTACCTGCATCTCCCGTACACTACTACACACCTCCAATGCTCCTACCATGTGCTGTGCTGCGAGCTCGTGCCGAATTGTGGCTTGCATTGGAAGAGCAAAAAATACAGCCCGGTGAATACTTACTTATAGCTCGCCAGACCTCACCTCATCTCTTTCTGCTATCCATCAGTCATTCGCTTCGCATCACGCAATCAATCATATTTGATCTCCGTCGATCCAAACAAAGATCAAGTAGAACATCAGACATAGCGTCGTCAATCATGCACGCCATCACCGCGACAGCGACCCTGTTGTCCCTGGCCACGCTCTCGCTGGCTCACGGAACACCACCACCACCACCTCCTCCTCCTCCCGGGTATCAAGCACCACCGCCACAATACAAACCCACCACCACGTCCTTCAGTGTCTCGATCCTGCCCATCACCACCAGCGAACCCATCTTCTCCATTCTCCCCATCAGCCTTTCAACCACGACCTGTACTCAAACCATTTGCGCCGACTACGTGAACGAGTGTGGCCAGTGGTACGGAGGGTGTTACGCCGCCTGCCCGGACTCGCCCAAGCCGACCTTCACTCCTCCGCCATGCACCAAGACCACTACGACTAGCAAGGCCACTACCACGAGCAAGCCAGCCTCGAAGAAGTCATCGACCGCAACTTGCACACAGACCATCTGCGCCGACTACATCAACGAATGCGGCCAGTGGTACGGTGGATGTTACGCTGCCTGCCCGGGTCTCCCGAAACCAACTTTCACTCCTCCACCTTGCACGAAAACCATTGTACCCATCACCACTACCACCACCACCCCGACCAGCAGCAAGCCCGGCAAACCCACCAGCTCCTGCGCGCAGACCATCTGCGTCGACAAGATCAACTCCTGCGGCATCCGCTACGGAGATTGCTACGCCAACTGCCCCGACTCCCCTCCACCGACCTTTACCACCCCTCCTTGCCCTCCGACGACCACCGGTAAGCCCACCGGCAAGCCCGCCACCACTACCTGCACCCAGACCATCTGCGTCGACAAAGTCAACTCTTGCGGATTGAAATACGGCGGCTGCTATGCCAACTGCCCCGACTCTCCCCCGCCGACCTTCACCACCCCTCCCTGTCCCACCACCACCCAGAAGTCCACCTTGACATTCTCGGCCTCCCTTCCCATCCTCACCCTCACGACCGCGACTACTTCCTGCCCGTTCCTCTGCAGAGACTACTTCGACTCTTGCGGAAACACCTTTGGTCCTGGATGCTACACCTCGTGCCCGGGCGCCAAGGAGCCGAGTTACACTACACCTTTCTGCGCGAGCGCTACTACCACCAAGCCGGCGGTGACGACTACGGCGAAGCCGAAGGGATACTAAGTGCAATCAAGTTGAAGTGATAGCTTGAGATGAGATGATTTGATTCATCGAGGAAGGTCATTGAAATGGAGAAAATAGCATCCTCTTTTCGTAATGTGAATGATGTGAGGACAGGAATTTTTTTTATCAGTCTATTCTTATCTGATGAGAAAGGGAAAAGCCAAGCAAGAAATATGGCAAGACAAGTAGCTACGTATTATTCCAACGAAGAAATGACAAGCGTTCCATCCAAAGTTTCCTGGGAAAGCGAGAGGGGTGAGAGGTTCGAATATACCCATCGTGCGATGTATCCCCCTTCGCCTACCCGCTCAACACCTCCTCAAGACCACCCGCAGCGGCTTCTTCTCCCAAAACAACCAACTCCTCTGCCCCTCCGCCCACCCTCTCGACTCCGCACAAAGCTCCAGGTCAAACCGTAACAATGTCGTCACCAGCAACAGTCGCATCTCATGATAGGCCAGATTTCTCCCCAGACAAGCCCGCGGGCCAGTACCAAACGGCATGACCGCACCGAGGCGATCCTGACCGAAAACCCCCTCGTCCCCCATCCCTTCCTCCTCACAGTCATCCCCCCGCAGCCACCGTTCCGGTCGGAAGGCGTCGGGATCTCGGAAATGCTCGGGGTTCCGGTACGCGGCGAGATGATGGACGCCCACGACGGTTCCCCCCGGCACGAATCTCCCCCCGATGACCGTCCCGCCTTCGGGCACGATCCGGGGTGCGGTGCCGGGGATCGGGGGATACATGCGGAGACCCTCGGAGATCACCGCGGAGAGGTAGGGCAGGCTGGAGCACTGCTGAAGGGTCACGTCGTCGGGGTCCGGGAACGCGGTGCGGATCTCGTGGACGAGCTCGGTGAGGGAGGATGGATTGGCCAGGAGGTTTTGCGTTATCCCGCTGAGCGCCGAGGCGGTCGTTTCGGTGCCCGCGATCATGAAGAGCGAGGCGTTGGAGTAGTGCTCCTGTCTGCTGAGGTCGTCTCGGTGGGCTTCGTCGAGTACTGCGCTCCAGAGATCCGGTCTTTCCGGCTGCAGGTCTAGGCGTCGATCGACGCGGCGGACGGACTGGTTGAAGTGGTTCCAGAATTGCGCTTGGACGATCGGGCTTTTCATGAGGAGGTCGTCGATCAGCTCGGAGGGGATGCCGCCGAGGCGTTTGAAGGCTTGGAGGCGGGCGGTGAGCTTGATCCCGGCGAAGATGGCTTGGACCCAGGGCGTGAGTTGGGCGTTGTCGAGGAGGTTGAGGCTTTCGTTGAAACTCAGGTCGGCCATGATGTCTGTTTTGTTTTCCGTCCCCCGATCTTGTCAGCCTGGGAACGAATCGGGGAGTTTGAAAGACGGAGAACGTCCACTTACCGAAGGTGGTGCAATTGAAGTACTTGACCATATCGATCGCATCCCTCCCATTGGCATGTGCGTCCAATTTCGCGACCATTTTCTCCGCCCAGAATTTCAACCTGGGCTCGAGATCCCTCATGGATTTCTCAGCAAACGCATGAGTAAATGCCTTCCTCTGTCTCCCGTGCGATGCATCATCGAGCACCGTGATCATGTTATCCATGCCATTCAACGGCGTGGCATAGAACGCTGGATCTTTGTAGAGGTTCGGGCCGGACTTGCGGAAGCCGTAGATCTCTTTGAAGGCGGTGCTGCCGTCGCTGTAGGAGAGTTCGCGGGGAGCGATGCGGACTATCGGGCCGTATTGGGCATGTAGGGAGGGCACGACTGTGGTATCGTCGCCGATGAACTCGTTCCATGCTTTGGGGAGGATGCTGATGGCCCGGAGTTTTGGGCCGGGATAGTGGCTCAGTGGGCCAGTGAAAGCCTGCCAGATGCTCTTGATGAAGGTGATCATTGCCCATACCATGCCAGCAAGGAAAATCAGCTGCAAGAGAGTCATATCACCAAGAATATGCATCATCGTGGTTTTCAAGTGAATAGACCTGCAGAGGTAAAGTGATGTATCTTGTGTCCTGACAAGTAGGAGAAAGTGCTTGATGTCCACATTTTCAGCCTGCAAAACGGAGGCATGAACCCATACTTATAGCACCCATGATGTCCTCTGCGTGGATGTGGGCCATGACGTTTTCGCATTGTTGTAGTGCATGTAGACACGAAGAATACCTGTAGAAGCTTGGTGCTGAAGTCTCCCGGTTGTGGTCATTCTCCGGCTGTGAGGGTATTTCCCGATGCAGGCTTCACAACGACCGACTTCCTTGCTTCCGCTTCATCAAGCTGACTGCACCTGCACATTGTTGTGATGATGCGCTTGGCAAATCTGACGGCCGAGGCTCGGGTGAAGACGCGAGCAGCAAATGTCTCGATTTGAATTATGCGACCCATAAATCGCTCCTATCACGAAGTCGTTGGCAAAGGCCAGTCGAAGGATTGAGCTTTTCGCCCTGATGATCCTGGGCCGTCATGCTGCGCCACGTATCAAACATTCATTTCGCAAGGGCAGTTTTGCAAGGCAGCCGACTTCCGTCAACCTTCAGTTAAATCAGCTACAGTCAACCGTTACTCAACGTCGAAAAAGTTTCATTCATCTACTTCGCAAACAAGATGGTTGTTCCTCAGCTGCCAGAGGAACTCCTACTCCAGATCTTCTCCTGTATACCAGTGGTTTCCCGCACGATTGATTTCGAGGAACATCCCGACAATAAATGGATTCTGAAGCTTCTGCGGTCGCTCAGTCTGGCTAGTCGAGCTTTCCATCGCATGATCACACCCTTCCTGTATGGAACGATGGTACTCTATGGTGATGACGACGAGTTGCGATACTTTGTGCGCACTCTTCTTGCACGCCGCGATCTTGCTGGTCTGGTTAAACAAGTTATCTTCGGATGTATTACACCAAGGCGCGAAGTGGAAGACACGCAAAGATATGATCCGATCTTTGTAGAAATGCGGGCTTTCCTCAAAGAACACCACGTCGAAGATGACTTTGGCAGAGACCTCACGTCGGATTCCAGATTGGCAAGCGACGATATTTGCTTCGTCATCATCTTTCAACTTTGCCCGCGAATCAATGGTCTCGACATCAATCTCTATAATGTTGCCCAAAATGCGTTCTGGATGATTTTGCAAAAGCGCCTCGAGATTCAGCCATCGACCGTTCTCTCAACCTCGAGCATCCTTGACACATACCTCCCCTGCCTGGAATCCGTGTCTGTTCACCTGTACGAGATGCACGAAATGTTTGGTAGTCAAGTTGACATGATGTCCGACATGGGCGTCTTCCTGCTGATGCCCACTCTGAAGAAGCTAACGTGCGACTACCTTACCTTCTTCACTCGGTATAATTCACGGACCCGCTATTATCAGGAAGCCGAGGAAATGTCAGGTTGGCTAGCAAGACACTCCCACAGGCAATCCAATCTGCGCGAGCTCCATCTACTAAATTGTTCTTCTACGGCGGACCTCATGCTCAAATTTATAGATCTAATGCCACATCTGCAGGTCCTACATTTGGCGTTCACCGAGCCATATGTCATTGCAAGCTACAAGCAAATGAGCGAGTTCCTGCGAAAAGTAACGATCCCTTTACGAGAGTTGCGCTTCGATGTCGTTTCGCCCGGACCATCCATTTTTTATGAGACCATGGACGATCCTCCAGAGTTGATTGAAGACGTCAACGCCGCAATAGAAGCAATAGATTATATGGAGCATACCAACCGAGACAAGGAATGGACTAGCTTGGCAAACATGACCTCGCTCGAAATCATTGGCGTTCCATGTGAAGCAGTATGCGACAATCTTGTTAATCAGCCTCACCCCAAGGAGCCTAATAGCTTTCTGTCGCAAACTCTCCCTTTTGAAAACTTGCACACACTTGAGCTCCGAGAGTACAGAAAATGCTCTTCGCCCGAAGTAGTTCGCACGGCTTTGTGGAATCTCATGTACGATTCTCGTTTTCACAAGCTGCGTCGCGTTGAACTCACCGCCACTCGTGCTTTGAATCAGACACGGGATGCGTACGTAGAACCCGAGCCGCTGCCTGACTATCCTCGAGAAGCACTCCACCCGGGCTGGAAGGCGACGAGGTCGATCTTCTGGGATACGTATCAGTGTCGAGATGCGATTGTTCTCATCCGCAAAGGTCCTGATGACGAGATCTGCAGTTCTCGGAGCATGCCGGAGAAAGCCTCGCAATTCAGATCGCGCATACCGCGACGCGTCCCAGCGCCGTCGACAACGTCGAGCGTTACTGATCAAAATGCTGAAAGTAATTCTTCGTAAAAATCATTAGTACAGCACTTCTAAATCAATCCTCAAGAGCTCATGTAATCTATCATTTCTATGGTGAATGAGAGGGATATTCCAAGATTGTGTTGTTTTACGACAGGTCACTTTTACAGCTGAGGGTCTCGACAGATATGATTCCACGTACCTTCGAGAAATGATTCCGCCCGGCTGGACTGCTACAGTGATCGACAAGAGTATACACAAATACGAAGCTTTAACCACCGTGGCGCGAACGGGCACTTGAGAAACAGACGAGCACTATCGCAACTCAAAACCACTCATAGCTTCTCCCGCCCATCGACATTGAACAAACAACTTCCGCTACCAGGCTTGGAGACCACAATCGCCTCCTTGAGCTTGTCCTGGGTGATGTCCGGAAACTTCTTCTTGTAATACTCAAAGATCCATTTCTGCTTGACATTCTCCACCTTGTCCTCTGGCACTAGATGCACAGAGCACCCGCCCCATCCAGCGCCCGTCAGACGACTTCCATACGCACCTGCGGAGCGCGCCAGGCTGCATAGCTCGTCGAGCTCGGGACAGCTGTTTTCGTAGATCTCGCGACAGGAATCTTGTGTGTCGTTGAGGAGCTCTCCGAGGGAGGTCAGCAAGGCTTTCTCTTCCTTGTCATCCTGCGGAGGTGATGATGTGAGAAGATCACGGAATCGTAGAACACGGTTGGCTTCGCTGAAGACGTGCAGTGCACGTTGTCGGAGTTTGAATTTCTCGGCGCGAATGGGGAATTTCGTCATGTACTTCTTCTCGAGCTCGTCGACCGGGATGCCGAGGATTTCGGAGATTTGTTCGCGGGTGTAGCCTTCTTCCTGTGGGAGGTAGGAATCGACTTTGGAGATGAGGTCCTGGAGCTGTTGTTGGAATTGTTCCTTCGAGACGGCGTGATTGTTCTCGACGCCTTCTTTTTGTTGCATGTACGTGTCGTGGAAGCCTCTTAGACTTACGCCCAGGGGACCTGCATCCGATGGTAACTGTTTGATACCGAAGATCTTTGCCAGAACCAATGCCGCAAGCGTGACCTCGACGACTCTTAAATTGTAACATACTGGCCCAGTAACGTGCTTGTCAGCCGCGACAAATGACTGCGCAATGACAAACGTCAACGGACTCTTGAGCTCCGGGAACGAAATGTTCTGCGCCGACAATTCCGGCACGAATGAGACATATAACGCCGAACCCTGCAGTGGGAACACCGATGCAGCTTGGTCCATGCCGCCCGAATTGACTCCGACGGAGCGTTCTGACACGATCGCGAGCTCGACAAGCTCCTTCTTGTCAACTTCTTCAACTCCATTGGCGCGCATGACGGCCAGAGCGCTGGCACAAGTAAACGCGGCACTGCTCGAAAGACCACCTCCCGCCGGCACAGATCCATCGGCAAAGACGTCCATTCCAACACTACGTTTGAAGTCTTGCTTCTTCTTTCGTAGAAGCTCGGTGGCGCCTGCGAGTCCTGATTTGAAGTAATTTGTCCATTCGAGGGTTGCCGAGTCAATATGGACATCGCCAGTGTCGGGAATGTCGAACGCTCGGCATTTGAACTTTTCGGGATCGATGTTTGTGAGACGGATTGTGCTTGGACCGGACTCTTTGGTGTGGATGGAAACGGCGAGTAAGACGTCTGCGGTCACGGCCATTGGAATTACTTCGTATAATGAATAATCGATGTGCTGACGACGGCCCTTATTAATACATTTTTATTCTCCAGTGTATTGTCTGATCTAGCTTACTTCGCCAATGAGGTTGACGCGACCAGGACTTCTTGCAACGAAATCTGGGAGTATGCCATATTTCGATTGAAATGAGCTCAGCAGACGGTTCCATCGTTCCGTTTGACTATCCAGAGCATCTTCTGGATAAATCTCCGACAGGGTCTTCTTGAGGGGGACTGCCATCTTGATCGATATGTCGCTGATCAATGATAGTTGCGTTATTTGCGATTGCAATGTTGCGAATGGCAAGAGGAAGAATCGTCGATGGACAATATTTGAACGGCGTTCGGCTGCATCATTAAATCATTGCACGACACAACGTGAAGTCGTTCAGGGTCCGGCGCTCCACCTGCGCCCGACGATGAAGCTGTTCATGTGGTGCAGCTTTACCCTAAGCAGATCGATCTTCACACTTTTGCGCCCAAATGATGGTTTTCTCCACATGCCGGGCACGGGTTTGCTGTTCTCGTGTAGGGCCGATTGGAGGTCAAACCAGTGACATTGCCACACAAACACGCAGTGTGTAACAATATTTTCTCTTTGAAGCGATGAGCTCCTAAGCTCTTTCGGCCGGCGGCGACAATCCGAACACTAAAGTGCGAATCGAGACTTTCCGGTCGTTATGCCGCTGGGGGAGACGTGTGTCCAGTGTTCGAGATCATAATGTGCGAGCAGGGTTCTTTATGACGGGCGGGCCTTGTTGGCTCCTGCGACTGCCTTGTTCATCATTCGCGACCGTTCAGGGCCATGTTATGGAGAGCAGCGTGAACAGCTATCCTCGCATCTTGGTTGCTCGACGTTGGCTTCTTTCAGCCGACTGAGACGAAAAATGTCTCGTTGTGGTTGACGACGGGTCATCAGGAGATTGATTTTCTCGGGGTCAAGACGTATCTGGTATGACTTTGAAGTCGTACCCATAGCCACGGAGAAGGCGTGCGCATAGAGTTGCATGTTCGGCTTCACAAACCTTGATCATTTGTCGCAACGTTGCAGGGCCCAGCTTTAGTCCGAAGAGAGTCTTTGAACTCAAGCTTCAACCCTGGCAACGGCTCTTCGTGAGCTTCTTTACAAGGTCTGGTCTTCCAGCCCAGCTCTTCAGCTCCTCTTCCCACCACCACTCTTCCCGTCGTCGTCCCACGCATCATCATCCATGCCCGCTCCGCTCCCAAATTTCCTCCCCAGCCAGATCCCCACTGCCGTGAGTCCCACAGCGACAAGGAACCAACCCTCAAACCACGTCTCCACGAACAATGCCTCGAGTGGAGTACCCAGCGCATCCGTGACCACACTGCTTATATCTTCAGGCAAATTGCTCCCCAGTAAAATCGCGGATGCGATGACATATGTGCCCGCGACCTGCGATATGATCAATGGCAGGCTGGTTTGTGCGTGCTCGACTAGTCCTGGCGCGAACCGCGCGAAGAGCCGGAAGGTCTGGAGGACGGCGCTGAAGGATGCTAGTAGCATGACGCCGGAGAGGAGGAAGCTGAATTGTCTAGACCAGGCAGCGCGGTCAAGTTCGCTGTCCCAGTGGGATGTCATGAGGGCGAGGATGTTGTTGATTGGGTCGCTGGTGGCGAAGTTATGGGATGGTTGCCACCGGCGGCGGAGCGACGAGACGAGGGTTGCGCCAATGCGGTAGGCACAGTAGACGGCAAAGACGGTGTTGAAGCCGAGGAGGATCTTGCCGGTTTTGGTTTTGGAGCGTTCTTGGATCGCGCGTCGTGATTGACTGTTGGCGAGGGAGGTGGACAGACCAAAGCGCATTGTCTCGAGTCCGGCGATCTCCATTTGTAGAGCTCGAAGCTCACTGGACTCGTTGGACCCACCAAAGGCGCCCAAAACGCGACCCATAAGGCCATTTTGGTCAACGGGTGACGTTCCATTGTTCATCTTGTGTAGAAGTGCCCTGACGCGGCTCTGTTTCGCCGCAAGCAATTCTTCCGTAACACTCAGCGAATTGGCTTTGCGCGTGATGTCTGCTTCCTCCACCGGTCTGTACCGCGCTCCAAATGTCTGCCATATCGAGGACACCGCCGCAAAGCCTGAGAGCGAGGCCATCAAGGATATCCCAATAATTCCAACGCGCTCAAGACACTTCTCAGAGAAGTGATTGTCTGTACCCTTCCGCCACTTTTCATTCTCTTCCAATGATTTCCGCAATATTGACGCCTGGGGAAGATGCCAGAACACCAGCAGCCACGATATCAAGATCGCCAATTCTCCAATCAAGCGCGTTCGTGATCTCCATCGCGACTTCGTATTCGCAACCGACGCCGCAGGTGTCCCAAATACAACTTTTGCGATTCCGTGTATTTCCAGCGCCGGTATGATCAGAATGACCAAGATGAGCAGCGAACTCAAGGTGAGTCGCAGCGCCAATGCTCTGGCGGCAGGTTGCAAAAAGTTCGAGACTTCGCACAACAGGAGCTCAACCAGAACCGCGGACAGGCCAATGCTTGTGGAGAACACTTCCGAAGCAACTTTTTTCGCCGAGGGTTTATGGATCTTCGCGCGCCATTTCTTTGAGTTCGGATCCTTCTTCGCATCTTTGTTGTAGATCGGGAGTCGGTCGGGAACAGTGCGCGGCGCATCGCTGGACACAAGCGGGAGAAGTCGGTAATTTGCGAGCGTAACAACGGCGACGAATGTGATCTGGAAAGGTAGAGTGGAGAGTAGTACGGATAGCGATGGCGCTCCCATCAGTCCGCGACTGTGGAGGTAGGAGGGCATACAATCATCGCAGCTGTCGTCCATGGGGAATCGAGCGGCGAGAGAGCGATTGAAGAGAGAACGTGGAGCGGCGCATTAAGCGTTCAAGATCGTCAAATTGTATTTAGACCGGCATTAAAGTGTTGATCCATCGGTATCGTCAAAATGCAAAAGGGAAACAATAAATCAAGGATGGAAATGGAAATGGCCTCCCTCCATTGACCTCCGCACACTAAATGGCGTATCTTGACCCTGCAGATGGAACGCTTTCTGAAACTCGCTTGTGCCTGGAAGATCGTCATCGCTGCGGAGCCGAGGACGCGCACTAAATTATGTCGCGTACACTAGCGTGGTAGAACAGTTCTCCCGGCCGCGGCCTGTCAATCGCAGTCGACAAGTCTCCGTGACCACCGTGTTTCGATATCGACTAGAGAGTCGAGATTGTTCCGAGTGCAGCTCAGCGCGAAAATCACGTGCCCTGTACACAGGCTACGGCCCCAGATCTTCTAGAAACGTAAATGTATAATCCGTACAGGTACATCTATCTTCACAACGTCCGATCTCAAGTGAAGACATTCCCCAAATTATGCTCGCGAATGTAGTCGCTTCCCTTCTCCAAATACTCCTCCTTCGTGACAAACGTCGCGCGGCTCTCCCCAGAACTCGCCCACGCCGCCGCACCCCTCCAGGCATCTAGGACAGGGTCCTTGGCCGTGCGCACACCGAGCTGGAAATCCGCCGGGAGAACGGCGCGCAGCTCAGTTCGGAGTCTCTCCTCGAAACCCTGGAAAAGCGCATAACCGCCCGTGACGAAGACGTCCTTGAGGATGTCGTTTCGCGAAGGGTGGGAGGTGAGGCGTTGCGTGATGATGTCTTCTGCGATTTCGACGAGGCCGGCTTGGTCGACGCCGGCTATGGAGGGTTGGAAGACAACTTCTGGCACGCGGATGCGTTCGACGTTGAGATGGAATTGACTGCTCTCTTTCGCTGACTCGCCGTCAAAGGGCCAGGGTCCGCGTAGAAAGGCGTGCACAAGGGATTTGGTCCAGTCTTTTTGGGCTTCTTGGGTACTCTGCTCGGTGAAATTGGGGTCGTGTTCGAGAAGCTGGGCTTCGATGCCTTTAAGTTGAGCGCTGAAGTCTTCTTCCTCGTCGTCTTCGTCGTCGTCGTTCTTGCCTGCTTGAATCTCGCGGTAGATCATCCAGTCAGCATCGTCAGCACCGAAACCATCATCGTCGGTCCCGCCGCGCCGCCGCTTTTTGCTTGTTGGTGTATCTGAGGCGAGATTGGCAATGTGTTTCATGCGCATCTGACTCGCTTGTGATTTCCGGTTCGTGAGCTCGGCTTTCAGTCGTTCCCGATCCTTGATCTTTTGCAACACAGCAAGGCGAGCGCCGCGTCGCTCTTCAACCCAGCCATCCAGATCTGCTTCTCTCCTCTCATCATCGATTCTCTGTAATTCAGCTTGTCGTGCTTTCTCGGCTTCTTTCTCGGCTTTGGCTCGAGCGCGAGCGTCATGGTTGCTCTTTAAAAGTCTCTGTGCCTTCTTGGCTCGAATGCCATCTTCGTCCAAGTCCTCATCTGGGATTTCCAGCAATGGGTAGGTCGGTGGCTCTTCCGGCTCTTCCTCCAAGTCACCGACGTCCTTATTCCTTTGCTTTCTGATGCTCTTCTCCATCTCTTTGATCTTGCGATCGAGTTGCGCTTCGTCCTTGAACTCATCCTCATCCAGTAGACTTTTGATCGCCTTCTTGGTTGTAGCCTCTGATATCCTCCTCTGGAGATCTTTGTAGTATTCTAATTCCTGCTCCTTCTGCACCAACTTCTCGAGACGCATTTTCGCCGCCTGCTCTTGCAACCGTCGTCCACCTTCTCGTCTCTTCTCTTCCGCGCGTCGGATCTCCTCCTCCGTTTTCACAACCACTTCCTTTTCCTGGAACGGAAGCTGCACCACACGATCTCTGTCCTCCAGCCCAGTCCAATCCAGAAGCTTCACCATATCATTCTCGTAGTCCTGGGCGACATAGCAGTGTGATTTGATGAGATCCTCGATTTGCGTCTCCGTGACTTTGCCGCTCGTGAGAAGTCCAGGGTACTTGGTCTTCAGCAACCTCATAAGAAAGTCCACACATTGTGATCGGCCCCAATCAAGACGCGTCGCCTGGTTGATGAGCGGCTGCTTGTCGACCACAGGAATGAGGTGTGTGCTGGTGTTCGCGCTGGACACCACCAGACCCGTTGTGCCGCGGTTGTACCTGTAGCTGAACAACGAGTCCACTCCATATGCGACGCTGGGGACATTGTATAGCTCGTAGAAGATCTCGCTCATAACTTTCCTCGCATATCCGACATTGGCCAGTGGCTCTGTCATAACGATCGGCCTGTCCACTGAATCCTCAATCCCGAGCTTGATGAAGATGTAGTCGAGTATTCCCTCTTGCGCATCCCAATTGTTCACGATATTGCTTCCAGGCTCATAGACATTCTTCGCCTGTCCTCGCGCAGTTCCGTCGAAGAAAATCTCGCTGCCGATAAATTGCAACTTGCGATTCAGCTTGCGATCCATGTATCTTGCCATGAGAGGAGGGAATTGCAGTCGAGGCGCGGCATCGCTCTGCCAGCCTGCACGAACTGTCGAGGAGCCATTGTCGATGACGATCGCGGTGTTGGCATCGCTCTTGCGGTATGCGCTGGTGTTAGAAGGTAGTTGGCCGTGGTATGGTGGATCGCTGATGTTGTATAATTTGGTGAGAGGCTCTTTGGGAGCGTTCACCTCCGAACGCGTGATCACGGGCAAGACATGGTGCGGCATTGTTGTTACTTGTGATGGTGGATGATCAGAACATTATATTCGTGAATACGGAAGACGCGCTTAAATTTGAATTCACAATTGTCCGTCGCGTGGAGGTTTGAATAGATCCGACAAAAGCTGCTCACGAAGCTGGGTGTGACGTGCATGCCTTCAAATCCGCGCCGTACAAGTGCATGTTGATCGCATTCACCTCACACACTACATAACCAGTACAGAGCATCATTTTCCAATGCAAGAACCCAATTTGCGGGAACGCGTCTTGAGAATATCGCTTTTGACATTAAAACTATGCACATAACATGAGGATACCAAAACTCCGAATGCACCAGATCTCAGTAAGCTTGCACACATCAAATAACGTAGGTTCATTTCATCCTTTCAAATCATGCAACTGCGACTTCAGCAACCTCAAGCACCGCAATAGTGCTCCTACGGTTCTTGCTCATATTCACCACTCGCGGCCGCAACGCCGTACTGCACATGACAACGCTCTGCGCCCGGTCATGCGTCCTGCTAACGCTGACACGACGGGCAACATGCACATCATTTCGCCCAGGAAGCCAATGAATCAAAGGAGATTCGCAAGTGTCTTCTTCTTTAGCTCCAGAGGTGAGCATCTCCCAGACGGGCTCCTGCTCCTCGATGTCGCGCAAGATCGAAGATGTATCTGTGCAGGTATTCACAGTCGTGGGCGTTGGGGGCGCGGATCCATCCGAGGTGAACGTCGCAGACCAGGGTGTTTGAGGTGATTCAACAATCACTCTAGGAACGCGTGTAGTCTTGGCGAACCCCCCGCCTACAGGTGAGGTGGCTCCAGGAGGAGCGGTGTTTGACCTGCGGATAGGACGAGGACGATTGATCGCGGTTGATCCTGGGACGTTCAACAACAGAGGAGAGACTGATCGCTGCGATGAGGTTTCTGCCTCTTGAGGTGAGGCGCTGAGCTTGCTGTGCCTACGGTCCATCAACGAAGAGCCCATGAAAGATTGACGATGAAGCAGTCCGTCGAACATGACCGAATACCTTTCCAGGTGTGGACTTGGAAGATCGAGCTCCAACTTAGGAGTGGCAGGCGTATCGTTGTCATAGTTGTCGAGTGGAGAATCACTGCGCACCATGATAATCGGCTGCTCAGCCTTATCTTCGATGACAGCGGTGGGCTTCTCTGCCAAATGGATCGGTGGCATACTAGACTCCCGTCGAGGTAAATGCCTTGTCTTGATTACAACATGAGGCACTAGCGTCATTTTCTCAACTCTGGCGTATGTGGCAGCGGCACTCTCGCTTCGAAGCGGGAACGGGTAAAGCTGAGAGTTATCTCTTGTCGCGGGACGAGCATAATGTTGATAAGGTAGCATCGACTTTGGCGGTGTCACTGGGAGAGATGAGGGCAGCTGAACAGGCATCTTAGGTGGCAGGGCCGGTGGCACGTCGTCAACAACAACTACGGGACGGTTCCGGCCCCTGATGGCCATTGATGGCTTCCGGAAGATGTTGCTGAATGCCTTCCAGCCCAGAGGCTTCTTTTGAGTCATCGCTTCTTTCGTTGAGCTCTTCCTCTCGTCCAGAACGTCGACTGACGCTCCCCGTCTCTCATCGGGATGATGCTGCTCAGCGATAATTTGTTTCGGGACGGGATGCGTCGGCTGACACAACACAGCGCTCGGTGGGAACAGTGCTTGAGACGGTGAGCCAATCGCGAGACCTATACCCGAGTCGGTAGGCGAAATAGTCGGAGAGGCAGATATGCCTTGAAACGTCGCGCTCCGCTGAGGCTGACGTGGCGATGGTGTTGGAAAGACAAAAGTGTCCAGACCGGAAGTGAATTCGATTGTCTTGACCGTCTTGTGCAATTCTTCGCCATTACGAGGCGCCGACTTGGTCGATTTTGGGCTGGGAGTCAGGTTCTTACGTGCCCTGTCGGTGCCAGCTGACTTTGGTCTTTGTAACATTGACAGACGGTGTTCCTTGACCGCCTCATGGATGGAGCCGAATCTTGAGGGAACTCTTTTGCTAGCCATTGTGACTATGTGATGCTTCTGGATGAAGCGAATGTGGACGAGTGAATTGTAAATGAGTAGATGAATAGATGAGCGGCCAGCACTCAGATCGAAAGGTATGTTATGATAAACGAATGAATGGAGATGTCGAATCTCACTGTCTCAAGTCCTGCTCGCTCACCACTCAATGTGCTCTGCAGATCGGCCACAGGTGGAAGGGAAAATGAAATCGACCACGACCGACGAAGAAGATAAGGAAACGCAGAGCTTGAGCCCTCTGGAGTATCCACCTGGGCCGCATTCAAGGCTTCATCAAGAACCAGATCTCCTGACTGTCGTCCATGACACCTACCTGAGAAGAGTTCCCACTACGACCTCACCATGGCCAGCTGGGCGTCTATACCAATCATTTCATAGGAAACCAGCGTCGCGCAATCGGTGTCCACCGACAACGGTCAAAGCGCGTAGATCGATGAAGTCAAGGAAAGCGTCGGCGCTCGCAGGTTGGCTGGTGGAGATGATTAGATGAGGTACGTACGGATCACGCGCCGACCAACGAGAGCGCGAGAATGATGTTTCGAGTGGTTTAGGCGCTTTGTTGTATTGGGTGTGGGTGAAGGAAAAAGGGTGCACGGGTGGTGCCGCTCACGCCGCTTTGCACGCACGCAGCGCTTCGCGCCGGGAAACGGTCGCACGTGCCTGTCCCCTCGGATGGACGGCGCCTGGTCCGTCTCTTTCAGATAGACTGCAACCGTAGATAATCATTACTTCTCGCAATTGAAATACAGTGGGCCTACGTGCAGAGGGTCAAGCTTCATATTTCACCGTTCGAAACATCCAGCGCTTTAACAAGCTCGGCTGGCCCTGCGATCGAGGCATGAAAGCTTCCAATCACAGTCAGCATGAGTGCAGGATCCGCCTTACCCAGGTCACGCCACTTGCCAAGGACCGCTGTGCCAGATGGGTCGGAATCTTCCACGGTCGCGATCAAGCTACTGTGACAGCTGGACGTCCTGGGGTCGAAAGCGAAGTTACGGGCGGCCTCTTCGGCGGACGCCTTGTTCTGTAGGTACGGGCAGCGACAGGCGGTCGCCGGCCGGACATATTCTCGAAGCAGCTTTATGTATTACGTAGGCACGTCACTATGCTCTGCTGATAACCAAAAGGATTGCAGGGCTACTTCTGCAGCTGTGCCACAACATTGAGTCTTTCATGACATTTTCTGTGGGTTTTCGCAACCGTCTCATAAATGTTCTCTTTGCAAAAGCTTGCGATTTCGTCCTCCTAACATTCTGTGGCTGGCGTATGATCAATTGAGACCTCCTCCTCCGCCGCCGCCGGGCTGCCAGCCCGTGCAGCACCAATGGACACTCGTACCAAACATGCGACTGTTGCAGCAGAATGAAAACGGCGATCTCTCGTTCACAGACAACACCTACAATCCACCCCCCTACGCGATACTGTCGCATACTTGGGGTTCCCCAAATGACGAAGTCCTCTACGATGATATCATGAATGGAACTTGGAGGGAGAAGGATGCGCATGTGAAACTCAATTTCATCTCAGAACGTGCCAAGAGAGAGCGTCTTCAGCATTTCTGGGTCGATACGTGCTGCATAGATAAACGTAATGATGCAGAGTTGTCAACGGCTATCAGATCAATGTTCCAGTGGTATAAAGACTCAGCCGTCTGCTTCGTCTACCTCTCAGACATCTCTTCAAGTAAGAGAAACGAAGATGGGCAGCTTTTATGGAGGGAAAACTTACGATTTTGTCGCTGGTTCACGCGAGGATGGACTCTGCAAGAGTTAGTTGCGCCCATCCGAGTAGAATTCTTCGCGCGTGGACAATATCTCGGGTGTCGAGCCGATCTCAGCGAGCGCATACACGAGATCACCGGCATCGATGTCGAAGCGTTGAGAGGACGACCCCTTGAAAAATTCCCGCTCTTCACTCGACGACAATGGGCACTTGGGCGCGAGACAAGTGTGCCTGAAGACTCGGCTTATGCGCTAATGGGTTTGTGCGGTGTCGTTCTTGTGCCACACTACGGCGGCGAAAGTAAAGAAGAAGCCTTGCGGAGGCTTGACCGTAAGATCCGTAAGCACTGGGGCGAGAATGCACTTGATCGCCCAGCATCGGCTGTGGCCTCTGATTATATCTCTGATTACACTGCGCCAAACTCGAAATCTGTGGCTACTAGGAGGCGAGCTAAAATAGCGGCTCTGGGTTTTGATGCAATAGATTCGAGGAAAACCACTATCAAGAAGGCACAGTGGAGGACGTGTAGCTGGGTACTCACGCATCAAACATATAAGCTCTGGCAAGAGCGAAGCATAGCACAGCCGCACAACGGCATCTTCTGGATCAGAGGCAAACCCGGGGCTGGAAAATCCGTTCTCATGAAGTATATCGATACTCACACATCGCGAACCAAGAATCAGCGAGATATCAGCATTTCTTTTTATTTCAACGCTCGTGGTGAGCGGCTTGAGCAGTCTCTCGATGGCATGTATAGATCATTACTCAGACAGCTGTTATTGGCAGATCCGGAGCTACAAGAAGTACTTGATCACTCTCGAGAAATCACGGGCGAATCATCATCGACGACCACAGAACTCAAGAGGCTTTTTTCCGGTGCTGTTCTGCGACTTACAGGCCGTCGTCTATTCTGCTTCATCGATGCACTTGACGAATGTCGAGAGCAGGACTTGCAGGATATGGTCTATTATTTTCAAGAGCTCTGGAAAGAGGCTCAAGAGGAGGGCATCATATTCAGCGTTTGCTTCGCTAGCCGCTACTATCCCTCGCTTGACGTTCCTACAGAGTTGCAGATCATACTTGAACATGTCGACGAACACAAAAATGATCTTAGCGAATACGTTAAAAGTCAGAAATTTTCTGTCGGAATGGGTGGACTTGAGTCAATACCGCTCGGCATTCAAGAACAAATCCTTGAAAAGGCTAATGGCGTCTTTCTTCTCGCCGTGCTTGCGGTGGAAGTGTTGAAAGAAGAGTTCAAAAGCGGACGCATTCATGTCATCAGGAAAAGGCTGGACGAAATGCCGAGAGGTCTCTCGGAATTCTTTCAAGAGATCGTGCAGCGAGATCAGCAGAATACAGAAGAGTTCCTGCTCTGTCTCAAATGGATATTATTCGCAAAACAACCCCTTACACTCGAGCAATTCTACTTCGCCATGATGGCAGGGCTCGCTGGAGAATCGCTCGAGTCGAAATCGGATCTAACGGCTGACACGATGCTCAGCTATTTGCTGAGCTCTTCTAAAGGTCTTGCTGAGCTTACTCAGGGCACCCGGCCGCGGGTGCAGTTCATTCACGAGTCGGTGCGAAACTTCTTGATCACACAAGACGGTCTTGTACATCTTGAAGAAAGTTATGGTATTTCAGGATCATCACCTCAAGAGACGCTCAAAAAGTGCTGCATTCGTGGTATCCAAGTCGATGCAAGTGCCTGGACCCGACGCGGTAGAAATTCCATAAACGGGCGAGATCGACTACACGAAACATTCCCATTCCTGGATTACGCGAATCAGAACATTCTACATCACGCTGACAAAGCGGTTCAACATTCAGAACAGAAGGAATTCCTTGAATCTTTTGATGTGAAGAGCTGGGCCGAGCAAGCTAATGTGCTAACGCTTTCCTCGAAGAGATACTCGCACACTCCTAGTATCGTTTACGTATGCGCAGAGAAAAATTGTGCTGCGCTGCTAGGACTGCTCGCCAAGAATGGTTGCCTTGCTACACATGACGATGATCAGCTCTACGAACATCCCTTGTTTGCTGCCTTCGTGAACCACAGCAGGGATGCTGCCTATGTGCTACTTGAGCAAGAAGGCACAAGCTGTCCAGAAGTCATTGTTGAGGAAGTAATGTCTCGCATACACTGCGGTCATCGAGTCTTTGAGCGGCCGGGCGAGCAGAGCGCGTGGTTATCCTGGGCATTAAACAATGGCTTGGAAGCCTTCGCGCTACACTGTTCAAAAATGTATCCAATTCCGACGGGCGAAGATCGCGTGTCAGTTTTGACAGCAGCTTCGTTGAAAGGCTACGAAATGGTCGTATCGATGCTCCTCGAACGGCTGAAGGGTGACACTCAAAGTCTTGCTACTATCGATGGGCTGGTTGCCGCATCCGCTAACGGTCACGAGAAAGTGGTAGCGATGCTGCTCCAACTACAAACAGACTCTCGTGCGGAACATCAGTCGAATAGTCTTGCTATGGCCGTCGCGGCTTACAATGGCCATGAAAAGGTGGTGGCAATGTTGCTTGAGAGAGGAGCCAATGAAAACGCCGAATGCCTAAAGGACAGATCTGTGGTGTTCAATGCAGCGCGCAAAGGCCATGACACGATCGTGGCGATGTTACTCGAGCGAGGGGCAGATGCGAATGCGCAGGGTCGTATAGCAGACATTTGGGGCAGCTCATTGTACGCTGCAGCACTGCACGGCCACGAGAAAGTGGTCACGGTACTGCTTAATGCAGGCGCAAATGTCAATGGAATCGGTGCAATCGGCGGCATGAATGGGTCCGCATTGTATGCTGCAGCACAGAGTGGTCACGACAAAGTGGTGTCGATACTTCTCGCACACGGAGCCCAGATCGACTTGCAGTATGATTGGTGTGGCAATGCACTAGCTGCTGCCTCGCACTGGGGCTGTGACAAGATAGTGGCTATGCTTCTAAATAAGGGGGCGGATGCCAATGCGTCTTGCAGGTATTACAAGAATGCTTTATTAGCTGCATCTGCTAGCGGCCATATCAGAACTGCCACAATACTTATTGAAAAAGGAGCGAATATCAATGGACCGAGCGGGTACTACGGCAATCCGTTAACCACGGCATCTTATCTGGGTCACGCAAAGCTAGTTGCAATGCTGCTCAGACGAGGAGCGGACGTTCACTTACGAAGCGGAGTCTTTGGCAGTGCACTTTCAGCTGCCTTGCAAGGCGACCATCATAATGTTGCTGTGATGTTGTGCGACTGGGGAGCGGGAGAATCAGGCTCAGAGGATTACAGCGAAGGATCAGAGACCAGTGTTTCGGATCATTCATCCACCACGGAAGCAGAAGGATAGGTCAAAAAATACCAAAGCTCATGGGGTGCTCGTCGTGTTGTCCAGGAAGCACCGCCTGAGCTTTACAAAAGTGACTCGAGTTGATCGCACCTGCGGAAAATTACATGCCGTTCAAAACGAACGCTGACAGCCCACAATGGTCGCCTCACCGTCTTTATTTCATCACCGAGAATGCCAATGGAGGTCGAGCAAAATGTATTCAAGCTATTACTACATATTACATGAGCTGCCGAGCTGTTGTTCTGAACACAGACAAAAAGTCTTGGGCCCGCGTCTTCACATTGTCACCACATTAGCCATAGTGCAAACCATAATGTCATTTCATAGGCAGGGACAGCAGATTACTCAAAATCGTAGGTAATGTATTTTCCAACAGCAGCCGCGTCCCAAACAATGGAGCCTCGGTCCGGTCAACGAGCAGACATCGGGCTCGAACTGGATATCCACCGTGCCGAACAACACAGAACATTCCTATCAGAGCAAGCGCATCAGCGAAAAGTGTTTGTGCGCAAAGAGCTCCGTGAATCACTCCTCATCAACAGTCAAGCACGACGAGCATGTGTTGATCACAAAGGCTGTGGCTTCGCCGTGATTGCTGGCGCAGCAGCACACTTGGTGATAGTCGTAGTCAAAGCCACCGTCTTGGGTTCAGCGCACATGATGCGACATTGTGGGCCGATTATAGTCGTGGAGAGGACACAGCCAAAGCACTCCGTGTAGTGTGTCGCGGTGTGCTGCGTGGAGCTTGCACAGCAGCTTCGCTTTGCCGTGATTGTTGAGGTGCAGGCGATGGCTGGACCTTGCGCCATGGCAGAGGCGAGGAAGAGGCTGATGATGGTGAGGTAGCCGATCATTCTTGCTTGTTGACTCGGCTTGCTTGTTGACTCGGTAAGAGTTTCCTTGTGACGATGGCGCGGTCAGGCTTTCCCTGGATAGATGGGCAGGTTTTGCGATGCTGGTATCTGGGATTGTGTTCCTGGAGGGCTCAACGGTCTTCAGAAGATGGCGTCGCTGTTCATATGATGAATGTCCTTGTTGAGGATGATGAGTGTGAGGTTGTGGCTTTCTGACGTTGAACGGTAAGGTGAGACCACAAGGGGTTCGAGACGCTACGTGTCAAGGAAAATCTTAGACAGTCGCAACCGTGGTACAGTGCAATGAGACCTGCATCATGCTACATGTACTCTAAACGCACGACTGCAAATTCTTGCTCAAGACATGGTACACGTGGGCTTCTGGAACATTTGAGCAATGCTTCTACGAGCCCAAATTACGAAATCCGACCTGGCTGCAAACCGGTTTGGGGTGAGCGTTCATGTGTCGTCGTCAAATGACCATTTGACCTCACCACAGGACGATATGAAGCCACTCGTACTTCAAGCATCTGTAGAACACGCCGGTTGTGTGTAGAATGTCTAGCCGAGACTCTCAACCAGGAAATTGCGCGGTCCGATGAGCAGGACGGCACCATGGGATGTCTGGAGTGGCTGTCAGCAGAGCCAAACTTTCAAGGTTTGAATTGGATGGTGTCGCATGCTCGACCTATCAACGCAGCCATCATGGCTGTATTATTTTCCTACTGAATATTTGCGCGGACACGTGATTCAAGGTTGCGGTCCGTTACTTATGTCTATCTTGTTGCTTATTATTATGTCTATCTTGACCCTTACGATGCATGATGCTTGTGTACCCTTGGGCGGAATCGGCAAGGGCTGACGGCGTTGGCCGCCACTGGTTTGGAGGACGAAATCTTTATTTCAACATCATTTATCAACATGATTAATCACAGGACACGTATGCGTGATTCATAAAAATCTACTATAAATACCGTAAAGGCTGTGATCGCTCAGGGCGTGGATGTGATTTTGCTTGATGACCTGCCGATGGATTCCCTACACAAGGCTGCTGCGTTTAGACTAGGGATGAGAATCAAGCTCACTCGACGTCATTTCCTTACACAAGAAGCGTTGGTAGTGACGCACTTTCCTGGTCGCATCGAAGCAAATCGATGCTCACGGAGTGTGTGGAGGCACTTAATGTAGCGCAGAATCGGAGAGCGTGTACAATATCACGATGAAGGGCGTCACCCCTACCAGCCGCGTTACAGGACCAATACCATACAAGAGGAAAGAACACCAAGCTATCGTTGCCTCCAGTGAATCAGGAATGACCCGAAAAACTCCCGCCTCGGCTACAGATTGGATTGTGAACAACGCCAGGGTTGCATAGCGAATGGCCGGCAATGGCAAGGTTGCGCACTGGATGATCGGCGATAGCAAGGTTGCGCATCTCGTAGGAGCCTACGATGGTAATGTTGCGCGAATTTGATCGGTAGTGACGCAAGCTTGCGCTTCTCAAAGGAACAGACAATGGTAATGTTGAGTGGTGGACGGTTAGCAACACAAGGTTCTGCTTCTCGGAAGATCAAACAATGGTAACGTTAGGCGATGGACGGCCAGCGACACAAGTTTCCACTACGTGAAGGAGCCGATGCGAGGAAGATCATTGCTCGGCAGGAGAGCTTGACACGGTAAGCACACTTTTGATGTGTCATGAACTCAACGTTCAAGATACAGAGCTCGACTCAACATTACCGTCCTACGGCTCACATTCATGAGCGCTCGGGCGAGAACACCCAGTCACGGCAGTATTCACCCTCATTTTATCGGCTTGCAACTTACAAGGACTATCTCGCAACACACCATCAGCTTCGTGACTACCTCTATGACCACTGTCTCGACTCTGCGCTCCTTTGGCAGTGTTTTCGGTACCCGGGCACTAGCCTCGCAATACCACTGTTTCGCTACCACCGAAATATATTCAGAATATATTTCCAGCCACTCACACAGCACATTTGCGATGCTGAAGACCATTGTGCATTACGATCACCGGGAGGTCATTGGTCTAGTCGTCATGCCAGAGAACGAGTGTTCTAGTTCTCAGCAAGCACATCCGGAAAGGTTGGACGCCATCGTTGATTCGTCACAGAATGAAGGTGACGAACCTCGCGGTGATGCGGTTTCACAGTCAAGTCGTGACGCGATTCCGCTCGGTGAGCTCTCATCCCGACAAGATACGCGAGAGCAGGTGGTTCAGTTCCACACCCACTTGGAAAATATTCAGAATATTTTTGCTCACCAGCCAGAGATATTGTGAATATTCTTATTCGATGTCAAATATAAATATCAAGAAATATCACTCACTCGCTCACTCTTCACAGCGAGAACTATCTCAGCTTTGCCTTTGTGATATTCAAAACTTCACAACTTGTTTCCAATCCTCACCCAGAAACCACCTTGCAAAGCAACATCACCAGAGAGTTCTCCTTCGCCTCCTCCACCTCCACTACCATCACAACTTTCCCGCACCTCACCAAGTGAGGTAGCAAGCGAGCCTTTCAAACTCCTTGCGAAAAACCCCCCTCCAAACCTCACCTTCACCTCACTTCCGACCACAAGTGAGAAGACATGGCCCCCCGCTCTGTACCTTGGACCAGGGCTGACGAGGATCGCCTCTGGGTCTTCGGCAATAACATGGTTCACCGCGGTGAGCGCTGGGCCGACCTGGAGCATGAGTTCAACCTGGCGGGAAGGGGGCGGTCAAACCTGGCCCTCCGTCTCAAATGGATGAAGTTGAACGCTCGCGGAGGGCCAGGGGCGCCTCCCGCTCCCACGGCCACTCAGGGGCAAGCCGCGACCACGGCGCCGGTGGTGAACGGCCTCAACGAGGCGGACGACGACGACGACGACGAGATTGACGTCGACGAAGAGGGGAACGACGACGACGATGTGAGCTTCGTCGACGATGACGAGATGACCGGCGATGATGCCGAAGAGCACCCGGCTGCTCAACCTCACCCCGCCGACCTCGCCATGGAGGCCCGCAAGGAAGCCGCCGTCGGCCTCATGGCCTTGACCTCGGGGAATCAGCCTCTGGTTCCTCTCCCAACTCCTGCCGCCTCCTCCTCCTCCTCCTCCTCCTCCGCCACCACCACTCCCGCCACGATCAGCTTCACGCCGATCAACCGCCCTGTCCGCGCCGCCCCCTGCGCGGACCTTTTCAAGATGGAGTTCGACTTCATCATGTCGCCGTTCCCAACTCCGGTGCTGAGCAACGTGCGCGCGGAGCCGTTCGAGCCCAAGGCGTGGGCGCACGGCCCGCCGCGCTCCTTCGAGGCGGCCTGCGACATGCGCGCCTAGGTGTAGAAGGAGGTGGATGTTGATGGTTGAGTGTGAGCATGGGCCACACTGGGGATGTTGTTGGGGATTGTGGAATTATGATACCCGCCTGGGTGAAGCTTGTCGTCGCCAAAGGCGAGAATGCCTAACAGGCACACAGAGTTGAATGGGAGTTTGAAACACTGTCGAAAAGCTAGTGATTGCAATTATAAACACTGAACACTTGTGACCCTTCCCATCTTGTGATGTTTGTTGTTGTCATCATCGTTGTGATGTTTTTCAACCTTGTAATCCTCGTCACCATCACCATCGTTGTGGCCTTTCCAACCTTGCTGTCGCGATCACCATCACCACCACCGATGTGTACCCAAGCCCATCACCATCACATCCCGGCAACCACATTCTCGTAGCTACATTCCAACTGTCGCATCGTCACATCGTAAATCATAATAACATTTCCCAAAAGTCCCAAATCTATCTCATCGCAAGAATCTTCTCAAAGTCTCCTTCTCCGTCCAGGGAAAAGCTTCGCACCCAAGATCGAAATCGAACTACTGCTCGAACTCGACGAGGTCGAATTTCCCGCGCCCGCCGATGCAGAAGACGTGCAGACGAACAAATCTATCAACATGGATCAGCGATGACACATACGTTGTCGCTTCATAGAAACTAATATAGCAAAAGCGATGTCGAAACCACGACTACACATAGCTTTCGCAAGGAGAATTTCACGTACTGCACTCGCTCGACGACGAACTCGATCCATTCGGCGAAGAGCCGCTCGCTGCAGAGCCGCCAGTCAAACCCAGGAGACCTAGTAGACCGCCGCTGGAACTGGCGCTTTGGCGAGCGACGATGTTTCGGGAGGGAGTGATCGGCGCCGCGACGGTGAGAGCGGCGCTGAGGAGGACAGCGAGGACGGCGGTGCGCATGATGGGCGGTATGAGCTCGGAGTGTTTGGTGGATTGACGGAGGTCTTGGAAGAGTCGTTTGGTTTCGTGGACAAGCTGGTGGAGCGGCGAATGAATGTGATCAGACAACTATGCGGGACGAAGACAGAGGAGCGGTAGAAGAAGAAGGAGCAGCCGAGAAGAAGAGCTTATGAGAATAGGCAGAGCTCCTCGGGTGGTACTTCAAATACAAGATACTATGCTCTGCTTGCTACGATCGCCGACGAGCCTAACTAGCCATGTCTCCGCATGCTCAGCATTGAATCTTCGCTGCCGAGCAAGCTAATTGCTCTCAATATAGTAGCCATTGATATGCATGAATGCAGTAGATCCGGAGAACGAAAAAGCGAAGTATGCATATCGCCAAGGCGGAAGGCGTGCAGGCACATGGATGCTCCGAACGAGAAGGGAAAGCTCAGCTCAATGCGATTGCGACGGCGACCATTCTCCCGACCGCCTGGTGGGTTTCTGAAGGCAGACATGCACGATTGCTGTGGAGAAAGCGAAGAGCGAGACACAAGGTGAGGTGCAAGGTACCGTACATACCTCGGGAAGGATTTTCGATGCTGCAGATCCGTGAACGTCTAGCGTGCTTGTGCTGATTTTGGGTGGGGAATGCGGAACATTTCGAAATTTAAAAACGATGTACCTGAGGATTCCGTACTCAACAAGGGAAGATTGGACTATGGAGAGTCGAGAGCTGCAATCGGTGCAATGCGACCGGCGCGGGCGATGGATTTGAATGTCACGAGCAAGTCGTGGAATCGAAACATTTCCAGAGTATGGTGAAAATGAGGGCAGGACACAAACAGCCACGAGAATGATCGGCGTCAAGTTTGGGTGGTTTCCCGAAGAAGCTTAAAATCCCCCCCACACGCTCAATAACTCTGCATGCCCGATTCGGCACACGGCACTATCGATGACGAGAAAATGACCAGTAAGCTGAGGGGAATTTCACAGATCTGTACCTTGCATGTACTGTAACATGATATGCACAGCTATTGGATGCAGTGGATGGTTGGAAGATTCATAGCACTCAAGGACGATTTAGACCTCGTGGGCTCATTGCTTTCGCCAGCGAACAATGTCGAGTGTGGAGATCACGCGGAAGACACGAAGCAGAATCGCATGCAACATGGAGTAGAAGTCACAAAGAACAGTGAACGTTCGTGAACGAAAGACTCGGAGAAATTGCCGACATGCACGTTGTACGTTTGGCCGTTATGCTAGAGTCTCATCTACGTTCGTAATACCCGTGATCATGGAGGTGCTGCATGTCCGTTCACATCTAATACGTCCTATGCCTTTGAGATAAATGCGTAGGTGTGCGGCATTATTGGCCATGAACGAAGCATACAACGTAATGCTTATGCGTAGAAGTTGACGGTGTCCTGAAAGAATTGTTAGCATTGATTTCCAGGTACTTGTGCTTTGTGACGTGAGAGTCCTTTGGAGGGAATCTTACCTTCTTCTTGGCCTGCACTTCCGAAATAGCATCCACGTAGTGCTCGTGGCTGATCTTGCTTCGTCCACCCCGCAGCGCAATCATACCAGCCTCGACACAGACAGCCTTGAGCATAGCACCACCGAACTCGTCCGTGCTGCGCGCAAGTTCAGGCCAGTTGACGCCCTCATCGACAGTCATCTTGCGGCTGTGAATTTGTAGGATCTGCGCACGAGCCTCCTCGTTGGGAAGAGGGAATTCAATCTTTCGATCGAGACGACCAGATCGTAGCAACGCGGGATCCAGTACATCCACACGGTTGGTAGCTGCTAGGACCTTGATACGCTCATCTGAGGCGAAACCATCAAGCTGGTTGAGCAGTTCCAACATGGTTCTTTGCACTTCACGATCTCCACTCTTGTCGCTGTCGAAACGCTTTGTGCCCACAGCATCAAGCTCATCGATGAAGATGATTGAGGGTGCCTTCTCTTTCGCGAGGGCGAAGCAGTCACGGACAAGCTTCGCACCGTCACCGATGAACATCTGTACGAGCTGAGGTCCGGCGAGTTTAAGGAAGGTGGCGTTTGTCTGAGCAGCACACGCACGTGCGAGCAAAGTCTTTCCAGTACCAGGGGGACCGTACATCAATGCACCTGTATTTCTGTCAGCCGTGTCGCAACCATAGAAAGATTATTGTCATGGATTGCCCTACCCTTTGGTGCCTTGATTCCAATCTTCTTGAATCGCTCAGCTTCCTGCATCGGCCAAACCACAGCCTCGACGAGCTCCTCAATTTGTTTGTCCAGTCCACCAACATCAGTGTACTTCTCGGTCGGCTTCTCGTCAACCTCCATGGCCTTGACTCTGCTGTCATACTCTGCAGGTAGTGTGTCGAGGATGAGGTATGAGTCTTTGTTGACGCCGATGAGATCACCGGGCTTTAGCTTCTCGTGATCGACGAGACCAATAAGCGGTAAGAAGATTGTTTGCCGAGTGGAAGTCTTGATGACGGCGGATTTGCCGACTCGTGTGGCGTCTAGGTCGATGTTGGCGCCCTCTTCCGCCGCCTCCGCTGTGACATCCAAATCTAGGATTTCCACAACGTTTCCAACGAGATATGGCAGTTGTCTAAGTATCAATTCATGTCAGCATATGTAATTCCTGGGCAAGTCCATGGTTGCACGGATAGGAGCCCCACCTGTTGTTGTCAATCTTCTCGACGTTGTCCTTGATTTTCTCCTGCATCGCCTGCTTCTCGTGCAGGAGACGATTGTACTCGCTCTTCATGATGCGCGTGTCATTCTCTATTAACCTCCGCCGTGCGACAACATCACGTGTGCTTGAGTTGAGAATCTCGGGATCGATGAGTGATTCCTCCTCCTCCATCTCCTCATCTTCCTTCTCAGCGCCATCTGCATCTTTCATTTCCGCATCGCCGCCTTTCTTGCTATCCTTTTCCTTCTTGTCCTCCTTCTTCTCCTCGCGCTCCAAGTCGTCAAGATCCTCGAGTGTCGACATGCTGACGAATATGCGAGCTCAGCTATTGATGGTGGCGAGGTTCAAACAATGCAGCGCGGAGTCAAACAGACACCAGATGGCGGGTTGAGTATCGAGCGGCTGACCTGAGGTTTTGCAAGTTTGAATAGAGGTTGTCGGGATATGTCTCGTGATGTCGTGAACGGAGGTGTGAATATCATAGACAGCTTGCGTCAGGCAACTGGTGGTTACGAACCACTGGGCTTCGGAAGCCGCACCGAAGCTAAACCCCGAAGATGACCCGCAGCTTATGATGGTGACATAATCCCCTCGTTCGAACATTCAGTTATGAACATCCAAGGAAAATAACAGCATCTGTACATTCTTTTGAGGGCCATATTGCCCAGATTTAGGCTGATTGCAAACATCGTGTTTCCCAGATTCCGATTTTAAATCTTGTTGATCCCTTTCGCTATCGGATTCCTTACCACGCCGGATTAGCTGTGGTCACAATTGAAGACGGCCTCGCTACGCAAGTCCTTACAAGACCGTCAGCTTTCATCGTCACGAGTCTATCTCAAACCATATTGGATGTTTGGAGTCTCATCTTACCCAGAGACTTCTTACACGACTGTAGAACGATGAATGGTAACCTCTGTTCTCATGATTCTTTTGCAGGACGAAAGAGGCGTTGATCTGGGACACATACCCTAATGTCGCAACCCAAACCCTAACCCATGTTAGACGCAGATTGAGTATTTGGAACTCTTCTCTGCCAGCGTTTCGTCTGCGCCGATAGCATGGAAATGCGAATGCCAGAATTGGCTAGTTGTACTGGCCTTGAACAGTCTCTATGCTCAGACGAGCTATCAGCTTCCACGAACGACAAACGCCCAAGGATGTTGGTACAACGAAGAGTTGACAAGACCGCAGGATTTGACTGCCCACAAAGTGGAATCTGCCTCCGTCTTATCGCCAAATTTTTCCAAGTATAATTGCCATCTCATGCTTGAAATTGCTATATAGTCATATAGATTGTACGACCGGGTGAAGGAACTCAACGGGCATACGTCCCCAGCCTCAATCATGATGATGCTCGTCATCGGGACTACACTATGTTCATCTCGTCATGGCAGATATGGCAATGAACTAGAGGTGCATGACCAGTAGTCTCATGTTTCTTCATCTCTCATCCCGCGACGACACTCTAGCGATGACAGGACAACGTAGCAGCGTAAGGAGATGGAGCCAAAAAGCTTGTCCTTATCAAGCTCTCACTGGTGGCGCGTGGCTTGGACGAAAATCACGTACGCAAAGGAGATGATAAATCTGGGCGGAATGCTACAGACTTCTTATTTCCTTCTACGTTCACTGTTGTCGGAACTGACGGCATTTTCCGTTTGGAAGGGGCGAGATCGTTTGCTGCCGTTCAACTAATTCGTGCCGCTTGTGAAATCAGGTCAATCGCAGTCGTGTGTCCCCAAATGCTTTGACCCGGGAAAGTCGGCCAAGCGGCAATTCCAGGCAAATTGGGATGCGCGTTGGTGTCCGCGAGAGCACAGGAAAAGAAAACCCGAGATAGCAACGGTTCGCAATGATGTGATTCATCACAAAACGGCGCTGGCGCATCGCCGGGCGTACGAGCATGCTGATTTGCAAGTGTTCTTGCACACCAACAGCATGTGTTCTGCATCGTCGCTCAGTCTAGACATGTCAAAGCACCGCCGTGATAGATTGTGGACAGGCATTTCAATCGAACTGGACAGAGGCTGTCAGATGTGAAACTCAAGCCCAAAGTCTAAATGCCCCAACCAGCGAATTGAACAAGGTAGAATTTCTGATCGTCAACATATTTACATCCATGATGCTCATCCAGCTGCACGTAAAAAGTGATGAACAAGAAAACGACAGATGGCTTTTGTGTGAAGTCAACAATGCAAATTATGGAAGGGTAGTCAACGAGAAGATCTTCGAACAAACCCGACGTGAATACCACCATGGCGGCCTCTCATTGCATGAACGCTGTCATCGCAGCACACACCTGCATGGAAGGAGGAACTTCTCAGAGTCGGAGCGCGCTCTCGTCTCAAGAATGTAAGGTGTCTCTTGTTCCGATAAGCATGGAATACTGTCCCAATCGAGCGTGCGATCGACAACAACAGACGGCAAGTATCTACATCCGTAAGCAAAGCAGATAAGGCACCTACAAATCGCACCTGCAACCTGTGCCGCATGTTCCAACGAAGCACGGCAGAGAGTAACGATGATACGTCTCATGCGTGAACTTCTACACGACTAGTGTCATGGTTTCGAAGACAATGCCTAGAGATGTTGTTCTACCAAGAAGATCACTGCCTCATCTCGCAAGATTCTTGTTTTTCACTGATGCCTGGTGCATGTAGTGCTTGCTTGCGAGCTAAATTTCAAAAGGTAGGAATATTGTCGCGAACGAAAGCAACGGTCGTTCAGTGCGCTCTACAGTAGAATATCACACAGGAATCATGAACGAAGAAACATCCCTGATTCCAATCGCGATCAACAATATTGTTAGTCGGTCTAAAGCATTGCGTTTCAATTGACTCGTGCAAGTAGGACGAGAAGGATGCAATCGAGATTGCTTCAACTTCTCGTGGTGATCCATCCCAAGCTATGAAGCATGGCCTCCAGCCCACGACCGACCTCACCGCCGGTATCGTAGGCTGGGAAAGTCAAGAAGATCCCTCAATGCCATATAACTTCTCATCCCGGCAGAAATGGACATGAGTCTGGCTCCTCTCAGCAATAACCCTGCTGACACCATTCGCGACATCGGTCCTCTCGCCCGCGATCAACACCATTGACGCCGAATTCGACAATCCGGATGCAGCAGTCGGATCCTTAACCGTCAGCATCTATCTCTTCGGATATGTCGTTGGTCCCCTATTCATCGGTCCGCTTTCCGAAATCTATGGAAGGAAAATTATCCTCTGCGTGGCCAATTTGTTCTTCTGTCTGTGGCAGCTGGGCTTTGCATTGGCGCCGAACTTGGCGACGTTGATCGTAGATTGATTCTTCAGTGGTATTGGAGGCGCAGCGTGCTTGGTGACGGGTGTGGTGAAGTGATAGAATATATGTTTGCTCTGAGACTAATGTTGTCATAGGCGCTCGGTGGCAGTATCACCGGAGATATGTTCCGACACGAGGAGCGAGGTTTCGCCATGGGGATGTGGACCCTTGGACCTTTGTTCGGTACATCTTCGAAGACGGATCCTGAATTGAAGGCTGGTCTAATTTACTACAGGGCCCGTCATTGGTCCTCTAATCGGAGGTTTCCTCACGGAGCGTATCGGTTGGCGATGGGACTTCTGGATAGTCCTTGCCGCATCCGCACCTGTTACAGTCCTCATCATGATCCTGACAAAGGAGACTTGTCATAAAGTTCTCATTGAACAAAAGACTGTGGAACTTCAACGATCAGAAGGCCGTTCCGATATTCGAAGCTGTTATGATGAAACACAAGTCAACGGAACTTGGTCAATCCTGAGAACCAGCCTCCTGCGACCCTTGAAAGTGATGTTCCTATCACCCATTGTTTTCTTCCTATCATTATACGTTGCATTCATTTTCGGCGTCGTCTATCTGCTCTACACGACACTTCCCACCGTCTTCGAAGATGAAAACAATTTCTCTACCGAACAAACCGGCTATCCCTACATCGCTCTCGGGATCTGGAATATCTCAGCATGGCTCCTCTTCACGCTGTTATCGGACAAACTAGTCCTCAAACTCACCGCTGCAAATAACGGAGTCTTCACCCCTGAAATGCGTCTCATCACCAGCATTCCCTCTGGAATCCTCCTTCCCATCATCCTATTCTGGTACGGATGGAGCTCTCTCTACAAGCTACCATGGCCATCTAGAATCCTCTCCCTAGTACCCTTTGGTCTCGGGATCGTCGGACTCTACCTTCCGATCAGCACATATATCGTCGACAGCTATCCGATCTATGCGGCATCCGCGACTTCTGCAAATGTCATCTTCCGGAGTGTGGTGGGTGCACTTCTCCCGCTGGCCGGACCGCCTTTGTATCAAGCTTTGGGTCTTGGATGAGGAAGTTCCTTGCTCGGGTTCGTTTGCGTTGTGATGGTTCCTTTGCCATATGTGTTCTACAGGATTGGTGGCAGGTTGAGAGCGAAGCAACGATTCTCGCTGTAGTCTCTGCTTCGGTGCTCAGAGTGCAATGTCTGCTACACTGCAATGCTCGGCCTTGATAAGAAATGACCAGGTGTGGTTTCATGACGACGAAACGGAAGCCTTACCTTCATAAGATCTATCTCCTTCCGAGATTCATTTTCAAAACCAATTCATTGAAAAGAGTGATCAGCTCGACAGAGTATGTGCAATGATATGGAGTGACGACAATGCGAACGACGAGCATGCTCCAATATCATTGCAAGACATCCCTCGATTGCGAAGAAACAATGCCTCGTCGCGGTATTCTCTACGACAGAACATGTATATGCAAGCCTTTCTCAGTCGTCTTCAAACAGCCAGCCCTACAATGCCAATTCATGTACATGACATGAAACACAATCATCACACTGTTTCTGCTCCTCCGGATCGATCGCATCTGCTTTGCATTGTGGATGTGTCTCGGAGAATTTGTATCGAGGCTCCAAGACACGACCGAAACCAATGCGATTTCCCCTCTCACACAAACGAGATCATTTTCTTGATCTTGACTGAGTTACCTCCATCAGCTGTTACCAATAAAGCTAATTGAATCAGTAAGTATACTTGTTCTCTGCCGCTGTGCACCATCGTTACATGTGTCGTTACACAGCAGCAGGAGTAAGCGCTTGTATTACGCTCGCGCTGAGAGTTTTGTGGTTCGGAGATAGGTTTTGTCGGCCGAGCGACGCGCCCTGGGATCGCTTGCCGCACACCTGGGCATGTATGCGCACACCCATATGATCGCACGTTTCTAAGTTCAGAGAGGATGCAGGAAGTCAAGGCAAAGCATGAGTCAATGAGTGATTATGTCCATTGAATCGCTGAATGATTTTTTATTTTGCGCGTGTCTGTCTCTTGCGTATTGTGGGCCTGCTTTGGGGAGTGATGAACGGCCAAACGAGCGCTCCGGCGATTTTGGCCCGGGCGGGCGGAGGAGGGAAGAAACATCCCAAGGTTGGAAAGCAAGGGCAGGAGAGATGCTACGTAGGAATGACAGACACCTCGATTATGTTGGAGTCGCTGCACTTCACCTTCTCATCACGACGACCAAGAACACTGACGATACATAGTGGATATGCATAATATTTCATGCTGATGCCATGATGCACAGCGTTATGCGAATCCGCTAGTGAGTGTCCTAACAACCCAACGCCAAGCTCCCAATGCGCCCGATCGAGCTTTCCTTCTAGAAAAGTGTAACCGAAATCAGTCGTTGCAAGCATGTATGAAACGCTGTAAAGGGAGGAGATGAAACACAGCCAAGCCAAGTGTTCATTCGTTCCCCTGTGCAAAGTCCATGCGAGTCATTTTGGAATAGGAAAGAGGTGCGAAAAGCAACAGCGGCGCACGGGCGGACGGAAGAGACAAGAGAAGAGGAGGAAATTACTGATGACGCCTCCTCCGCGGAGGGCTCATCCCGCGAACTCCACTCCTCCTCCCTTCTTGGGCGGCGGACGACGGACGAAACTGCGGAGCGCATTGCACACTGTCCGGGCGTTCTTTATACTGACGGCCTGGCTTGGGCTCTTTTCGTCGTCTGGGTATGCGCAGCAGTTCGTCTGGGCATTAGTGCAGTGTAGGTCTGTGTCATGATGATTCACCTATGTTAATGACCTATCTAAAGCGTGGCATGGCACGGCATATACCGTAGGACATGTATGTATATTTGAGGCAAGCCACTACAAGGTGAAAATGTGAACGGGTTCCATCGGTCTCTTCTCGCTACAACGCAGTGCTCGTCTCTCAATGCGTCTTGGTAAGGACCACAATACTGTTAAAATATATCACCGCTGGCTGTAGCATTGGGCGCCGCCTCATCCTGTACAGGATCCCAGGCAAGGGCTGGTTCATCCCTATCCTATCGAACTCCCAACATCGGCGGAGAGCCACCGAGACACGACCAACAGCGGCGGCACGCCAGCAATAGCACAAAGAAAGCGTCTCGCGCGCATACAGGCCCACGCGCCCGCGAGGCCGCCCTGTGGGTCTCCCTCTTTCTCCGATGGTTGAGGAACGCGCTGCGTGCGTGGGTATGGAACCGCAGCTTATAGGACTCCTCCTGTTCGCTTGGGATACTGCTCGTGCTTCGTGACTCGGACTTTCTTTATGTGGTCGAGCGTCTCGCCTCGAGATTTCTCAGCTGAGCTGTGCTTTGCTGCAATGTTTGGGTTGTGTGCGTGCGCTGCTGTGCGTTGTGCGTGTGCGCTTTGGTGTGTGTGTGGGTCCGTGGGTGCGACAGGGGGAGAGGGGCTAATGCCAGGAACGCGTGAAGTTTCACCCTATGTGTCTGCAAAACGTGTGCATGTGCTGGGCTTTTGGGATGTTTGAGATGCATAGACGTAACAACCCACCTAAGCGGCTTTTGACGAGGGTTGAGGATAGGCAAGTCCAACTGTGCATGAATGTGGTTGATTCGATTTACTCGTTATGGTTTGCTGGGAGGAGAAGAGGCAGGGAGGACGACATCGTCATTTGTTCAGGCGACCAGTGACAGGAATGCGCAATAGACGTCATTCTTCGTTTGGATCCAGCGAGAGAAGCAGAACGGCGACGTTGTATGGATCCAGGGTGAGATGCCGTCCAGACGATTGCTACTGTGTAGCAGCACGATAGTACCTGAGACGTCGAATAACGATGGAGGAGCGCCAGCCAGGTAGATTTTCTGGCTGCTATAGGGCCCCGACATGCTCTTCCCAATCCTGTATGAGGTTACATGCGTGCAGTACGGAAGGGCATTCCATTTGCAATCACCGCCTCAATATCAACCACATGCTCGCCCTTGACATGAACAGTCTGAAGTGAGCATGTGCATGAACACGGGGCGATTGGACCGAATTTCATTTCTGATGATGGAGATGGAGGGACGGGATGAATGCGCCACCCGGGAGATCTAGGCTTGAGAGGGAAAGAGCTGGCGCTGGAGGTAGAAAAGCCAGGGGTGGCGGGGATGTGATTGGCTTACGAAGGGAACTTCCGTTCGGCGAATTGTCTCGATGCGCGGCTTCTCATCTTAATTTCCTCCTCTCGAGTCGTCATGGTGTGATGATGCACTGTTTATCACAATCTCTCGCGTGGTTCATCATAATCATAATTACTTCCACAGTGCAGTATCCTGTATGCGGGTATCTTCTTTTGCTACTGACCAGTCATGTGTAGGAATCAAAGTAGGTTTTGCTTGCACAGCCTCTTTCTCGTTGTTGCGCAATGACGATCTCTCTTTCGAACATACACGAATCAGCGCGTTTCGCAGGTGTTCTACTCGAGATCTCATGATGTATGTTATGAACCATTCGGAACCAACGGAACGGACGGCTTCAACATGCGACCGGATGACGAGTGACGAAATGCGAAAATGCAATGGTAACGGGATCCGCCTCGTGTTCGGCCGCTGCTCCTGAGTGTGATTCTGCCCTGCCCTGCCATTCGCATCCACCATTCATCGTATTCCATCGTAGATTGTTCTCCTCAGCCATTCCGTCTATCCGTATCACAACCATCCCTTAATCGGGTTTCTGCATCGTACTCACCACTTGCCGTCTCTACCGAATCGCTTTAGCAGAGCCACGTTGTTTTTGGTTGATAATAGCAATGGTACAGTGCCAGGCGTGGCCGGGAATGACGACGCGCGTGTGTATACATCGTCGCCGCCAGAGGAAGCCCGTTCTTTCCCTCCTCTCTATTATTTTCGATATTAGGGGTTTTTTACTATTTCCAGCATCTCCAACCATGCCGTCTTCTCCGGCCGGCCGTTCTCTCCGGATGAATTCACACATATGGAGGGTAGTCCCTTGTCGATGACGACGAATGAGTAATAATAGTAGTATTGGAGGACTTGTTTCCTCTGTGAGAACACGGAACTATGGGTCCGCAGGCGGATAGCTATCCTCTTACAAGAGGTGTTACATGTGCCAGGATGGTTATGCGCTGGGTGGGCTGTTGATCTCGGTGGGTCTCTCACTGCGTGCGCGCCAGCAGTAGGACACAACAACGATCGACAGCCGCTGAATTCGCGCCCGTATCCTTGTTTGTATGCCCCAAAACACAGTTGAGGTTTCGCTATTCTTGTTATTGTGGATCCGGTGCTTCATCGTCCACGATCATTACACGTGTGCGCAATACGTATGATGGAATTTCGATGTGAAGATATAATAATACATGAATACATGTATGGACGTGTGTGCATTGTACGTATCTGTGTGATTAATTACCTTTTTCCCCCTACTACTCCTACTACTGCTGCGACTACTCCAACTGCAATTTGCGCCGGGCGGGCCGGGGGCTTGTCATTCGCGTCCTCTCCCGCAATCGTCAATCGCCGCCAGTCCAATCCAGTCCAATCCACATCCAATCCTCGCTTGTCACCCTACCAATCGACTAGAGGGCTCCGTGTGTGTGTGACCACCACCACTCACACTCCACTCACACCCATTCACTCCTCCTCCTCTGACCCTTTCTCTTACACTCTTCCATCCTCGACACACTTTCTCTTGTCTCTCTTTTTTGAGAGTTGTCTCTCTTTATTATTGAATACATCCGACATCGACATTCTTTTTTTCATTCATTCTTTTTTTCCTTCCCGTTGGTTTCCTATCCGGGAAACGCACCTCGTATCAGCAAGGTGCAATTCTGGAACGATCACTTGATTCACGGCCAGGATCCGTCGTCGTGTGGTCTTTTTCTTGAATCGTCTTCACCAACAGCTACAACTACAACAACACATTCTTTCGGTTTCTTAAACTCTGGTCAACGCGACCACCACGCTCACTAGCAATTACATCATTTTTCGGCTTCTTCGCGCGACAATCTCCAACATTGTCGCATTTACTTGACATTTTTTCGTCATTAAATACACACCATTTCCTTCACCATGAAGGTCGCTTCCATCTCCGCCCTCGCGGCGTCGCTCTTCTTCGCATCCGCCTACGCTGGTCCCCAGGTACCTGGCGGCACCATCCCCGTCAACACTGTTCCCGCCCCTTCATCATCCGGCGAGACCTTCACGCCCGTCAGCAGTGCGCTCACCGCCGACAACAAGCTTCTCACCCCTGCCGTCTCTCGCAAGGTATATCCGCGTCTCGAGATCAACGAGCTGCAGAAGAATAAAGACCAGTTCAATCTATTCATCCTTGCTCTGCAGGCGTGGCAGGACGAGTCGCAGGACAGACACACGAGCTCTTCATACTACGGCGTGTCCAAGATTCATGGTGTACCATTCGGGCCTTTCAACGGTGATCCTGAGGACCTTGACAATACAAACCAACATGGATACTGCACACACAACAGCATTCTTTTCCCTACGTGGCATCGTGTCTACCTCGCCATGTACGAGCAGCAGCTGTTGGCGCGTGCGTTCCTAATTGCCAACAAGTTCACCGGCGACAAGAAGACTGCCATGCTGACTGCTGCTACGCAGCTTCGCATCCCTTATTGGGATTGGGCGGCCGTGCCTGCCAACGGCAATTCTTTGCCTGACATTAGCACATACACCAAGGTCAATGTTACATCACCTGACTTCGGACCGATTTCCATTGACAATCCCCTATACTCCTTCAAGTTCAAGCATGCTAAGACGGACTCGACCTACGGCATCTTCAACGATTGGAACTCCACATTGCGTTACCCCAACAACAATCTCCCAGGTGCTTCGACTCGGGACAAGAACTTGAATGCCGCATTCACGGTTTTGGATGATCAACACGGTCTTCAGGACCAAGTCTACCATCTCCTGACTAAATGCAAGGACTATGGTATGTTCGCCACTGGTGATGCTGTGTTCTCCAACGAAGGTTACAGAAGTTCCCTGGAGGTCATCCACAACACTGTCCACATGAGATCCGGAGGTGATGCTTGGAAGGACGCATCCGGCAACTGGGTCGTGGGCGGTCACATGACATACCTGCCCCTTGCCTCTTACGATCCGCTCTTCTGGCTCCACCACGCAAACGTCGACCGTATCTTCGCTCTGTGGCAGGCCATGAACCCCACCCTCACTTTCAATGCCAGCCAGAAAGCCGTCGACAACACCTACACTATCAAGATCAATGACCCCATCGATAACACCACGAACTTGACACCCTTCCTGAAGGGCGACGGCCAATACTGGCAACCCAAAGATGTCGCGGACTACAAGGCTACCTTCAGTTACACCTACCCTGAGTTCCTCACGGGTCTCACCCCCATTCAACAGATCAACGCCTTGTATAGTTCCTCCCGAGGGCCCGTAGTTACAGAGCGCTCCCTTGGCAGCTACGCTCCTGCTGGTAAGGCTGCTGCGCCTTCTGCCATCGACAATGCCAAACTGGCCGCCAATGGCAGTGAATACCAGTACAGTGCCGATATTCAAACTCCACGCTTTGCGCTGCAGAGCTCATACACCGTGTACATTTTCCTCGGCGAGCCAGCTTCTGAGGACCCATCGACTTGGAGTTTCGATGACAACCAAGTTGGGCCCTTCGGCGTCCTTGCTGGCGTGCCCGGCTCGAACATGGTCATGGAAGAAGTCATCATTTCTGGATCCATCCCGTTGACCCGCAAGCTGCAGAGAAAGCTCGAGTCTGGCGAGCTTAAGAGCATGGCCCCGACCGACGTCAACCCCTACCTCAAGGCCAACCTCAAATGGAAGATCTCGTGGCTGGGCAGTTGCGTCGACCCTACCACTCTCAAGGGTTTCATCGTCTCTGTTGCTGCCTCCACTGCCACCTTGCCCGCTGATGACACCGAGGCGCCAGTCTACTCGCCTTCCCACATCATCGTCGACGTTACCGCGGGCGTTGCCGGTGGTCTCAATGCCACTACTGAACTCCTTGGCAAGGTCGTCGACGACGTCACGGAATGCGTTACTGATGTTGTTGCCGATGTCGCAAAGGGAGACGTTGGTGGTGTTGTCTCCAGCGTCGTCAACGGCGTCAAGGACACCGTCGGTAGCCTCACATCCGGTCTCTCCAAAATCGGCAAGGCTTTCACCGCTCCTGCCGCCGCCGCTGCCAAGGCTCCCTCTTCGGCATCGACTTACTAGAATGTCACCAATTGATTTTTTGCCCTCATATGTTTGTGTATAATTTTCATTTTTTGAAGGAGAGAGTGGAGAAATCCACTTGGCTCTAACTCAATTTTATGTCTCCTTTCTGTTGGATTTTGTATTTGATTTCGATCTCGGTCCAGGATAAAAGAGAGGAAGAAACTTGACTGTTTTTGGGCGGGCCACAAACCCAGCTCCCCTGCATGCAATGTTCGCGCATCGATTCCTTTCAGAGAAAGGACAACTACATGTCAATGTTTAATTTCTAGAGCACGAGAAGATCAATTAATCCAATATCTCTTTTTCACGATTTCTTTGGCCAAAGTACTCCTGGGTTTCGTCTTTCTCGATTCCTTCGACTCGCATGTGTGACTCGAGACTGACTGTTGCGATTTCTCGTGGTCGTACCTTGCAAATACTGTAGTAGCACCCGAAACTCCGATGCTCATCTTACACCCAGACTGTGATATCACGCATGATTTTTTGTTGGGAGATTTAAATCAAATTGAAATAATAACATGCCCTATTCCATTCGAACCGAGCCTGAACCTGGTCCGTTGTTGTTCTCGATGTGCAACTCGTCACGTGACAAGATCAGATGATGCACGACAATGATGATGTCGCAACACGCCAATAGCAACGCGAATGGACTCACTGTACCAGTGAAGTTAGATAATGAGAGGTGTAATACCTATATTACACCTGGGCAGGTATGTTGCTTTTGGTGGGGCCGAGTTCTGCAACTTTGTCGTGGCGTGACGCGACGACCGAGGGTAAGGGTGGTGTGCTGCAAGAACGATAAGGTATGGGCGGGTAAGGGCACACCTGCAGAACATCGTGGCAAGCGCATACGCCAATCATGTGTGATCACTTGGGCACCAGTAAGCATCCGGCGAAATAGATGAGCAAGCATCGCCAGCGTGTATGGCAACACGGCGATAAAACCCTGCGCCGGCCATGCGGATTGTGCCTACGATCAAGGAGCTGGACCTCACCGGTCGTGTGAAGAACGTCACGTCGGATGATACACCTCGGCAAGTCTTATATTCAAAGGTTTGTATTGGTCGGAATGCGCCACATTCGGCCAGCTCAGGTTGTGGAGATCAACGGGAGGCCACACTTCAGGCAACCTCGATTTCGTACGTCTACGTGACGGAACGCAAGGCGCGGGCACACGCGAAGACAGGTGATGGAGATATCACACGTACAGCAGTACCTGAGATGGAAGTGCTCCCGATAGGCTCTGAGCTTGTGTTCAGAGACGATTCATCATGCAAGCAAGACTAGGGCGACACTGTTCTCGATGTCGAGTACTGCCTGCGCTTTCGCGGTTATAATGCTGACCTGCCCCATTGCTGAGAGCACTGTACCATACTACAGAGGCCAGGCATGATCCGTGTTCGTAAACGGCGAACGAGCATTCGCCCGTCTACTACGTCGATTTCAAACGGCTCATCATGCGGCTGCTCCGAGTCCGCGATCTACGATTCGAAAACTTCATCGGCCAGGGCATCCCGGACTACGCCATTTTGTCTCACCGATGGCATGTCGACGAGGCAATGCTCCTTGATGTGCAGATGGGATCTTCAACAACCACACAAGGAATGATGAAAGTGTACGGCTTCGTCAACTACGTCAAGGAAAATATACCCAGCATTGAGTATGTTTGGATTGACACATGCTGTATCGACCAGAAAAGCAATCCGGAGGTGTCCGAGTCAATAAATTCCATGTTCCGTTGGTATTCCAATGCTCGAGTCTGCATAGCATACCTGCGCGACGTCGACAATGACGACTCCAGCTTTGAGCACAGTGAATGGTTCTCTCGAGGCTGGACCTTGCAGGAACTGCTGGCTTCGCAAGTTGTCGTCTTCCTGTCTCGCGATTGGAAAGTCATCGGTCACAAAGGTCCAGATGTATCATCATCTATCACCCGCATGTCTTTTCACACAGGTCCTTTGCTCAATCGCCGTGTCGCAGATGCGACCAACATCCCAGAGAGCGTGCTGCAAGACTTCCAGAGCGCAGTTGCCACGCTCGACAAAGATGACATATTCAAATGGATGGAGAACCGACAAACGACCCGCGAAGAAGATGAATCGTATTGCTTGCTAGGGCTGCTTGGTGTCAACATGAATATTCGCTACGGCGAAGGACGAGATCCGACTAAGCAGCGTCTGCTTAGGAAAATAAATAAGAAGCAATTCCCAGATGTTGAACATGTCAGCGAGACCGGCGCCATTATTGGCAATGTCTCTGTTTCTTTACAAGCAGCCTTCGATGCCTCGAGTAAACAAAATGATCCCTTATGCCTCGAGAGCACCAGGGCAGATGTGTTGAAGCAAATTCGCGCATGGGTCACGGGCAATGAGCCAAGCTGTATCTTTTGGTTGAATGGTATGGCCGGGACAGGAAAGTCGACAATTGCACGTACGATCGCACGCGAGCTAAATGGAAAGCACTATCTTGGTGCTAGCTATTTCTTCGTCCGAGGTAGTGGACCTGCTGTATCGAACGCCGCACCTTTCTTCACGACCATTGCCAACCAGCTTGCCATTGCTATGCCAGAGGTCAGACCGCATATGACAGCGGCCATTGAACAACAGCCCGACATTGGCAGCAAGTCACGCGATGATCAGTGGAACAGACTGATAGTTGAGCCGTTCGCAAACTTGACAGCCCCAACGGAGAAACTGGTTGTCATTATTGTTGATGCACTGGATGAATGTGATGACGATAAGGACATGAGAGGCATCGTCAACGTTCTGGCGCGAGCAAATGAAGTTCCCAATATCCGGTTGCGCGTCATCATCACAAGTCGGCCAGAAACGCCAATTCGTCTGGGCTTCAAAAAACTCCCTGAAATTCTGCATCAGGATCTCCTGCTTCATGACCAGCCTCGTCCGACCACGGACGGAGACATTTGCTTGTTTCTGTATAATGAACTTGAAGATATCCGGGAGGCGCATGGGCTGCCTGGCGACTGGCCGACCGTCGATCAAGTCAACCAATTAGTGCGAGCTGCTGGAGGGCTGTTCATATTTGCCGCCACAGCTTGCCGCTTCTTGCTCGAATGCGACGATGCAGAGGATTCTCTTGAGCTATTCCTTCGAGCCGATGATGAGTTGCCTGCTTCAGCAACACCCGATATTGCTGACGAGGCGCAAAATCAATGGACCGTCATCTTGGATGAGATTTACAGCCAGATCCTGACACGAGCAAACGTGATAACAGCCCAGATATTGACATCGTATCGATCTAATGATGGAAATGGACATATCACTGGCTTGATGGCGAGCCTTGCCGAACCCGTGAATATTGAGATCCTTGCGAGATTACTTCAAACCAAAACGTCCGTTGTGAACCACAGACTTGAGAAACTACACTCGATTGTTCGCATGTCCAAAGCCGTCGAAGAACCAATTCGTTTCTTCCATGCGTCTTTTCGCGATTTCTTACTTCAAGAGCATCGGAGCGGTCCCATGGGCTTTTATCTACCGCCAAAGACAGCTCATAGTCGTCTACTGCAAGGATGCTTCGCGATCATGCATGATGGTCTACATCGAAATATGTGCGATCTTGAGCATTCAGGGGTACAGTACGAAAACATTGGGGATGCAATAATTGACAGAATGATCTCGCCGGCATTGAAATATGCCTGTCGCTATTGGACCTATCACTGGGAGCGATCCGAATCTCAAGATAATCTCGTGGCTGAATTCGTTGGGCAACACTTCTTGCACTGGCTTGAAACCATGAGTCTCTTGGATTTATGGGATGAGGCTAGCCTCATGATTGCTTCGAGTGTGAGATTTCAGGCGGTAAGTTGCATTCTATTTCTGTCGCATAAATTGCGTCCAATCGATGACCTGCAGCAGTGATCTTTAGCAACCGATAGGTCAACACTCAGCTGACATAGTAATAGGCATCTGCATGGCTTCAAGATTTCCTGCGGGACGCACTGCGTCTCATGTCCAAATTTCGTCCATGTGTTGGGCAATGCCCTACACAAATCTACGAAGCTGTCTTGTTTTTTGCGCCGCGCTCTAGTGTCATCCGAAAGACATTCCAGGACCAGAGACCACAATGGATATCAATGGTCGAGTCGAAAGAACAAGAAGATTGGGATTCCTGTTTACAGATTCTTTGGGGTCACGCTCCGCACCCTATCAGGAAGATGTCTTTCGTGGACAACGGGAAGTATTGGGTGTCGGCGACTTCGACAGCCGTCCGCATGTGGGACACAGTCACCGGAGTGTGTACTCAGAGGATCGATCAAGTACCCTCGGATTATTATCAGATTGCGTTTGCGCCAGACGGAAACTTGATCGCAATGACTTCGGACGATTGTATCCAATTGTGGAGCATCAGGGATGGCACCAAGAAAGCCGAACTGGAAGACGATTCGTCTCACGGCTCATACGTTACGCGACTCATATTCTCTCCAGCGAGCACTTTACTTGCATCTGCGTCCGAAGACAACGTCATACGAGTGTGGGATGTTCAACGCGGCCTCTGCTTGCGCGAGCTTAAGGACCACAGTGGCGCGGTCACAAAAATGATGTTCTCATCCGACGGCCGTGTACTAGCGTCTTTGGCGCCCGACCATGAGCTGTGTCTGTGGGAGGTGTCCGTTATGTCCTCGTTCACTCTTCTGACGAAGAGTGAACGACAAGGCCGCCAGACCGTTGGTGCCCGGAAGTATGGCCGCCTGGCGTTCTCTTCAAATGGAAGAATACTCGCGACCTCTGATGGGAATGACATCGAATTACAAGCCATTGGCAGAAAAGGAAAGGTGCTGACGCTCACTGGTCATTCTAAATCCACAACAGCGATTGCCTTCTCGCCAGACAACACCCTACTGGTGTCTGGATCGCTCGACAAGACACTACGAATCTGGGATACCAGCACTGGTTCAACATTATGCGAGCTTCATGGTCATCAAGGAATGATATCTTCAGCAAGCTTCGCTTTGAGAGGCGAGATTGTCATTTCCACATCCCGTCACGAGAGATTGATCTATGTATGGGATGTCGCGAGTCGACGCATACTACATACTCTTGGGGCCCATCATGACAACATCGTGGGTACTGCGGTGAGCTCCACCGTCCTGGCTTCGTACTCGCGAGACAGCATGATACAGTTCTGGGATCTCGCAACGGTGACCAGCCCACAGCCTCGCTTCGACCGCCCCACCCCACTGCGTGATGTCTATCATTCACAATCGGAGAAATTAGTGGTCGCAACGTCCTTGCGAGGGTTGGCGATTCGAGTCTTCGACACGACGACCGAGCAAGATACGAAGAAGTTGATAGGCCATGAAGCTTACGTGTGGCACGTGAAGATCTCGCCAGATGACCGACTTGTTGCTTCCGTATCGGCGGATGGCACGCTTCGAATATGGGATATTGCAAAGAGCTGCGAAATTCATCGGGTCGAATATCGAGGGTTGCCAACGGTCCGTTCACAGGGTTTGGACATTGGTATCTTGAATCCACATTCTAAGAACCTATCGTCAAGCTCGGACATCGTCCCCATCTGGGACTTACTCGACGAGCGTTCCGTTCTGAATGCGACTAAATGTGTCACTCTGATGTGGGTCGCGATTTCCCACAGCGGACGAATGGCATCGTTGGACGAGGCATATGTCTTGCGATCATTGCCGACAGGCACGTTCTCCAGTCAATGGCACATCGAATTTCCTGGCCAAGATTGTTGTCTCACCTCGATAGCTTTCTGCGCAGCACAAGATCTGTTCGCAGCCGTTCGAAGTGACGGCAAGCTGCAGACATGGAGCACGAATAGCGGTAACCTCCTCTGGCAGAGGTCTTTATCGAATGTCTCATCCCTGGATTTCTCGAGTGACGGCAAATTGCTTGCAGCATCCCGCTCATACAACGTCGCTCTCCTAGATGCTTCAACAGGCATGTGTGTTCACCGAATCAGAATATGCACAGACTCAGCTCAAAGATGCACCTTTGGTAAGGACGGCTCGAGCTTGCGTGTCCCAGGAGGCTTCCAGAGCTTGAAATGTCTAAACATTCCAGGAAGCTTCCAAAGCCTGACATGTCGGCACATCCCAGAAGCTTCCGAGAGCCTCACATGTGAAGAGTTCGCCTGCCTATATCCGGCCGCGAAATCTTCTCGTTCCCGACACAGTGTAATCGTCGACGACGACTGGCTCTTCCTCGATGGCCGCAGAAGGCTCTGGCTGCCCTCAGAATATGATGCTTGGTGCGTATATGCTAACGAAGAAAAGATCTTCATTATGCATCAGGATGGTTCATCCAGTATTTGGCGACTTCATCCTCCATGATTCACGACAATGAAAACATGTCCATCAGAGTATGAATCATTACTTGGTGTCGCGATACCAGAACCAGCTTTTGACGCCACCTGCTCTGAAATAAGTCGCTGCCAACATGTGCAGCCACGAACTTGCACGGCGAGGGTCACGCGGTCTCCAAGGTAGTAAGCACACAGCGTAAAAGGTTTGCGACATCACGGGTATGTGCCCTTCGTTGCTGCGATCATAGACCAAACGAACAGGCCATGCTGGAGTCGATTGAGAGACTGACATATTCCGTCCGTTACGAGGCTTCCGGTAGACCTCACGTACGTTCTGGTCTAATATCAGATTGCGAATCCTCTCTGTTTCTCTTGTATGACTCGCTGACTCTTTTATCGCAGCTGAAAATCAGGTAGCCCGGAAAGACGCTGCTTTCGTCGATGTAGACGTGATTATTGTGCAATATTCACCTAAGATTCGAGGTCCCAACACCAACACCACCTTGTGAGAGCTCCACAGGGCTCTGGCGGCCCGTGCAATGCCGAATATCTCCATGTTGAAGGATATATGTTGCAGACTGACATCCTGCCATATCATAGACTATATTTAATTATCGTCTCAAATTAGTGAAATTTATTTAAAAACGGCGGATTGCAATATTGCTCTACATGGTGTAAGAGGCACAAGATGTCAAAACCTGCACGAACATGGTGTTCAAAACCCTCTCATCTCTAATGTTCTTCACGCACATCCCTTACGAGACATACTCGCTTACTTCGAGCGGCGATTAAGCAACAAGGCTACCAAGCCAACAATGCTCAGAACAAATCCAATCCACATGAAAGCCAAATCAGCCCGGACGCGAGACTCGAGGGTTCTGCATGTGTCGAGCGCATCGGTATCGTCATAAGCATAAGAGCAGAACCCATTCTCGCCACCATCGCGTCGGAACAAAACAGTGAGATTCTGACATGTGACTTATTAGTAAAATGTCTTTTCCGCTCTAGTGACCGGAGGTCAAGAACAACTTACGATCGCGCCAGCGAGGTAGAAAACCGTGGCCAAGCCGTCGAAGGTGATCGCGACGAGCGTGATGATGGCAGTAGAAACAAGCGTCGTCGCGAGTGCCAATATTGCGGCTAAGAGACCCCATACACCGACAAAGATGCCAAAGCGACTGCCCCGAAGCCATCCACTAACTCCACAGTCACCGGCATTCTCGCTTGGGTATTCTATGTTTATGGCGTTGCAGAGGTCCGTGTAATATTGAAAGGAGTTCGTGAGGCTTGCGGACAGGCCAATTATGATGATGGCGGTAATGAACTATTCGTTGTTGATTAGTTTCTGTGCATTCTTGTATTTTGATCGACTTACCAAGAGGACATGTGTGGCACTGTTGCCTATGCCAGATATCCCGCCCAGCGCCATGTCGGGTAATATCTGTATGCGATGAATCTGTATGGTGTTTCCCTGCGCAAAGTAAAAGAGTGATGTCAAAGAGGTGAACGGTGAGGAGCTACTGAAGTCATGCGCGCATCGTACAGCGAAGTCCAAAGATGATCTATATCAGCAGGAAGATTTCCGCCCGGTAAGAATCGGGAGAAGAGGAAATCTGGGGAAAAGCTTGTTGAAATTAAACATGTTGATTGACGTACGCCACTCAGATACAGCATTGTTATTACTCCACGGCTGTGTGAAGATGCATAATTGTCCCCTCCATCATTTATGCAACTTGTTAAAATACCCCGATCTGCATCTTCGATCCTATCGCGTATACACTCACAACTTCACTATTTATAAGGTTGCAAAATGCCAATGGCAACCATGAGGGAAGGCCACAAGCAGGGCTGCCATTGTGTACGCGTCGTGGTCAACGGTCTCGCAAGCCGGTGATGATTCGTCGCGCTAAAATCAGCCTCTAAACGCCTTGGACGATTTCCCTGTGATCACGGTTCGTCCTCCGACACTGTCGCATCATGCACTGCGCAGCCAAGATGGCCTCGGAGATCGCAAACGCAAGGACTGCATTTTCATGAGAATATAAACAATGCTGTTCGCTTTTCTGCAGGTTCTGGACGATGTGTCAGGCCTCTATGAACACACGATGACCGAAACATTCACTGTCTTTGTACTCTTCACAGGCCGTCCGAGCCTCCTGAAGTGATCACCAAGCAAAGCCGGAGCTGAAAATCCAGATACGACTCTCACAGCCTAGAACTGGCGACGCGTCTGCGGAGGGTAACGAAGAATGCTTCTTCAGGAAATGACGAAGCCTTCTGGCGCAACAACAACGAAGTGCTGATGAATTTTCATCGAGTAACGTCATCGCAAAGTATCTGGTTTCATGTCAAGATTAATGCACGAAGGACAATGGTCTCGTGTAAAAACAAAGACACAGCGTGTCAGAATTACTCCGATGTCAAGTCCAAGAGTTCTTCCCTCTCCTCGCTGTCCTTGCTCTCCTTGTCCAAAGAAGCGATTGCTCTCGAACGATGAGTGATCAGTCTTTCAGTAAGTGCAAAGGCGCTGAGGATGCATGCGATCCAAAGCAAAGTTCGCTCCGCTTGGATGAGGGGCTTAATGGTACAGCTGCGCTCGACACGGTGCGTGTAAGGGGGCTGGGAATCTATCTTCCACTCTTCGCAGAAAATTTGAGCAGGTACGCCGATAGGCAAGACGGTGACGGCCTTAAAGATGAAGAGGTAATGGTCAGCGATTCCCTCGCGCTCTGAGACAGTTTGGTTTTCACAGAAGGGAAATCCCATGCAGACGGATACGCAGGGGTTTCTTGTGTATCGTGAACCCGATCGGTGATTACTTACGATTGCTCCAGTGAGGTAGAAGACCATCAGCAATCCGTCGGATATGGCTGGGGCATCTGGAATTGTATTCAAGGCGAGAATGCTCAGACCTGCCGCCAATATTCCCCAAACCCCGGTGAATTCGTTGAAACGACTGAATGCTATCCATTCATCGAAACCGCAGTGGTCGTGATATTGGCAGCCTGCCGCAGACTTCAATACAATGCGTATCCTCGCCGACACATAGATGATGATGGCTGCAATGACGAACTGTGGTTGCCCAAAACAGAAGAGGAAAATCATCAGCACGACGAGGCTCCTCGATGAGGTACGGCATCACATCAGTAGCTTACCAAGAGAATGCGCGTAGCAAGGACACTGATGCGAACAGTATTTTCGTCGAAAGCCATGTTTTTCAGCGCTTCTTCATGAGTGTATTGTGTTATAGGGGAGGAAACTCGCTGTCGATGCACAACAGCGTCTTGCTTCAACCACTAGAAGGGAGCACGAGAGATCAATATCGCAAATGAATTCAAAGAGTGGCCGTGCTCTTCTCAATACATAAGATGTAAATGCCATCACCTTGTCTGCTAGACGTGGGGAGGTGGTGCTGCGCCCACAAACATGTCCTTCCGCAGCAGCGGACCGCCCGAAACCATCCATGATCTACAATATGCTGCTTCCAACAGGTCACCGAGTCCACGTCCAGACTGCACAGCCGGCTTGCAGTTAGCAACGGGGCCGATCGTCATTATTACCTCTCGTATGCGTGACCTATGATCATCGCTTCAAGGATGATATTAACGTAATGACTGGGGGAATAAGCCACGACCAAAGATGTTGTCGTCAATTAGTCACGTGACTTTACACATTTCATCTTGGTGCCTCGGGCCTTGATATAGCCTCAGGCACTTATCACACATGACAAGTACCGATTGCATGCTCATCGATGGAAAACAGTATTGGCTGTCGGCTTATGCAGGCAGCAATCATCTGCAGAGACGTGATTTCGGCGGTTGGGACAAAGTCGATGGTCGCCCGAGCCTATAACGCCAAGCCCGTAACTGAATGCCGTACTGGCCGGCAATCCGAGCACGCTTCCGATATTCGCCTCAGAGCTTTGCTGCTAAAGAATTGATTTCATCATCGTTGACGTTCAAGCAGAGCGTTTGAAAAGTGTTGGTACACATAACTCATTAACTTGCTTTAGTCAAGCTCTCTATGCGCCAAGGATTCCCTGCCACCCATAATTGCATTGTTGTAATACATTGCAGCAGAGAAGTAGCTGATCAGAATTTATATCTCAATCATTCATATCAATCATAAAAATACAGCCAGCACTCCACTAAGCACAGAGAACCCTGCCGCGAGCCCCGATCCCCAGCTGAAGTCTCGAATCTGTACCGCAGCGCCCTGCTTAATAGCCGTCGCGAGAGCTGTACTAATCGAGGATGAGGCTAGTCCGGTGAAGAGCGTACCGGATATATCGCTGAAAATGGTGCCGTTGGCTGTCCAGGCCTGGCCCTCAGTAATCACATGATTACCGCCGATAGTCCAGGCGGATTGGCTAGTAGGACCGACTGGGTAGAGTGCTAGACCTGAAGTAGTCGGGCTTGTAGAGTTGTTGGTTACGGGGGCAGTAGATGGGCGTACGCCGGCCCCGGAATTGCTCGTAGAAACCGGGGCTGGCGCAATAGCAAGGGCGACAGGCGCGATAGTTGAAGTGTGACCATTAACGATGATCCGTACGCCGCTTCCCGAGGGTAGAGCAGACCAGGTAGTGCCGGCGGAGGTAATAGCAGGACCGCCGGGAGTAAGCGTCTGCGAACCGATGAGAATGTCAGCCTTAAGGGACGCAGCAGCTGTAATTCTAGGAGCCTGGGGGATGACAGTCGAGGTATGGCCGTTGGCGACGATCTGAACACCGCTTCCGGAGGGCAGTGCTGACCAGATTGTGCCAGCTTGCGTGACAGCGGGTCCGCCGGGCACGAGGGTCTGCAAGCCGATGAGAATGTTGCCAGGCTGCGACGAGAGAGCCGCAATGCCAGGAGCCTGGGGGGTGACAGTAGAGGTTTTCCCATCGGCGACGACTTGGACGCCGCTTCCGGAAGGCAGTGCGGACCAGATTGTACCGGCCTGGGTAACAGCTTGGCCCCCAGGCAAGAGGGTTTGTGAGCCGATGAGAATGTTGCCGGCCTGAGATGAAGGAGCTGCGATTTCAGGCGCAGCAAGGCCGATGGTAGAAGTCAGGCCGCTGACGATGACTTGCACCCCAGCTCCCGAGGGTAACGCGGAGAACGTGGTTCCACTGGCCGTCACGGCTGGACCGCCTGGGCGAGCAGTCTGAGAACCGATAGCGAAAGCAGTCACTGAATCAGGAGACTGTCCATTTGTTGCTCCGTTGCCGTTTGGCAATCCATTCCCATTTGCTGGACCATCGTCATTTGGCGGTCTGTTGCCATTTGCCGGGAAATTAATGTTTGACGGTCCATTGCCATTTGCTGGTCCATTGGCTGATGTGGCAGGAATCGAATCCGCGATAGGCGACGGAGATTTCGAGTTAGCAGGAGCTGCAGCCAAACCTGGAGCTGTTGACGCTGGCGGCTGCTCAAGCTGCGGAATGACTATCGCAGAAATGGTGATTGGCGCGTTTGCGTCCGTGAATTTTCCTTTATCGGAGGCGGCGGTCGGACGCGGACTATCAGATGATGGATCGAATGTAAATTGTATTACTTGCTGAGATGAAGTTAGTGAAGCCGCAGGCGCCGGCACTGCCGCAGTAGCCTTTGCAGGCGTTAGGCTGGTCGGAATGCCTGGCGCCGGGTTTGCAGCAGTTGTTTGTAATGATGCTGCTAAAGTTGCAGCAGCGGCAGTAGCTTCGGCAGTAAGCACAATCGGTGGGTCGAAGACGCCGTCGAGATCAAGGCGGCAGGTTGCCCAGGCTGGATGTGCGGCCCGAAGCTGCAGTGGAAGCATAATCCGTGGACGATAGAACTCTTCAACGATGATTCCATCCGCACATATACCTCGATTTGCTCCGAATTGGGGAGCAATATGCCAGGGCCCCCGATCGCCATCCATTAGCCATGTATAACTGTAGTTTTCCAAGATGTCCACCCATGGAACTCTACCGTCATGACACCACGGCTGGCAGTTCCAAGCACTGGCGGGCAAAGGCCCGTCGAAATCGGCAAAATTGTAAGGGACGGCTTCCGAGTGCCAGGAACTTGAGCAAACGGAGTGTAACTCGGAAGAATAAAGCGTCATGATAGTGTTTATCGGGTTGCCATGTCGACCGTTACAGTCCCATCTTTGGACTTGGTCGAGGGAAAGGTAAACCCGATTCTGGTAGTAGGTTCTTCCAGAGTAGACTGCATACGGTCCTACGAAACGTGTGAGTCAATATGAAAACAATAAGAAGGGCACAATGTGTCACCTGAATCTGCTTCCATCGTAGACGAAGTGTTGAGAGGAGGATAAACACAGCTGAGAAACTCATAGCCATGGGGATCCGTGTGCATGGTTGGAAAGCCACCGAAACACGTCTGACCTAGCGAGCTCGCTGGATATTTAGCACACATATCCCGAGTGGCTGTCCCTGTATTGGGGAAGCGTATGAGCTGTGCCATTCCGGCGATAATAACACAGTCGTCGTCACAACTTTCCGTATTCTGGGTCGTGAACTTCTCTTCGGGGGCGCCGCCGCAGGCCAGATGTTGACAATCGAATGGAGACGGCACACCGAGAGGTGATACTGTGATCGTCTGGCCAGCCACCAATATGGGATCAAATGAATAAATGACTTTCTGATAATAGTTTGCATCATACGTGCTGTTGTTGTCCAAGATCGTGCCGCGTGGCTCCCATGTCGTGTTGAAAAGGGTCAAAGTGGGCAACGCTGTGATCGGCACGGTTGCGATCGTGAGTGTGGTCGTGTCGACAGCGTCGGCTACCGTGAGCATAGTAGGAGTAATGGGAAGGGCGAGGGTGACCAGATTTCGTGACAGCCAAGACGATCTAGTTGTCCATAAGCCACCACATATCTTCGCACAATCTGTGCTCTGAACCGAACACGTGGGCTCCTGGTATCTTGCAATGCTATACGATCCTGTGGCAGTGTTCTGGGCGACCTCTTCACTATTACGTATTGACATGGGGCCGACAACACGTGGCATACCGTCGCAAAGACGGGTCATCGAGGCGGTCAATGTGGTCCGCACGCCTTTCGATACATAGTATGTGTCGAACGTCTGAGGGAGACGGTCCTTGTCTACAAGATATAGGTGATGAAAAGTATCTTGTTCAGAAAGGCACGCAGAGGCGTAGGCTGTCCCGGAACCATTCACGGGGACAGTCCAGGTGCGCACTGGTAGAGCTGTAGTGGTTGTGCCACTGGTGGTCGTTGAATTTGAAGCAGTTGTCATCTTGACGCTGTCACCGCTGTACGAACTGCGCGCCGACGACCCTGATGAACCTCCGGTGTTCTTCGCAGCGGCGACACGATCACTGCTAGGCAGACTCGGCGTTGTCAAGACAGTAGAGAGATCCGAGGAGGTGCGATCAACATCACCGCTGTACGGACTGCGTGTCGATGACCCTGATGACACCTTGGTATTCTTCGCCGCGGCGACACGTTCACCACTAGGTAGACTCGGGGTTGTCAAGGCAGTGGAGAGATCCGAGGAGGTGTGATCGACGGCGGTGCTATCCGCAGTCGTGGCCGTTGCAGTCGGAACGGCATCTGGGGACATACCGAGTCCTTGCAATATGAAGTCGCCGATGTCTGCATTCGCCTGTACGCCTGAGATACATGCCAGGAATGCGAGCGCGGCGGCGATGCGAGCGCGGCGGCGATGCGGCCGCGGCGCCCGAGCCGTGAGGACGGCATATCAGCTCTGTGATGAAGTATTCTGAATGGGCCGTGAGGGGTCTCCTTGAAGCCGGAAGAGGTAGAGACACCACTTAGAATCAAAAGTCGACGATGCGCTCGAGGAAGAACATGTTGAGACGTGAAACTCGACGAGGGAACCGTAGCAGGGTATAAACTTCGCCGTGGGCGTCGAACTATACATGAAAGTATGGCGTATCTCCCTGAAGCTCCAACGACCCGCGCCGAGATCTTCGTTGTCGGGAGAAGCAAGTATTGCAAATGAAAACTTGTCGGCACGTGTGTCCGCCTCGGTTGTTGGTGGCGGTTTGGCGGCGCGAGACGGACTGTGATGAGCGTGCATCTGTACAGGCTCTAGACATGACCGGCGGGCCAGCGCGTTTCGAATGTGGTGCGTGGAGTTGCAATCTTGCAGCGGGTTTTCGAAAATTATCATTGCGTGCCGCACTAGCTCACCTCAAGCGGGACACGATCAGGGACACCAGGGTGATGGTGGAAAGCTTAAAACTTGGTGATCTTCGCACACCCGTTTCGCGGACAAAATTGATTGATCGGGGTTGGCAGACCAGAAACAGCTCTTGCGCCGGAGTGATGACCGGACGTCGTCGCTTCAGCTTGCTGCTTCTTCTGCTGTTGCTGCTGCTGCTGCCGCCGTGCCCACCGAGCCTCGCCATCGTCCATGGGTGAGCTGACGCGGCAAAGAAACTAACATCGTGACTCGTCTTGCATATTTACTGCAGTCGAAACCACGCATCCCTGCATCGAGTGACGCGGATGAGGATAGTTCCTACTACCATCGGGACCTTTTGCAAGGATGAAGCTGGACGCGTTCTGTAATGTACATACCCACAAACTCGAGAGCGCACGGAGCGCTTGCGCATGCACCAGGCGAGTCGGCAGATCCTGCAACAGGCACCATGCAACCAGGAGGCGGCTAAAATTGAAATTGCGACTTGGGCGGGAAATGGGAGCTCCTGTCTGGCTTTGCTTTTCCCAACACAAGCGAGGCAATGTAATCATTTTGCTGATGCATAGTCCTCGCGTTGTGCGCACTGCTTGATCGCCAGTGGACACTTCGTCAGGTAGTCATCGAGGCGGAGATGTTCGACACCAGAATAATAAGCAGGAATTGCGCCAATTTGTATTATCGAGACCCTTGCTTTATTGTGTGGTTAGTCAGAGCTACTGAGCAGTGACCTCGGCAGCGGGCGGTGGCGCTGGTCGCTACATCCGCGGGCTCATCGGAGGCAGAACTTGTCAACATGAAGCAGGATTTACAACACCTGGCTGCCGCTTTGTACTACATCTTATGCATCGAGACATTTGACACTGGTAGTCGGCGGGCGTTCCGCAGTGACAGATGGGTGGTGACAGGCCCGCAGTGTCTTCCTGTTCCACGTGGAAACTCTGTCCAGTACAGCAAGGGATGTGGTTGCTTTGGCGGGCGGCCCGTCGGGAGCCGCAGCGCACAAAGACGCTCGAAGGCTCCCTATGTTGTCCACTTTGCAGCAGGACGCCAGAAATGGATCCACCATTGAAGAATTACTTGCAAGCAGTCATAATTCACCTCGCGGACCATCGTTCAAAATGGTGACATGGTGGAAATCCTGCGGTGACGAGTCGGAGAATTGTGTCTTCCATTCCGGCGCCAGCATTGCGGGCCGATGAACAATCCGAAACAGCTTTTAAAAATGCTCATTTCATCGGCAGTGCACTGAGGCGCGGGGGGGCATCTTTGTGGTGACGGGTCTTTGTCGATTCTGTAAACCAATTTTCGCCCAAGGACGATCCGTTCGAGGGGCGACAGGATCTTCGTTGGTAATTTTGCTTGGGACGAAGTGCTCAGTGTGATGCTCTGATACTTATATCGCCGGAGTAGTACCTTACTACACCTTCTGTGTAAAAAGTATATCCACAGCGAAGGAAACATCGTCTTTCAATGGACGCACGTCGGATTATTTCGAACAGCCACAAGCACATTGATCCGCAACCCTAAAAACTCCACGCGCAAGGTTTTATCAACGCAGTCACACACCAAGGCGGCGCCAGCTCCGCTCTTGTTTTGCTATTCTAAGTGTTTCCATTACGCGTATCGGAGGTTGCGGGCAATAGACTCGAGCTTCCCTTCGACGCCGGCCTAAGAAACATCATATCACGTGCACACACCGGTGAGCTGATCAGGCGATGGCTGCATATCGCGATCCAAACGAAGCAGCATGCGAGGCTTCGCCACAGCTCAGCCCTCCTACTGTCGTCAACCGGCATGTTTTTGCTGAGGGGACGACTGCGGCTTTTCATTACAAACTGAAGCCGCAACTGTTTTTTGTGGAACGACACAGGAAATTCTTCTGGGAGATCATCGTGCTCAGGAAGAGTGCAGAAAGCGCCTATTAAATTCATGAATCTCCTGTCAAGTTCGGACATGATCTTGTAACTCGTGGCATTCCTCATATATCACAACATGGAACCAATTCGGCGTACGTCTTCGTCACCCAGCTCGAGCTCTGCAGGCATAAGTGCTGACCACGATGAAAAGCGGTATATTCCTTTTCCACTCGTGGCGAGACTCCCCCAGAAGTCGAGTCTAAGACGGTGTCTTGGTCGACGCTCTTCTGGATCATTGTGCCCATCGCATTCAATACCATGACACAGCCGGGAGGGTCGGTCATTTGCGCTATACCAGAGGTTGGTTTCGCGTTGCGGAGCTCGCCCCTCATATGCGCCGTCGATGCGATCTTGCTCATCTACCAATTCTGGCAGTATAGCTGGGAACATGGAGTCAAAGAAGCACGGCGCCGGTTGTTGTTTGTTCGGTTCAAGGCTGTTTCCGAGGGCGGCAGCGAGTACCCCGACATCACATTGCTCCGGGAGAATCGAGGTTTTCGATACGTCGGCTTCGCTCTAAGTCTCGTACAATACGTCAGGCTGTATGCATTCAGTGGGTGCACTGCAATACAGGTCGTCGCGACAACATATCTGGTATCATTTATTTTGATCGAGGCCTTGACGCTTGGATCAAGAGGCGCGACCCGAATTCCACCACCACAGGTGGAATCACTCCGATGTTTCGGCCGGATGGATCGGCCGTACACATTCATCCCACCAGCCACGATTTTCGCGATTCACATCGCCACAAGTCCATTCGAAGAAGCCATCAATCAATCATTGCAGAGTGCAGTATATTGGTATGGACAGTTGGTTTTCATGGTAGTCGCCATGTCGATCATTCAAGATCTTCTCTCCAGCGCGACTCAGAGCGACGCTTGGGAAGAGTACGAACCCCTCTTGCTTGTCCCGGTGATAATATGCCCCAACCCCGGCCATATTGTCTTGCACATCATATCGGCGGTCCTTTCTGTCAGCAACGCCTTCAGGCATTTCATCCTGGTGGCGGTGCCAACGATCTGGGCTTTCTTTTATTCCCTCCTCTTCTCCAGCGCATTCTTGACCAGGAAAAGCGCAAAAACCAGAGTGAAGGGAAGAGTCGAGCAATCGGCGTCGTGGGGTTTCGTGGTTCTGCACCTCGCGGCGGCCTTTTTGTGGCACAAATACAGCTATAACCCCGAGGGTACCTTTGCACCCGCCTGGACAGATTTCTTGGGGTAAAGAGATGGGGTTCCCTCCATAGCTGTATATGATTCACGCCACGCCTGCTTTCGCTGTACTGTGTCTCTGTATCCTGTACCACACTCCTTCGCAGACTCTTTAGCTCAGGTAGCAAGTGAACGATCGAAATGACCTGGATGCCCCAGCGTTCAATGTTCACACGCTTGATGGGATCTTGAACCCTCGTGTGTTATTGCCCCTCATAAATATGGCCACTGAGGCGGCTTGACTTGGTGAATCGTCCGATAGGTTTCGCAGTCATTGCCGGAAGGAGGGAGGCGTCGTCATGATTTGAGCTCAGCTCTTCTCAGGACTCTCTTTCAAGCCAGCGTTGAATCGCAATCGGTTGATCATGTGTTCTTGACGCAGAGGGGAGAGGATCCGTCGTCCAGCCGGGGCCGAGCATGTCCTGAAGATATCCGGGTAGCTTTGGAATGAATGACTCCGGGCCACGGAGCTTGATACATGCCAGCTTGGGATAACGAGGATCGACCATCAACGCTCGCGGGGTGGTTTTGGAGCACTTCGTCATTTTCTCCATCCAATTTTTCGATCTCCAAAGTGTGAAGATCCTGTCGAGGCAAGAACCATTTCAGAGGTCCTTGGCTGCAGTCGGCCCCTGGCATGAGATGGCTCCATTTTCGGGGGTTGTATCGAACGCTCAGTTTCGAGGGTCGAAGTCTTCACCGTGTCGCACCGACTGCGTCCTTCTACGAGGAAGTGAGCATCGTCGTCACCGCCCGTGCCGAGTCGGAAGTTCTGAAGAGGCATGCGGAGTCTGGCGATTTCTCGCAAAATAGGTTCTGTTTCGTCCTAACCAGGGTGAGGATTTAACATGTACAGGACTGACAGATGAGGGACCACTCTCAGAAAGCTAATCGCTTTTCCCGCTGTGAAGTGGCAATGCTCGAATGAGCATTCATTGATATTTGTCGGCCCATTGCGCGTTAGCCACATCTCCAATTCCGGATCGGCATCATCAAAATAACATTTGAGCCCGCAACCGCGGAATTTGATCAAACGGGGGCAGAGCAGAAAGTGCGCATATTGTGAGAAACACAGCTCCGGATCATCATGGAACCCTTCTGACCAGTCATGGAAAACAAATGTACCGAGTAGAGGTAATGTTGGTTCTTGCAGTCCGGTGATGGGCTCGGGCTCGTCTGAGTGATGGTGGAGCTCGAGGTTCCACCTGGCAAATGCATTGGTTTGTGTGTCCCGGAAGTCCTAAACCTCAAGGTCCAGTGTTTTCAGACGAGTGCATGGTTTCAGGATGATCACCAAGGCCACATCTTGCGAAAGCAGCATCTCTTGTGAAGTCATTGCACTGCACCCAGCCTGGCTTTCGAGATAGTACCGCATGCTTACAAGTATGAAAACTATAGAAACATGGAATTTCGGATGCTCTCACCAGTCGGACCGGTCACCACCTGGCCTAATCGCGAACTCTGGACCAACAGGGCCAGCGACGAGGGTCTGGGCCAAGGATGCGCGTTCCGGCCGTGCTAACAACGTGCGCACCAAAAGGCGAATTACGGAAACGGGTCTCACATCAGGGGTGGTGGTAATTAAGGCATACAATAGGGGCGTGACGATCTGTTCAAATGTTCGGCAGACCGGCATTGCAGAGTGCAAGGTCCCACGATTGAGACGATCATGGCTTGTTTCTTCTCGGTTGTCCAACCGGTCATGAGACGTGACTTCCAAGTATGAGCATACTTGATGAACGATCTCTTCTGGCAGGTGACATGCGGTCATTTTGTCGACCGTGAACGGACTGGGTACAGTATGTGATATAGCAGAGAAAGTTCACTGATATATCACGGGCACCCACACGTGCGGCGCAGCACCTGGCGTTCACCATCGTTGGACGATCGTAGTGGAATTCTCGAGCACTGTCCATGACTCACTCGTGTGGCTTGTCATCAGGCTCGAGAGACCTGCAGATACTGTACAGAGCAGAGCAAGTCCGAGGTGTCGGTAGCCTGGAGGGACCGGGTCCATGAGACGATGTTGAAAGCCGCCGCAATCTATAGTCGGGGATTTCCTACTTCCCGTTCCATGACAGCCCTGGAGCCCTGGAGTATTCACAGTGATGGGCCCTATTGCGATGGACCCTATCACGTGCCCATCCATGGACAGGGTAGTGATGAGCGATGTACCTAAGGCGCCACCATGACCGTTTCATGTTCCTGAGGCACCACCACGATTCGGGCACGTCTCTCCAGGACGAACGTAAACCTGAGGCAGACCGGCTGCAGCCGAGTGCCAATAGGCTCATCGCTGATCCGGTGGAGTCAGCAGAGGTAATCAAAGCTGCTAAGCCGTGTAAGCCTAGGTCTCGCAGGCAATTTAGCGCAATCTCGACACGCTAGTCACGCAGAGATGGGATTTGGTTTACGTGGGTGGCTCGACTCCTCCTGCCGCTGCAACCGTTCGGATGCTGCTAGTGCCGGCCCTGCCAGGAGATGACATTTGTAATTGCGCTCATTGGACCAGACGCTCTCTCTCATTGGATAAACCGCCCTGCCACATTTCCACGAATGTGTAGCCCCTGCAGACTGGTTGCCGTTTTGGGCTTCTTATAGCGTAGTTCGATCTGTCTGGGCCGACTCATTTCCGATTCAGAGCTGTTCGGAAGCTGTCGCACCCGCGATCAAGAGGCGACGTCCATCTGACTGGGACTCTGGGCTCATCCGCTGGTGAAAGTCATGACGTTCAATCTAAACAACATACGAAGCCATTGTGGTCATTAAACCTTGGCCGACTGTGGCCAAGCGCAGTTGATTGTGATCGTGGTGCCGCCCTCGAGTATATGAGACCGGCTGTCCCTCGTCCTCTTCTTCTTCTTGATCCATCTCGTCCGTACAGCTCAATCGTTAATACACATCTTCTTCGCACTCTCTTCCTCATCACTCATCACTCATCATGAAGACTTCCACTGTTGCGGGCGCTCTTGCCCTTGCTGCCGGCGCCGCTGCCCAGCGTCCTTCTGGTATGTCATTCTTGCGAGCTAGTTGAGACTCATGCTGACCTGACGAACAGACATGCCGATCTGCGACTACTACACGACTGCTCTTCTTAAGGAGAACACCGCCGCCAACCAGGAGACTCTCTTGACCCTCGTCGTCAACACTGTCGTCATCGGCAACTACACCAAGCCCAACGTCGGCATCACCGTCCCGGGTATCCTCGCTCCTGGCACCGGAGACTACGCCGGCGTCGAGCTGGCTCCCTACTTCACCGGTGCCCTCAACTCCACCAACCGTGGCGGCAGCGCGGGTGTGTCCATCAACTTCCTCGATGGTGGAGCAGCTGCCCCTCTCCTCAAGAACGAGCTCCCCACCATGAGCTCCGCTCAGTACAAGCTGGTCACCCACTTGTACGGCTACTTCGGCTCCCTCCTCGGCTGCTCGCAGTTCGGTAGCACCTACAAGCCATACGGCGGCTCCACCAACATGTACGAGGTCCACAAGTTCATGGCTCTCGACCCCAAGGAGGTCGGTTACTTCATCTCGCAGGTCGGCATGGCCGCTGCTTCCTTCGGTGTTGCCGATGCCGATGTCAAGATCGTCGGTGAGGCCCTCAACAAGGCCTTCGGCTACAAGTGCTCCCCTGCTGCCGCCATCCCGGCCTCTGCTTCCCCCAAGCCCCAGGCTATCTGCATTGACGTAAGTTGCTCCCACGACGAATGTAAAGGTGTCCTGAGAGTTGTACTGACGATGAAACAGGAGAGCTGCCCGCTCGCTGCCAACGCCACCTGCAGCCTGTACGCCGATGTCATCCAGCCCACCAACGTGACCATGCCCACCGGCCCTAGCAACGCGCCTACCACCTCCCCGGCTACCGGCACCGCCTCCCCCACCTCCTCCGTTGTCCCCGCCAAGGGCGCTGCTTCCGTCGCTGGCGTCTCCGTCGCTGCTGGCATCTTCGGCCTCGCTGCCCTCCTTTTGTAAGGGACCGGCTGACGACAAATTCAAGGGGAGAGTTCCATCGGCGCCCTAGTTGGGATCTTTGTCCACACGGACGTCATGGTCTCTTCAAAATCTGATTCATGCACGGAAATTGTAATACCCAATGTAGACGGATATAATTCACAATCTATTAATATTGTCCTATCCGTACATGATTTTCCCAAACCTCTCATTTAAATTTCAAAGTCGTAGAAACCAAGACTTCTCAGTCATTGGAGCAAGACAGCAGTAGTGTCACTAGTAGAGATATATTCGGGGTGTTCCCATCAAAGAGAGCACTTGTTAAGAGGTGAGGTTAACAGAATGCCTAAGGCAAATCTGACCTAACTAGACAAAGACATCGTCATACATTCCTACTATCAACCTCTTTGGAGTCCATTGCCTTGTGTACAGACCGAGCATCAACTCAACATGGCGATCAAGCAGCTGCCTTCTCGCGCGTCGTTTCTGCACTTCACTCGCATCTCCCAGCCGCGACGAACGCCAAGCGCAAAATTCAACCAAAGGCGTCACAATTCCACATCCACATCCACACCACCATCGCCGAGCAAAGACACAGCCAGAGACACGACAATCAACCCTCTCCTAACGACCTCCCCACCAGCACCACAGCATCTCCCCGAGGTACCACTACGGGCGCCCCCAAAACCACGACCGCGCGGGAGCGATCGGCAATTATACCTCGTCACGCTCGCATTGCTTCTGGTGACGCCACCGATCGTGTACTTTTACTATGAGCATCGCAAAGCTCATATGGGGAAGAAAAAGGAGGAGCTCATAAAGTCACTGGAGCAGAAACGGCAGGCGTGGATCGCGCAGAATCGATGAGAAGAAAGCAAGGCACTGTCTCGTGAGATTACCCGCGCTTTCTGAATGGAGGGCTTAGAACGATACCTGGTCGACTCTCCAGCGACCACGCCGTACTCGCGAGTACGTAGGCTCTTCGCACAAGATTTCATACCCATCAGAAACCTTCTCGTTTGACGACGACTTGCATCAATGCCTTCTTGGATAGATGGGCCGAGTTGAAGTCCGGGCTACACGCTTGATCTCTTACAAAATCGAAAACGCACCAGGAGCGCGCGGGGAAACGCCTTCTTCTCAACGGATCAAGTTCTTTTCAAAGAACAAAGTTCGTTCCGCCCTCTTCGCGCTACTTTCGGCGGCCTCACAGATGAAGTAGCAGACTCTCGGCAGCAACCTGCGAGTGGTTTGACGAACATGGCAGAGACGGTTTCTGCGTCCGTCGGCTCTTAGGAGAGATTCCAGTATCGACAAAGCACTAGAGTTGTGCAGATATCATCAGAACTCAAATGCTTCAACGTCACGCCTGTCCGAACGTTGACTACGTTCAAGCGTCACCGCGTCTGCGTTGTCACAAATCGCAACATCCAGCTTGCAATTGCAAGTTGAAGAAAAATCACAAGTCGTCATTCCAGCGATTCCTCATCTCAAGCTCCATGATGACTCTCAGCCCGACTGCTGTGCGACAGCACGACCAAATTAAACAATGTAGCATTATTGTATCACGATGTAATATCTTCCAAAATGAGTCGGATCACCACGCAGATTCAAATCAATATTATCCTCTTCTTACATTTCCGCATCGAAGCATCTCTACTTCTTATCCAGAGCATCATACCCAACCTCCAACCTCCCCTCCACACAACCCCAAAATTCCTCGATGATCTCCTTCTGTCCCTCCCCACCTCTGACACCAAAGTACCTCCTCTGATCCACGGCGGGTTCCCAATCGCCCGGATGCGCACCCACCATCCTCCCGCCCGCCTCCTCAAGAATCACCCACCCGGCGCAAACATCCCACGCCCAACAGCCGGTCTCCCAGTACAAATCCAAATGTCCCGCGGCCACACCGCAAAGATTCAACTCGGCGGACCCGAGACTCCGAATCCCATGGACCATCGCCCCACCCTCCTCTTTACTCGCACAGAGTTTCCGGAAGGTCTTGACTTTGACATCGTAATCGTTCCCGTCGCGATCGGATCCCCACTCGACGGCAATCAAGCAATGACTTAGATCCCGCAACGGCTCCGGACTCCTCAACGGCAACCTCTTCTTCTCCCCAGTCTTCCCCTCTGTCAAAAACGAGCCCTGGCCGGTGATACCCGTATACAACTGCTCCGTCCAGGGATTATATATCACGCCCACGACGGGCTTCTTGTCCACCGCCAAGCCCAGCGAGACGCACATGTACGGGTGGCCGTGGAAGAAGTTCGTCGTGCCATCGATCGGGTCGACGATGAAGGTGGGCTGGGAGGTCAGCGCGTCGCCCGGCTTGTACGTCTCTTCGCCCATGAAGCTGATCTCGGGGTATCTCGCGCGCAGCTCCGCGGACACCATCGCCTCCACCGCCTGGTCGGTCTCCGTCACCAGGTCGGCCGAGTTCTTCTTCGTCCCGTGCCCGCTGATCGCGGGCGTGGCCGAGGTGACCATCTCGCCGGCCCGACGCGCGATCTGGATGAGGAAATCGTGGATCTCGTTGTAGTCCAGCGGGGTGGATGCCATGGCGGGAAGAGTCTTGTGGGTGGGATTCGGCCCTGGTTGGCCCGGTGGATTGGTCGTGTGTTGTATGTCCTCTCGTCTTCAATCGTCTATGATGATGATTTCTCGCAGGGAGAGCGGAGATCTCTGTGTTACAGGGACTGGGAATGTTCGAAAATACCTAGGTGATATGAGAGGAGACCGAGGTCTAGTGTTTATCACAGCTTTTCGAAATAATATAATAAGCTGTCGGACCTCAAAGCTACAGAGAGCCACCAAGGTACAGAGCTACCTAGTATGCATGTATTATTACTCTGTGGTAGCTACAAGGCGCCCCAATGGAAGCCATCCAATGCGCCACGCCGCGACAGCTCGAACCTCTATGGTAACAAAGCTCGCTCCAACGGATTTTTCTACATTCCTCGCGGACCATCTACCTGTCGGAAAGTATTCCAATACATTCAGGAATGACCTCGGGAATAACATCATTGCCCTGTTACTTCCTGTTCCGGAGAACATCGTCTCGAAGAAAGGGCAACAGACGCACTTCCCCCCGCAATGCATTGGGCACCTGCAGCCCGCTTTCGGTGACGTAAGTGCGTCGTCCCTTGCGCAGGTGCTGTCGGAGCTGGTGGGCGTCTGGCGAACAAGGAAACGCACCTGCAGTGAGTGAGACATGGAGAAGTTCAACAGTTAGGCTGTCCGGCGTAATTACGAATGTGCCCGAGGAATTCGATCGCCTGTTAGTATTTCAATACTACCTAGGTAGACTGGCCTTGTCGATGTGTCTGGTTCATCGTACGCATCTTGGTCAGTGGACGGGTCGGTGGCATGCCGCGCTTCACCAAGATACGTACACACCGCTCTACTATACACCTACACACTCCATTGCACAATAATTGCTGCTTACCACTAGATTGGAGAAACTGCTGTAGACAACGGGGGTTTCAGTGCCTCAATTCGAAGTGGATGGTCTGTCGATATATTCATCGCAACGTACTGTATCTTGGTATGCAGCATGTCGGGCGCATCCTGAGATAGGGTTGTGGTTGTGGTAGTGGAGATGCGATGGGCAAAAGTTCGCTTACATAATGGGTCGACCGGGCAACCGCTCGAGCTTTCCGAATGTTTGTTGCACAGATCGCGTCTCCAACGGCCGACCAGTGTAAGAATGCGTGGCTTCCCAATGAAGACGCTTGGACATCGGGTTTATTGTCATCCATCTGTCTAACAATTGCATTCTGAGAGACCGTCTATCCGTATTATGCGCATTACTTGACCACCTACAACAACAACAACAACTGATCGCAGCGCATCAACAACATGGAGTCACCGGCCGCGCGACTCACAGTGCACAACGACACCAACAACGTGGATCTACGAGGGCCACCGAGCTCACCGTTCGTCTCCGAGGTCGACCCACAGAGCAGAATGGCCAGCAAGCAATGGCCGAGCAATGCAAATGCCATCGACGACCCGACCGTCGACGTCTTCATGACACCTGCGCCCATGAAGGCGGCAAGATCCCCTCGGCGACATGCCGATGCCGACAAGGAGAACACTCCCCAACATCCTTCCACAGTACAAAAGCTTTCTGCATCACCACATAAACTATCAACACCGGAGAGACGCTCCCCGCAGCGCGATGGGACCCCTGGCAGCCGTCATGGCGAACCACTCGCAGATCTCATCCCGCCACCCTCGTCGATGCGCAAGTCACGAGCAAGCCCGACAAAGACACCGCTGAAAGTCGCCCGTAGCGTCGCAGCTACACCACAGACTGGACGACGTGAACAACAACAACAACAAGAGTTGCGCACGGTCGAGAGGACCAACTTTCAAGCAGGTCTCGATATGCGCGCTTCACATGCGTCATTGGCGCGTCCGGATCTCGGCAATATCGATGATACATGCTTCAGCGCATTCTCAGAAGCGCCAGACATGACGCAGTACGCGAGACTCAGCCAAAGCACGACGAAGCACAATGATGTTCAGCAGACACCGCGGAGCAGGCGAGGCGACGCCACACCGCGCGTCTCACGCAAGCGACCATCACTCTCACGATCCCCGTCGCCCACACCACGTCGTATGAAGACACCGGCTCAGATGAACAATGATGGCACGACTTCATTCCTCATCGACTTCACACAACAGATCGAGAGTGTGGGCTCCTATCAGAGAGGGACGCCAGCCCGATCATCAAACAACCCAGGTCTGCTCCAATATCTCAGTGATCAACGATCACCTGCGAAGTCTGCACGACCTAGCTTTGCAACACCAGCCAAGTCGAATAGCATCCTCAATCTTTTGGACTTTGAGCTTCCGCCAGCACCCACACCCCGTTCTATCCCGACCATTACTGTACGAGAGCTCGAATCTCTCAAGTCGTCATATCTTTCACAAATTTCGGGATTGAAGGCAACGTTAAGCGGTCGCGAGGCCGAGGTCGAGAGCTTGAAGCGAGCCATCGGCGACGCCGAGCGTAGAGCTGGCGAAGCTCAAGAGCACCTTCGGGAAGAGAAATGCCGACGTGAACAAGCTGAGGAGGAAAAGACGGGCTGGGAACGCCGTGGCGAGGAGCTCGCAAATGTACTCAAGAACGTCCGCGAGGAAGTGCTCAAGAGCGAAGCCGAAAAGGAGGACTTCGTCCGCAAATTCGAAGAGAGCGAGCAGCGCGCCGAAGATGCCGAGATCCGCGCCAACCAGGCCGAGGAGCGCCTCACATCAGCCCTCGCCGAGCGAGCCGCCCACCCATCGAGCGGCAACAACGCGAACGACGACAAGACCGTCGACGAACGAGTCCAGGCCCTCGTCGCCGCCCAAATCGACGCCAAGATCGAATCCGTCGGCCGCGACCTCCACGCCATCTACAAGGAGAAGCACGAGCGCAAAGTGGCCACCCTGAAGAAGAGCTACGAGGCCCGCAGCGAGAAGAAATGCGCCGACCTCCTCTCCCGCCTCGCCGACCTCGAGAGGCAAAACGAGGAACTCCACGCCGCCAGAGACGCCACCTTCTCCGGCGCGCTCCCCGACCTCAGCATGGTCGCCTCCGCCTCCGAATCGGCCTCGGCCGCCGTCGCCGAGGCCCAAGAGCTGAAGATCCTCCTCGAAGAACAAAAGGCCCACCTCGCGCGCGTCGCCGGCGAGCTGGAGTCCGCCCAGCGCCAGCAGGACGCGCTCATGCAGGAGCTCGAGCAGGAACGGGTGGAAAAGGGCGAACTCGTCGCCGCAGTCGACGAAATGCTCGCGCTGCAATCCCTCTCCGCCGCGGCCCCCGCCGCTCCCGCCGCTCCTCCATCCACAACAGACCCCGTCAGCGTCAGCGCCACCCCCGCCGCCGCGAAACAGCGCGCCCTCTCCTCCGCCGTCGAGGATCTCCGCCGCAGCATCGCCCGTCCGACCGGTCTTCGCGCCCCCAGCTCCAGCTCGAACAGTAGTGGTCTGGTCGCACCCTCCGAGAGCCGTATTGGGAAATCTCTGTCTTCGTCGTCTTCGACCGCTGCAACTTCCGCTGGGATCCCTACCCCGGCGAGGAGTCTCAGCGGTGGGCTGGGCAAGAGCAGGATGTTGGCGAATATCGAGAGGATGGGGAGGACTGGCAGTGGTGGTGTTAGTGGGGCGCCGGAGTGATCGCTTGTCTCTCCTTCTTCTTTGAAACGAACACATTGTGATGATTTGGAAATGGGGGATGTTTTTCGTAAAAAGATATTTGTCCGGTGGAGTCCAGGAAAGCCGATGAACCTGCTTAGTACCGAATGCTTTTTCTCGATGAGACTTTCTTCACGAACGGAAATCTTAATGGTATGATCATCACGAAAAAATTGCGCTTCGAATGGCGATGGGCGTCAACAACACGTTTGCTGTATACAGAATCTCGCAGGCTTTGCTCACTTGCAGGGAATAATTCATGACCTTTTCCTACCTTCGAGGCACATATTTCTGCCACTCACTGGACGAACTGGGAGATCATCCGCTTTCATCCTCGAGCGTTCGAAAATGGATTGGTTTTTTGTGATTTTACCTAGTCAGCCACCGTCCGGTGCTGTTCATCTGTCATGCCGACGGAGACTACTGCTCCAGCAAATCGATCTTCAGATCGGAGAACGTGACTTCGATGCCCTTGCTCTCGTCGACGTCGCCGTCCTGCGGCGAAGTCAGTATATCAGCCATTATAACATCCAACGCAGAATAGAGAAATTATGAGGAAAAGGAAAAACAGGAGAATTAAAAACACTCACGTCCACCGTCGGTTTCGCCGCATAGACACCGACCTCCACCATCTTCTCCTCTCCCTTCTTACCCCCCTTGTGATGATGATCATCCTGCAAGACCCAGTGGATCTCCCTCAGCGTCAACAATTCCCCCTCCGCCCCACCGCCCTCGTTGCCGACCTGGCCCGCATACACAAACCAGGTGTCCTCCTTCCTCTCGACCACGAACCTCGCCTTCTGGTGATACTCGGGGCTCATGGGCGAGATGCTCCAATCGGAGAGACGGTCGGTGCCCACGACGCCGAGGTTCGGCCGCGAGTTGTCGTATTCGATGCCGGCTTTGATCCACTGCGAGCCGTTGCTCCCGCCGCCTTTGCCACCGTTCTTGCCGTCGTGTTCGGGATGCTCGCCCGCCGCCTTCGACGACGAGCACGACAGCGGGAAGTTGATCAGCAGCCCGCCTTGGTCGTACTGCGTCTTCCACGGCCCGAACACCGTCACCGAGATCCTCTGGAACTGCGACACCGGGATCGTCTGGTAGATCCACGGCGCGTTGAAGACGTCCTTGTCCGCGCTGGGCCGCCACACGTCGGTTTTGGGAGGCGAGGTGATGGTGAAGGGGGAGGAGAAGGACTTCGGCAGGGTGGCGCCGTGGGAGGCCTGCCAGGTTGGTTGGAGATTGGAGAGGGAAGACATCTTCTTGGGGAGGTCAGGGAGGGAGGTTCGGGTCGCTTGGAGATTTCTCTTTGGTGTATTGGACTATGTTCTTCTTCTTGTTGTTTTTGCTGTTTTTTTAAGCGGCGAGAGGTGAAAGTTGATGGGATAGAGGAAAGGGAAACAGGTTCAATGGTGAGGCAGGACGTGGATGGACATGGGCGTTATATATGTGTATTTCCTGAGTGAGCCTACTACACGGTTCCCTTACGGATGTCACCCTCTGTGGTTGTGTGCTACTATTCATCGTCTTATACCGTTTCCATCGAGGCCCGCCACCGCCGGCTGCTGTTCGTGTACTGTACGCAGGATCGTCGTGATCTACTTCAGTACATGTGCAATGTCGTCGGTGTGTGCGTGCTCAGGAATGATGATTAGCGGGGGGCCGTACAGTAGAGTAAAAAGGCGGTAATTCGCGGCCGACTGGGGAAAGTTCGGGACTGGATTCGTTCCACGCAGGTGCCGAAGTAAACCCGTCGCCCGTGTCTTCGAGGGTGAAGAAACCTGGATCTACGTCTGTACGGGCGTTGTTCGTTCTGGGAGCCAGAGACGTTGTCGATTCGTTCCTGGCTCTATGGCCATGAAGAAGAGCGTGGTCGTCGAACGGTATCGCTGCGAGTTTGAATATGTTCATTCTGCCGGCGGTCGTTGCACGGACTATTGAGCTGCAGCTGTCAATGGCATGGTCCGGACCGCGCATTCATGGTACTTCCAGCTACATCTGCAGCAGAGATCCGGAATTCGTAGCACGATCGGCTTCAGTGTTACAAGTGCCCAAGCTCACTCCATACTGTAGAAACGACTCCATACTGAAGAAACGACTTCGCCCGGTAGACTCCTTGTTCCCCTTTGAATATTCTCCCATTCAGCACACTCACTTGCCACATGATCGGACGCCAATAGAAGTTTGAAAGTCATAGTCCTGAGTTCCTCTCGCATTAGAATCGATACATATATCCAACCCAATCATCTCCAGATCAAAAGCGGTCCATCATGAGTCCTCGTACATTGACCTTTGTCCGATCGGTATGGGAGTCATTTCGAGCGAATTCGGGTTTGGAGCCAAGGTATGCTTGTGTTGATGGAAGCTGTGAAGTTGCGCCCCCGAACAACCTCGGAAGGGTAAAAAGAAATTCCTGGGTCGAAAATATAACACAAAATTTGGTTTATATGGATCATTCGTAACATCGGCTGATCAAGGTTCACAGACTTCTAGATAGTGTACGTCTTCCATCTCCTGGGTCTTCAAGATATCCCGATCAGAAGACCATCTTTCTCAACATGGAGGTCTCTCTCCAAATGTCGCCATCAACCCTCAAGATCCGTGATCCATCATCGAATCCCCATCATATACTTACCGACCTGAAACCTCACAGCTCCGTGTCACCGCCGCACGCCCCGGCGTCGTCAATTTCGAACTCGACATCCAAAAAGAGCACACGGTTCGTATCTCTTCTCCATTCATTCCCACGACCAGCTTAGCGAACAACTCACCCAACTTCCGAAATCATTTCCAGAACCGCCTCAATATCCTCCACGGCGGCACTATCGCGAGTATGGTCGATCTGGGAGGTTCACTAGCAGTCGCCTCACGCGGACTCTTCGCCACGGGCGTATCGACGGATTTAAATGGTTGGTTTCCTCTCCGTTCTTGGGGGTACCATCTCCTCTCCTGTACGAAGTCGGAATCTCATTTTGACCGGACAATTTGAGATCAAACAGTGAGCGAACTCGAACGATGCTGACAAGAGAATCATCGTCATAGTGACCTATCTCAACTCCGGCGGGAAAATCGGAGATACCATCCGTGCGGAAGTCACCTGCGACAAATGTACGTGAATCCCACCCTCCCGCCGCATCCATTGGACATGGAAGTTTTCACCCTCGAGTCGAATCTGAATCAAGGATTCCGGTTTCATCGCCCTGAATTAACGCTCTGTTTCCGTTCGGGATAATCTAGTCGGGAAGACGTTGGCATACACGTCGATACGTTTCTTCAATGATGCGGATGAAGTCGTTGCGAGGGGCAGTCACACCAAGTAAGTAACCTTGATCTTTCTCATTCTGATCGGTTCTGCAGTGATGGGTAGCGCTGATGCTAATGCGCTCAGGTACATCGCCATGGCATGGAAGGACGAGAAGAACATCACGGATGAACTCTCGCCACGGCCGGAGAAATGATAGAGACACAGAATCCGCATCATGGACAAATTCAACGGATCTCGACTGTCGTGATCCATACTCGAGGGCATCATGCGAGCGTATTTCTTCTCTTCGTGCGAAGTTTTGATACATTCATACATCTACAGCAGTTTTTCAGATGTGACCTTCTACTTCCCCATCAGTTGACTTCCTCATCGACCACCACAGGCTCATCCTGCTGCCCATCCTCATCCTCATCGTCCTGCGCCATCTCACTCAACCTCCTATCCGGCAACGCCGTCAAAGCAGGCGGCATCATTCCCTCGCCCTCAGCCCTGAGCTGATCCATCTTAGCCTTCGTCATCTCAAAGACATACTGACCGAGATGTTCGACGCCCTGCATGGGCGTAGCCTCCACCACCGCATCGACACTTCTCTCCGCGGGGAAGATTTCCCCCGTGACGAGCTGCAAGGCGTTTTCTTCTGCGGCGGTGGTGCAATTCCACAGACTCGTGAAGGCCTCGCGGGTTTCCATGCCGCTTTCGAAAATCGCTCTGCGGCCGAAGACGTAAAGACCCAGTCGCGCGCGGGAAAGCGCGACGGTGAGACGTCGGACGTCCCGGAGGTAGCCGATGCTCTTCGTGCGCACCATGGAGAGGAGGACGTAGTCGCTCTGCTCGCCCTGGAATTTATCCACGGTGCCTGTCCATGCCGGGAGGCCGAAGAGTGGGTGGTCTTTGCAGCGGCGGGCGAGGACGTCGCGGATCAGCGCCGTCTGGCCGGCGTACATGGTCAGGATACTAATTGTGTGGGATGGGTAGCCGAGGAGACGCATGTACATGTACAAAGCCACGACGTATTCAGCTTCGCCGAGGTTCTGGTAGACGTGTGGTGCTGGAGAGGTCTCGCCGCGAGTTTTGTAATCGGGAACTTCGATCCATTGAGCTGTGTGGCGGAGACCGGCGTTGGCGGTGAGAAATTCGGGTTGTGTGGTGACGGAGGGAAGATCGGTGAGGTGTGGATAACGCCAGGCGTAAAGGCGGGAGAGAGATGATCGTGAGCGGCCTTGGGCATCGAGAAGGATGTGAGGTGCCCCTAGACGAATCAATCGTTGGAAGAGACTTTGATCGAGATTGGCGAAGGATTTACAGGCGGGATGTTGGATGACGGGGGAATTCTGCAAATGGTCGCCGACGAGGATGATGCGCTGTAATTGATGCTTGGTAAGATCGGCCGGGTCAGGAGTTTGCATGATCAGAGGGATGAAATTTTCGATCTCGGTGACTTGAGCAGCCTCCTCCATGACCACGTTATCGTAGTGAAAGCCCAGGCTAGCAATTTCTTGCCTCCGCATAGCAGCATGAGTGGAAGTCATGGCGATGATGCGAGCCTCCTTGACAAGGAGGTAGTTCGCCTTGTCGCGCTGAGCACGGAGAATCTCGAAGGGACGAATATCAGCAAGTTCATCAAAGATTCGTCGAACGTGTCTCTCACATCCACCAGCAATATCCAGCAGCTGCTTCTTCGAAGCTTGTGGTGGAAAGAGCGGTTGAGGGGCATCCGCGAAGAATGCATGGAATGGGAAGACGCGAGAGACAACGCTTGCATCATCACCTGAGCCCTGCACAAGGTCTGTGAAATGTTTCCATCGTGGTTTGACATAAACCTGATCAAAGTAGTCGGCCGTCTCACAGCTGCTACCGTGTGCACCTGGAGCGCCGATGCTCGCCGCAAGTCGTTGAACTTCCGCAAGATATTGTGCGCCTCGTTCGAGGAAAGACTCGACTCGACCCGCTTTGCTGAAGCTTGAGCTGGATTCGAGATCTTCTTCTCCGTGACCCAGACGAAGCAGGTGACGTTCATCAATGTCAAGAGAGATGATTTTCTGGAACAATTGATTTAATGCTTGATTTGAATGAGCGATGAGTAGCGTTCGCTGTTGAGAGAAATTGTGATAGATGTTGCTAATGATTTGTGTTGCGACATCAGTCTTGCCGGTTCCTGGCGGTCCGACGATAAGAGTGAGCCCTGGTTGGGTGCCAGAAGTGACGGCCTCTATCTGCGTTGGTGTGAAGCGGACCGCATTGAGCTTAGGTGCGTCGGTAATATAAGGACCTGAGTTGATGGGTTTGTATGAGGAAACCTTCACAGTCTCCACGAGAGGTGCCGAACCAGGTCCATCAGGCTGATCATGCCTGCGCTTTTTACCTTTCTTCGGAGCTGTCGGTAGTGAGACGCCGTCTGATTCCAAAACATACGGAGGTGCGAAACTAGAATCCTGCGTCGGATCTGGCTCGAGAGTGCGACCAGGCAGGCACTCGATGAGATGTTGCCAGTCAACGAACGTATCTCGGTAGTCCACACTCTTGAGACGACTAGGAAGTCGTTTGTATGACGCTGCAGACGGGTCTCCGAAACCGAGAAACACCTCGGTGAACCACGATGGGATGGGCGTTTCAGTGAGAGATAGCTGTCTGATACTCTCTAGCACAGGCTTGAAATTGTTCTCGCGAGCTTTCCTTCGAACTATGAGGTTGATACTTTCGTAGATGTCGCCTTTGCCTAAGTTGCTGCGATCGTTGTCCGCCTTGTATGCCGCAGTGTCTAACCGCACTAGCAGACGACGTTGTCTAGGTCTGTTCTCCTCAGTGTTCCCGTATCGGAGAGGCTTCCCGGCGCCGTCCAGCACGCTCATAACTTCGGCACACCTTACAGCCTTGATGCCACTATTCTGCGCTGATGGCTTATGGCCGTGGCCATTGACTGGCTTTGCATCAGAACTCGTGTTGGGCTCCACAGCAACAAGGTAAACAATATCTCCAGGACGAAGCTGCTCCCACTCCTTCCTCAAACCTGGCTGCAATCTGCTAACATCCAGGATGACCTCAGCCTTGACTTCTGCTGGTACAGTCTCGCCTACTCTAGCTGGAACAGTGTCGACAACAGCAGGCTTCGCGATGGGGATGGCCATTCTAGAAAACCCGTCCCATCGGAGGGCGCCATTTTGTTGCCGTGGTTGTAGTCTTTTGATGACATCTTCGATATGCCGCCGCAGCTCGAAAAGACTCTCAAGACGGTAGAGAGTAAAGGCACGCCACAGAAAGTCGCCAATGGTGAGGTATTGCAGATTGAGTCGCGGGATCGCCAAAGGACGGGACCCGTCGTAGTCATCGGTATGGAGGAGAGACGGGTCATACAGCGTCTTTTCCGTGGGCAGAATTGGGAGATCGCGCATGCGATCCGTGTAGATGACCTTCTTTTCAATCAAGGCGTATAGGCACTCCAAGAGGAAAGTTCTGTCCTGTATCAAAAGAGACTTCGCGGGATATTCGGTCGTACGCAGTCCTGTCTCTCTACACAATTCTAACAACTCAGAATCTGTAATCTCCTCAAGATGTCCTTTAACTTCGTCTCGTTGCATCAACGAAGAAAAGTTGGCGAGCATGAGGATTTTAAGTTTCTCAGGTTGCAGCTTTAGAGCAGTCTTTTGCAGTCGCGAAACGGCCACATTTTGAGATTCCTCGAACTCCTGTCTGCTCAATTGATGACCGCTGTGATCATCTACAGGAAAGTCCGTGTAGTGCTGTAGTAGCCGATAGGAGTTTCGGATTGATTCCTCAGTTCGATACATCGGTGAAAGGACCAAAGCGGGGAGCAGATTCAAATCTTTGAGCAGTGCATTCACATATCTCCTTGTGGGGAGCTGTGATTGGACGTCACAGAGCAACTCGAGTAGCCGTTCGCAGAATAGTAAATCGGCCTGCTTCTCATCGGCACTCGTGCTATCTGAGCGATAGATTTTGTCGAGGAAATGAAGAACCAGGGTGTATAACCAGCTTCTCTCAAATCGCAACCTCGCCTGGACCGGACTCTCCGCACCGTCATATTTTTTCGCTGAAGCAGACCACGCTTTCTGCAGTCGCGAGTTTTGTGTGAATTGAGATTCCCGCGCCTTGTCACTATGCAAGTGATGCCAAATCGCAATCGAGACCAACGGCGCACATTCCTTTCGCACGATTCCATGATCGAGGCTTTGGAAAGCTGCGACAATAAACCCGAGAAGATGCGTGCGTAGAGTCGTGCTCAATGCAGTGTCCAAGATCAAATGAGCGACGCGCGAGAAGAAATCCGTGAACTCGTCCAATCGACTCGCAAACACGGGCCAGACGGGTAGATGTTCCCTCCTCTTGGTGCTGCACAATAGTGCAAGCAGCAGAACATGTTGATTGGAAGCATCTTCGCTATATCCTGGCCAGAGATACCGCTCCAGAGTTTGGAGTTGTTCCAGGAGGAGTAGGTCGAAGTTGGAGTACCCAGAAGCTTCAACATTCTGCCAGATTTGCTCCACGATTTGAGGTCGCACTTGCACATTGCTGGAGCCAATCAACCAAGTCTCACGGGCCAATTTGGCAAGCTCATGGTCGCCGGTGAGATCATCAATGCTGGGTCGTGCCATTGTACGCTGGCGGAGCGCAATGATTATCGCGACAGGTCTACCGCATGGCCCGGATCGTTGTGATCGTATGTCGCGTGAACCGATGTAGCTTCGTTGTGAGTCTCGCACGGTTGTTTCCACACCAAGGAAAGATGTTCGTATGCTGGACTAGAGGCTCGTGAGACGTCCGTCACAGTGAGGAGTCGCGGGTTGTAGAAAAGTGATTCGCGGTTAAATCGTGCTGCACGCGCAGCAACTTGCGTTCGTCGCGCGTCCAATTAATTTCTCCCGGCGAGAAAGCTGGGGTTGTTCCTGGGAAGATGTGGCGGTGAGAATGCCACACTGTGGCTGGTGACACGGAACTATCCGTTTCAAGCTGGAAGCAACACAGCACAGCACTTCCTCTCGGATAAGAGGATCACGACCTCTTCTACGCCATTGAACCACCAACCACACTCCTTCTCACACAATGGCGAACCAGCAACACCCTCCGGAGGTGCGCTCCGTTAGCGAAGGTCCTGAATTGGGCCAGACCAGCCGTCCTCAGGTGCCGACGAAGACCTTGAAGACTTCCTACCCGGTATGTACCTCCGGCTACATGCATTCCTCCTGCGACTCAAAATGAGATTGTGTTGCATGTAATGGCTATACTTACTGACGCGTTCTCTCCCTCCAGCTCATCGACTGTGATCCGCATTTCACCCGCGTGGTCAGCTACGCACGCACAAGCGACTGGATCGCAGCCGGCCTCTGCGGATCCGTAACCCCCGGACTGATGACTTTCTGGCAACACACCTCACCAACCGGAATTTCACGACAATCGCTCGCGAGTATCATGCGCCTGAGCGTCGGCGTTGGAATGTGCGCGGGATTCCTATTGATGTACGAGCGCTCGGCGGCGCGATTCTACGGCTTCACGGAGAACCGTCGGGAGATCGAGATGGACATGCGGGAGATGACGGATCGAGTGAAGAAGGGGCTACCGATCTACGGTGAGAGCACCCTCACGGAGTATATGCAGGGAGCGGCGAGTCGGCAGAGTCGATACAGTGGTATCTTTTTGCATGTCATGCCGTGGTTCAATTTCGTCAACCACAATCAGCATGGTGTGGATACGGCCAAGTACTATCAGAATGCCGAGCGGGAGCTGGAGGCCGAGCGAACGAAGCGAGGGGAGTAGCGTGAGAAGCGAGTTGGGAAGGATAATTTTGGAATGGGAAGTGAAGGCGGGGAGAGCACGACGAGCAAGTCGACAAGAGATTTCTAAGGATCAAAATCCGATCCGAACGCAAGCTGCTTTGCTATGTAAACATAGCTTCTCCTCGCAGGTGTCTGTCGATCAGCTACATCGCTGCTGTGTTACATACAGGATGGAATGTACAAATTTTCTTTGCTTTGACGATGTCGCCCAGCAATATATACTATTTCGCTTTCAACTTCCATACCACGATCAATCAGGACGCCTGGCCAGCCCTTCAGACAAAATCTCGACTTGATCCCATTCGAAAAGCCATGTGATAGTTTCAGCCCAACAGTCGCCAACATTACAGCATCACGACCATACGGCCGCTTTCACACAAGGACAACCTAAGCAAACATTAGAACGGGACAGACCCCGGAGGACCTGAAGAAATAATCATTCACACAATCCCACAACACCGATCTCCCTTTCGGAATCACCACTCTTTCCTCGAACTCCCCTGTCCCATCTCAATCATTGAAAAGGGTCCATGGTCCAAGATTTTCTCGCACATACCCTTCAACCCGATCCGTTTAACAGCTTGATATGATAGAATCTAGGTATGGCAACTTTGGAATACAAGCAAGATACCGCCTGTCAAATCTCTAAGTTGTTCAGAAAGCAGGTGTCCCTTTCCATCAACCCTCATATATCGCGGTCCGCCGCCGCTACCCCCATATCCACGACTTCAATGATGTGGTGACAATGATGTATAATAAAATCGTTTCCCCAAAACTCTGGGAAAGATATCATGGGCCAAAAATTCAGATGGTACATGCATGCTCACCCTAGATATCCCTCATACACAATTCTATTCCGATGCCAAAACCACTCAGATGGGTCCGAGAACAGGAATCCATTTCATACATGATACATCTACACGGGTCCCCCTTCTCTCGGTTCCAATGTCTCCGGAATCCAAATTAGTGAAAGTTCTTCACGCACCTTGATCAAAGGCAAGTGAATGAACCAAGAGCTCAATCGGGACGCTTCATCCCATCATAATTATCATTCTCATCAGGGTGATATCACAAAATCAGGGATGAGATTCCCTCAGCACGACGATTCTACCCATTTCGAAGAAGCTGCAATAGCGTCGAAACGCCACTTCTAGGTGAGACGGTCCACGTCATATCCGCTTCCTCTTTCTCTCATCCTCCCTACCCTGCGCATCCCTCGCTGCATCTCTCTCCCTCTCCCGTTCCCAGTCACGTTCTCTCTCCCCGTCCCTTTCCGTCGCCGAAGTCGAACTATCCGCCGAAGTGGTAGGATTCAGCAGTGAATGGACGTTGCTCGCCATGGAGCTGCGGCGGACAAACTCTGGAGGCGTCGGAGCGGCTGAAGCAGGTCCTTTAGTGGAAGGAGGATAGCGGGCGGCGGGGAGTTGCCAGCCTGTGTGATTGTTGTCGTCAGGACGAGTGGTGGGTGGAAAGGAAGATTTGTTGTTGGAAGGTGCGGAGGATGGATCGGGATGGTGGATGGGAGAGTGCGAGCGAGAGGTTCCTGCGGCGGCAGCGGCAGATGATTGGTGAGAGACACGTGGGAGTTCATATTGGGCGAGGGTATCGCGGATGTGTTGATCGCCGGGGTTGGTTGAGAGACGCGGTGAGGACGGCCACATGGATGAATTCTGGCCGGACGCGTAGGGTGAGGCGCCTGGGTAGTGCGGTGGGGGTGGCTGGTCGAGAGGTGGTGGCCTTCCTTCCCAGGATTGACTGAGTCGGATATCGGCAGATGTGTGTCGGCGAGAGAGATTTGAAGGTGGAGAGCCGGTATTTGCAAGAGGATGTTGTCCGGCAGGAGGAGGCGGAGGTGGAGGTGGTGGTGGAAGAGGACCGGTGTGAGCATGATGGCTTGGTCGATGGGGAGAAGGTGGATAGGGAGCAGTGCCTAGGCTGTTTGGCGTGCCCATGGAACTATACCGTCGTGGCGAACCCGTCAGGTATGGCGGAACCGGGGCGCGGATACCTAAAGCACGAGGACCACCCGGCAGAGATGGCCTTCGAGACTCGTCATACGGACGTTGGCGCGGCGACATCTGCATCATCGGTTCGTTGGGTATCGTTGGAGTGAATAAAGTGTGTCGATTATTGAGCATCGACTCCGGAGGCTCCTCGAGGGATCGAAGAGAATCGATCTGACGAGAGATTGCCTGACGCACGGCCTGCACCTCGCGATGAACAGGGTTCTCTTGATCAGGCACCAAGTTCAGAAGGTGTCCAGAAAGATCTTGGTTCCATTGGTGACATCTGATCAAGCCGTCTAGTAGTGCTTGACATTTCCCAGCCATGGCCAGAAAAGCCTCCTCGCTTCGCATCAGGCGCGCACTCATCTCTTGAGTGTTCCATTCCAGAGCGTGCACACGATTCTCAATGGGCTCTTGGATGGTCTCCATGGGCGCGCCAGCGGGCTGTGGAGGAGGAATTTTTGGTCCAGCGGAAAAGGAGTCTCGATGAATCAAAGTTTGTCGCGATGCTCTCCGCTTGATCTCTCGAAGACCGGCAAGATCGCCACGTTTGAAGCTACCCTGGCCGTGTTTAAATTCCCATAACGGGGCATCAGGTGATGCAGAGTGAAAAACATCGCTCACTGGATATTTGTTAGTACAAATTTGATATCTTCGCACGAGGGCTTTGATTTACCTTTGTGAAAGCCATACATATTAAGCTGTCGAACAAATGATGATATATTGGTATGTTTGAAATATTGGCTAGACCGCGGTCAGTAATCATCTGGGTCACGCGAGCTGGACTGGGGAAGAACATACGCTAAGACTCGAGCGAACTCTGACGACGGCGACATGACAAAACTCTCATTGCTGACTGACCATGATATTAAGTGTTGGATGCTTTGATCTTCGAGCATGCTACCGTCATGTTAGTCACAAGATTTCGAATGGCCTCGGAGCGGTTTACGTACTTGTATAGCTTATGGATGAAAGCCGTCTGAACAATCTTAGGTTGCGTCGCAGCAGCACCTGCAGGCATAGAAGTTCCGTTCGTATGAGGAACCTGTAGCTCGCCGGGCCCCGAATGTAACATGTCACCAGCGTGATCGCCTTCAGGACTGCTGGTAGGAGGGTTGACGGGTATCCCAGACGATTGACTCATATCCATAGGGTCTCCCTCTTCAACACCAGACACCGTCCCTAGCATCGGTAGGTGTTTTGACATCTTGGGTGTGTAGCCTCCTTGTTCATTCGAGAACGGATCCCTCCGCAACGGCTCCATGGTGGAAGTCATTGCTATGTTTCTGATCGATGATTATGTGCCAGTACGAGCAATGCTGCAGCTGAGTAGAATGTTGACAAGTCAAGGATATGCTGTACAGATGCTGCAGGACTTTTGTCGCTATGAAGGCAATATGCGATTGTGTGTCACAACGCGATGTGTACTTTTTGGTGATTGCGGCTCAGATAGGTTCGTAGGGCATTCTCGCTTCATGAGCTATCCATCGTGTCCCTGCAAGACATGCAATCTGCGCCGACTCTTTCGTTGATTTGTGACCAGTTGATTCTTCTCGTCCGGCCAGTTGAAGACGACTTGTAGTGTTGCCGGTGTTGTTATCGTTGTCCTCTCTGGCAGCAGTTGAAGGAAGACTCGTCAGATAAACGAGGTGTAGGCGAGGATGAGGAAGTAGGCCGGCGCGCGCCCTTGGCAGAGGAGCGGAAGCTGACCGGGGGGCTCAGCTTTCCAGAAGAATGCGCGTCCTCTCTCGCGCAGGATTATTTTGACGGAGATGAGGACGAGAAGAGAGTTTTGGAAGGATTGCGGAACGGCGCTCTGACAAGAGTACTGCGGGTACTGAACAGTACTGTCCAGTTTACGGTATCAGATGATAGCCAGGGCACAGAAGCAATGAAGAGAGTCGAAGAATGGCTGGTGGCTTTCGCCTGCACGAGTCTGTCTTAGTACCAACTCTCGTTCTCTCTTTCACTCTCCTCGATCAGTGATGAGTGAGAGATTCAATGAGAAAAGGATCGGAGCAGACCGAAAATAGCGGAGAAGGGTAAATAGCCTTCGACCACCATCAGTCCTTCACGGTCGCAGGTGGAGGATCGTCTCGGATAGTGGTGAAGTGTAACTGTTACGTGACGGATCCCGTATCGTAATCGATGATGGGGCAGAATTAAGCTCGAAAGAAATTTCCCAAGTGGTCGTGACAGTGCATAGCGCTCGAGTCTACAGTGCTGCATCTCGCAATGCTGTAGCAACGACCAGGATACAAAATGCAGCGATGCTCGTTCAAGCCAATGCCACTTTCTCTGAGGATCTGGCCAAGGTGAAGCTGCATGGCGCATGGACATGACCCAAACCGTGCGTGCGTCTGATGAACAACCAGCGCAACCACCGCCGCCACGACCATTTCCATCATATTTCTCCCAAGACGGTATCCTGGACAAACACTATTGCAATGCCACCACCAGATTCACTCGTCAGCCATGTTCATTACAACGGCGCCCGGGCGGTGGAAATCCTTGGGAGCAGCCCTGAAAAAGAAGGGCAAGGAAGTTCCGGCGGAACGTCTAGATCGTTTTGGCGGGTTTCGGGAATGTCTTGGAGGGAGGGGAGGGGAGAGGCTTGGGTTGCGACTGGGTTTGAGGTCGCTCTGAATTGTGTCCCTCTATCTCTTATACACCCGAACAACCAAAACGGTGTCCACTGTGTCCTTCTAGAGGTTTCACCATCCAGTCCTCGAATCTTAATAATTCAACAGGAGGAGGATACGAGGCTGCAGTAGTACGGAATTTCCGGGTTTATTCCTGTGTTCATTTCTACTGTACTATGTTTTGTGTTTTCCTATCGCAGCATGGTCGGAACGGACCCCCATCCCGACGTCCGCGATCCACAATTCGTCTGGGAAAGACTTCCAGAATCCGTCCTCTGATTCCGTCGAGTTTTCGAAATCCAGTAGCCTGGTCGACATGTGTCGTCGTTCTCGCGCAGAGGTAGACGAACACGCAAGATAGTCGTCTACGTGCCTTTCTGCATTCCTTCAACTGACAGACGAGAACACCGCTTCTTTGCGACTGCGCAGTGTTTGCCCCAAAACAAGGAGAGCTCCTCATGTTCCAGAAATTCGAAACACCAGACCCGTCGTTTCCAAATTTCATTGGCTCGGTTCATTCGGCAAGCAAGCAAGTGAAAAGTGGTGGCTTTTCTCTCCTTTTCGCTTTTACCCCAAAAAGTTTAAATCCCAAACGTACGAACGACCATGATGCAGGGCGCACGCGCACCACACGCGCGGAACGACGCCGCTTGTCTGTCTGGAGTCGTCTGCTCACGAATGGATCAATGAATTGGATCGTGGCTTGCAACCCCTTCTTGTGAGGGGAACCAGAGTCGACTATCATCTAGATATCATTATTGCCGTTGTTGGCCTTTTCGTGTGTCCAAGTTTGCTCTATATCCTTGGATGTGAGACGTGTTCTTTGAGCGCGACGACTGCTCGATGACGATACGTCAACAATTTGAAAGCGCGGTATCTGTGTTACTATCACTCGATCGCGCCAGACACGAAAGTGTTATCTTTGCGATCCACCAGTCTTGACGTAGATCGCGCAGACGCTACAGTGCTGTGGTCGCTCTCGTTGTGGACGTCGTTCGCATCATCGATCGTAGTTGACAGTTCCTGACTCTACACTGATCAGTGCTTACTGTAGGTGATTAATCAGTGATGATCGCCATGCGTTTACTGTCATTGCGCTGAGCACAGATCTAGATTTTGCGAACATGCTGTCCGCTCTCTCTCTCGTGGGCGAGCGTGCGGTAACACTACTTTTCGTGTCCTGCTTGCTCACTGATATGCATACAGGTATCAGCTGTCGCACACATCCATTGAGAAGCATTCGTTCGACTTCTCTTGCGAGGATGCCTGTGCAAGCCTTTGCGCCAGATTGAGTTCCGTCCTGCAAGATTTTGCCTGGAGCTCAACGAGTGAGAACTTTCGTTATGGATCTACAAATCCTGGATATTGCTGTCCTTGTGTCCCGAAGCTATCGATGCATTTCTCGGATGGAACTGGGCATGATCCGACGTTCCGCGTAGAGAAGCGGCTCGTCTTCCTCAAGAACCGAGCTTGATGTTGTGAACACTGCGAGTAGATTGATGGCCTCTTTAGAGGCATCACAAGCAATCGGTCCAAGACGATACAGCATTCACAAGGTGAAGTCCTGCCTAAGATCACGAGCGAACAGACGTCATGTGGAACACGAAATCTTGCCTGTCTGTTCGAATCCGTTTGCTTGCATGAGAATTTCTTTGTCACTTGACATCACATGGCCTTTCCAAGAGCATCTGTAAGCACATTCGAACTTGATCAATCCTTCCGACTCACCCTGGCGAACTTCCATTCTTCTCTCTCGACCAAGACGCAAGTCGCAGAAAGGGACCACCGCCCGATCCTAAAATCCGCACAAGTTATACAGAAGAAGACGAAGACTACAAAATGACCCAAGGCATGAAAGACGCCCTCAAAGGTCAAGGCGGTACGTCCTCCTTTGCTCCACCAAGCGTTTGGATACATTTCTCTCCGTGTCGACTAGGGTCACATCGCTCACAAGGACATTCACCTGGCTTTACTAGGCGGCCTTCAAAGCACATCTACCATCATCGGTGATCTCGCTGCCGGAAACGAAACGGTCTCGATCCGAGGGAACAATTCCGAGAAGACGACAAAGTCAAAGGACACGAGTGCTGGTAAGCAGAGACTACTTTCGTGCGGCATACTCGGTGGGTCAAATTCCGATGAGAATGTCTGCTGATGCGTGGCATGGGCGGGGAAGGGGAAAACAATGTTGAGGAGAGGAAGGAATCGTCGACGAAAGGTGGGGATCAGATTGTGAATAAGGAAACCGGGAGGGTGGATCATCTTGGATTGGGGCAGTGATACTCATGGCAATCCAGCGACTTGACTCCGCGGTGGACGTTAACTTCTTGCCGCAGCATGTCCTAGCAGTGACAGATCCTGGAACATTGTGCTCTCCTGCTCGCGGGCAAGTCTTGATTCGCTGAATATCTGCAGATTAACTATTGTTCGTTGCGCTGCATACATCTGCCTCCATGATGTTTATATCAATGTTCCATGCAGGTGGTGTTTTTCATGGGAGCAATGTCCAATCGTTCTCGTCGTATGAAGCACAATATCAACCCTAAGCGAAGCATCTCCAGAAGTTATGCAGAGCGGAGGAGAGCGGGCAGCGGCGCATGCTGAACTTGTGGCGTACGTATTGTGTACAGCAATGAAATAAGGACCAATCCAATCTCCGTCCATTCCAGGGTCCCCAATTCGCCGCAAAAGAGTTGCCTCGTCAGTAGTTCGGGGAAATTAATTGGACACACATCGGCCATTTCCCACCACATCCGCCTTCTGTCATCCGCGCATTTGCATCTTCCACATTGACAGGCTCACTCGGTCTGATCGCGACGAGCTTGACATCCTCACCTTGAACCAGGCTAGCGACGACACGATGGATGCGCCGGAGCCTGATACGCCCTTTGCGGCGGTTTCCGCGCAAACGACCAAGTTTCAAATGGTATGCTTATGACTATCGCAAGAGCAGAGGAAGAGTTGGATGGGAGGCCCTTAGGATATCGCTCTGTTGCAGTAGAAATGCGCGCGCATACAGAATGAATTTGCTAACTGTGGCGGGTCTTCTTCCAGCTTTACCAAACGTACCTCGACAAATCAACACCATACGTCACTTACCGATGGGTCGGCACAGGCGTGCTATTTCTACTATTTGCCTTGAGAATCGTGTTGGCGCAGGGATGGTATATCGGTATGTATCCCTCCGAGAGCTTGGATTATGATCAATGAGTTCTGCCCCGAAAGGCGACAGCAAGGGAATGAACACAGCAATGGCGCATATACACAGATCGCGCAAGCATAACAGAGCAAGCTGACCGCGACTCTCTCCATTCAACAGTCGCCTACTCTCTCGGCATCTACCTTCTCAACCTCTTCCTCGCTTTCATCTCGCCCAAATTCGACCCCTCGCTCGAAGCCGACACTGATATGGAAGACGGTGTCCCCGCCGGCCAATCCTCGTCACTGCCCACCAAGAACGACCAAGAATTCAAGCCCTTCGTCCGTCGTCTTCCCGAGTTCAAATTCTGGCATGCGGCGACGCGCGCGATCGCGCTGGGTTTCGCATGTAGCTGGAGCGAGATCTTCAACCTGCCGGTCTTCTGGCCTGTGTTGGTGGTGTACTGGTTGATCTTGGTATTCTTGACGATGAGGAGACAGATTCAGAGCATGATCAAGTATCGGTAAGTTTTCGCAGCAAATCTACCGGCCTTTTGACCGGATGGAAATCGGTTGTATGTTCAGGAAAGCTGACATGCTGGTTTTCCCAGATATGTCCCATGGGACTTTGGCAAGGCCAAGTACGACAACTCGCGATGAAGGAGACGGGAGAAAATGCAGGCTCAGGCAGATATTCACACCTCCCACACCCTGAATCTCAAACGCTGGGGATGATTTGATCGGAGTAAGATTGTGAGTATATTCATTGTATCACCACGGGAAAGTCGCGCCAGGAAGGCTTTGTTGCCAGCTAGATGAGATTCATGTTGCAGAATAATGAGAGAAAAAGCAAATGGCATGAGAGATGCGCCCACTGTTTTGTGGATACGACACCCGCCTAATGCGTGCTGTCTTTTGATCCGCCTAGTTGGACATCCGGGCAAACACTGTGATGGTTCCCAAGGATCTTCCTTATATTTCCTTCAAGCCCTCGACTGTTTCTTTATCATATGTTCTTCCATACTCCAAGGAAAACTATGAAAAGACGAAATATATTACCTACCTAGGTATCTAGGTATGCGGTTGTTGCGGTCATGAAACTCTTCCACTGCTGTTTCGTCCATGCACGTCACACACCTTCTGCTCTCCTTCCTTCCTTTTTACTTGCAGGTGCCAATGCAAACGATCGATCTTCTCTCCCTAGCAACGCCATTTTCACGCTTCCCTTCCTTCTTGTCAACGGTCACAAATTCCATGGATCTCTCTTCATCTTTGACAACATTGACAGCTGACAGCCATCCTGACAGCCATCACCTGTCATCAAGCACAAACTCGATTCTTGAACTATCCCAGGCCGTCGCCGTCCTGAGACCTTCACCTTGAGCATCTACAATGACAAATTGATCATTCGCACCTCGAGCGTCACCGTCCTCTTCGGCACCCGTCATCACAAACACGCCGTGAAAACCTCACACCTGTCGGCCATTGTACATACAAGAGCGGCATTCGAGGCGGGTCATACAATTGTGATGTTGGCCATCCCTGGGACATCCAGGTGAAAGAGCTTGGTGAAATGTGTGACAACGATTTTATTCCAGCACAACACACTTTGCGTGCGCGTGATGGGTGATATAGCAGAAACTCGCAAGAACTCCAGTTTCATCAGTTCCCAAGGCTGGCATTCACTGGACCCCTCGTGAGAGCCATATGGTTGATTTGTCTCGTCTTGGCATAGTCGACTCATCTTCATCACTCAAATAGTCGCCGTCAAATGCTCAAACGATGGCTTTGGAAAGTTTCAGCGACATCTGGGTTTTCTTGTGATACGTAGCCTGCACCTTTACCACTGGTTTTCTGCGATCTACCGTGTAGCTTCAAGCGAGTTGTCGTGGGTCTGGGACAAGTACTTACGCCCACACAAATGCCAAGTCTTGTATCTCGCTCAAGGCGTGCAATGCGACGCCTCAATATCCTGCAAATCGGACCGAACATGCTCAGCAGTGGGTCTTTCAGACATCATCACTGGATTTGTCATTCGTCATCAACTCTGGCGAGATCGCGATTCCAACGCCATCACTTCATCGAGCTCCGCAACCAAGGACCGGCTTTCTCAGCATCTCTTCATTCAATAATAGACCTACTTTGGCCTGCCTCTTTTACAAACTCATATCTACAATTCAGCAGCTCTTCAAGTCGCGTCACGTGACCAGCTCGTCGACTGTGCTCAGAATTTCCCGGATTTGATTTGTGTAATGGTTTCGCCCGTCCCATTTATGCGAGTACGGTAAATGATACATTGATTGAAGTATATCGCGTGATGCGCATAATTGTCGCGTGCTGTTCCTTGCTGTTCTTCAGGCAGGATTTCAGGGTCGTACAGGATACACATTTCCAACGATCGGAGAAATTTTGTTCGCGGCGATGTTTCAGAAACAGGAGTATATGGACAGATAGACATCTGGAGCAGGAAGGACGAAGTCACTGGCGACTTCTCTGAGAGGTTCCATGACATTCGACACGGGACATCAGCACCGACCCCATCACAGACCGCATTTCCGAGGATAAACAGCTGGCTTCAAAACGGTTTTCAGCAGCATGCGAGTGATTCGGCATGTGGTCGAGGTCCGAACATCGGCGGCGGCGCACGCAAGGCACTCACATGTGCATTGATTTGCATCCTGTCACGCCCGATCTACAAGCCCAATGGTGATGTGCAAGGGATCATGCGAAACTGAGAGGTTCTAATTTGACGAAATATGCTCGATGGGCAGCAGAGCTCGTGGAAGCTTCATATCAAGTGAAGTCACCCACGCAGACAACACGACCGCCGTGATTGGCTGGCCATCGGCTCACAGGAAACCCTCGAGTTTGGGACGAGCGATGAGAAAACGTTGCCGCCGGTGCAAGTTTGGTGCATCGTTAGATCGGCAGTCTGACGCACTGTGCCAAAGCAATTCTTCTGAGGACCCCTTGTGCGCGTCGTCGGCCGCAGAGAGACTGGTGTCATTCACATCATCCACGATCGCGGGCTCGCTGCCCCGCGGACCGCTTGCTGAACAGTGCGATTTTAAATCCACCAGTCGACTACTAGAGGGGTGTCGGAGCGAGCAGCTCAATCGCTTGCTCCACATTGGTTTCTCCGTTTTAATGTCGTGCTACAGCAGACCCTGCAGGAACCGCTTCGGTATGAGCTTTGAGCCAGGTCGAGCATTGCAGCGACCAGGAAATAATCGCAGCACCTATCGATCAGTGCTGAGCGTCGTGCCGTGTAAGGCACAAGCGTATGGCAGCAGTGACCGACCTTTCGCACTGACTCGAAGCGTCCATCTCATCGGCAGCGATTGTGCGTGAGTAATTTATCGCTCTTGTGCGTGATCGCCCGTAATCACCAAAAAAACATTTTGGACAAACAGCCAGTGATTCGAAACTCAATCACACAACAGCCACCATATTTCTGCTCGATAGGAATGAAATGACGCGCACCCGCAAATGCAAGCTGCCATGTGGCTCTCTGATAGGGTCTCGTCATTCCAGACCAACATCGATAATATATCACAATCTTGGATCAATTGCTCCCCAATCTCACGTTCGTTCAAACGAAAAGAGGCCACTTGCGCCGGAAACGGCATCGCGCGACTCAATGGCAGCTGTTCCTAAATGCACGCGATGCGGGGCTGGCTGGTTGGCTGGCCGTTCCCTCGCGTCGTGTGCCTCTGTCTCTCTCTTCCTCACCAAAAAAGTTGGGAGAGCTTGTGAGAATGTCGGAACGTGGGGCAGCGTTGCTCTCCCAATGCTGCTGCTCTCTGTTTACATTTCTTTATTTTTGTCGCGGAATTTCGTCTGGTCTCGTGTAGGAAGGATTCAACTCTACCTCGACTTCCTGGAGACTCCCGCGAAGTTGTGATCAAAGCGGCACACGAAGGCACACAACTCGATGAGTATCAGACCTGTGCTTCTGCTCTGTAAGAAGGCTATAACACGGCGTATCTTCGCAGCCATTTGGAATTTGTCTGCGGCGTCGACTACGATTTGGCCAGGTTGGTTTGTGCATGTGCGTGTGTGTGTGTGTGCACCTGGATGTGTGGCAGGCTTCGCGGGAAAGACACACACAGACCGCACATCATCTCCTGCTAAGCCGACCGCTCGCTGGCGGGCACGTTGATCCGCCAGAAGATTATACTTTTTTTCCTTACGGTATGCTTGACGTTAGAGGGACCCTCATCGCCGCCGCCGCACTTTGAGCGAAATGTCGACTGGTGGGCACGCGCCTCGCGTAGAAACGACCAGTTTCCCAGCATCCGCTTCATCATCCTGGCCTGCCCACACACACACACGTATACCGGGTGGGCTACATCTGGCCTGGCTCCTACAGGCGCCGGCATCACGGCACTAACCACTTTTCCCAAGAGACAGGATGCACGACAGCTCCCCTCGAAAACGAGGTGATTGTACTGTGCTGCACCCGTCTGCTGTGAACCCCCATCGTACACCATTCCACTTCTCTGGCGATCTCGCAAGCGATGATGATAGTGTAGGCCCTGAGCGAGCTAAATTGCCAAATGCGGGTGCCGACGACACTTCCTCTCAACTGCTCCCGCACTCGGCCGTCTCTTTCTTGTGATGGGACACCTGTAGACAAACCCCCCTCGGTCATGTATGTCACTGTGAGCGACCTGCTCCAATGCCGTTGCCTTAATAGCTAGGTGTATCTTCCTCTTCGTAAACATTCCTCTTTTCCCTCTTTCCTCCTCGATTCTCTCGTCCCCAATTCACCCTTCTCTTCAACATTTTTCATTGCTGAGCTCGCGTGCTCAGCAAAGACTCCTCTTCTTCAACATGTCGGCTTCTTTGCCAGCTCTCTCTGAGGCCCTCCTCCACCCGATCAACACGTTCGGTGCGGTGGCTGTGGTCCTCGCCGTGTCCGCCGTAGCTCTGATTGCTGTCACTCTCGGTGCGGCCAAGTCCGACAACTACGTCTACCAGCAATTGCAATTCGCCTACTCGTGCTTCTTCAAGCCCCACACCGGAGACGGCACCGGCAACCAGCAGGATGCCCTCGAAAGCTTCTACAAATCCCAGGCCTCCATCTACGATGCAACCCGCACCAAGCTCCTCCAGGGCCGTGAGGACATGCTCGCACTGGTAGCTGCTCAGGCGAAATACCGACAAAGCAATGGCCAATTTAAGAAGAAGCCCATCTGGGTCGATATCGGCGGTGGTACTGGCTGGAACATTGAGCAGATGGGTCAGCAAATCGATGTGCCCAACTTCTTCCACGCCGTCTACCTGGTTGATCTGAGCACTTCTCTCTGCGAGATTGCCACCAAGAGATTCGAGCGTTTGGGCTGGAAGAACGTGCACGTCATCTGCGAGGATGCGAGAACCTTCCGCTTGGCGGACCACGAGGCCGGTCTTGCGGAGGAGCAGCGTGACTTCAGCATTGGCAAGCCAGTTTACGACGTGGACTCGCGTGACAGTGTTGGAGCCGACGTGCTCACCATGTCCTACAGTCTGAGCATGATTCCCGAGTTCCACCCTGTCATTGATTCAGTTGCGAACCTCTTGGCTGCCGATGGTATCATCGGTGTGGTCGACTTCTACGTCCAGAACAAGGTTGAGTTCCAGGGCCGCAACTACACCGGAGGCCAGCTCGACAGGCACTGCATGTGGATCAGCCGTGTCTTCTGGCGCACCTGGTTCGAGCTCGACCGTGTCAACTTGGAATCTGCCCGCCGCGACTACATCGAGTACAAATTCGGAACCATCCTCAGCGCCAACCGCCGTTGCCATCTCCTCGGTCTTCGCATCCCATACTACATCTTCGTCGGTTGCACTCGCACCACCAGCGTGACCATGGAGTCCATCGCCTCGGTTGACGCCGCCGTGACTGAGAGCCCCTTCATCACAGCACTCGACATCCACGCTCAGAGCATCACTCCTCGCAAGGTTCGCCGCAGCTCCAGCACCGAGCGGAGGAGCAAGGCATACGAGACCGCCGTTGTCAACCTCGCTGCCAGCATGCCTCTTCCCGCCGCCTACTACCAGAACAATAAGACTCGCATCTACTACGACGCTTCCCTGCAAAAGCACAAGCAGTTCAACGATGAGTACATCTACGCTTTCACCTGGGAGGACTCTCGCATGGACGCCCGTCTTTTGAAAATCAATGGTGATGACGTCATCCTGGCGATCACCAGCGCTGGTGACAACATTCTGAGCTACGCCCTCGAGCGCCCGAAGCGCATCCACGCCGTCGACCTCAACCCATCGCAGAACCACCTCCTCGAATTGAAGGTCGCCGCCTTCAAGAGCCTCGACTATGAAGACACCTGGAAGCTGTTCGGCGAGGGCAAGCACGAGAACTTCCACAAGCTCCTCCTCGAGAAGCTGTCCCCTCACCTGTCCTCGCACGCCTTTGACTACTGGCTCCACGTTGGTGAATCGACTTTCGGTCCCAAGTCGCAAGGTCATTACTTCACCGGTGGATCTCGTCACGCGCTCAAGCTTGTCAAATGGATCAGTGGAACCCTCGGTATCCGCAATGACATTATTCGCCTGTGTGAGGCCCAGACCCTCGCTGAACAGCGTGAGATCTGGACCAAGCGCGTCCGTAAGGTCCTCCTCTCGCAGTTCCTCGCTTACTTCGTCGTCGGCACCGAGCAGTTCCTGTGGAAGGCTCTCGGTGTGCCTGGCGAGCAGCGTGCTATGATCGAGGAGGACTTCAAGCACATGCTCGACCACCAGAACAGCGCCGCCAAGTCCGATGCCGCTGGCGAGAAGAGCGGTGAAGGCGAACCAGGTGCCGTTGGACCTTTGAAGAGTGGACAGGCCATCTGGAACTACGCTGTCCAGACCCTCGACCCCGTTGCCAACGAGACGCTCATGAGCGAGGACAACCACTACTACCTTGTCTGCTTGTTGGGTAAGTTTCGAAAAACCATTTCACTAAACTGCCAACACCCAATCCTTTCCCCCCTGCATCTCGCTGTATGCTGACTGTCCCATTTCCCTACAGGCAAGTACACCCGCAAGTGCCACCCTACCTTCCTCCAGCCCAAATCCCACGCCAAGCTCTCCCAGCCCAACGCCTTCGACGGCCTTCGCATCCACACCGACGAGCTCCGCGAAGTCTTCGCCCGTATGCAACCTGAGGCCCTCACCATCGCCGTCCTCATGGACAGCATGGACTGGTTCCGCCCCGACGCCCCCGACGCCGCCACCCAGGTCACGGCCGTGAACCGCGCGATGAAGATCGGCGGCCGCGTCCTCATCCGCAGCTCTGGTCTCAACCCCTGGTACATGAAGACCTTTGAAGAGCTCGGCTTCTCGGCTAAGCGTGTCGCTGCCCGTATCCCCGCGGGCACTTGCACCGACCGCGTCAACATGTATGCGAGCACATGGATCTGCACCAAGACTACCAACCTTGCTGCCGAGGCTGAATAGATGGATCGCTTCAATTCGTTTGGTTGTCCGGTGGTCTACTTGGATAAATGGAGATGTTAGCCCAAGAGGCTGCCGAAGCCAGTGTTGTTGACACTCGTCGACGCACATGATCGAATGCTCCATAGACGGCTATACTGGCTCCTCCGCACCCAGGCCTCCGATTCTATCACAGCCAGGTTGTGGCCACGCTGGACGGTGGCAGCTGTGTGCGATAGGCTACGATTCGCCACGAAGGAGAACAAGGAAGAAGGATTAATGTTTGATATGTAACATGAACGTTTCATGGATGACGACTTTCTTTTTTGGATTGGAGAAGAGAATTATCTTGTGCTGCTTTATGTATATCCCTCCTAGTCGGAGGGAAGAAATGTCCCATTCACTGGAAGGAAAAATGAAAAATTCCTTGCGACCTCTACAATAATGGCCTTCTTTCTTCCACTCTCTGTCTTTCGCTTTCTCTTCCTATATCCCCGTCGATTTGCACACATTGTCACCATTACCGAGATGCACTTTGGCAAACCTCTTTCACGATTCTCCATGTGCTGCTGTGGGCCATACCAAGGCAACCCTAAGCCGATGGCATTCCAAGGTTATCGGAGCATGTCACCCGATTCTGCAAACTCATCGTCAAGTGTGAAAAGGTTGATATTTGAATTCTGTCTACTTCTCAATAATGGAAAATGGAGTTTATGAGAAGCCTGAAGGGTATCGGATTGACCGAGCATCGCAGCGCTACGCAGTAGCATTGGACTTCCGGCTAGGTCGCCCTTCATTCCTCGCACAAACAAAGAAACCCGTGAAAGCGATGGGGTGAAACAAGACCATGTTCTCCATTTCACTTGATCGATTGGGCCCACAATGAAGTTCTTGAAGGAGCAATTTCATGAATTTCCTTCGAATGTACTGTGTGTAAGATCTCCTCCTCTCTGCACACTCAACACGCAGCAATGGGGAACGACTTGTTTCTCGAAGGCGACGAAGGCATACAAGATGAGCGGCCAGAATGCAAATCAGATGATAGCCTGATGAGTTATTTGCCTACCTTCAAGGTCCTACCCACGGAGCACGATCTGGACCTCCGCTACTACGAATCTTCGAATGGCTACAGCTATCAGCCACGGCGCCATTGGTGTTTCCTGGCCCAGATAACAGATGTCAACGCTTTCATGCGCGTCGGCTTGTCAGTCAAAGATCAAGAAGGCGTTGAAATTCCGGTCTGGTTCTATACGGAAGACAGAGGGTTTGATTATCTTTCGTCTTCGGTTCGAGAGGGCCAAACCATCGCTATTCTGTATGCCGAGAGACACGCATTCATGTTCGATTCCATCGGCGTTCGTGTTGAGCTGAGAGATACTGTCAAGGTAGAACACCAGAGTGGTTTCTTCTGCTCTGTGGCGATGAATTGACGATGGGCTAGATCTTCAATACGCCTTTGGACAAGGTTTCGAAGCTTCTCAAACAGACCGATGAGCAGGAAATGATCTGCGCAGCATGTCACAAACCTGCGATCCATTTACCCAGGTGTGGAAGATGTAATGCGGTCCGATACTGCAATAAGGTGGGTATACATACCCACAACCTTCCATGCCTATGTCGACGAACGGAGGCTCACAGATGTCACAGGCTTGCCAGACGCTTGACTGGAGAAACGGTCACAAAGTTGATTGCAAGTTGATTCGAAGTGCGGATTTTCAAGTTCTGATGAAGATGAAGCAACCTGTCATCGGACGGAAATTGTTGAGCTTTCCACGTCCGTGATCTTCGTGTGCAAATGCTGCTTGTATGAGAGAGATCGATAGGATCAGATGGGATGGGCTATTGTCTTGGACACTTATGCTGTATCGATTGTACGGCCATTGTATGAATCGACGTAGAGACTCAACGTTGACAGAGAGACGGGAAGTCCTCCTGAACATCCAATTGAGTGAAGAATATATGTAGCTCGTCAGGGGAAGATGGGCAGATGTCTGATGGGGTTGACGCCGAGAATACGCGCGGCGCAGCCGACCGAGCCCGCTTTCTTGCCCCCCAAATTCACAACGGCCATCGTCTCCCTCCACAAACTCCGCCGCCAACACTTCGGGGGTTCATCATCACCGCAGCTGGGGGAAGTTCCGCTGCCGCAACTTTGCGACTGGGCTGATCCACGCATTCAACTAGTAATCATACTGTAATACTCTCACCTCCTGATTCATCTACGCTCTCTCCGTCGCCAGGCGTCCAGCTCGAATTGTCGCCAAATTCTTTTCCATTAATGTCTTGAAAGTACTATGAAAGAGGCGGCAGTGTGAGGCCGGATTTAGACAGTCACGACGACACGCCTATCGATTGCGTGCATGATTTCACGCCATACCTCGAGTCTTCGCCATGGCGAATCAAGATAGATACGGTCGTTATGCCAATATTCCTATTCCTTCATATGACGAAGCGATCTCATCGCGGCCGGGTTCGTCGACACAACATGCTCGCGGACCAGGAGAGATCAGTGACGATGCCGAGCGGCAAGGTCTGCTCGGCGAGGATGGCCCGGCCAATACACATTATCGACCACCGACTGTAGAGTCGCCGCGTTCGAGCGAGGATAGCGACCTACGACTCCCCGAGGTAGGAGGAGGTGCAGATGCGGCGCGCCGAGATATCGAGGAGCTGGACTACCTCGACCCGATGGACAACTCACGGCGATCGCCACGCCCATACTCGCACACACGCTTGCGCAACATTTCTTCACGTTTCTCCAAATTCTCTGCTACATTATCTTCAATTCGATTGCCGTCGTTTCGACGACTTTACACTCCTGTCGCCACCGAAAGAACGACAGATTCATCCTCTTCCGAGCCCGTCGATGCGCTTCCCCGGCCCACATGGCTTGCGCGAGCCTTCCAAAATATTCCTGCTATACCATCAGAGTACCGAATGAGTGCCCCAACCGCTGCACGACTGTGCGGCCTCGCCGCACTCATCATTCTCTTCTATGTGCTGTTCGCAATGGAGGTCTTCACTGGCGGACGCCACGGGAACGGTCGTTTCGATCCGGAATCTGTGCGAGCATTTGTGCAGGAAAATGTCGATTCAGAGCGGATAGCAGAATACTTGACACACATCTCGAGTTACGATCACGTCGCGGGTACCGAAGGTGATCTCTACATGGCGGAATGGATGCACGAGCGGTGGAAGCTTGAAGGACGATTCGATGATGTCGCGCTTGCGAGCTACTACGTTCTCTTGAACTACGCCAAACCGGACGGCAGGAGTGTTAGCATCACCGAACCGGAAGACAAAAGGTGGACTGCTGTATTGGAAGAGGATATGGTCAATGTGGATCGCCAACAGACTTTGGCATGGCACGGGCACAGTAAGAGCGATGAAAAGGAAGGACCCTTGGTATATGCCAACACTGGAAGTAAGGAGGATTTCGAGTATCTGAGAGGATCTGGCATTGTGCTGAACGGAACGATTGCATTGATACGTAATGCGGGCGCGTTTGAGAACACCGCGCTCAAGGTCAAGACAGCTGAAGAGGCAGGCTGCATTGGCGCACTTCTTTACTCGGACCCCAGCGATGATGGATCCGTCAAGGGAGCTGTCTGGCCCGATGGGCCTTGGCGAACGGCCGACTCAGTGCAGCGTGGTAGTGTGGGTCTGACGGACTGGGTGATGGGCGACCCCTTGACTCCGGGAGTCGCGAGTGTCCCTGATGCAAAACGAACGTACAAGACGATCTTGCCTGGCCTCGTCAACATTCCGTCCCTGCCTCTGGCGTGGCGAGACGCCAAGGTGCTCATCGCTGCATTACAGGGCCACGGTAGCGTACTTCCAGACAACTGGACCGGCGGTGACGAAACCAATCAAAAGTGGTTCTCCGGAACAGCAGCGACATCGGCCGACACCTCCTTTCCGGTCGTCCACATCAAGAACATCAACGATGAAAACCCTAAACAACAAATCTGGAACCTCCACGGTGTGCACAGAGGAGTTGAATCACCTGACAACAAGGTCATCGTGGGAAGTCATCGTGATGCGTGGTGTTTCGGTGCTGTGGACCCGGGCAGTGGCAGCGCAGTGATGATGGAGCTTGTCGCGATTTTCGGTCAGCTCCGTAAGGTCGGCTGGCGCCCTCTGCGTACACTGGAGTTTGCCAGCTGGGATGCTGCCGAATTCAGCCTCATGGGCAGCACCGAGTACGTGGAAGATAATCTCGATGGCCTCCGAGGGAACGGTGTCGCGTATTTAAACGTAGATGCCGGCGTATACAGCCCTGACGCACTCTTCCGTGCTTCGGGTAGTCCTGTATGGCAACGACCGTTGGCCCATGCGCTTGGCCGCGTGTCCGATCCTGGATCTGGAAAGTCTCTCCGCGAGGTATGGGAGACGCGCAACTCAGAGGTCGAGAGTCCCGGCACCGAGGGCGACTATGCTCCCTTCCAGAGCATGGCCGGCGTTTCCTCCATTGATTTCGGCTTCCGTGGCGCCGACGATGCCTTCCCGCGCAACTCCTGCTACGATACCTTTGAATGGATGAACAAGATTGGGGATCCAGGCTTCAACTACCACCGATCCCTCGCCCAAATCTGGGCCCTCATGATCCTCGAAGTGGTCGACCAACCTCTCCTCCCCTTTGACCTCCGCAACTACGCTGCTGCCATCCAAAAATCCTACATCTCCTCTATCACCGCCCACGCCGCTTTCCAGCGGCAACACTTCAACCTCACGGAGAACGCCTCAACCGTCGACTTCACCCCATTACAAAACGCCGCCGACGCCTTCGTCACCCGTGCCGACGAATTCCACAACTTCGAAGACTACTGGACCCGAAACATCTACGCCGTCGGCGGAATTGAAAACCGCGCCTTCGGCATGCAAAGATTGCAGTTCAACGACGCCCTTTCGAATTTCGAATCCGACCTCTTGGACTTGCCGCAGAACTACCACGACGGCGGTCGCGAGTACGGCGTACCAGGCAGGAACCAATTCAAACACATCTTGTTCGGCCCGCAGGATTCCCGACGAAAGGGCGAGAATGTCGTTGTCTTTCCCTTGATCAGAGATGCTTTGGATAAAGGCGATTGGAAGGCTGCGCAGGACATGGTGCAGCGCACGGCGGACATCTTGAGTAGGGCGACGGGGAATTTGCCGCATATCATCTAAGGCGTTGAACCCTATCATCTCAATCCTTTTAATTTTGTCCTTCTGTTGTCTCTGGACGTCAAAAATGTCTCTTATTCTTGTTTTTTTTTCATATTCTGGCTTCGTGCCGGATGTTTGGCTGCGGCGAATGCATGGCGTTCTAGACGAGTTTCGAAATCGATGGATTACATATGTAATTCTTCATCTGCGTGGTTGAAATGGAGAGGAGATGAATCAAAACCCATCGACTTCTCTGATAAAACGTCATCTGTACAAGAACCAATCTATTACAATCTACCCTACATGCCGAGCCAAAGTAAAACCCGATCTCAAGATCTCGCCATCGCAAAATCCGCCTCCCCAATGTGACTCTTCTCACACAGTCCCCTAAAAACTCCACCTTCTCTCTCCCAAAGCTCCCTCGCCGGTCCCAACTCGACAACTCTCCCTCCCTCCAGCACACAGATGCGGTCGAAATCGAGAATCGTCCGCAAGCGATGCGCAATACTTAGGACTGTCCTCCCGCGGAAGACTTCCGACATCGTCTTCTGAATCTTCGCATCGGTTTCCGCGTCAAGGGAACTCGTGCCTTCGTCGATGAGCACGATGCGTGCATCTCGAATAAGTACACGCGCTAGGGCGAGGAGTTGTCGTTGGCCGAGGGAGAAATTGGAACCTTCTTCCTCCACGATGGAGTCGAGGTGCAGGCCTTTGGTGGGAGAAGGGGATTGGTCTTCCTCGGAGAATTTCTCGGCGCTGCTGCTGATGGACGTGCAGGTGAGATGGCAGGATCGGAGGGCGTTCCAGAGTTTGAGATCGTCGTGTTCGGAGAAGGGGTCGAGGTTGGAGCGGATCGTGCCGCGGAAGAGGGTTGGGTCTTGCGGGATGATGGCGAGATGGGAGCGCAGGTCGTGCAGGCCGACTTGGGAAATATCCTGGTCGTCGATGGTAATCGTGCCGGCAGAGAGCTCGACGAGTCGGAAGAGGGTGGTCATGATGGAACTTTTCCCTGCTCCGGTTCGTCCTACGATACCGATCCTCTCTCCGGCTGCGATCTGGAGTGTCAGGCCGTGGAGTACGAGAGGTAAGCCTTCACGGTAGCGCATCTGGACATTGTTGAATGATATGGCACCATGTTCAGGCCATGTGTTTGGGACAGCGTCGGATGTTAAGGCCGCCTCATGCGGGATCTGCGTTGCATATTCGTGTAATCTCTCCGTGCTGGCCATGGCGTTGTCAACATCCGAGAAGTACCGAATGGTGATTTGGAGAATCTGGACTAAGCTGAGACTGTAGCTCAGAATCACACCGGAGATGCTTGGATCGACGTTCAATTGGTTTGTGACGACTAAGATTCCCACCACAAAGACAAGCAGATTACCAACGGCGTCCATTCGGATTGAAAGCCAGCGTTGGTTTGCGAATGTCAGGAAGTAAGCACTGTTCATGTCGTCGAGAGCGGAGACAAGCCGTGCTACGAATCTCGATTGAGCTCTATACGCACGGATGCAGCTCACGCCAGTCAGAGCCTCACTGTATTGTGCAAAGACAACGCCGTCGAGAGTGGTCTGTAGCCGCTTGAGTTCGCGGGCACTAGAGCGGTAGTATGCTGCTGTGTATACGAAGACGGCGGATAGGACGACCAGTGCGATAGTGAACTAAACCCCAAGTCAGTGAGTCGCTTCCCATGAGATGCGAACTGTTGTTCTCACATAATAGAAGTAGGCAATGATCAGTATGAAAGTGCCGATGATCATGCTCAGCACGACAAGATAATTCCTCAGTGCGTCGATCAAATTATTCTCCATGACATCTACATCCTTGGAAAATCGGTGAATGATACGGCCGAGCGGAGTCGTGTCAAAGTACGACATTGGAGCCCGGAGGACATTCCACATGGCATCTTGCGACATTCCGTTGCTCGCATGAGTGGCCATGAAGCAGGTGAACATGAAGAAGATGAACAACAGCACGCCTTGGATGATGGCGAGTGCAACATAGACTCCGATCTGTGGGTGATGACGTTAGTTTGATATGACTTACTTCTGATGAGAGGAAAACGTACGTATGTGTCGCGAGCGAGGTTGAATTGATCCGAAGTCCACCATGAAAGCCATAGACTCGTGAGTATGTTCGCCGCGCGGAACAGTGTGCACAATAGAATGATTGTGAAACCATTGCTTAGAGAGCCACTAGCACGGAGCCAGGCCGTGTACACAGCCCAGGAGACCTTCCGATTCGAGGTCGAGTCTGCTTGCATCAATGTTGTCTTAGTCGTCGTCACTTCCTTCTTCGTGGCTGAGTCGTCTGTACAAGTGGCCTTCTCTTCTGTTCCACTGCTCTGTGCCCAATTTGACTCCAGCATCTGCCTGAATCCAGGATCTGAAGCAAGTAGCTCATCATACGTCCCGATAGCTGCAACACGTCCGTCACGAAGAACGATGATTCGATCACATTGTGGCAAAACATGTGTCTGATGGGTGACAAGTATGCGACATCTACCAGTGAGAAATCCTGTGATCGCTTCGCGAAACACATGAGCGCCAACCTGGGAGTCCAAAGCTGACAAAGGATCATCCATGATAGTGATTCCAGCGTCGGCGTAGATCGCGCGAGCAATATTGATACGTTGCTTCTGGCCACCTGACAAAGTAACACCGCGCTCTCCAATTTCGGTCATGTCGCCCTCGTCCAGCAAATCTAGGTCTGCTCGAAGAGCACAAGCGTCGATGATTCTCCAATAACGATCGTTATCAAAAGAGGCGCCAAAAAGAATATTGTCCCGGATCGTGGCATTTTGTACCCAAGCTGATTGCGGCGATAGTGCCAGGTTCTGGCCGAATTCGAGCGTGCCGCCAATCTGACGCATATTTCCTGCCAAGGCGTTGACGAACGACGATTTACCTGAGCCAACGGGCCCAACAATGGCGATCAGCTCTCCCTTGTCGATGGTTATGTCTAGATCGCGGAGCTGAAAGATTTGAGCAGGCAGCTCCAAACCTGCCGTCGACTCAGACCTGGAGGTGTTTCCGCTGTCAGATCCACTCTTCGATTTCGGCTTGAGGGCAGAAATCAGACTGCGCATGTTGCGTGGAGTGGCTACCTTGCCAGCTTGCTGTGCGATATCAGACTTCATGGGTTGCTCCCAGGTGAAGCAGGCATTGCGAAGAATAAGTGCATGTTCTTGTTCGTCAGCGACCCGGAAATCCTCTGGCATCTCGTCTGCGAGCAGAAAGGATTCAATCCGACCAAAAGCAGCCCACGCCTCTACTGCCTGTCCCAAGGCAACAGGCACCCAGTTGAGAGGATTTCTCAAGCTGTTCAGCAATGCGAGCGATGAAAATACCTCGGCCGGCTCGAATTGATTTCCTGTCAGGGAATATGTGATAAATGTCAGCATGTTCGCAAAAATGGGAAGAGCCATCGATAACGAGCCGATTGCGCTTTTCATTACATGCAAGGCGTATAGTGCAGACGTTTCACTCAGACGGAGTTGCTTCAGCTTGTCAGCAAATGCATTCTCCCAAGCGAATAGTTTCACAAATTTGATGCTCTGTAACACTTCTGCAGTGAGTCCGACGCGTTTGTCAGTGATCTTGTTAATCGCACCCCGCTTGCTTCCGACGCGCTTCACGATAGTCGTGACAAATGCCAGACCAACCACAAGGAAAGCTACGCCAGCTAATGCGCTGACACCAAGATTGTATATCAACAGCCCGACCGTCAGAATGATGGCTATCACCGACGTCCAAATATAATGAAAAGTTCCACATGCTTGGTCAACACGGGAGATGTCTGTAGAGATGAGACTCATGATTCGCCCATTGGGCCAGCCTTGTACAGCATCTGTGGCTGTCTTTTCCGAAGAAGATAAAAGAGCATTGCTCCCTGATCTTGCTTTTCCAGAAAGCTTCAAGGACTTGTCAAACGTTGCTGAAATTAGGATCGCTCGGACAAGGCCACCCATAAGTTGGCTTCGGTAGAGAAAGTGTGCAAATGCGAAGCTCTGGATGATCTGGATTGCTGTGATACCAAGCACGTAACCAATACCTATGGCAATACTTGGCCCGGCTGTAGCATTCTGTCGGGCCACGTATGCTGATGACGCGAACTCAATGAGATATCTGAGTAGAAACGGCGACATAGCCTGCAGCACACTGTTCAATAATTGAGAAGCTCCACCAATCCAGAAGTGCTTCTTCACGGCATGATAGGTCGCGAATACGAGGGCGTGCTTCTGACCTCGCGCCACGCGTTGAGATAGTGATTGTTGGAGCTCATCGCACAGAATTCGCGTCGCTCGTTCATTGTCGATGAGCCAGACATCATCATGAACGAGTGGTCGAGCATGTCCAAGCTGATGAAGAAAGGAATCAGCAAATACGGAATTGGAGATCGATGCCCAGCGACAAGGCGAGGGATACAATGCATGCCACAATCAAGAGGTGATGTTACAGGTAGCCCCATGGTAGCGCGATCGCGACCTGCATGAACTCTTGATTCGTATGCGACAAAGTAAACATACCTTGATGAGAGGGCTGATCCACGAGAAGGTCAGGCGGCTGCAAATTCCAGCAGTGGATTCTGGAGTGATTGTGCGCCGATCGGGCGTGGCGGCGGTCGCCTTGTTGGCTTTGCGAGATTTTATGATCCGGGACCATCGAGAGATTGGGGCTCGCGGTGCTTCAGACATCTTCTCTGCCCCCTCGGTTGACGATGAAGGTCTCTGTTTGTCGCTAGTCGCCTGCATTGGGAGAACTGCGAGTTGCAGATCACAAACTCTCGACAACAAGAATGAAAAGGACTAAGACTGATAGTTTTGCAGTAGACATTCTCCTCGTTGTCTTTACAAAGCCGAACCGGTAATGCTGTGATTAATTGCCGGTATTTTGGGTCCCACCGAAAAGTATCACCACTCCGTCGGCACACGATCACAAGGAAATACTCTCCTGCCTCTTCAGGACGATTGAAGTCTCAACGCAATCGGATGCAAGTGCGATTCTGCCATTTCGCATGACCAATTGCAACAGTCACCGCCAAAGCCAGGGCATCAAGGTTTCTCGTCTCATGCCACGCAAAGGGATCCTGACGGCCATCACCGTGCAATCGAAGAATCCATGGTGGCACGGCAGGCACAGACATCAAGGTTGTGCGCGCGCCCAGCGAAACGGCTGCGGATACACTTGATAGACACACCGTAGCCATCCCAGCGTGCTAATTTATCCATCACAGTGCATTGGCATGACGTTCGTTTATTGCCTGCATCGGCATCGTCGACCGCGGTGGAGCAGGGTGTGCAGTTGCATTAGGGCTCCTGCGGGAATCCGTCATCACCACGCCCAGACTCGACTCCAGGGGAAGAGGAACAGGGGTGGTGGTGGAAAGACAATGACCCGCACAAATGCTAATCAGATCGAAATTGGAGCCGATCACCGCTGCCAGAGCTGGTACAAAAGTCAGACCTGTGCGCCGGAAAACAGTCACTTGCACTGCGACGGTGAGGGCCGGGGGCCGCGGGTAATAATTATCAGATGGTGCGGCCGAATCAACGGCCACGGCCCGCCGCTGTGGTCAACAAGCGAGAGTCTTCCTCAATGGACGTCATGCCGCAGTGATTGGTCCGCAGGGCATTTTTGTCTTTCGATCTGGCAAGGAGAGAGAAAGGCTGATCCGATGTGGCAGCACGGTTCCTTTCCTCGGGTCAGCTGCTATCATTGTGAAACGCTCTTTCCCTGTGGGAGAAACGTCTCAGTTCACACCGCTGATTGTTCCTTTGTCCCTGTTCGCACAATGGTATCATTTTGGAACGGACCAGCCGGGATCGGAGAGGATTAACAATGATGGCCTGAACGACACTGATGACTCGCTCACCGGAAGTTCCTGTCGTACTTGGTGGCTTGGGTCTTGCTAATTAATTGGACGTCTCGGCAATCTCTCACCCACTTCTCTGCCTCTCACATGTGCTACGTATTCAACATTACGGGAAGCAGGTGAATAAGCAAGAGCGCAGGAATATTAGAATCGCAGTCGTCCTCACGGTCGTCAAAGAAAGAGTTTTGAATTTGTTCCACTGTCGGCGGCTTTTTACGAATTTTGGGTAGCTTTTGCTGTCTGAGGGTGTCGTATAGCACCACCGTGTCATTCCCGCCGCAACCAATAACTTCCATTTCAAGATCAACATTTCCAACATGCTCGCCACACACAAGACGCACAACAAGCGATCCTCGCTGAGCTGGAACTTTAAGCTCGGCGGATCGAATATTCGTCAAGAGGAGAACAACAAAGATCCTCTATCATGGCAGTGGTGGCTATATCCTTCAGCAACGCAAGACGTCTCGAACAGCTCTAGCCGAAACCTCTACCTCAGAGTCCAGCGACGGAGGCAAGGCGAACTCGCCTCAGAACATGAGTATCTACAAGCCATTGCGACTTCCATTGCGGCGAAATTTGCCGCGCTCAAACTACGCCCTGTGATCACAGATTTTCTGCAATCAGTCGCATCCTCGTTGAAGAATAAAGACAGCGCAATTGCTGTGCTCGTCGTGCCGACTTCAGATGGATACATGGCCGACGCTGGCTTCCTGGCCAAGCGCCTGGCCGGTGTTAAGGCTGTCACACAAATAGTGAGCTTCGTTGAATTCAACGACAGAATCAATGCCGATTGCGGACATCAAGATCTCGAATCCAACCTTCTATGTCTACTCCCGCTGGCCATCGGAGGAGCCTCAATCGATGCAGACATCTCTGGAGACCAACTGAAGGTTCTGGAGTCACAAATCCACAACAGGTTGCAATGCACCTGGATCTCACCATGCGCTCTGAGTCGACGTCGAGTTTTCTACATCATTGACCACTTGTCTCTCTCGGCCACGCGCGGTAAATGGCAGATGGCTCTTGGCCTTGGTCTTGATATAGTCATCATCAGTTCAGGGCAGTGGTGGCTGGACCCGCAGGTGGTTGCAGAGTGGAAGTCGTTGGTCGCAGGCTTCATTTCACTTGACATCACTACCGACCGTGGTCTGCCAAGTCGGCTCGTCGCTGCTCTCAAGGGTAATATCGACAACATTCACGGCCTGGTGCCGGGTGCGGATAAGTACCTCACAGCAGTGGCCAAAGCGGCTTCGGCACTGGGTCTTCCCACTTCTTCGCCCGAGGCTTACACCATTTCAACGAGCAAACAACTTACCAGAGATCTTGAGAAACCGATCGGAACCAGTTTCGAGATCCGCAGCATGACCGACCTACACATGCACTTGAGAAACAGTCCAATCCGGGACTACCCGCTCATCTCCAAGCCAGCCCACGGCAGCATGAGCACCTGCGTTTTCAAATCCAACAACGAGTCCGAACTCCTTGCGAACGTCTCCAAGACCTTCTCTGCCTGGCGCGCAGGCGACGCCATTGTCATCGAGAGATATTGCGAAGGACCCGAATGTGACGTCAACATCGTCCTGCTGAACGGCGAGCTGCTCTTCAGCGAGGTCGTCGACGAACCGCCAAGCACCGCTGACCTGGATTCGACCTCGCCTATGGCCACCTTCGCCGAGTCGCAAGCCATCACGCCATCGATCCTACCGGCCAATGAACAGGCCGAGCTGATCGCTTCGGTCAAGGAGAGCGTCCTGCGCCAAGGTTTCCACAGTGGCGTGTTTCACTGCGAGGCCCGCGTGCGGGATTCCACTGTGCAGTATGCACCTCTGGCCGGCAGCGAAGCGATGCTCGATCTGCAACCCGTGCCTGTCAGCCCCACGGAGCCGTCGTCGACTTTCTTGCTCGAAGTCAATGCGCGCTGCCCTGGCTTGATGAGCGCTTCAGCTACATTGCTGACTTCCGGTGTGGATTTCTGGAGTCTGCAGCTCCTGGCGGCGGTCGGCGAATGGGAGCGTTTCCAACAATGCGCCCAGCGTTTCGTCGACGAGGGCTGCTATGTTATGCTCGACACCTATTTTGTTGATGTGAGCGCCCAGTACGTGCAGTCGCTCTTCCCCGGCTTGGACATCAGCCATATCGGCAAGCCGTACATTGATGAAGCTCACAACCCCATGACGGCGCTTGACTCTACGCTGACTTCGAATGTCGTCCGCCACGCCGCGATGGTCAAGCCCGCGGCTATGTATGGCGGCGACGAGGATAAATGGCTCTGGCTCGAGACGGTCGTGCTCCTGTCTAATGATAGCCGGGAGAGCATGCTCATGTCTTCGGAGCGGTTGAGGATCCAATATGAGAAAATTGTAGTGCAGCGTGATCAGCAATGCTTGGCTGCTGCTGGCACGATCGCTGCACTTGCTGAAAAATAGAGGTTCGGGCTGTCGCTTTGCCTTCCATAACAACATGTAACATGTAACGTATGTACCTGATCTGGTGTGGCGAAATTGAAAAATTCTCTTTGCTTACCATGACCTCTCTTTCGAATGGCCCGATCGGCCGCCTTGCTCCGATACGTAATGAAACGAGGCATGACATCGGCGGTATACAATCTTACATTACCTTTTGGGGGTTTGGTCCCATCTCGCTGTGTTCCCGAGTCTTGTCTCTTGCGTAGAGACAAATCAAATTTCGTGTAATAGTGATGACCATATCACCAGGTCAGGGTTTCTGGGTGGAGGCACCCACGCTGGGGCTGACCGCATCGACCTCACAAGGCAAAATCCCACATTCTCCCCACGACATCCGTGGAAGGAAGGAGGTCCGCTGAGTGTCTATCCGAGGTCAAGTTGTGCAAGGACTTTTTCAGCAAGTGGAAGCGTCGTCAACGAGTTGCTGTTGTTGAGACGCAAACCTCAGTCATTTTGCAGGAGAAATTTTCCTTGGCGGAGGAAGCAGAACTGCGATGGATTGTCTCTTTATCGCTGGAAACTAGTCTCGTCCTTGTTGTCTAGTGTCGTGCGTTGTTCCCGCGAATTTTCTGGAGAAATTTCACCTTGATGGACCGCCGCCACCCCGAGGTGGCTCTATATGAAGAGCGCCTGAATTCTCGAGATACAAACATCATGGATCCTACCACTGCAGGTCATCTTGGTATTCCGGCGTAAGCGAGTTTGTTGTGGACCGAGCGGCGGACTACTTCAGAACTAGGCTTCATGCTGCATTGTCGAGAGATCATCAATGCCAGCCCGCGTGATGACGACCTCGGCGTCATGGAAGGCAATGTTTTTGCAACAGCGACCACTCCATCAATGAAGGTCTTGCGTCGTCTGATGATACTGTTACCTGTCGGTGAGACTCATCCCGTGTCCGAATCGGACGACCATCCCGTGTCGAGCGCTCAGCGATGCTACGGCAAATATATGGCATGTTGTATTTGCTCCTTCCGAGGTACAAGATCTGTACAGTTGCGCCATTTGTGCGTCGAAACGCTCAGGGCATCTGACTGTCCACGCCTGATGCCGCAAGGAAGAGGAGAATCTTGGAGGTGCTTTTGGGATGTGACGTGCGAAAAAAGTATCATGCACTTGTCTTGAAACGATGCAGCGTCTGCATGGGTGCAAACCTTGGAATTGTAAAACCTTAGGGATAATTCATGGGCGCCAAATAGCCCGTAGCAGTCCGCCTTGCCTCGCTGGACCGGCCCTGACACCTACCATGTATGGTACTGTAGTCATGGTTGTAAGTCGCTTGCCTTCTCATGAATAATGATAAAAATCTATTCATGCTGGAGGAGGAAATCGTGTTCTGCTATGCATCGGGTACTTACCTTAGCGGAAGAACACACCAAGCAGGGTCCTCCCAAAACGATCGTTCCAAGACTTTGAGGTCGTTACACAGCGCGCCGAATTGGCTTCCTGGCGCGGGATAATGTGGAGACGAACTTCATCAAGGTCGCAACGACTAGGACGCTTCCAGCAAGGACTCAGGCTGACATTATGCGTAAATCACCCCAACTAAACACCACTAAACCACCCGTTTCCTCCCACCCACCACCACTATGACCTCGACCTTTGCTGCATGGAGAAAGTAACGGTGCTGGACATGTTTCCTCGAGTGGTTCTCACGTTCTCTAGCTCCACCACCACCACCACACAGCGACCCGGACGAGCATAGGAAAGAAAATTTATGCGTGGAGGCAACGTGGAGGGGACTTTGTCTTCGGCAATGGCCCTGTGCCGGTGTCGCCGCCGATGCTACTGTTGCTGTTGCTGTTGCTGTTGCGTTGGCAAGATGGATGCGGGTCGTGGTGGTGCCCTTACGTTAATGACATCGATCCCATCGGGTTGAATCCGAGTAGTGTATTGTCACGAGGAGAGTGGGAATGGTTCATAAAGACCTGGAGGGCGCCATCTTGGACTTTCTTGGAACTCTACTATCTAGCTTCCTCTTGATTTTTGAGAACTGGTTTTCGTGGATGATCATTCGGAGATATCCATTACTCGTATAGAAGAAATATACATCGACAGCTTCGACATATCCCTCAAGAGCACTGCTAAGGATCGATCATTCGTCATATTCCTCTATCAGCAATCATGTCGACCTCCTCTGAAGCTCCTATCCAATACCTCGTCAAGCATGACAACTCCAACACCACTGATGCCGTCACCGGCACAGTGAGCCGAAAGGCCCTCGAGCTTCCCACTCACGAGAGCCGAACCGAGCGCATCATCCTCGGCGTGCTCGCCCTCTTCGAAGCCATCTCCAACCTTCCTTCCCTCGAGCCCAACCCAGACAATGCCGGTCTCTTCAACCAACTCTTCGACTTGGTCACCATCACCAAGACCACCCTCACTGAAGAGGAGACCATCCTCAACGACCCACGAATCACCGCCATCGTACTGCCTCTGTGGAAGACCTGGGGTCTGGGCGAGTACATGCTGGAGCGAGACTTTGCACACCAAATTCTAGCCGGTAGCTCTCCCGCCGCGGCGTTCCAGATCTACAACTCCTTCCCATACATCGACCAATACCGTCAACTGGCCCGCATGGAGGCCAACACCATCGACACCGCCCTCGGCGAGCTTCAGTTGCCTCCAGTCAAGAAGATGGCTTTCCTCGGCTCCGGTCCCACTCCTTTCTCATCATTGTGCTTCGCTGAGCGCCTGGGTCCGGACGTCCAACTCGTCAACGTCGACCGCAACCCTGAGGCGATCAAGCTGGGCAGTGCGATCGTCTCACGCTGCGGCTTCAAGAACATCTCCCACACACAGGCCGACGTTGCCACATTATCCGAGGAGCTACAGTCCTGCGACATTGTCCACTTCGCCGCCCTGATCGGTGACACTGCCCAGGAGAAGCGTGACTTGCTCATCAGCGTTGCGAAGAACATGCGTCCTGGTTCGTTGATCCTCCTCCGCAGCACCGACGCCCTAAGATCTCTGCTCTACCCTCGCATCGATGTCGAAGAGGACGAGATCCTCAAGTTGGTCACTCCGATCGTCGCCACAAGGTATTACGGCGCGGCGACGTCGCTGACAGCGATCATTGTGTGCGTCGACGGCGTCAAGAAGAACTAGAGTTCCCCTTATGATCAAGAGAAGGAAGGGAGGTAAGAGAAGACATTGATATCCATTTGCATTATGAAACTTTCGGGGCGCGGTGTGTACCTCCTGGGGTGGTTAATTGAAAAAGGAGAAAGCATTATTCTTTGAGGGAGACACGAGTGGCGGGAACCCGGATTTGTTGTCAGCGTCCCGCATCTGCTCGATGAACCATAAAAGTTATAGTCATCGCCATTATCACGACAATAAATTGACGGCCATATCTAGATCTTCCAATTTGTCGAGAGAAACTTATGCATGATTTTTATGTTAAGATAGGTAGTCATTCATAAACAGAACAAACAGAGAAATCGTTATTGCATTCATCTCAAATAGGTTATACTGGTTGATCGATGACAATTGCCACGTGAAATCTTTTTTTCTCCAGCAACGTCGACTTCCTCGGCCGTCAAAAGAGCTGGCACAACAATAAAATAGCGCCGTGGCTGTCGTTGCTCCTTTCGAGATGATGTGGGCGTTTGTCTCGTGCTGTTGCTGCTGTCCACCCACGTTTTGGTTGACGCAATTCCCGCCCTGACCCATGGCGCCCCTCCTCGTGGGGATTTTCCCGCCCGCCCGCACGGATCTACAGCACGTCCAGGGCAAAAACTGTAGGTAATTCTGTTGCGAACCCCCACTCGATCTCATCACCTCTTTCCACGCCACCATCTGCCTATTGCATGGATCTTGATCATTTCCACGCGGAGATGATCTTTTCGGATCTGATAACAACACCGATGATCAGACCTGCTTCTCGACCTGAAGCATGATCTTTGCGGCGCGGCCTGATCTGAACTTCAGATGAACGTCGATAGCTATTTGGAAGCGTCCCGCAGAGGAAGCTTCGCCGGCTGCTTAGGCCAGAAACTCAAAAGAGCTCCCTTGTTCGTCGACCTGTCTGCGTGCACCAGCCGCACTACCAAAATATGTCAACTCCGATGCTGGAGACACAAAGCGATCAAAACATGACGAGGAGTGATCGAGACACATACCTTTTCTGCTGAACAACCCTCATCGTGAGAGCGACAAAACTCGCTCCGACAGCGGCTACACTGTCTGATCGTCTTCGGCCCACACTGGTTACAGGATCGACCGCAGCCGTAGCAGTGTAGATGAACGTTCTGTGTTCAGCAAGTGAACAGATTAACCAGTCAGTGTGGCGTTTCTTCCCAAACATGTTGTATGCGTTCAACCCCACATGCCATTGCTCCCGGCGCCACTCATCATTTCCATAACAAGGCAGTTTTCAACACAGAGGCGGGAGAATACCTTTGTGGTTTGACCTGGAAGCTGCGTTTCGGCTGAATTTGTTCCATCAGTGGTGTTCGGAGATTGTTGGTCGAAAGTGGAGATTGAAATACTCCGTGTATTCGGTAAAGAGTAGCAATCTTCGCACCAGAAGTGGTTGCACTGCTCGCACCAACGATCGCGAAGACAATCTTCGCAGCGCAGAATCATCTTAGGAAAGTTGCCTCTCCCACCAGGAATTGGTCGGATCGCAGCACGGACGTTAGACGAGTGTAGAGGTGCAGGTCCGAGAAGAGGGAAAGCAGTATTGTCACTTTTGCCGAACACTGCAGGACCCTCGGGACAGGATTGGCACGTCTCGCATCCATGTGGACTGAGTGCAACAGTGGCGATGGTAGGTTGTAGGAAATCTTTGCTCTCGACTTTCGTGATGTCGTGTCGCGGACCTCTACACAACACTGCGTCGAATTGAATCAGACCTTTGCAGACTTGAAGCGTCTCGGGCCAATCCGAAAGCGGTCGCTTGAGAACCCGTCCAGTGTCGCCATACCACAGATCTTCTTCGTGCGCGATTCTTAGCCCCGTGGTCTTCGAAACTTCACGAGAATGCTCTGCACCAATTTGCGCCCCTGCTGAGCTCATGACTCCCAGAAAGCCTTCACGAGGAGTAACACGGGCAGTCACCATTCGAGCCGAACGTGCCCCAAACACGTAGAGCGCTTTCAATTTTGGGGTACCCTCTGCTCGAGTCGGCCGAACAATATAGCGTAAAAGCTGATTCAATTTGGACATGTTCAAATGTTTAGCTTCGCGAACGCTCAAAATGCGGACATTGAAGCGGTCTTCGGCCACGATCTCACGAATCAAATCTGCGGGTACACTCATGCTGTCGAGTACCAACGTGTGCACATTTCGAAGGATTGATTGATCATGAAGCTTCGAGAAGATTCCTCGTAAAGGTCCGGCGTAGTAATCGTCCTCGGTCATGTCCTCGTCGGTCGTCTGTGCCGTCGATGTTGTTGCTGCCGGAGAACAGCTCACTGTCGTGAGATTGAGATATCGCCATGACTCAGGTGAATTTGCAATCAGTCCCCGAAACTGTCTTGATGTGCTTGATAGATCAATTAGGCTCTTGGCAGGAAGGTACGGTGCAATCTGCCCAAGAAGGAGTGATATGTTCAGAACGTCGATCAGCGTCACTGAAGAAGTTGCCATGATGGAAAGGGAGGAATTTGTGTGATCATAGCTCTGGTGAGAAGCTTTCAAGGCTTAGTTCCGTTTCAACACATCTTAGTGAAACAGTGGATAACGAGATATCAAATGATCATTGTTTGAGCTCCGGCACTGATATGGATGTTGAACTTAGTACAGTTGTACTATCTACAGTACATGACGTTAGACGACATCGGCTTTCAACGGCCATACGCAGCCGACCTCGGGAGTGACGGGCCGCAATTGACGAGAATCCCAGAAAATGCCCGTCCATCGTGTAAAATAGACTCTTGCGTCTGCAATATCCAAAAATCACAAGAGTTTTGAATTCTATCCATCAGCAGATGGAACAATGGCAGACCTCACTCTCCCAATTGGTGAAGAGATGGAAACTTGTCATATTCCGGATGCGAGACGCTCTTCGATGCTTTGGGCTTCGGCTCGACTGCGCGCTGTATGCGTTGGTGAGTACGGAGATGAATGTACATGTGAAGCTGCACAGCCTCGCCACATGCATGAAGCGAGAAAACCCTGAGCCGCCTTCATGAGCCCAGGCTCGTAGATATGAACTCATGAGCTCTCAACTCGTTACCGGGCGACGCGTGCTGCACCCTCAACCGTGACATTCCACCATGTGCGCATCAATTTCGCCAATGACGTGAAACATGCGTCTTTTGCACGTGGAAAAGCTGAATTTTCAGGTGTTTTATCCACCAAACATCCCTAAATATGCTATCGCTTCACACAGATGGCGGGCAGAGCTCGAGGCGATGCTGGCTGACGTACAGGAAAAGAAGGATTTCAACGGCTATGGTTTTCAGAAGGTCAAAGGATTTGCGGACTATGTGAAAACTCACATCCCTGACTTAGAGTGGGTCTGGATTGATACCTGCTGCATAGATCAGAAGAGCAGTTCAGAATTGACAGAGGCTATTAATTCGATGTTCCGCTGGTATCGCGAAGCTGAAGTCTGCCTTGCATACTTGCAGGACATTCCTTCAGTGAACGACCATTCTCTCTTCGAAGCGAGTGACTGGTTTCGGCGAGGTTGGACCTTACAAGAATTGCTGGCACCGACCATTGTAATCTTCCTTACACAGGACTGGCAGATTATTGGGCACAAAGGATCGAGCGAAACAGGGCGACAAGGGACTCCTCTGCAAATTGGCTCATCGTTGAACAACCGCATCGCTGCCATCACTCAGATATCGGAGAACATACTACAGGACTATAGCAACAGCCATGCTATGAGCATCGATGAACGGATGCAGTGGATGGTAGGTCGACAGACGACACGCGAGGAAGATCTTTCATATTGCCTCCTAGGCATCTTAGATGTTCGGATGACCATTCGATACGGGGATGGCAAAGAGGCGACTCGAGAGCGCTTACTCAAGAAAGCTGGCAAGTCGAAATCGACGTCCACAGCGATCAAGCCATTTTCGAACGTACCATTTCGACGGGACCCGAACTTCGTCGACCGTGTCGATCCAACGAATCAAATGCGTGCCAAACTAGATGTGCCAGCAGGCAGAGCTGCATTGGTAGGGCTCGGGGGTATTGGGTGAGAACAATTTTACAGCCTCTTGAGATGATATGCAAACTAACGCGAAGGAGGAAATCTCAACTTGCGATTGAGTATGCACGAGACTTACGACAACAAAGCCCAGAGACATGGGTGCTGTGGATTCATGCTAGTAATGCAGCGCGTTTCGATCAGAGCGTGCACGAAATCGCAGATAGGCTCAGGCTCCCTGGGCACGAAGACCCTAAAGCAAATCATCTGAAACTCTTCCAACGATGGCTCGAAAATGAGAACAATGGAAGCTGGCTGATCGTACTTGATAATGCGGACGATGCCGGCTTTCTTCTCGAGCCGCCTCCAATGGCTAGCGAAGCGCAACACGATAGACAGCGAATTGAGTATTTTCCCGTGAGCGACCACGGCTCGATGATCATCACAACACGGAGCAAGGACGAAGCATTGAGACTAGTTTTCGAAGATGATATCGTTTCCATCACTCCCATGAGTGAGAGTGAAGCTAGTTTACTCATGACAAGTAAGCTTGGGCGATGGGAGGATGAGATTAAGGAACTAGTATCCTCTCTAGACTTCATGCCGCTCGCCATCTCACAAGCAGCTTCATACATCCGAGCACGAGGTTCGCGCTGGTCGGTCCAGAAATATCGCGAAGAAATGGAAGAGAGTCGTAAGTCGCGGACAAGCCTTCTGCGATATGAAATGCCGCTGCCGAACCGAGACAAGTACGCGACTAACTCGGTATTCCTGACGTGGCAGATCTCCTTCGAGTACGTCAATGAAAATCACCGCTCTGCAGCCGATCTGCTTTCGTTCATGAGCTTCTGCGACCGACTCGCCATTCCAGAGTTGCTGATCCGTATCGACGGTAAAGATGGACACCCGGGAAATGCTGCGAGCTTCGAGGAAGACATCGTCAAGCTCCGCAGCTTCTCTTTCATTAGCGAGACAAACAACACGGAAACATGGGAGATGCATAGGCTTATTCAAGATGCAACACAAGCTTGGCTGGAGGATCGGACGATGGTCAACCATGCTCACACTCATTTCTTAAGTCGATTTAGCGCCATTTTTCCGACTGGGGATTTCGAGGACTGGCCAAGATATCGCCTGCTGTTCCCGCATGCCAAACATGCATTAACACAGCAGCCTCAAAACACAGCAACAATTCTTAAATGGTCGCACATCATGTACTATTCGGCGTATTTTGCATACGAGCAAGGCGATTACCCAACATGTGAATCAATGGCGATAGCGTCGATGATGGCCAGATCATCCCAGCACGGGAAGGCGCATGAGTCCACAATTCTTGCTATGCTCATGGTATCCGGAGCACACTGGAAACAAGGGCATTTTAGCGAGGCTGAAATGCTTGAAATGGAAGCTCTAGAGCTCAGCAAAGCAGTGAACGGCCCTGAACACCCTGATACGCTCATCGCACTGTCTCTTTTAGCTACCACATATTACGACCAAGGACAGTGGGGCCGTGCAGAGCAGCTGCACAAAAAAGTCATCGAGAAAAGGCAGGCCAGTCTTGGGATGAAGCATCGTGATACGATAAGGAGCATGGGTAACCTTGCATCAGTATACTCAGCTCTGGGGCGACTCAAAGAGGCGGCGCAGCTGGAGGAGCAGGCTTTAGATGCTTACAGGACGATGCTCGGGGCAAATCACCCCACCACGATATCAACGACCTTCAATCTAGCGGCGAGTTACCGGCTGCAAGGGCGTTGGCTCGAAGCGGAACAGCTTGCGGTACCCGGCATACGTGTGTCAGGGGCAATTCACGGTGCAGATCACCCAAGCACGCTTGTATATAAAAGCAATCTCGCGACGACACGTTCATATCAAGGCCGATACAGCGAAGCGGAGGAGATACATTCACAAGTGCTAGACAAAAGGAAGACAACGCTCGGGGCAGAGCATCCTAGTACACTCACCAGCATGAGCAATTTGGTTGTGGCATATACGAAGCAGGGGAAATATGATGAGGCAGAGCAGCTACAACGGATTTTGCTCGAAACAAAGATGGCGACCCTCGGAGCAAGCCACCCGGGTATGATCAAGACCATGATCAATTCGGCGAGCATTTATTCGGCCCTGGGACGCCATAGTGAGGCTGAAGTACTAGAGTTGCGCGTAGTTGCCCTTGCAAGGCAGATACTGGGAGCAGAACACCCTACGACACTGACCGCTATGAACAACCTTGCCTACACCTACCAGAGGCAAGAGCGCTGGAGCGAGGCGGAGCAGCTACGAGTGGAGGTACTCAAGACTGAGAAGACCGTGCTCGGGATAGAACATCCGAGCACACTGCTAAGCATGCATAACCTGGCATCGACATACATGGAGCAGGACCGATACCCTGAGGCCCTGCTCTTGCAAGAGCAGGCAGCCGATGGTTACAAAAGGGTATTTGGTGAGGAGCATCCTGATACTGAGACCGTCACCGCAAACTTGGAATATATCCAGCGCATGCTACATGAAATGCATGTCAGCAACAGCTCAGCCGCTGAGTCCACTCGCGGTAAAGAAGCGCCATCCGCAAGTGCCGGGTCGATCCCCGACGAGCATGCTCAGGAAACACAGACATTCCTCTCCTCTGACGACAGAATTGTTGAGCCCGAATTGGAGGCCATGGGCGGTCCGGCCGTGCGAGACACTGAGCAGGAGCCCGGCATCTGCATCGAGGCGCAAGACGAAGATATCAAGCCAGCCGACCGGCAGCAAACTCACGAGAAGATGGAAGATCTCAGTTCTGGTCCACAAATGCCGAGCATGACCGCAACACCGTTTGCCGGACAAGAACCGCAGGGGTCAAACACGGAGCTCGTCATTGCCAAACAAGTGCAGAACGAGGATCGGATCCGTGATGATGACGGTACTTCTCCTCGCCGACGCAGGCTTCGAGTGTGTTGGCAGCGAGTAAGAAAGGGGCTTGACCGGGCTCTCAAGAAGCGAATCCAGGGCAACGCTCGAATGTACGCCACCTCTCACGATCTCTCCGACCAGCGTTTCCAGATCTGAGACCACATACTAAGTTCCATCTCCACGCCACGCCATCGTCGTCCGCGGTCGTGTGTGCAGTAGAAGTCGTCCAACAAAAGAGACTAACGTCCCTCCCGGCGTCGCGAGCCACCCTGCGTAACGAGCCAGCATTGAACACTTTCATCTATAATATTCTGCAACAGCTGTGTCAATGCGCGCCAACATATCTGGGGTATAGACCGGAATGCCAGCTTCCTGTCGACCGCTCTACATCCAACTTGGGTTCATCTTGCAGACGCTGTCATCGATTCCGTCCTTGTGCGAAATCCGACCTGACCGATCGATCGCTTCATACAGGCACAATACAAATCCATTTACATATTCATCAGCCTCTATCGATCGCTCAGAAGTAGCTCTACGGCTACCTTCGGTATTATCTTCACGAGACGAAGGTTGCGCGATCCCGAGCGCTGCCGCCGTGGGCGTTCATGGTATCGTTTTCGAACCTCAATTGTCGAGTCATGCCGCCAGCCGAGAACTCTCGAAGAACTATGCTATGCGCCTCCGTAATCTGCCTTAGCACACCTGTCCACACCGAGGGCTCTAAAACCACTGTGGTCTACAGCGTCAGTTGTTTCGTCTGTACAGTTAGTTCTTGTGGATTGTCTAATCACCGACAGTCCTCGTGGAGATGATAACAACGCGATACAAGAATGATCAATTCAAGTTTATTTAGGAACATCATCTTCGATTGACATGAGAATTTACTCCATAAAGAACTTCAATTCATAAGGTTACTTAAGCTACGAGCGTTTCCACATCTTACGCATCAATCTACTGAATGCTTTGGGACTCTCTGCAACCCTCTACTCGTCTACTCGTAGAGTTTACTAACGGCATCACGTTGCCCTCTATCTGTATGATGCTCTCGCTTCCTTGCTCGTTATGAAGCTGGTGTAGTCGTTGACGCAAAGATGATAAGGATTCTTTCACAGATTCTATGCGAGCCGGCGAGAGCCATGACAGCTTCTCGCACCCGCGCAGCGCCCGCACATACAGATTCTCGACCTCTTGAGACTTCTCCCAGCCACTTAGAAGTAATGCAATCTGGTGACATTCTCTGGTTTGCTGCTCTTCGTCTGGACGCGACAGTGCCGCCCTCGCTCCGGTCGCCTTGGCATGTGCTGCGAGCCGAAGGCCTCTGTCCTTTGTGACCTTATTGCAGTAACACGACTAAGCGCCGGGCCTTGCAGGATCTGTACCATTTTGAGCGCCTCAGGCGCGCACATATTGATGAAGAGATTGTAGTCCTCATGATCTACGTATTCAGGCTTTCTTGCTTTCTTCGGAATGCTGTTGCTTCACGTGTCACCTTATACGTCGCATTGAAATCTTCCTTATCAAAATCAGATGAAACAGTTCCATCTATATCCTCCTGACGAATCTTCTTTCCCACCACCCGTGGCTCGTGAAGATCGCGGCTGTAAGCACCAACGTGACACCCAGTACCACTACTGGCACCCAAATGGACAGAGGCGACCCGTTGATCTCTCTTACATTCATTCCAAAGACGCCTGTCACAAAAGACAAAGGTATGTATAGGAATGCCAGTTGTGTGAGCTTCTGCCCGCGCACGGCTTGCTCAGTACTAAGTGTTGCCTGTAGCACAATTGTCGAGCTGATTAGGAGGCTGAACGAGTCCATAAGGAATCTCTCAAGAGACTGGGCTTGCACCAGAACATCTCCTAGTCTTTCGTGGGGGAATCCGACGTGTATCTGTTGCTTTTCTGCCGCTGCTTGAATTGCCTGAAGTTGTTCTGCGACTGACCGTGGTATCCAAGACTTTCCCAGGGCGACCTGTTCGCGAAGGAATATGAGGTCCTTGCGTCGATCATGAAGTACATCATTGATCGCAGCATTAGGCTTCCGGACCTCTTCGAAACTGATGCGTTTGATGTCTCTGGTAAGATTCTGTAGATTTGTCTCCCACGTGGAAGTTACTAGAAGATAGAGGAAAGTTTCAGGGGCGATGGTGTGGGTCCCGTCTACGAGCAGAATGTCAAAGTGCCATGCATGGGACAAGAATCTTCGCAGGCATTCAAAGAGCGAACGCTCGGCCGTATCAAGCAGCTGTGGCAGGACGAGACCGCCTCGGTTGTTGGACACTGGGAAGCGTAGATGAAATCTTGGTAGGGAGGATGACGAGGCCGTGCTGGGCGCCTCTGTAGCTGGCGCATCGACGAGAATTAGACCTTGAGACATAGTATTAGTAGGCGACGTGGCCCGATATCGGTCTCTGGATACTTGCAAAAAGACCCCAGCCTGTCACTGCATCTCCAGAATGACATCCGAGTGGAGGACTGCTGACCGTGTTCATTGCTATGGACTGACAGTCGCTGTATGATGCGCTGATTGCTCTGGCTGGATTGTGCTGTACCACCTGGTTGGTCTGTCCCAGAAATCCCGTCGACATGCCAGTAATGCGCTTTGTCCCACCGTGAACTCGCTAAGAGCCCTGGAGGGACCTCTGCAAGGGCAGGTCTCTTCCTCTTCATGACGGACGTGCCAAAGATTGTATGCCATGGAGAAGAACCTGCTGGGTTGGAGGCGTGTTTAGAAAAAAAGGAAGGCGAAACGTGCCATGATTTGGTAAGACCCGCAATCCAGGGCAGATTGATGTTCTCCACGACTACTATCGCACCCGAGAGCACCAAACTATCACCCTTGGGATATAGGATATCATCCAACCTCAGGGACCTGTATTCATGTCGCGCGTGATAAAATGCGCGTGGGGTATTTCCATGCAGCATTCCTGATGTGTGGAGCGCAATGGCGCGAATCTCATCTTGAGGGAAACTTGTCCAGAAAGCAGCTAGGTCTTCCTGGCCGTCAGATCGTGGGGTTGTACAATCCATGCTGCAGGGCCAGGCAAGAGAGATGTTTGGAGAAGGAAATTTATTTATCTAGTCATTCGGCGATGAGATGCATTTTGAATGAGAAGTGCTGGCGGCTACACCTTCAGGGCGGCTAGTGAGAGGGCGCGAGGGCGCATAGCCAGGCGAGGAGGCTGTGTCCCTTGAGGTGGGTCAAGCGACAATTGGAGCAGCGACAACCTTCCTGAGGTGACGTCGCCACATGGGATCAGAGGCATTTGTCAGCTGTCCTGGCCTACGAATCATCTCTTGCAGAAGCATTCATTGCGCAATTGTGTTCCTTAAAGCTGGACATTCAACAGAGCGGTGTGTCGGTCGGCGACTGTGACTTATCTCAGCGTTGGGGAGGAAAGAACAGAAAACCCTTGCGCGGCCGACGCACGGACCCGGCCAAAATCATTCTGCAATTTCTGTGACATGTCTGCACGCGCTTGCCCAAGTGGGATGCCCACACAACAGCCGTGCCTTATCGCCCTCCCGGGGGACAGCGACCGGTGAGCTTTGTAGCCAATAAATGCTGTTGTGGCTTGCAAGGCTGAGCACGCTTCCATGGCCGAAATCCTTTACAGCCCGCTATTTCCTTATGCCCCTCTTGCGCTGTTTGCTGTCGCCTTTACAAACCCTGGACGTCCTCGGACTACACGATTGTTTCTATTCGCACTCATTCTACCCCGCTATGCCTCGAACTATCACCGAAGATGATACCGGGTTACACGTACTCGTAGACAACAGTGACGACCACGAGGATGCGGTGGAGTACGCGAGACCAGCTGCACTGCTCCCGTGAATAAACACGCTGACCGCTGACAGCATTGTCGCAATACACGGTCGTGGGGCACACCCGGCCGACACGTGGTGCCAGCTCCGCGATGCCGGAGCAGACAAAAGTGATCCCGAGAGCTATATCGACTGGCTACGAGACGACAATATGCTACCCAATGTTGTCGCACATGCACGGATTCTGAGATATGGCTACGAGTCTGCATGGTTTGGTGAGAACAACATCAATACAGCACCAAGAATTGTCAGCCAACGCCTGCTGGAACAGCTTCTAGCCGAGAGAAAGGTGGGATTTACTCTGCTGTTCTTGACCCACTAGCAGAAATTGATGATTGGTAGGAGTGCCCTCGAAGACCCCTGATCTTTATCTCGCATTGTTTCGGTGGACTCGTCGTGCTTCAGGTAAGTCAAGTACCTTGGTCACCAGACCGAGACTGCTCTGACACCACTAGGTTCTGCACGATTCACACATAGAGCGCTCTCGATGGCAAGACATTTACGACTCCACCGTCGGTCTGATTTTCTTCGGAACACCATTTAGAGGCTCGGAAAAACTTTCGCAAGAGAAGGTTGTGCAGTTGGCACAGCAGAAATACGGACAAGACAAGGTCTTGGAAAGTGCGCTTAGATTTTCTCGGGCTGGGGAGGAATCGCTTGCAAGTCTCGTTGATCAATACCTACGTATTGCGAGGCAAGGGCCACGACCAAAGGTAGCTTGTTTCTATGAGCAGAAATCCACCAACTTTGCTGCTGTAGTTGACAAGGAGGTAACTAATCGGAAACCGTCATCCTGTCTTTCCTAACTGACTAATTGCGACAGGCCTCGTTCGACACTGTCTGGGTAACTGAGAGCTCAGGGACACTTGATGTTAGCGAGTCAGTGGAGAAGTATTCTCGAGCGTGTGATCATTTTGCAATCAACAAGTTCTACAGCCCAAGGCAGGAAGATTTCAAGACGTTGGTTCGAGTGGTCCAGGGAATGGTACAAGAGGGACCAAAGATTCTCGCCCAACGATGTAAGCGTTGATGGAAATGTGATCAGACCAGCTTTTGCAGTACACTAAGAAGGGCAAGTCAGTGGCAGGCACAGCGCATGATCAATATCGCGTTCCGTTCAGCCTGAGGGGCATTCCGCTAGCAGACCACTTCGTGCCACGAGAGGCAGATATGGGCCAGCTGACAGCCTTTTTTCGATCGACCGCTCCGTCTCAACGGCGGCGGATCTTCGTGGTGCATGGCATGGGCGGCACGGGCAAGACGCAGCTGTGTGCGGAGTTTGTGCGGACGCAGCGAGAGTGGTTCACAGCGGTGTTCTGGCTGGACGGATCGTCAAAAAATGCGCTCCGACAGTCAATGAGTGCTGCAGCGCTGCGACTGCTGGACGGACAGGTGTCGCCGGCAGTTGGGGGAGATCCCGCCGAACTGACACGGCTCAGCGACAGCTTTCTCCAATGGCTCTCGCGCGCGGGTAACGAGAACTGGTTGATTGTGATTGACAATGTGGACCGAGAATGGCAGAGCGTGGTGCAAGACGACCAGGCGTACAATTATCACGAATTTCTTCCTTCGGCCGACCACGGGAATACCATCATCACGACACGGCTTGCGCGACTGCAACGACCGGGGGCGAGTCTCGCTCTGGGGAGCGTTGATGACGGTCTAGCAAGAAAGATGATCGAGTCTCGAGCGGGCAGACCAGTGGACGGTAAGCGCCGATATGAGCATGCTTGTTTAAACCTGAAGTTGAACTAACGACACGAGTAGACATTGAGGCCTTACTCCTGAAGCTGGGCGGTCTTCCGCTTGCGCTCGTGCAGGCTGGATCCTATCTAAATATGACGGGCATAACAGTAGCGGCGTACATCCGAGAATACGACGAAACATGGGCGGATCTCATGCAGCGCCAAGACCAGTTCCCCCTGCAGGAGTACGCGGAGCGAAGTGTGCTTACCACATGGAAGATGTCCTACACACAGGTGCAGAATGTCGATGCGCTTGCGGCGCGCCTGCTCGACCAGTGGGCATTTCTCCACCACAGCGACGTGTGGCCGGAACTGCTATCGTCTAGATCGGATGATCCGAGTGCCGTCTCACTCGATCATCCTATCGACGACGCGTTCTCCCGTATGACGGAGGCCTCTCTCAGGCATGCAATCGGCAGCCTGAAGCATTACTCGTTGTTGTCTGTAGGGGCAGAAGACGCGCGACATTTCATCCATCCGGTGTTGCATACATGGTGTCTGCATAACATCGAGTCGGCCGAGGCGAGGCAAGAGCTGCTCGGGAGGGCTTTGCAGGTAGTGGTATCTTTCGCCAAGGGGATGCCTACGAGTGCGACGAAGGATGAGAGATTACGACTGGTGTCACACGCGAGAACAGTAGGGCGCAGAGTAGGGACGTGGACGATGAGCGAAAGCAGAGCAGAGGATTGCCATTCAATCGCATCATTTCTTGACGAGTGGGAGGCGTCCGATGTGGTGCGGGACTTGTATTTGCGAGCGCTGCGTGGGAAGGAGAAGGCATACGGCGCGGAGCACACGTCGACGCTCAACACGGTCAACAATCTCGGCCTTCTGTACGCG